GCGTTGATGAGGGAAGCTGTACGGAAGACATCAACATTCGAGCTGCTATTCGTAATTACAGTGCCCACACCTCTGGGAGGTCAAAGGACAATATCAATATCTCCGATGTTGCTTGGGGAAAGGGCAATTTCGGCAACTACATCGCTGCTGCAAACGCCAACGGACCCATCACGCTATATGACCTCAATCACCCTGGTATCGAAGTCGCGCAGCTCAAAGAACACCGCCGACAAATTCACAGAGTCACGTTCAATCCTCATGCTGGCCAGCATTTCCTTTCTGCCAGTCAAGATGGAACTGTCCGACTGTGGGACCTCCGCGATGTGAGACGAGATGCCAACACTTTTCCAAGCAGATTTACTACCAGCGGCCAGAACGAGGGAGTTCGGGACGTCAAGTGGTCTCCAACAGACATCTTCGAACTAGCCATGTGTACGGATGGTGGCTTTGTTCAGAGATGGGATACTCGCAAGCTCAAAAGTCCATTGACCCGTATCGCCGCTCATACTGGTCCCTGCGCGACGATCGACTGGCATCCTGATGGTAAACATCTACTCAGCGCCAGTTCGGACAAGACTGTAAAAGTCTGGAATATCTCTGCTGAGGGTAGAAGACACAAGGCTGTTTACGAGATCAAGACACCACATCCTTTGCGTCATGCTAGGTGGAGGCCATCTTGTCAGTCATCGTGGCCAACGGGTCGGGGCTCTAGGCAGTGTACCCAGATTGTCACATCCTACGAGCGTGACCATCCTATTGTGCATATTTGGGATTTCCGAAGACCTTGGCTACCCTTTCGAGAAATGGAAGGCTACCAGACCGCCCCAACAGATCTTTTGTGGCATTCTCAAGACTTGCTGTGGACAGTCAACAGAGAGGGTATGTTTCTTCAGCATGACATCAAATATGCTCGCAAAGTCATGGACAAACGCAATATGCAAGCCTTTGCTATATCTCCGCTTGGAGAATTCAGTTTGGTAACTCAGAAGAGAGCGACTCGTCTCAGACCAGGTCTCAATCGTGACGATAGCGAAGCATTCATCCGTCAACGGCGATCTGGTCTGTCACCTTCCGAGACGATTGGACAAGGCAACACATCTAGTCGAGGATCTCACGACGATACCATAGACGACACTTTTCTCAGCAGCTCTTATGGCAAGCGCCACACAAGGTCTCCCAGTGCCAGGATTGGTAAGTCGTCTAATGGATCACCACCAGCATATGATGTGAACTCTACTCGAACAGTCAGTCTCGAAGACGTCCTGAAAGCGGGACGAGCATACAAGCCAGGGCAAAGTGCCGCTCGCGGCCGTCTGCCCGGTAGCGCAAACCTGTTGCTCCTTCAGTATTTCGCCAAGCAATACACAACACGAGCTCTTCCCGAACCTCCTTCGGTCGATGCTTTCCTGAAAGTACACGAGGTCTTTGAACACAACGCAATTCACGCTCAGAAGGCATCACTGTATCGCTTGGCTCAGTCATGGAGGATGATGGGTCGGGCAGTTATGACAGAGCTGCTGAACAGAGCGAACCACCACCGCAGACTAAGAGTAAAGAACGAATCCGGGCCTCGCAAAAGCTTGTTAGACGAGTCGCCCTTTGCGAGAAGGACAAGAAAATGGCTCGGGTCAACAGAGCGCAGGCTGAGCTCAAAGCCTGGCACGCCCTTGAGCCGACCACTCAGAACGATGGAGTCGCTCTCGACTGTTCAACCTGACAGTACCTCAAATGTTCCCACACCGATCGCAAGACCTGTAAAAGACAAGCATGAATCAGAGCGAGCTTCGCTGAAAGAGATTGATAAGGACGAAAGTCTTACGCTGCCACCTTCGCTCCTGACTCCTTCAGAGATTCAACAAAACATCGAGGAACAGAGCCGAGCTACATTGCAGGTAGTCGATCACCGAGGTATCGAGCATCGTAACTCTTGGTATGGCTCTGTACAAAACTATCAAGAGAAGCGAGAGTCGATCAGCAATTGGAGACAACCTCTCAAGGAGCCGCTCAATTTGGAGGATGGGCCTAGCGAACGGCCTAAACCTACAAGATACAACTCGGATGAGAGTTTTGGCATGTTCCCATCTTTGTCTTCTCGAGATGCTTCGGGACCTGCTTCTTCGGTTGCTAGCAGATCAGATCTCATGGAAGCCGTGCAAGAAAATCTCCGATCAGAGGGGTCATACGGCTCGATGAATCTGGGAAGTAGTTCATCTTCTGAGCCTATCTTGAGTCGAAGCTATCAGACCAGACAGGGCATTCCTGAAGATCAAAGCCAGGGAGATGTCGTTGTATCTTCATCCGAAAGCAACCGTGGAGGATCTGTGAAGGTCGCTGCACACTCGGAGAATAAAGAAGCTCCAGCAAGAGACATACCTCGAGACATGCAAACTCTAGCCTTGAACAATCAGCAGAGCTTCACATCCGAAATAGACTCTTTTCCCAATCACCGGAATCTTTCTGATGAAGCCGAGGATATGGAAGCTAGTGGCACTATCATTCCGCAGCGGCATTCAAGGCAGCTAGGACGATCGAGAGAAGGATCTATAACTAAGCCAACGACACTCGCGCATACCACAGAGAGTGCACCAGCCGTGATGCCCTCCAAGAATGCTGCTGTTGACTCGACAAAAACGCCGTTCATCACAGCCGATTTCCTGACGTCTGACTATAATGTCGACAGCGAAAAGGACAAACCATTCCGCGTGGTAGACATGCTCAATCACCTACTCGACTATCATACTATGAAAGTGCCTGACGCACAAGCAGCGACCAACTTTATCTTCATGTTGGCACCCCTGCTTCCAGCAACCCATGCACTCTCACAAGCAGACATCGATGCGACCATTACTGTATACAGCGAATACTTCACGGCCATAGGATACAGCGATATGGAAATCTACAGCTTGTTTTCGACTTCATTTGAACATCTCATCAAGGCTGGGCTGCAACCTCTACGAGCAGAAAGCATCATCAGCACCTATCACAGCCAACTGCAGCATCTTGGACTGTTCAGCAATGCCGCATATCTGCGCCGCGTCAGCTATCCCATGTATCCATCAGTCTACGAGGCCGGCTTGAAAGACACTCAAGTCAGCTTCATGTGCGGCGCCTGCAAGAAACCTATCAACACTCCGAACAAGATGCGCTGTGAAACTTGCACTCAGCGTCAAGATCCATGTCCAATCTGCTGGAGTGACACAAGTCCATTCGAAGGCCCTGCCAAAATCAAAACACGAACAGGAGGTAGTCGAACTTCTGTAGTCGAGCCCCTCATTCGGCCGGCAAGCGTTGGAGACGATGACGAGATTCAGCAAACCAACATTGAAGCTGTGCAGGTACAGAAAAATGCCTTGTACTCCACTTGCTTGCTTTGCAACCATTCAGCTCATGCGGCGTGTCTGCGTACCTGGCACTCACCACCTCCATCCTACGTTGATGTTTCTCCAACCTCTGTGTCAACCTCCGAGGGCGCTTGTCCTACTCCAGGCTGTCTCTGCGCGTGCACACCGGGACCCCAACGAAACGAGTTGTTGGACACTGTCGAGCGAAGGGAGAGGCAGAAAAGTGTGCGTGAAGATGACTGGGTTGTGGCGGAGTCGAGGGCTGCGCAGACAGCTGCCACGTTAGCGGGTGGCAGAAAGAAGAGCGGACTGAGTGTCACAACGCCAAATGAAGAATTTGGCAGTAGCAGGCGAGAGGGGAGAAGCGTAGGGTTCAAGAAGGGTTAGTTTCTAGGTGGTCACAATGTCAGTACATCATCCTACCGAATTGCCAGACCGCGACTCATCAGTGGTTCTACTCGCGGCAAGCATTTGATGATTTGGCCACATCTCAACGTTTAATCCACAATGCCTCTCCCTTTGCCTTTGACGTCGAAGACAATGAGAAAGAATTCTTGCTTCTTGCTATTCGAGGTACCAAAGGGTGTTTAAGTGCAGTCAAGAAGTTTGCACCCCCAATGTTAAGAGAGTGGTGGTTACTAGTAGCTTTGCGAGTGGGTAATTTCGCTCTTCCATCAGGTTCGAATGGAGATAAAGGCTGCCAAGGTCAGAGATTACGTCTACTAGGAAAAAATGACCATGGTATGTCGAGAGAATGGACAGAAGAAGATGCGAGTAGGGTAGGAAAGGGCAACCAAAACGCGAAATGATGACAACAGAGAAGAAAAGGAGCAAGAGATACGTTGAAAGGTGAAAGGAAAAAACCAAGCAAGAAACCACAGCGAGAGTAAGGAACAAGCAGAACAGTCCTACCAGTTGCCAGTTGCGATACAACCAATCAACGGACGAGCGATGGGCAAAAATGAGCACCGTGAGCAGGGGTTGAACCTGCGACCTCCCGATCCTTGAGAGAGAGAGTATTAGGGACTTGTGTAAGCGAGTTTAGGGACTTAGGTTACCGGATCGGGCGTGATACCACTACACTACCACGGCTTTTCTGATTAAAACGGACCCAAGATATCTTGAATATAAGGGTTGGAAGACAGAGTGGGTCGTTGCGGGAGGTTGGAGGTCGCGTGAGGGAGTCTTGATGGTCGGCTGATCTTGGCAAAATACACTTGATAGCGCAACAGAACCGCCGTCAAGCATGCAGCCAATCGCGACGTCGAAGTTCCGGTCGCCAAAGACTGCTGTATCGATGAACAGTCCAAGAGTAGCTGTTCATGGATGGGTATGATCAATATATAACGGAGGCCGGCGTCGGGCGAACAGCTCGAGGAGATGTTCCGAAGTCGAGACACGCAGCCTCTTTGGACCAGTTTGAACCAGTCTGTCTCGAGCAAAGGCTGAAAGGTGAGTCTGACCGAACGTGAGAAGATGTGACTAGAGGGTACAAGAGAAGAAAGAAGATATAGCATTAAAAGGCAACAGGGCTTGTTTGTACAAGATTGGAGGATGGACAAGAAGAAGATGTGGCGTATGCAAAAGTCGGGGGTATCGTTCAAAACAAGCAGTCGAGGATGATATGTTCATGGAAAGGTCGAGCTGGGTTGCAGCAGGTTATTCGCGGTCGACGTAGGTGCTAGCCAGACGTCCGAAGAAAGGAAGCTCGAAGCGGTCGAGTGTCTCGGCTGAAGAGAGGTCAGTACAAGTCAGATACGAGCCAAGAGCGTAAGCATTCTTACCATCCCGATATGCTCTGAATACCAATAGGACAATCAAGCCAAGGTCGCCGATGAACAGCAGCCAGGACAAGAAGCGAGACCATGAAAGCAGCATGTGTAGCACAAACAAGGCAGCAAAGACAAGACTCGACTGCCAGGCGTGGAATCTGTCGTGGTTATATCAGCATCAAGCTCTTTCTTGTTGTTGTCAAGACCAATGTCCATACCGCACGTAGTCGCTCTTCCTCTCGAAAATCAACAGGGCGACACCTCCTGCAGGTGGGAGCAGTAGGTAAGGCAGGCAGGCCTCAATGTCCATGCGTATTCCCAAGCTCGTTTCAAAGACATAGTAGCCATCTCCTCTTAACCGCGAGGTCTGTGTTGTGTTCGCTTCGAGATCGTCGTAGGCCGAGGGAGAGGGGAGCTGGGAGACGCGAGTTGCGGCCCATGGGTCTTCAATGCTTGATTGTGCGCGAGTGACTACAGCAGGGCGAGGTGACGAGGTCGATGTGCGGAGTGGTGGTGACAAGGCGCGTGTTGATTCGGGAGGGCTGCTCTGGTAGGGTGCGAAGTTGTGTGCCATGATTGCGTCTTTGGTGTGAGTCGAATCTGTGGGAGCTGGTCGAGAGGTCGCAGAGGAGGGAGACGCAGCGAAAAGTGTCCAAAAGAGTTGTTTGTTGCTATGTATGCCACCTTATCGTCACCGCTGCTTGAGTTGTTGCTCGCCGGAGCTGCTGGCCGACGAGCCGCGGTTTCCCCGTCTTGGTGAGGCGCACCGCTCCTTCCTCGAGTCGGTGAGCAACAGCTTGACTTCTCAAGGCCTCCATTTGACACGTCTGGATCATGTCTTCCAAGTTTGCACTGTGAATCTCCATGGCTACTTGTACTATCCGACAGCTACCCAGAGATCTTCTGACCGTGTTGACGTAGGCACCTCTGAAACACGGTCGCATCTCCAGTCGACGGTGGTAGCTGCATGTGTCTATCAAAATGCACAGTTGAATCCAGAAAGTTGCAGGTTCCATCGAGAGCATGGTCAACCTACCGACTTCAGCTCACTTCTACTCCTGGGCTTCACTCGCACTGTCGCTCGTGTGGGCGAGTAACCGTCCGCTTTGTTGTTGATAACCTCACCTGGCTCTTCCTGTCGAGTTCTCACATCGAACTTCACAAGTACGATCATTTCAACGCAGTATCTATGGAATCTAGTTACTCCCCTTTCACTCCAAGCGCCTTGTTTCTGAGCACGCTTCACTGAAGGAGACGTCGACGACCTCATTCAAAGACTAAATCCACCCATCTTCCGCTCTCCTCTCCACCCCATATTCCCTTCTTGACAACAAGTCTACCTTCCTCGAATCTGGCCTTCACTCATCCAGACAGGTAGTATATAAGCCTTCTTGTGATCCACTTCCTCTCTCTCTTCTGCATACCACTCCAGACCCTGTCTTCTACTGCTACATTCCGCTTTTACTCCATAGCATCATGGATAACACAGACGTTATCGAAAGCATACGCGTGACTGACTTTGAGGGCGAAGAGTGGCCTTGCTTCGTCTTCCCTGATCACTCTGTGCCTCCTGGCGCAATCGAGCCCAAGCCCAATCAGCATGCTCTACCAGTACTCGTTCTCCAGAGACACCACTTCGAATGGCGCAGCCCCGATGCGACTCATGATTTCGACCCTTGCCAGACGAGAGAATTTGTCGCCTCTCGTGCCGACAAAGACCGCGAGCAGGCCTTTGAAGAGGCTATGCAGTTCTACAGCATGAAACACTATCACGAAGTGGCCTGGCAGAAGCAAGCCGCAAAGGACATGGCCATCGTTCTGGACAGTGACGAAGACGTCAGCATCATTTCGGTGACCAAGAAGAAACGACCCTATTCAGCAGTCTTCAAACGCCCTGGTCTACCATCTCCTGACCCGACTCCCAGAAAGAAAGGCAAACCATCACCTAAAGCCACTCCCGCACTTCCATTCGAAGAAGAAGACGACGAAATCGATCTCCCCGACCCATCAACCTTTACACCCACCAGAAGACAAGACCTTAAGCTGGCCCCACCTAAGTGGAAGCCAAGCGGCAAGCTGCCCAAGGTCGCCCGAGATGACTATGTCACAAGAAAGCAGCTCGAGTTGCTCATGATGAAGAAGGGAGACGGCAAGTCTGCCACGCCTGAGAAGGCCAAAGCTCTTGAGCCGGTCAAAGAGTATGCCCCCGAATTCTTCCTTTCGGAGACTATGTACTGACCTGCACGCAGTCCCCTCAAGGTCAACATCTACGTCAGCGACGAGAACAAGCTCTTTGTTCTAGACCGAGCTCTCATCCAAAAGTACCCTTCATTCAAAAAGCACATTACTGGAGATAACAAGGACGGCTTCGAAATCCGCAATGCAACCTTCAAGAAGTTCAAACTTGCAGCATTCGAGTCTCTGGTGTCTTGGCTCAGAACTGCCGACTACGCTCCTCGCTTGATCGAAGGCAAACACCCCCACCTCGAAAGCGTCAAGAGCGTCAGACAATTCGAAGATACTGCTGAAGAGGCAAGCGTCCTCTGGGAAGTCGCTCACAAACTTGAGCTCACCGATCTGCAAGAGCTCATCTACCGCAAGATCGAGGTCCAGACGCCTTTGGCCCCAAAGTCACTGCTCATGTTCACTCGCATGATATTCTGGAATTCACCTACCGACGCTGAAATCGATGACAAGATGCGCCGGATGCTGCAACGGGAAATCGCCGCTCGCTGGCATGAGCTCATTGACGAAGAGAATATGATTCTTAATCGTTTGATCAAGTCAAATGTTGAGCTGGCCAACTTCATCTATACATATCAACTCGAGCATCCTTACGAGGCATCTGCTGAGCACGTTCCAGAGAGTGACGAGGATGATGCTGAGGATGATGACGATGAATGATAGCACGAGGATTCAAAAGGTATTATTGCATTGGAGGAAGAGAGCATGAGGCAGGCCGCGTCGATACCCGGATCTCGAACAACGAGGAGACCGGGTCGTGGATAACAAGGACAGATGATAATCAGATAATGAGGATAATTGACTTGGCAAATTCAAGCAATCTTCAAAGAATCACTGGGCTCTCACTGGACAGTGTCCTGCTTCCGATTGTGCTGTGCATTTTTATAGATAATTTTCCTACAGTCAACCAGCATTGAGCAAGAATATGAGCTCCCACTGTACATCACAAGTAGACAACAGTCCATCATGCATGTTGATAGCTTCTCTATGATGCTGTCATGGCCAGCCTGAGAAGATCAACAAGCACGGATGGTGATCGTTCCGTCGGTTCCTGACGATGACTGCACGTCGGGTCCTCCTTACACAGCCACAACACAACCGTTTCGGTAAAAGATGCACGATGACATGCATCCACTGCTGGGGCATCTTTTTGCTCAAATCGCTCGTGCACAGCAAACAAAATACAGCGCTTGTCGCGGGAATTCTCAACAATGATTCAAGCAAGAGACAACTACCGTGCAGAAGAAGACACAGCAAATTCCCCTGGTACCTTGCACGAAAGCAAACGGGTGTGCAGTAGATATCTCAAGTGTCGCGTGTCGCGTGCAGTCGTCGTCGTCGTTTAGCACTGGAGACTTTTTTTTTGCCCTTGCATGGACGAAAAGTAAATACCTTTTTACTCCGAACCAATCGGCAAGCACGAAAACGCCTGATATGCAAGCCAAGCGCTGAAAAAGCAGACACTTGCGAAAAGAAATAGACAAAGATGGAAGGAGGATCCCTTGGGATCTTTCAGACTTCAAGCCATGCGGTGGTCTCATGGAGTTCAGCGCGGCTAGAGACACCTGAACGGGGTGGAGGGTTTGGTGTTCGTTTTACGGTTGTGGGATGTTGGGGAGGGTTGCTTTTTATAGATTGATGGGAGGAGTTGGGGCGCCTACCGCCGAGAGTTGATACGAGACGCGTGTGGTTTTGTTATCGAGCAGAATTGTGTTTACAGTGAGGATGAAAAATGTCTAGCTATCTGATTTGCATGGTCTTTGATGCGTGGAAGAGTATGAGACCTGACTGATGGTTGTATCAAACAACAGCTGCCTTCAGGACACGTTGTCGCAGAAGCATGCTTCTCACACAAAAGTCAAAAGCAGATAGACGGCATGCGTTGGATAACAAAGCGGAATGCGGCTGATACGTGTATCAGCAGCCGCTAAGAAACCGCGCGTCAGCGAAAATGATGGATGGCTCAAGGTTCGTCATGGTCGTGGAGAGAAGGGTCTTGGAGATCTGGAACGGATGATGACCTCGCTGGCGGCCCTGGAGCCTTGGGCAGGTGCTTTTGTTCCTGTTCCTGGTTTTTGATTCAAACCTTCCGACCTTACACACGCACAATCACAGTCAAATTGTCGTGTCTGTATCTCTTTGTCCTACTCGACCGAGCGCTGTCTTCAATCGTTTCAGACTCGCCGCGGCCTTAAGCTTCGATACATCCGCCCCTCGACCATCGCTCTATTTTCTCCTGCGCTTGCATACACTAGCTATTGTTTTGATGCTGCAAGCCACCTGCGTTTGGTCACCGGCGCACATCCTTTCCTGAGCATCTATCACCATCCCACCCGGCCGCCATGGACGTGCCGACGAGGACTCTCAACCTGCTTGCTCGGCAAGGGTCACAAACGAAGCCCGTCGATGTCTTTGCTTCGCTAATCTCAAATCCTTTCGCACAATCGGCAAGTNCCTCCAGGATCATCGGCTCCAGTCTTGTGTATAGCTAACACGTTTACGTGCAGATCGAGAAGAACGCCTTCTGGTCTGCCTTGGGCACTTCAATCGGTGGTTCTCTCTTAATCGCCTGTCTTTTCTGCTTCGTCCGCCCATACAACAGCGTCGTCTACGCTCCTCGCTCACGACATGCCGACTCCAAACACGCCCCACCGCCGGTCGGCAAGGGTGTACTCGATTGGGTCGCACCCGTCCTCAGGACAAAAGAGCTGGAACTGGTCGAGAAGGTTGGACTCGATGCCACTATCTTCCTACGCTTCGCAAACATGTGCCGAAACATTTTTCTCTGCATCACCGTTGTGGGCCTGGCCATTTTCGTCCCCATCAACCTGTACGAGCATCGTAGCTCTCTCGGCAGCGTCCACACAGACAACTTCTTCACCCAGTTGACGTCTCAGGGCGTTCAGGGTAAATACCTGTGGGGCTACGTCCTGCTCGCCTGGTTCGCAAACTTGACTATCGCCTTCTTCCTCTGGCGCAACTACAAGAGCGTTGCCAGACTGCGCAGAGCTTATTTCGACAGCCCAGAATATCAGAAGAGTCTGCATTCTCGAACTTTGCTTGTCACCGAGATCCCGAGAGGTCTTCGAACCGACGAAGGACTCGTCAAGATCGTCACCGAAGCCAAAGACACCGGCTCGAATCCGCGTACTGCTATTGCTCGCAACGTCAAAGATCTACCAGAACTCATCGATGAGCACAACGAGACGGTCAGAAACCTCGAGCAGGTGCTCGCCAAGTACCTCGCAAATCCTAACAAGCTGCCGGCAAAGCGACCAACATGTTCAGTGAACAAATCCGATCAGACCTACCGCAAGGGTCAGAAAGTCGATGCTATCGAATACTTGACTGCGCGTATCAAGGAGCTCGAGATTCAGATCAAGGAGGTTAGGGAATCCATTGACAAGAGAAATGCCATGTCATATGGATTCGCCAGTTATGAATCAATCGCCGATGCTCATACTGTTGCATACAAGACACGCAAGAAGGGCCCACAGAAGACATCGATCCGTCTGGCACCTAGGCCGCACGATCTCATTTGGAAGAACTTGCCCATGACAAACAAGCAGCGAAACTGGCAGACCTTTATCAACAACATCTGGGTCGCTGTTTTGACTGTTGTTTGGATTGTCCCGAACGCTCTCATTGCCGTTTTCCTTTCCAATTTGGGCAATTTGGCAAAACTGTGGCCTGCTTTTAACACCAACCTTCAGAACAACCCGAAGACATGGGCTGTCGTTCAAGGTGTGGCAGCACCTGCTCTCACGTCTCTCTTCTACTACTTCCTGCCCGCCATCTTCCGAAGATTGAGCAACAACGCGGGTGATCTGTCAAAGACCAGCAGAGAACGCCATGTCATGCACAAGCTCTACACTTTCTTCGTTTTCAATAACCTTTTCCTGTTCTCGCTTTTCGCTGCCATCTCGGGCTATGTCCGTGCCGTCATCGACAGCAGTGAGCAAGAAGACGCTTGGTCCGCCATCAAGGATGGCCAATTGCTGCAGAAGGGTATTACAGCTCTCAACTCGGTCTCGACCTACTGGATCACCTGGCTTCTTCAACGTAATCTCGGTGCCGCTGTTGATCTTGCTCAGTTTGTCAACCTAGCCTGGGGCTCGTTCTCTCGTCACTTCCTACATCCCACACCCCGCGAGCTAATCGAGTTGAGCGCGCCACCAACATTTGATTATGCTGGATACTACAACTACTTCTTATTCTACTCGACTGTTGCCTTGTGTTTCTCATACATCCAGCCACTAGTACTGCCTGTCACGGCTTTCTACTTCTGGGTTGATTCGTATCTGAAGAAGTATCTGCTCATGTACGTCTTCATCACCAAGACAGAATCCGGAGGTCAGTTCTGGAAGGTCTTGTTCAACCGATACGTGTTCCTCACCATTCTCTCCGACGCTTTGGTGGCTTTGGTCTGCGTAGGTAACACCACCTTTGGCTATACTGAATGGTTGCCCAAGGTCTGCGCTCTGGCTCCCTTGCCGATTCTCATGTTGGCCTTTAAGTGGTGGTGCGCTTCGCACTTCGACAACAAGTTGACCTTCTACACAACAGGAGTTACAGCAGCGGACACGGAGAATGCAGCAGAGTTGAAGGCCAAGCGCACAGACCGTGTTGGCGTCCGCTTTGGTCATCCTGTGCTTTACAAGCCCCTCATCACACCCATGGTCTCGGCGAAATCGAGGCATCTGCTGCCGACTATTTACTCTGGTCGTACTGCAGAGGTAGACGTCCCAATGGCAGGGTACTCGGATGTATACATGGATGCCATGGCGCACGACGAGCCTGGTAAGACGGCTAAGGGTGAGGCACCGGCACCCTTCGAGTTTGTGTCCGAGAACCAGATGGACTTCGAGTTCTATAAGAACCGACCCGAGTTCAGAGACGTGGCAGGTGGTGAGGGAGAACTTTACGGGAGACCTCAAGACCAGGTCCGTAGGGGATCGCATGGCACTCTGATGACACAAGACGGCACTGTCATGACGGATTACGACAGCCGCAGAGGGTCGAGTGATTCTGCAGCCACAAGGACGGGTGATGAGATGGGCACGACTTATCCTCAGGGATACCACAAGACACCGACGGCACTGCGCGATAACAGTCCTGCCAGTAGTGTACGCTCGATGGATATCGGTAATGCCGATCGCCGTTACGATAACGAACACCTCTTGTCGGGAGCAGCAGGCATGGGAAGGGGCGGAGTGCCAGCACCGACTCCTGGAGGTTACGGGCCTCTCCGTCTGGGAGAGATTCACACGCCTGTCGAAAGCGACCAGGAAGAGAACACGAGTTATGATTATTTCCGAAGGGGGAGAGGGCTCAATTGAGCAGTGTAGGATACAAAAATTCACGCATAGATTGGGTAAAGGGGTTTTGCATCTGGGAGGAATAACTCTAATGGATTGGTTCAATAGACATGGTATAGGGAACGTCATCTCGCGAACGTGTTGGCTTGAATGCATAAGATTCTGAACGAGTTGGCTTGTGATGACAGCACGGGACATGGATGGCGCGACCCCGGACTTTTTGATCAGGCACGAGGACGTCAGTCGCGTCTTCCCTTCTCTCGCTCGGCGGCCACCAAACATTTCTATCGCATGCCTGGTAGCCGGTCTGGGAGGAGTCTTTGGCGGGCATGTCATTAATAATCTATGTCGCGCACTCGGGCAACAAAGTCGTCGCCGAGCCGGCAAAGGTCAACAGCCTGGAAAGCCTCCGAGCATGGGTCCACCGCACCGCCCACATCCCCGTCAATAAACAGGTCTTCCTGACAAACAAGGGCAAGGCCGTACGCCCGCAGACGCTGCTCACCGAGCCCGAAATCTACGTCTTTGACTCGTCCTCGTTCTCGCCGACCAACACCAGTCTCTCGCTCATCCCGGATCCGTCTCCTCTGAGCCCTGACACTCCGCCCGACTCTATCGCCAATCATGACCAGCTTCCATCATGGAACGACTTGTTTCGCCGTCGCCTGGACTGGGCAAGAGCTCTGCGCGATCAGTACGCCGACTGGGTTGACAGCACACAGCGATATCATCAAGAGCAGGCCATCATCGAACAGAGCGTCAACGTCGCCGTCATGAGCCTGCACCTTCACATTCGCTCGACCGAGCAGAGATATCACAACGAGGAAGAGTGGGTGGACAAACTGCTTAAGCAGCAGGAGGCACATGTCGACAGCTGGGAAAGAGACCTTGATATCCTCCACCACATTCCCGCCAACCCAGACTTTGCTCGCTACATCCAGTCCCAGACTGCTGTGTCTTTGCAGCAATCTGGACATGACTCTGGTGTCACGTTACAGCAATTCGTTCAGGTCGACCACGTCAAACAGGCCGCATCATCTGCTCAGAACATCATGACCAATTTCGCACAAAGGGTTCACAACATTCAACAGTCACTAGACACAACCGCGAAAGATAGCGAGGCTCTCCTTGACGCCGTCCAGACTGTTAGTCTTAGTCGAGTCGACAACACGGACGAGCCAGCAAAGCTCCTCGAAGAGGTCGATATCATCGTAAACAAAATGTCCAACGACTTGGAACACGTGGGGTCTTTGACAAATAACGCCCAGAATGCCGCGAGAGCTTCTAAAATGGCTCTCCTACATACTCGGAACTATCTTCCTAATCTCGACGGTTTGTGTCTTGAGCTCAACTCACTGGTTCGTCAAACGGTCCAACAACGTAACAATGCCGCTCAAAACTTTTTACACCACATGCAGACTCTGTCTAGCATCGAGTCTCGTCTGGCCCAGGTACACTCAAGTCTGAAGAATTTGAACATGTCGCAAAGCGACGAACAAGTCTTTGACACGCTCAACATCTTGTCTAAGCTCCCATTCGTCTATGGCTCTCTCATGATTGAGGCTGTGCGTCGTCGTGAGTGGGCTGACAAGATGAAATCTGACTCTGCCACTCTCGCCGAAGAAATGGCTACCTATCAGGAAGAGGAAGAGCGCCGTCGGACCAAATGGCTCAAGTCTGTCGATGATGTCGTCAAGACTGAAGTCTTTGAAGGGAAGCCTTTGAGCGTCGAAGTGAACCTTCAAGCAGACGATCTCGAATGGCCTATCGTGCAGAGACAGCATTTGCACGAGTACATCCAGATCTTAACCGAACTGGAACTGCCTAAGTCTGTCACGCAAACTCTATCAACTGCTCTCAAGGATTTGGACCGTCCTACCAAGAAGCAGATCAAGCATGCCAAGACGTTCAAGAATGGCAGTATGCACGAAGCTGCTTTTGGAACCACTTCCCTTATGCTTCGTGGCGAGGACGAGTACAAGGTTCTCAGAGAAGCAAACATTAAGCTCGAGGAAGAGTTGAAAGGACAGAAGAGTCGAGTTCGGAGACTGGAAGATATCCTCCACCGTCATGCTCACATGAACCGCGTTACGACGGGCGATAGTTTCAGGCCCTCGATCGAACTGGTTTCTGACATGGTCAGCCCGACGCCGCCATCACCAAGGCCTTCAGAGGAACTAGTCAGGCAGACTGTCGGCTCTAGACGTCCCTCTTCAAGCCTAGCTGTAGAAGAGGGTAAACTCGCAAAACGCATAGTATCGCTCGAAGCCGAACTTCACGCTGCCAAAGAGCATTCTTCACATCTTGAAAAGGATGCCGAGAACAGAAAGCAGAAGGATGTTGATGATCGACGCGAGATTGAAGAAGCTGTTTCCACGAAAAAGGATATAATGCAGAACATGGAAGCACAGCAGAGAGAGTTCGCAGATGAGCGCAGGGTCTTGGAGCAAGACTTGGACCAGGCACGACACAGGATTGAGGAGCTCGAAGACGAGATCGACAGGCTGTTGGGTAGTCGCGATCAGGAAGTTTCTGGTATTGATGCTAGAGCCAAAACACTCGAAGCTGAGATTGCAAAGATGAAGCAGTCTGCGGAGGAAGCACGGCTGAAGCACCATACTGATTTCGAAGAAACTCGGTCTTCGCTGCGGAAACAGCAGGAAGAGAACCAACGCCTGAAGGAGCAACTGCAAGTCCTTAGAAAGAGTCAAGAAGAACAGCAACAGTACGAATCGGATAACTTCCGAGTTCTTAAAGAGACTCACAAGCATTTGTCGCCCACCAGCTCACCTCCAGAGAAGTTCATGGATCTGGTCCCTGCCTTAGAGGGTCTTGCACAGAAGTCTGCGGATCATGTCAGAGAGTTGAATGATGCCATTGCACTTGCGAGATCCGAGACCGNNAGTCTCTACGATCACAGAGTAGCACTCAGAGGACTGAGCTCAAAGCAGTCAAGGCGAAGCAGGCTGTCAACGAGACTGAGCTCATTCGCTTGCAAGATGAGATGGAGGCAGAGAAGGCGCACGCTGAATCGCTGGCGGCATGTCTCGAAGACGAACGCGAGCAGTTGCGCAAGCTTCGCTCAAAGTTCGCCGACGGAGAAACAGGTGCGGATGTGCTTCGCCAGCGTGTCACGGAGGAGGAGGATAGAGTCATCCAACTCTCAGAACAGCTCTCTGATGCACAGACTCATGCTGCTAGTCTCGACGTTGAGATCATGCGAGTACAGAAACAGCTCAACGATGCAAAATCTACAGCTGCTTCTGTTGAGGAACAACTCAGGCAGCGCGGCACTCGTGCCAGGGAGATTGCACAACNGTCTTTATTCTCAGAACGCACGTCTCTTACGTCTGCTCGAAGCCTTGGGCTTTGTCGTTGCTCATAAGGATGGCAACATGATCATCGAGCGGGCCTCCAAGGTCACCGCTAGTACTACCTTCGACCCCACATCAAGTCTTACTCGTGCGATATCGATGTCTTCACCCCCTCCGACGCGCAAAACGTCTACCGTATCCGATGATTCTTCATCTCTTGCTTTCCTGCACTGGTCCGAAGCCACCGATGTGGCTGAAGAAGAATCGCAATATGCCGACTATCTGAATCATATTTCCTTGTTCAGCACCGACATCTTCAGCGAAGCTATCAGCAAACGCCTCCGTGACTTCGAATACACGGCTCGGAAGTGGCAGAAGGAAGCGCGTGGATACAAAGAGAAGAATATGCGTTTACAAGCCGAGTCTTCAGCCAAGATCGCGGTTAGAGACTTTAGAGAAGGCGACCTCGCCTTGTTCTTGCCAACTAAAGGCCAGCGAACCGGCGCATGGGCCGCCTTTAACATCAACGCACCACACCACTTCTTGCGGGAGCGTGAAGGTATGGTTCTGAACCGCCGTGAGTGGCTTGTCGCTCGCATCTCGAAGATTGAGGAGCGCGTTGTCGACTTGTCGAAACCAGCTGCATCGTTTGATGGTCGCAGCATTGGTTCAACGAGCGTGGACGCTGCTTCTCTAGACGAGATGAATGACAACCCTTTCGATCTGTCTGATGGATTAACATGGTATCTGGTGCATGCATCCGAAGACAAGCCTGGCGCTCCTACCACTCCAGGCCTAGGCAAGAGCACCGTCGCCAGCTCATCCGTAGACGCTAGAGGCAGTATACGCATGAAAAAGCAGAGCGACCTCAGCGAAGCAGCAAAGACACTCAACAAGAGTCTAGACAGCCGACGCAGCAGCTCGAACTCTAAAAAAGGACTTACAGCAGGCTTCTTGGGTGAATCTGTGAGAAGGGGAGAAAGTGGAAATGGCGTTGTGGACGAGTCTTTGAGGAGGAAGGCAAGTGAGAGAGGCTTGGGCATTGACTCCTCGGCCGCCACCGCCGCTACTTCGCCACAGGACTTGTCGTCGTCGCAACAGCAGCAGCAATCTCAGGTGCGCAAAGATCTTCTCTGGGGCCCGTGAGACTTTTTTGCATACGCACTACACTATCACTATACTTCATGCACAATTCACTACACTATTGTTTTTCTCTCTTCCTCCTTCTCTCATCACTCGTCTCTCCGTCTCTCAGTCTCGTGATCTACGTGCTGACAATCATGTGTGACAAAGTCCTTCTTCATCTCCCCATCCAACCGCATAGCCATACCACCTCCACCATCCGCCCGACCATCGGCGTCTCTACCTCGTTCACTCAGTCCGTCGAAAAGCATACGCTCGCTAGCCCAGCATTTACAAGGTCCCACCATGTCTGTATCGCCGACCAAAGGCTCGCCGTCTAAAAGTAGAACCGAAATATCGCCCAGAAAGAAATCAGCCGACGATACCGGCGACCAAGGAGGCGAGGGCAGTGGTAAAAAGAATAAAAAGGGGTTATGGAATCTTTTCAATGCCGAGTATGAGATTTGAGATTTGAGATTCAGGGGGTTGAGTAATGCCAAGTTGGAGATGTGTAAGACTAGGGAAGGGAGAAGACGGTTAGGACATGCGTGGTTTTCCAGGATGCAAGAGGCGAGATGTACTGAGCGTGGAGGAATGTACGATAGGATAGCGTAGCTGCACTCTCTCTTTGCCAGACCTAGGAAATTGCGAGGCTTCTGTTCCTGTGTCTTGCATTGTCCCTTGGTTCTCCATGTGTAGGTCTGAACGATCTGGAGAGAGGAGCTATGGCTTACTGTCAGCAATGTCATGGAATCCATCCATGTACGGAAAGGCGACTTCTGTGAAAACACGGCAAGAGCAATCCTCTTGTGACTTTCCTCGAGGTAACAAGTACATATGCTACTTTTTCTAGTAACACATGAGCAAGAAAGCGAACAGAAGTAAGAGGCACCTTAATCAAGATGAAGCGAAGAAGGATCAAGAGAACAGTTCGAAACGAAAAGAAAAGAAAAAAAGGAAAAAAAAGGCACTCGCAACTTTGCCAACCTGACCGAGGAGAAATCAAGAAACGCAAGAAAGAGGAAAGGAAATAAAGGGGCAGTCGCGACTTCTTTCCACTTATTCGTTGCGGTTTGGGCAAGCACGGCAGTGGGCTGAGCTTATCTTGCATTCTTGCACCACAATAACCCAATTATTCGACCCTACCAAAGAGAGCACAGTACCTTCCTTTTCGAAAAGTACAAATTTCCCAAACGATGAAGAAAAGGGTCGAAGACCTCGGGATGGCCCTTCCCGACGCGCCCCAAGGCCAATTAGATCCACAGTGGTAATTGTCTAACGGAAGCAAGAGAATCTGAACAGCAGACTCATGCTGCTAGATTCTTTCTTCTGGACCAGCTCGACCATTGTCGTTTCGAACTCGAGGATTTGAGCGTCAATGGCGTTTTTATGCTTGGCCAACAGGATGTTGATATTCTCAAGTGTGTCGAGAAGGGTGGTGAGCGAGGTGACAAACAGGGCAAGCTCTGACTTCTCTTTGTCCAGACCATCGGTTTGAGAGACGTAGACGTCTTTGTCGCAGCCTTGGACGTCCATAGCATGCTTGAGACTGAGCTCCCTTTCTGCAAGGAGGAAGTCGTTGGAGTATGCGCTTTCCTTGAGGAAACACACAGATTTTGTTATCACGTTGTTGTTGGAGCCAAGGACAAATTTGCTCGCACTGGCTAGCTGATCACTTTGTTGATCGAGAGTACGAAGCTGCTCGGTCGCTCTCTGGTGCAGATAGCGGAGGCGTTGGTTACTTCCTGCCACGTCATTGAGGAGTGAGGCAAGGCATTCTGCTTTGGCATTGGCAATCTTGACATCGGCGAGTAAAGTGTTGGTTTGGTCAATCGCAATCTGGAGGGAGCTGCACAATTTCCATCTGCGGGCTTGCTGGTCTGCGAGGAGGTGGGCTTGCCATGCGGCTTCTGCGGCGGAGATTGTGCAGTGTGTCTGGATTTCGTTCTGTTGCTTGCTTTCGACTTCTGCGGTTCCCAAGAGAGACTGGCTTGATTCGGATGCGCTGGCGGTTACTCCAAACTTGCAAGAGTTGTCGGAGTCGAGACACTGGACTTGATCCTCCGCCTGAGGGAGGTGAGGCAAGGTCTTCTCTGTGCTGCGCTGATATAGTGTGTCGCAGGATCTGACACGCGGCATTCTGGTGAGTCCTGGTGATGTGCTTTTGTGTCCAGGACTTTCGTGGATGGTGATCAGGGCGGAATGCGTCAGACTAATGTGACGCGGTCTTGGTGATTCAGGACAGCTAGTTGCCCTGATGGGGATGCGCTTGGAGCAGTCAGTGTTTGAATAGGGCCGTGGTGTGTGTGAATGTTTCTTACACTCTTGGCTGACGACAGATGCGCCATGGTTGACGCTGGTTGCTCCGAGGATGGGGCGACAGAGAAAATTGCACCGCAGCGATGTACGAGATGATCTGTAACACAATCACTCTTGATGGCGTTGGTGATAGAATACAGAATAAGGTCGGCTGGGTCGTGGGCCGATACCTTGATACTGCGAGCACGTGGATCAATGTTGTGATGTGTAGGATTAGAAAACAAAAGAATCCAGGAGACGCGTCCGGCTTTGTTGATATCTACGACGATGACGGAAAATTCGTCCTCGGCAGAACCGGGCGAGCAGGCAACCAGACAAACAGTGACTTTTCATCCGGAGTGGCATCTCTATATAGATTGCAAGGACTGGAGAAGCTATAGGAAGAGAGGTAAGGTGATGAGAGGAGATTCAAGTGACCTTAGTCTGCCTGAAGTGAGCTCTTGGTGAGGATAGATCGTCATATAGGGGCTTGCCTTAGTCGATGTACTCATGTATAGCTTCATATGTGTACTGTGACGGAAGCTTACTGGGTAGGCTGCTAGACGTCATCACTTCGTTGACCATGTTGGGAAATACGATCAGGGGGGTCGGAGCAGGGCCAGCAACCGGTAGGAATTGGAGAAATATCGTTTACGGAGGAGAGGCGCATATGTAGTATATAAGAGACAGTGTTTGCTACACGCAGTAAGAACACATGGAAAGAAGAATGGAACTCACCGTCTCCTGAATGCTACAGAAACACACCAAGGTCTGTAGTCAACAAGCATGACATATCAATAACAAAGACATTTTGAAAGTGAAAACAAAGGGACTATATAGTGTAAAAAGTTGCTCACCTCACATCGCTTCTATAAGTCCAGACGGTAGTCTGGCTGAAGGGAGATCCCCGATCCTCTGTACAGGAAGTAATTTACCGCTAATTGCAATGATTGTATACGCCGGGAGTAGTAGCGTCGGAGAATCTACTTTTGCTTCTTGAAAGGTGGTGGGTTCGACTCTTGGCATGACCCCTTTTTGTCTGCTCTTTTGCTTTGTGTGTTTGTCTTGTTGATGAACATGATTAACGAGACTCTGTTAGCATCACCCCGTGGCGCACAGTCTCCAGTGTCACGATGCAGCAGCCCGTCCTAGCATGGGTTGGATCTAGGAGAAGTCTGTGATAGCCCACATGCCCTTCAAAGTGCCCTGTCGTTCGCGGTCATCTCATATCCAGGGGGCAGTTTTCCATGTCGAGGCATATGTAGCATAGGACTGTCATATGCAGGAGACTGAAGAACCAACAATCGTCAAGGTCTACAAAGCTCAATGTAGCATGACTTGATCCCTTAATCCCATGGCACAACTTCGGCAGGTTCCTGTTGGTCGGCGTGTGTTGAGCTTCCAAGAGTTGAGTTTGTGTCAGTTTGCTATACAGACGCACAGACAATTTGACGCCGAGCAATAACACCGCTGCGCCGTACATCAGAACACAAGAAAAAGTCATTCACCTCCTCAAAAATGGCATCATCATCTTCATCAAACCCCTGCTGGTCAGATCAGGTCTATGAAGCATTCGATATGCTCAGCAGCGGCAACCATCAAGGCGCCATCTCAGCATTGCACACGCTCCGCCGCGATTCGAGACTTCCTCGTTTCTGGCGCATCCAAGTACTAGCTCTCCTTGCAAATGCAGTCGAAGACTGGAATGAGGCTGAGGTAAGATCTTCTCGTCGAGTCCAGGCAGCGTAGTGCTGACTATCGTAGACTTACCAACAGGCAGCCGAGATGCTGTACAAGTCCACTCGCATCATATTCCCACCAGGATGTGATGAGGGCGTAGACGCAGCCTTGTACAGAAACCGTCTCCTCCTCGACCAGCTCGTTGTCGAGCTAGACAACACCATGCCCGACGACATTAGAGCTTCGAGAGAGCAGGTCGAGGAGGAGGAGGAGCAAGACACCGAGGAGGAAGAGAGAGAATGGCGACTCCGAGGACAACGACGATGATGATGACCACGATTCTGACAATGGTCATGAGGAAGTTTGGAGAAGCCAGGAATAGCGGAGGAGAGGGCCGCAGGGGAGGAGGCCAGCCACGAGATAGAACCCGGCAATTAAAATCCGAGTCTCCAGTGGTAACTTGTGTGCTTGTGATACCATGATATACTGCACGATGAGTAGCTTGTGTGTGAGGAGGCCCCAAGAGAATATGACCTTCGTCAAACGGGTCGATGTTCTCAATGAGCACTTTGGTGGGCATTATCGGTGTCTGAAATATACTGTGCATCTCCATAGCTGATGTTCCTCTGACCGTGCCCAGAGAGAGCTCTGAAAATCGTCAGCTCTCAGTGGACGCTACTGTTCCTCAGTAAAGTACTGTGCATTTTGATAGCCGTTTATCCTCTAATCGTGTCCAGAGAGAGCTGATGATGCGAAGAACTTTCGATGGACATCACTCGGTCTCCGTAAAGTATTGTGCATTTTTATAGCTATCTTTCGATCAGGATGGTAGCAAGGAGAGCAAAGGGGAATCTCTCATGGAGTGTCTCAACAAGCGGAAGTCTACTTTTACCGAGATTGTGCCGTGATGCTAAGGTGTAATATTGTCAAGTGTCTGGCAAGTTCGCATCCAACAGCCACAGAAAGCTCAGCTTTCACATCTTCCGTGGCGCAATTGGCTAGCGCGTTCGACTGTTAGATTTGATCTGATCAAATCGGCTATCGAGAGGTTGACAGTTCAAGCCTGTCCGGGAGAGCTTTATTTTTGCTGTTTGCCAACAACATCAATACGACAAATAAACTGCTACGGTAGGTATTCTTTTGATCGATGTAACTATGGGTACACACATGTGTTCTGTCAAGATTTGGCTGCGTGAGGGTCGAAAGTGCAAAACTGACTTCACGTCTCCCCCGCACTTGACGAGGTTGCATTTCTCCTCGTATGCAGCAACAGCAGGAACGACGATCTTCTACATTGGCATTGGCACCCTACAACGAACGATCAATTTATCCGTGTCCATCATGCCTATTTGCCTTGCTTTCTCTGACGGAAGAATGCACACCGGGGGCATATGTCTATCAAGAGGGGTAACTTCCTATTGCCATCCACTTACAGAAGGCGACTACTCGTCTATGCCTTTGTCGCCTAGTGTTTCTAACGAGAGAGATCGTCGAGGGTATGCGTGATGCATACACATACACGAGCGTGAGTACGATGAAGTAATGGGTAGGTCTTACGGACCTTTCTTGTCCATGTATAAATATCACGAGCCCCTCTGCTATACTCTCACAGCTCATCGGTGTTATCTCCGCAATGCATTTCCCTACTCTTCTACTACCTATCTTGGGTGCTCTTGCCCAAGCCAGCCCCATCATTTCACGAGCATCATCATGGCCAAACGCACCCTTTACCACTTCCGGCCGCGACATGAAGAACAGCCTTGGTGAAACAGTCGTCTATGCTGGTGTCAACTGGCCAGGTGCTGCAGACGTCATGATCCCTGAGGGTTTACAATACCAATCCATCAGCACAATCGTGTCAAAGATCAAGGACCTCGGCATGAACGTAATCAGACTCACCTATGCAATCGAAATGGTCGACGACATCTATGAAGGCGTAGACAGCAGTCTCAAAGCAGCATTCATCCAAGCACTAGGAGAAACAAATGGAACCAAAGTCTTGGACCAAGTACTGTCCAGTAACCCAAGCTTTTCTGAGACTACCACTCGCCTGGAGGTAAGTAGTATCCAAGACTATATACCATATACCTCCATCTCTAACTCTACCTTCAACCAAACAGNNGTCTTCGACGCCATCGCCGCCGAAGCAAACACCCAACAAATCTACATCCACCTCGACAACCACGTCTCAAAGGGCGAATGGTGCTGCAGCCACACCGACGGCAACGCCTGGTTCGGCGACACCTACTTCAATGTCGCAAACTGGAAACGCGGGCTCGCCTTTATGGCTTCCCACGCCTCTTCCTGGCCAGCGTTTACCTCCATGTCTCTACGCAACGAACTCCGCACCACCGAAAACGGCACGGGCGATGATTGGGTCAGTTGGTATGAAAACATGATTCCGGCTGCCGATGGGATTTACGCTGCCAACACATTGCCATTGATTTTCTTCTCGGGGTTGAATTATGATACGCAGTTGGGCACCATAGTCAATGGCCAAGACATTGGCAATGGAACTTCGTTTTCGCTGTACAATCACGCATACGCAGATAAAATCGTCTGGGAACTGCACAATTATGCCAACAGCGCGACAAACTGCGGCGATATCGAGGGTAGTCTGAGGAATCAGGGGTACAATGCTATGGAAGGCGATACTGCTGCTGTCAATACGGCTCCAGTGGTGCTGACAGAATTCGGCTTCGATCAGAATTCTGGCACGCAAAGTGTTTATGCGCAGTGCCTGAAGGAGTACCTGACTGCTTTGCCTGGTGGTCCCGGTGGCTGGATGCAGTGGGTCTTGTCTGGAAGCTACTACATCCGTGAGGGTGGTCAAGACAAGGACGAGACCTGGGGACTATTGAACCACGACTGGTCTGACTGGCGCAACCAGACCGCAACCGACTACACGAAGAGTTTCGTAAAAGAGACTCTTGCATGAACTTGAAGCAATAACGTACATCACAGTATGATAGACTGGCAACTTGATTTTGAAATTCTTCCATTCTGATCGCAATAGTCCATCTAGACAGAGAATTTTTTTGAGCGAAAAGAAAAAGAGAACAAAATAGCTATCTGTGCAAGATTCCGTCTGGAAGACCAAAGGGAAAAGAAGCAACAAGATGCTAAAGATTGATGGGCGAACGCAAAAAGCGAAGAAAACAGGTCGAGCACTGAATGTGTCGACATAAAACAAATTGCTGTTTGAGGTATCTGTGAGTTGCAAAAAAGCCAAACCTGGCGCCGAAGCAATAAGAAGAACGATAAAAAGCAAGGAAGAAGAACAGAAACGGCTGAGCGATAAGACGAAACTCGAACAATATACTCAAAACACTGCAAAGCATGCAAACGCCTGCCATAAGTCTATCGCGTCTTGAAGAAGCAGGATGTATAAGACGATTGGTTTGTTGCTTTGGGGCTTGAGTTGTTGCTTTTGAGGCGCATGACGCGCGAAAAAGACTCCAGTACTCCAAGGTATAATACCTGCTGTTTTTTTCATAAGTCGTGTTGACGTGTGTGAGTCATGTTGCTTGTATTGTGATCAGCGACGGCTGAAGCCGCCTCTGATGGGTCCCTTCTTCTTGAAAGGAGGGCTCTTGGTTAGAGGGCTTGTGGTAGTCATGGGAGAGTTGCGAGCTCCGACACCCTTTGCCTTCTTTTTTNNTCTCAAAGGTGTGATGGGTGTGTTGGCTGCAGCACGACGACCTGTCTGCATGGCGTTTGTCTCGGACATGGAAGCTCTGAGAGCAGGATGCGAGGGCAGAGAACCAACGGCTTTGGCGAAGTGTTGGTTGCGGCGGAAAGAGCCGACGACGCCGTGACGATCGAGATGGGCGAGCAGATCAAAGCCGCCAGGTTGAGATGACGTAGTGTTGGTGACTTGAGAAGAGAAAGACTGGGTGGTAGGTGAGGCGGCGTGGTCAGACTCGTCAGGCATGTCTTGATCCTCGTCCTCGTCGTCGTCAAAGTTCAAGAAGCACATAGGGTCTTGTTCCTCTTCTGCTTCGGCACCAGGAAGCGCAGCACCAAAGTCGTGGATGACAGCACCAGAAGCAGTGACATCAACAAAAGGAGTAAAAGCTTCTGGTGGACCAATGACTTGATCGGTACGAAGGGCACCGAAAGAGTCGAAGAAGTCGTTCTCCTCGCCGATGCTCATGGCGTCGCTCTCGCCAGAAGGAGTCAGTTGAACCGACTGGCGAGGGCTGGTGGTACGACTAGTAGCACGGCTGTTGGTGTTGCTCAGCATGTGCATGCGCTCCCACAATTGCTTGTCAGCAGCAGATTGAATCTTCGCAGGCCACAAAGTACTCTTTTGCGAAACACCAACACCATCAATGGTGAGAACAGGGCGGTGAGGGTCGATGATGAATGTCCCCATCTTGGGCTGTGTAGGGGTGCGCNNTTGTTCTTGTTCTTGCGGAGGGGCAATCTGATGCGGGACGAGCTTGCATTGGAAGGGCGAGGAGTGGCGAGGTTGCTACTGGGGCTTGTAGGTGCGGTGGAAGCTCTCTTGGGTGGGGGAGGCATGGGCTCTTCGTCAGTAGTGTCACCATCATCGGCTTTGGGGAACTAAGTGTTAGCTGACGGGTACTCGAGTGTCAACAAACCGACAAGACATACATTCGTAGCCGCTGGAGCCTGCTGACGAATCCGATTCCTCCTCTTCCTCGTCCATGAGTAGCATTCTCATCTCATCGGCCTCAAAGTCCCATTCAGACCCGGCATTACTACTGTCGTCCTGGTACAACTCGTGGTCGTCATCCTTCTCGATCAAGCGTCTGAAGCGCGGGTCGAGGTGGTCTTGTTGGATGAAGAGATCGGGGAAGAAGTCGCTGTCGTTGTCCGAGTCGGTTTCGTCAGACATGTCTGCTCTCTCCTCAAAGCGTACACGACGCGGAGGGGGCACTGTCTGTTCGCTCTCGGTTCTCGTCAGGGGNCTTCCCTCACGGAAGAGCTCGGGCGCGGCCATAATCTCGTCGGCATCGAGCCAAGGCTGCGAGAAAGGGACATCGCCTAAGAGGTAGTCGTCATTGAACTCGAGGTAGGCCAGCTCGGCTTGGTTGCTGTTTTGGCTGGACAAACTAAGTCTTCGTGCCAGAGCAGCGTTGTGCTCGTCGTCGTCGTCTTCGTCCTGAGCCATCAACTTCTCCTCGGCCTTTCTCATACTCTTTTCTTCGTCATCGCTGTTGCTAATCATGTCGACACCATCGTAGTCATCGTCACTATCGAATGACTCTTCCGGCGGTCTCCAGCCACTAGCTTGAAGCTCCGACATCTTGCGTTGAAGAGCACCTGACATGTTCATGTGTGTGGCCATGGCAGGTGCGTTTGTGTCTGCGTCTTCTTTGCCGGTGCTCTTCCCGCCATCTGCCTCTTCGTCGACTCCTTCTGTCGACGTCTGAGTTTTTAGACAGCTTTTTGTTGCTTTTTGAGGGCTGGGCTGGCTAGCAGCCTCGTTGGTGGTATTTGTTGGGGGAGGCATGGCCTGTGGCTGCATGGTATTCAGGTTGATTGAAGTGGCCATTGTATATTGCTGAGTTGAATCAATATCGGATTTGAATTGTTGTAATGATGATGGGTTGGAGCGCGACACAGGTGGAGTGGCCTCGTTCGGTTTGGACTCGTCGTTGTATGTCTCAACGGCTGTTAATCTTGTAGCCGTTTCGTTTTTCAAGAAAGTCGCGGGGTGGATTGTTGTTGAGTCTTGATGAAGTCGCAGCAAGACTGTGCTTGGGCTACTCGCAGTAGGTGGTGTCTGATTGAATGTGTATATAAATCTCGGTAAGAGCTCTTGAGAAGGACCGGTCACTAGAGGGCGCCGAACGAACAGGCGCCCCCTAGCGGTGGATTTAGTGAGCAGCGGCGGCCGGCGACATTGTGGTAGACGAGTGTTGGTTGAATGGTGGGTGGGATTGGGTGGTAGTGATGGGCGACGTCTTCGTCTTGTATGGAAGCAGATGTTGACGAGAAAAGAAGGGAGAAGAGAAAAGATGTTTAGAGGCAGTCGTCGGTCGTAAAGAAGCAGCCAACCATCCTCCGTCAGTCCTGCTTGGCGCAGACGCTAGAGGCTTGCCGCCCGCCTTTGGACTTTGCACCTTCTCTCCACGCGAGCACCCTTCTATCCCGACAATCTGGCCTGTACAGCAGATTCTGCTCTCCCATTTTCTTCATGTGCCTTCTACTCATTGGCTTCTTTTCTACGCACCTTCTTCGTTCCTCCATTGCTGCCTTGGAGAAAGAGTCATCCTGTCCCGGTCGTCGGTATGCACGGGGGCCTCCGCCCAAACGGGCCCTGTCCTGCTCGACCAATCGCCGACTACTTGCGCTAGCGCATACCTTAATGCCCATGCTGTCATTCGTCAAACCACCACATAGCAGCCAGTGCGCGCCCTTCCCTGAACCAGAGTTTTCTTTTCAATCTTCTTCCCCAGATAAAAAAATGAATAAAAATACAAACAAAGCATCACCGCCCCACTTGTATACATACATCCCTCGATGTCTCGCGATGCATCGAACACACCGCCCGACTACGTATCTGCTGTCCTCACATCCACACCCACATGAGTGTCAGACTGTCAAGGCGTTTCGCATCTTCACTCTGCAGCCTGCTGCGGGTCCATGCAGAAAAACGCCGTCGCTTGCAACTTCTGGCATGACCGTCTCGTGACCATGGTATGGAGACGTCGGATCGTATCCGAGTCCTTGAGGTCCAACGTCGGCTTTATTTACCAAAGCCTTTGACTTTGACCATGACACGTTTGTCGAATCTGGGCCCTCGGATTGCCGACATTCGCTTTGTTTTAACAAAGACGGTTAAACTGTTTGACCACGAGTACGTACGAAGGCCCTTATCGCGTCAAAAGATAAAAGAGTACGCACATCACATGCTGTTGTCCGAGATTAAAAGAGCATATCAGTCATACACTGCCCTTCTCCTAACTGTCCACGTAGACCGTAACATGATCTGCGATGGTCCAGACATGATCCCGACAGATGGTATCATCTAGTATCATCTGGTATCATCTGGCGAGCAGAATGTGCTGTATTGCATAACATCTATATTTAAAGCTTTGCACAAATATGACTACCTACTACCTTTTTCACTAGACATGAGCATTAGAATCCCAGCTCATCCAGACCAGCAGAATAAATGCTCCTTAGATTCTCAGAAGTTGACAAGCTGGTCTTGTAGACACAGTTGTTACATCTGGCTTATGCAGAGGCTTGGAAGTCCGTTGGTCTTGACTACACATCCGTGCCATATACGCCTGTCACAATAGACTACACGAGTATTACGTGTCGTTGTGTCAGAAGCTGCGAGTATGAAGAGAACAGAAATATTTTGCTCCACATCTATCTCCGCTCTTCCAAGCAGAATGTGTGCTTTCGTGATATTGTACATAGACTTCATCGTCTTCCAAAACTGCCTCTTTTTGTTTCCCGACGCCGAGTTTCCATATGCCACAGAGGGGAGAGAAAGGGTTGATGCGCTGCGGTGCGCGGCGCAGAGGTTGCGAGATATCGAGAACTGTACAAGGTCCTGAAAAGGACGAAAGGAGGAAAACAGATGAACGCCACGCTTCCTTGAAGATATGCCGAAATAATACAATGGCCTCGAAAGGGTCGAAGTGTGAGAGATCCAAGGCGAGGATGGACCAGCCTGGCGCAAGGCTGTAATGGGCGACAGGCGCTTGCAGTGTATGCGCGGATCGGAATTGTGCGAGTCCACTATCATTGCTGCCATGGTTTCAGCAAAAGGTTCAACCTCGCGACTACCGGTCTTTGTAAACCTTTGGCTTCCATCCTTCCTGCAACTCTGCTTCCCTCTCCGCTGCCCTCGCCGCCTCGCGCACCTCCATGTCGATCCTTTCTCTTGCTCGCAGCACCTTGCTCTGCAGGTAGAAACTGCCTCCCNNCTTCTTGGGGTCGTTTTGGTCGAAGAGTTTCTTGAAGCGCTCCGTAACTTGTTCCATGTTGGCCTTGCCGCCCTTGGGAGGTCCCACGTTCAAGATCTTGCAGGCTTCGTCCAGTGTCAGGCCAGCTCCACCGGTGCCTCCCTTGATTCCGGTTGCGGCTTGGTATTTTTGTGATGCAGAGGCGTGGCGGTATGCTTCGCTGACGGCGCGGCCGAAGACGCGGGCGCCTGTTACGAAGACTTGGGTTACTATGCGGTGCGCCTGGAGATACAACTTGATTAGTATATATTGGAGGTATGCGCAATGAGTGTACGAACCATTGCTACTGTGTATTGTGTCTGTTGAACAATAGGGAAGATGGTAACATCAAGAGCGGCGAGTCGGCGACAATCTTTCTCGACACTTCCGAGAGCCTCCCAATTCATCCCGCATTTCGGACTTGGCAATATCTGGCCAGGGTCGTCCCCAGAACAAGCATTTCGAGGTCGATGTATGCTCTCCTTGTCCGACCTCCTTGTGTACTGACTTGATCTTCCTCATGTAGCCAGAGACAGTTTTTCGAGTCCTTATGCTACAGTACTTGGCGCTTTTACTTGTGGTTCGAGGGTGTGGTGCAATTTTGAGCAACGCTTTTTGCTTCTCTCAAAGCTAAGACCATCAGTTCCATCTATGATGCATAGTTCTCAAGATCATTGAGTCGTCCATCAAGCATAAACCGAATCGATGCCCGTTCAATGATCGAAACAGCAAGAATCATGTTATCAAGGGTGCTACCGTAACGCGAAAGATTCTCATCTTCTGTTGAACCTCGTGGTCGCGAATCGCGATTTTCTGTCTCGAAGCTCGTCAGCCCCGCTCCATCATCAACCTTCCTCTGACTCTTTGAACATTCGACTCCTACAACCTCGAAACACGCGCCTCGCGTTCATCTCTCCAGGATTATCTCGTGTCAGGAAAAGTCGCGTGGAGCCCGGACATCAGCTAGATGAGGCTTCTGCATGTTGTGGTTCGCCAATCAGGCAACAGCACACAGCTCCCCGCAGCTCGCGTCAACCAACTATAAAAGAGGAACCAAATCTCACTTTCTGAACAACGATCATGCTGAGAGCTATCATTAACTGGTTCACCATGGCGGTTCCAGAAAACAATACGCTGAAGGCCGCTGACTTCGCTTCCCACGCGGCACATGAACAATCACAGTCCGCTCTCTTCTCCGTCCTGCCTGGTGAGATTCGAATGACAATATGGAATTACGCTCTCGCCGATTATCAAGACGAGACCCAGCTGTACGACGATGCGACATGTTACAAGCGACCGGATTACTTTGCACCCAGAAAGACCGATACGGTACTACTGCGAACATGCAAGCGCATTTATCAGGAAGCTTGGTTCCTGCCATGGACCAACGCCGAGCAAACCTTCTACCTCACCTCGAGAGATCGAAGACCACCACGCACAACCACACCGAGAGAAATGCAGCAAACCCTAGTGGCCATCTCCAAAACACAAACAATGCCTATCATACAACACGTACGCGTCTTTCCTCAGCTGTATGCTCTAGAGAACGGACAGAGACTCCAGGACATTCTCAATCTCCGTTTCTTCTATCCCAGAGTCATAACCATCACCATCAGACACACAGATTGGTGGTTCTGGGAGAGTGACAACAACCTTCACTTTGACGCCACTTGGGTCGACTTCTGCAGATTTCCCAATAGCCTGACAGAGCTCCGTGTGGCTTTTGAGAGTCTCGAGCGTAAAAAAGATCAGATTGACGACGTTGCAAAGCAAGCCATGGAGGGTTGGGTGTTCCGCCGCAAGGATGATGTTGAGCTATCGGCCCATGACTGCGAGCCTGAGATCATGAGGTGGAGCGGGAGTGCGACTTGGGGACATAACCGGTGGGTGCGCGACGAAACAGGTCCAAACAAACTGGACTACTATGTAGCCACCGTCACCTGGAGACCTGTCAGCTCAAACGTCAACAGAGAGGAAGCTTCTAGTGCTCATGTGGCCGGGCACAGAGAGTTTCCCAGTCTGGACGCTATTGGGTACTCGCAGCTCGACGACCCGATACCAAGTGTACCTATCAGCTTCATACGGAACGCCGATATGCCTCTCGATGCTCCTACCGCAGATGTTCGCCGCCTGCTAGAACCACCCGACGAGGAGGCACAGGATGATAGCGGTGGGTTTGAGGACTTCGAAGATGAGTCTGAGCAAGATGACACCGACACTGAAGACGACGAGTTCATGGATGTCGAGTCTGGAGAAGACTGAATAAGCCAATGCCGATGATCGACAGGAACCAGCCATCATTCCGATACAAGCAAATCACATTTAACCGTGACTTCACTGATTCGATGCCTGGCGGAAAGAAGCTGTAGCGTTATTCCTCATCGGCACGAATGACAAGTGGATCTCAACATGCACTGTGTGAGCAGAATGCTTGCCGTTCCGAGAGTAGAGTTGCTCCAGAGTGCAATGGTGGATGGAGTTCCTGGTGATCGCCAAGGATGTCTTGGTCGAAATGCTTGTGCAAGACTTTGATAGCAGAAGCCCCCAAGCCACCCACAATGCTTAAGGCTTAAGCACCCCTTTGCCAACCAAGTTTCGAGGCTGGTATTCTGTAAGTACTATTGTTCTCCACCTTCCTAGTGAGCTGTTTCTACGACAATGAAGAAGAGGTCAACAACGAGGCTTTAGGCTAAATGAGAGGATTTGGACCTGCCATGAACATTATTTTACTTGCAGCGTGCAGCAACAGGCATCAGATCGATAGACATGATGCATATCGTGCCGTGGGGCCGTGGATGATCATGTCCATCCAGGTCTCGTTGCGGGGGTGAGCTTGCGGGGAGTATGGTATCCCCGGTATACTCGTCCGTACTGGACCGAAGATGCTGCCTTTTATGTATAGAGTAGGTAAGGCACGAGACCTATACCCGGACCGTGTTGACAGCCAGCATACAGGCAAAAATTGAAGTACTCCGGGTCAATGAGATCGTGCAGTATATCACGAGGCTGGTCAAGAAGGGGTGAGGGGTCACTAAGAAGTCTCGAGCTGGCCGAGAGAATATAAGGAGAAGCTCTTCGCCTTGAGAAAGAGACATCCAAGGTCTTTGGCACACGCTGAACAGTTGGCCATCATGTTCTCTCTCTTGTCTCTCTTCAGCTCAGCACTGCTGGCATCCACTGCCGTGGCATGGCCAAGCGCACCTCCAGCCCCCTTCGTTCAGAACACAACCGTCTTCATCCCACCAGCCAGCTGGCCAGACAAGGGTGGCAGTTATGCTCGTTCCGTCCTTCTTAATCAGAACTGCGAGCAAGGTGAACCCACCATCTTGGCCACAGCAGCCTACAACGCCCCTGACGGTCAATACTTTATCATCCACAAAAGCACCGACTACGGAGCCACCTGGTCGGAACTCTCCAAGGCGTACTTCAATGGCAATGCTAGCGTGACTGGAGGTATTATTCTCCAACCTTACCTCGCCGAGTTAGCTCAGCCGTTTGGAAAGTACCAGCCTGGTACCATTCTGCTGTCTGGTAATCGTATTCCTGGCGACTTTTCGAGCACCAACATTCAGTTGTATGCTAGCACAGATAAGGGGTAAGTTTTTCATGCGAAAGCGCTGTGTGTCCAGGCTGACGGTCTTAGTGTATCATGGGAGTATGTCTCCACTGTCGCTTACGGCGGTCCTCCAGACACGGACAACGGAGCCCCCTGCGTCTGGGAACCATTCATTCTCGCCTACGACAACCAGGTCAACGTGTTTTACTCTGACCAGCGCGATCCTGCATACGGCCAGAAGCTCGCTCACCAGTCTAGTGGTGACTTGATGTCATGGGGTGACGTTGTCAATGATGTCGCTTACGCAAACTACACCCAGCGACCCGGCATGATCACCATGGCACAAATCGGCAACGGAAAATGGATGTGCTCTTACGAAGTCGGTCTCTGGACAGACCCCGTCACCGGCAGCAACGACAGCGCACCTTACGCCACCCACTACAAGATTGCAGATTCACCTCTCGAATTCGGATCAGTTGGCGACAGCATCCTCAAGACCCCTGAAGGCATCTCCAGCGCCGGTCCCTACACTGTTTGGACCCCCGCTGGTGGTCCCTCAGGCACAATTGTTGTCAGCGACTCCTCATACGATCAATTCTTCCTCAACACACAGAACGGCGACCCCGGCGCCTGGAAGAACGTCAGTAGCCAAGGCCATGGAGTCGGATACACCAGATCTTTGAGAGTGCTGCCAGGAAATGGCGGAAAGACCATTCAAGTTTACAACGGTGGTATGTACGGTTCGAACATGACCGAGTTCACTGCCGGTGATTTCATCGTGCCAGGACCTGCTGGTCATGGGCCTGGTGCTCAAGGCTTCCCTGCTTGTAACCACAACAGCGGTGGCTACGGACATGGCTGGGGCTGGGGTAACCCTTGGTGGTAAACCAGCATCCCGTTGAGCTGGAGATGTTCAATTCTTGAGATGGCAGGCGACGGATGTTCACAAAGTCAAGAGATGAGGTTGATGAAGATGAAACCATGCCAAGCGCTGTACGTGTGCCAAGAACAATTCAACCTGATATTTATCCTGCCTCGCTTCATAGCTCTTCCATGTTCTCACATTGCTGTAAACAAGAAGAGGCCACATAGCTAGGTCTTCGAACAATTGATGCATGTTCGTTTTGGAGAATGGAACAATGTCGTCAGTCTCTATTTTCCAGCCACTCCCCCAGGCCGCAATCAGCCGAGCCACACCTTCAAGGCTAATGTGAGCCTTGGCGAACACGCGAATACCACTTGAGTACAGAGTATCATGCAGATCACATCGGTCAACTTTTCTCCATCTGATGACCCCGTGGGGCATCGCGGTGAATTCTTCGTGGAGTCATTGTGAGCAGACCGAGGCTCAAAGAGTGCTTCTCCCGCCGAGCAGTCATGTCTACAAGAGGGATCTTCAACTTGGCATATAGAAGCCCCAGCTCATGGTCTGCTGCGGACGACTACCAAGAAACGTTCAACCGAGCATGATGCTGCTCGTTGTAGAGCGAAGGGTCTTGATGCAAAAGGTATAAAGGCAGATAAGATCCATGCCATAGCTAATCCATCAACAAACTGTCTACGAGTATCTTCACATATTTCGACCCAATTCGCCTTCTACTCGCTCCCCATCATCATGTTCTTCTCAAAACCAGGTCTCCTTGTCCTGAGCGGCGCATCTGCTGTATTTGGTGCCACCTACTCGAGCCCCCTAGAGCATAAGGACGGCGGTGACCCTTCCATTGTATGGCACGAAGGTTACTGGTACTTTACCGCAACCAACTATCGCGATATCAGCGTTCGACGCGCACCGACTCTCGAGGGGCTGAAAACTGCCTTGCCAAAGACAGTTTGGGCACCCAGCGTCGAGTTTCCATCACGTCAATGCAATATCTGGGCACCCGAGCTGCATGTCGTGGATGGACAGTAAGTATCTCCCTACGATGTTCCAAGTACGGGGCTGACATGGTATCAAGATNGGCACATTTACTTCTCCGCTGGTGGCTGTGGTGACGGTGCAATCCAGCAATCTCAAGTCTTACGTGGTGGAGAATCTCCATGGGACAACTTCGACTTCTACGGCACTATCAATGCTCCTGCATGGTCAATTGACGGAACCCCTTTGACCATCAACGGCCAAAACTACTTTGTCTATTCCTGTTTCAGGGACGATACCGGAGAGAGCCTGCAATCACTCTGCATCGGCAAAAATTCCGACATCCTTACCATCGGAGAAGAACATCTCCTTGCCTCTCCCACCGAGGCCTGGGAGCGCAATGGACAAATGCCCGTCAACGAAGGTCCATTCGCTCTCTACAGCAAAACCCGCACTTTTCTATCTTACTCTGGTTCTTTCTGCTGGGATCCCTCATACTCACTCGGTCTGCTCGAATACATTGGTGGTGACCCACTGGAACAAAGTAGCTGGGTCAAGTCTGGTCCTCACTTTAGCCAGGCAAATGGTATGTACAGTACTGGCCACAATAGCTTCTTCACCAGCCCAGATGGTACAGAGACTTGGATGGCATATCACTCTTCTCCCAACCCTGCTGGTAGCTGTGGAGATAGATACTCCAATGCGAAGAAGATTGATTTCGAGGCCGATGGCTTCCCTATCCTCGGCGCGCCGATTGCCGAGGGCGAGGTGTTGCCTGGTCCTGCTGGCGAACCGCAAGCATAGTTTTGAGTAGGCATTCACTTCGCAGGGGTTGAGTTGCGACAGGATAGATAGCGCAAAAAGATTTCACATGTTCTGCTTCACTTATTAGACAGCCGCGTCGGAGACAGGAGGTGCAAGCGAGCTTTGCGACACCGCCTCAAAGTGACAAACGAGTGGTTTTCTCCACCCACGCTCTGCGCGCGAGAACAAACGCACGCCAACACATATCTTCGTCCATCGTCCACGTCTCGGCTCTGCTGAAAAAATGCTCTGAAGGTGAAAGAACAAGATGTCGTCACAAGAGCCTACCAAGAAGCTGCTCGAGGGCATGGCAGGGTGAGATATTTAACACATCCCGATGGAGAGATCACAGACTAACCGTCCATACAGCCTACATGGGAGCAGTAAATACTCCGACCTCACCATCATCTGTGGTACGGACACATACAATGTCAACAAAGCGATTGTCTGGTNNTCCCAGTCCGAATTCTTCCGCCTTGCTTGCGATGGTAACTTCAAGGAGGGCAAGACTGGCATCGTAGAAATCCCTGCTCGCAGCAGGAAGAATGGCTAGAATGAGGTCGACTGGGATGCCGACGCCGAAGATCCTGAGGTCATCAAGCTCATGGTTCACTACTTTTATCATATGGACTACCTTGAGAACGAGTCCGTCAAAGTCGNNGAGAAATATGGACCTGTTACAGCCTACAAGGATCACGATGTCACAAACGGCGTGTTAACCCACCACGCCAAGATGTATGCCGTAGGCGACAAGTACGTTGTCCCAGGACTCAAAGATCTCGCTTGCAACAAGTTGNAGGATGTCTTGAACTACAGTGCCGCCGGTATCACCAAAGCCATCAGAATCGCGTTCACCAGCACTCTTGAATCAGACAAAGGTCTGCGGAAAGTTATCGTCAAAACCTTACACGGAGGTGTGAAGTCCTGGATCCAGGTATCTGNNGGGGTGGATGCGTGTATCAAAACGTTCCCTGACTTGTCTTACGCTCTGTTGCGCATGGAACTCGGAGTCGTAGAACCATGTGACGAAGCAAGCAAGTCAGCAACGCCTCAGTGATCCCTACCCTAGAGTGCACCAAACAGTCTCCCACCAGGATCATACTCCAGCGTACATGAGAATACAAGCCTCTTTGAATATGAGAGAACCAGAAACAGAAGGATGGTCAGTCGTTTCGAGCAGCAGGGCATGTCGTCTATGAAGAACACTTCGTATCTCTGAGCTTGTTAGTTTGATATGTTGACCAGCTTGAGACACACGCCGAGAATCGAATAGAGAACTATCTTTTGTTACTATGTTGTTTCTCCTCTATGATGAGAGCCCTGAATAAAGCAGAGAGGACAGGTACATCAATGGAACTAAGTTGTCATCAAGATCGTGAACAACGACACGACCAACCTGATGAGCAAGCCCAAGATCAACCAGAACGTCAAAGATCTCCCTTTGCTCTCGCACGCTCTTCTACGCAAGCAGCTCAAGCTTGATGTCTAGGCGGCGGCGGCGGCTGATTGGGCGGTAGAACTTCTGTACTCGTCAGAAGAGTAGGTCGGGATCAACAGGAACTAGAATCAATTCGACAGATAGTCTAGTGTCAATCTTGTAGCATAGTTGAGGCATCAGCCAACCATACACAGCATTAAGATAACGTCTGTGCACCATCAATAGACTGATGGTATCAAGTCTCGGCTGTCCAGTTCATTGGCCCGTGGAGAGACATTTACACGGCGTCTGCATCGCTCAAGAACAAAAAAGTGAAACTCCTAACCCTGCTCTTGTGATTTTCGTCTAACTCCTCTTTGCTTTGCTATTATACTCTAAAACCACTCTTTACATGCCATGACCGATCGTAGCGGTACGATGTCTCTCATCCATATCACCTACAATCTCCTGCCCGTCCTTGACCACCACATTACCCGGTTGAGGTGCACGACCATCCAGATGCAAGGTCATGCTCTCTTGCTCGCCTGTGGGGCTCTTGATGGTGATATCTTGCTGACCGGTCTGCACACTGTTGTCTGTCATCTGAGGCTTGGTTGTCTGTTGGCTAGATTCCGTGCTCTCAGACGTCGAAGTGCCTTGAACGGTCTCCGAAACGGATTCAGACACGTAGTTCACAGCACTGTTGACAGATTGGCCGATCTTGGAGACTAGGCTCTCTCCAGAGTTGTCGGCAGTGTCTGTGTTCTCAGACTTGCTGGCAGTAGTTGAAGTCTCAGATATCTCAATGTCGCCCTTGAGTCCAGCTGGGGATCTGGTGTCCTGGGTGGCAGTCTGACCTGGGATAGGCACCTCTGACGAACGGTCAGGGATCGAAGGAACGACATCCGTCTCACCATCAGCAGGTTGCTCGCCGTGCTTTTCCGAGTCGGCGAGCGCTGCCTCGAAACCAGATTGAATGGCTGAAGCACGCTCCATTGTTGATTGTGACAGCTTAGGGTCGGGTGTGTCTCCGATGTGGCCGATTGCCTGAGCAGGAAGTCCAGAAAGGACAGTCTTCTCGTTGTCAGCGGCTGAAGATGAAGAGGCAGGGGCAGCACCCTCGGTGTTTGCTGCAGCCAACTTCTCCATCTCCTGAGCACCCTTGGCTAGAGTTGACGAGAGCTGATCAATGGGTACCGACAAATTTCCTTGATCGTTGATCTGGAAGATGGTAAATGTGGTACCGATAGAAAGAGTTGATGCACCAGATGCAGCTGCAGGAACTGCGGCAGACTCGGCAGCAGGCTTTCTTCTAGCAGGACCTCTAGCACGGCCCTTGCGAGCATCGGCAAGAGGAGCCTTCTCCTCAGCGGGTGCTTCAGCAGGCTCTTCATGCTTGGGAGGAGCTTGGGGACCAGAGCCAAGACGTGCGTTCAAGTTTTCGAGGAAGCCAGCCTTGAGTGCGGCGAACTTGTTGCCTGCCGGCCTTGCAGGAACTGCGGGCTTGGCCTTTGCCTTTTCAGGCGATACAGATCTGTCAGTGGACGCGCCATCTTGAGGTTGAGTATTTTCAGCTCTTGCAGGTCTGGCAGGCACCTGAGGCTTGGGGCGCTCCGGGATTGACGGAGCTTGTTGACCAACTGGCCTTGCAGGAACCTGAGGCTTAGTACTCTCTTCAGGTTCGGGAGTCGACACCTCGGAAAGTTTGGAAGAGCGAACAGGTCGCTGAGGAACTATAGGTGACTTGATATCAGCTGGACTTGACACGTCCTCATCTTCCATTTGAGGAGAATCAACGGTAGTCTCCAGCTGAAGACTGTCAGGCGAGTCCTCCCAGACATCCCTACTTGGGAAACGATTCTTGTAGCTAGGGCGGCTCATCTCATCAGAAACTCCAGGCTTGAAACCAGTCTTGGCCATGCTCTTAGCTTCCTGAGAAAGAAAGTCGGCACGGTCCTCAGGATTGTTGCCCATCTTACGTGCCTGTTCCTTCTCTGGAGATTCAAAAGTAGCAGAGCTTTGGAGATCTTCAGGTTCTTGAGGACCAGATACCTCGGTCTGATACTGCAGACTTTCGGGGGTGTCCTCCCAGATGTCTTGACTAGGGAAATGGTGGCGAGCCAGATCGGGACGCTTGAGTTTATCAGCGACAGTAAGGGGCTGCTGAGGCTTGTCGTCGTCCTCGGGGAAAAGAGGCTCGTACTCCTCGATTTCCTCCAGAGGCGTACCAGTACCAGAAGGTTGAGCCTCGTGAGACTTGAATCTTGCCAGGTTACCTCCACTGCTGGTTCTAAGCTTCTCACCACTGCGTCTGCGAGATACGCCTGTCGCTGAAGAATCCGAAGCATATGCATCATAGTAGTCGTTGCCTTTTNNTCTTTCCTTTGAAGGTGAAACAGCAGGCTGCCAGTAGACGGCCTCGGGATTGTTTTTGGCAACCTCGTCAGAGGCCAAGATGGGTATACCATCGCCATTCTCGATGACCCAGCCGCCACGCTCGCTGGTGTTGCCTCCTTCTGGACCAAGGTCTACAGTGGGAGGGTCGTAACCACCACCGTGAATTTTGCTGTGACGATGGGCTGGGGGNTCAATGTGAATGACCTCATCCTCGGCCTCGCTTTCTAGAGCATTGTCGTTCTGTGTAAGCTCTTTCTGAGTGAAGGACTCCTTTCTCAGAGGAGACTCGATTGCGGGCGGAGCGCCGCTTGATGGACGCTTGCTGAGGCTTGACAAAGGCTTGGGTGAGTTCATGCGAGAAGTGTAAGCTTCGGAAGCTGCGAAACCGATCGACTCGTCAGGTGTGCCAATGGCAGCAGGCGANAATGCCTGGACATGGATGTTAGCATCACAAAAGCGGAAGAAACAAGAGTTGCATAGCTTACCCATCCCAAGACCACGACCAGAGTTCTGATGAACCAGCTTGTTGAGGTCGTCACTGCTCAAAGCCCAGTCACCAGGGGCGTGACCAGGATCATAAGGACGGTGTTCCTTGACAAGCTCTTCCGGGTGCTTGGCATACCATGCCTTCTCAAACTGATCCTTGGGGTCCTGACGATGGCCGTGGAGACCGTAACTACCGGGAGGACCGTGGAACTCCTGACGCGAACTACGCTTGCGGTGGTGGTTGCGAGGCGCAGCATCGTTGAAGCTGATACTCGGCGTACCGGCCTTTGAGGGAGCTGGTGTAGGGGCCTGGACATCACCGGCGTATTTCAACATGGGAACTTGCAGACCGATCTCGGGAATGCCGTGCTCGTCCTCCTCGGTAGGCTCATGAGACAGAGACAAGTTGGAGCGACTGAAGCTCGCCTTTGCTCTCAGTGGGTGCACGGCTTCGCCAGGCGAGCCGATTCCGTGAGAGGCAGCTTGACTGGAGTCGGTGCGGGTCACAGTCTGGATTCTGGACTTGGCCGTCGACTGGGGCACAGATGCCGTAGGAGCGTGCATGGGCAAGTCCGGGGAAATGTTTCGGTGCTGTTCAGCAGCTGCTTGTTCTTCCTCCTGGAGGTTGGCGTATTCACTGCCTTCTTGGCCAATCGAGGGAAGGCTGACACTTGGAGGACGAGGAGGCAGGTCCTGGGCCGAGAGGTTTCTCTGGCTGTACATTTTGCCATTGGCGCTGGGACTAGTGGTGGGCGGCATGTCGTTCAGGGGAGAACGGGTGTACTCTCCTCTCATGGGAGAGACGGATCTCTCATTGCGTCGCTGGGGACGAGGAGGAATTATTGGAGCATTCATGGTGGGGTCTGCAGCTCTCTCCTGGGTGCGAGCTGGGCGCGGAGGCACTCTGGGCTGTTCGGCGCTCATGTTGGGTGGAAGTGTGACGATAAGGAAATTTTGGACACAAGGAGAAACTGCAATAACCGATCAGTCCTGCTGGCCTTGCGACCTGAATGTTGGTGGTGCTGGTGTATAGATAGGTACTAAAGAAAGGCCAACATGTCTCATTGGCTCGCTCAACGCCAGAGTGCCATTCTCAGCAGCAGCAGAGGCTCACCAATGAGACTTTCTGCCAGGCTGTATCTTCCATGCAGATCTGTGATAAGCCAATGCATGCATGCAAACTTACCACGCTGGAATCAGTCGACCTCGTATGGTCGCTTTGGATTTCACGAGAGGGAGGTATAGGGGAACGTGTGTGTTGCTGGCGTCACAAGACAGGAACGATTGAGATGACTCGGAGAGGACACAGGGACTCGTGAGACGAGGACAATGGGAGAAACCAAGTCCAAGTTGGTGACGAAAGCCTCGAAAGACAAACTGCCTGCCCCGATCGGAATCGACGCTAGAGCCGTGACGAAGGCCTATTAGCTACACCTGTCATATCATTGGCCGCTCGGTTGCTGTCGGTTCTAGCAGAGAGATATTTCTACACGCAGATATCCCTCACCGTCTCTTCTCAAAAAGCCCATGCCGCCTTATCTCTGGTCGTCTATCTGGCTATACAAACAGCTGCTTGACAACACGTTGCCAGGTGGGCAGCCCGACCTTCAAACGCTCAGATCCCATCCTGTCAAGTCCCCCATGATGCGCCTCCTCGGAGCAACCAAGCCACAGTGTGCCACAGCTGCCGTCCCCGCGTGATGATACATTCGAGAACATGGAAGCCCGTCATATTCAGGTACACTTTGAGAAACAGGTTCCTGGAGTCTTGATTGGAAACCTGATATACTGTTACTTGATTTCATCTACCCAGCTATGTCACAGCAGCAACTGGGTCAACTTGCTGTTCGAAAAACCAAACTCTGTCGTTCGGCCATCTTCGATCGTGGGTGGTATGACCGTGCAAGCATGACCTTTTTCCCTTTCTGCCCTGCGCCATGCAATGCTGTCGTAAGCACCTTCTTCACGCTACCACTTGGCATCTCACCAACCGTGTCACTCGATGTGATCAGCAACTCGCATGATCCGAGTGATCTAAATACACAAAGTGTCAAGCAGACTTGCTGCTATCATAAACTGGATGCGCCTTCTCATGTTGCTAAGATATTCTCATTAAGAGCAGTATTCGCATAAAATACACCTCGTCCCATAGTCAAGACTGCCTTTCGCTGCATGCTCGATGCGCCTCGTTCAGGTGCACGGCAGCACCAGTGCTTTTGTGACCAATCCTCTTTGTTGTTTTGTTGTTTGTGTATTCCTCGACTCTTATCGTGTCCGCAAAGAGTGCTTGTCCGCAGGAGACGGACTAGACAATCATCTGAGCGACACCATGACCACCCAATGTCTTGCTTCCAACGAAGCCTTGTCCCTTGACACCAGCCAATGCATAGAAGAGTGCTGTGATGAACAAGACGATCGCAGCAACAATCAGACTGGTCGTCTTGACAGCGAGCGAGACCCATTGGATAACACTCATGGCAAGGTAGATTGCGGCGCGCATGTAATTGGTCTCGAATCGGCGGATGAATGTGTCAAAGGTGGACGATGTCGGGCAGATGCGTAGGAGGAGAGGAACTTCGACAAAGAGGATGACGAACGAGCAGACGCTAGACATAAGGTTAGCGCAATGTATCGTGCAGTACGCAACTGCTACTCACAGGCATATCACGGCGAACAGGATGACCCAGTGGAAGAGGAAGATGTTGCCGATGCCGAGACCGAAGCACAGCACCATGCTGATGATACCGGCCCTGTTGCATTGGGTCAGTAAGTGTGATTGCAGCTCATTTGCGTGGTTGTTCATACCATTGGCCGTATATACCTATCGCGAGTCAGCGCGCTGTCGAACAGGCAGCGTAATTCACGTATGAGACTCACTGAAGTTACGCGACCGGAGCTCTTCTGCGATCGTCATCTTGTCGGTTTAGCAGATGCTGAGACTGCGAGGTGTGTAGTGTCGCGAAAGCTGGATTTTGTTTGGCCAAGTATGACGGTAAAGCTGTCTTGATCGGAATAGGTGATGAATGGCTCGGACCAAGCTGTAGCGTTTGAACAGTGGAGTCTGGTCCTGTAAGTCTGCCTTGTGTGTGGTTGAATACGAATTTCACAGAGATAGGGTCAAAGGCTCGATGGATGAGGAAGATCTTGTATTGAGAAGAGTGAAATGCAGATGCCTACGGAGAGTGAGAGCTTGCGACCAGGCGGTTGTGATTCGCGTCGCGCAGCAGGAACGACCGGCGTCAAGACCGTCACCTTTCCCCGACCTGCTGCCAAAAACGGACCACTTTCAGGGTCCTGCTGCGTCTGGTCATCGTCTCGGATTCATCCTTACACTACTATCTATACAACAAGACGGCAGTTTCACAGTACGCTGTTTATCTCGCTACCAAGCTCTGCCCACTTGTCGCGGTGATGGCACATTAATGGGCAAATTTACTAGGCAAAGGAGGGCCATACGCAGTTTCATCAGTACATTTCAATGTCGAGAGTCGTGGATTTCGTTGGCCTGATATTTTATAACTATCAGCTCATTAATTGAATTTCGCTCCTTCATCCATCAGCCACATGGCCTGGAGAAGATCCAATTATTACATGACATATGTGCATCTTCTTGCTCTTTCTTTCCTCAAGTTCTGGCTTCAATCGCTTATGCGGCGGCGTAGACGAGTCTGAAGATGTCGTTGAAGACGTAGTAGCTGCCGGCACCGTCGGGCAGGAGCTGGAAGGACTGGGTGTAGCTCATGGGTCTCTGCTCCTCGTCGACCTGTGAATTGGGTCGTCAGTCGTTGTCAGTATTTGCTCGCAGTTGTGCTCGACGTACAAGCAGTCTTCCGGCAACGAGGACCAGGATACCACCGGCGTCGTTGGAGGGCTGGGCGTCCAAGCTAGATACCTCGTGCTGGACCTTGGCGAAAGGCAGACCNCTGTATATTTGCTTAGTCTTTCCCTTCGTATGCTCAAGAATAGGGCTTGCGCAACATACGACGAGCTTCTCAGTGATACCAGCGGCACCTTGAACAGGGGAGTTCTCGAAGGTGAGCATGGAGTGTTCCTTCTGCAAGTTCCAATCATATCAGGATGTGTTCTTCTCTTTCAGCAATCATGGTCGGTGAATTCGTACGTAGAGGGCACCGAGGGCGGAGCGGTTCTCATCGAAGGTCTTGTAGTAGAACTGAACGAACTGTTCTGAGGGTTGCGTTAGACTCGAGGGATCGCAGCGTGGTGGTTCAAGATCGGCGCATACCGGCGATGTTCTGGAAGTCTATTCGAGGTCTGTGTCAGCCATACTCGTTGTGCATGTCGGCCCAAGGCGCTTGCAAGCAGAAGGTCGAGGTAGTCTGTTGCCCAAGGGTGCTCGAGGATGGCGCAAACTTACCGGCCATATTGACAGAGTGTGATGTGAGAAGCGCAGCGAAAGAGAGGTACAAGAAATAGAGGTATGCGACTGGGTGGAAGCTTTCGAGTTGTGGCAGAGCGTCGTCGACTCTTGTTGGCGGGGCTGGCCAGGAGCCCGCTCGGCGTTTTCCGCCCGCCGCATAAAGTCCAACAGCCCGACTTTTCTCTCTTTTCCTTTCTCTCACGACTGCGTCAACCACCAACAATTGCTGCTGCCGCCATGGACATCGTGGCAGCGGCCATGTTGTAATCTGTAAGTGTGCTTCTTCTTTTAATCTCTTCCCGCTCACTATGATGAACACAACAAACGATAACTTATGACTTCCATGGGCCCTCCTTCGGGACGCAAACCCATGGAGCCTCAAAATGGACTTCAAACACCCACTTGAGGTTTCGTGATTGTCAACAAAGCTCAACAGCCTGATTCACAGCACACTTCTCTCCTCCTAGTCACTGTTACTCTGATTCGCAACACCGACTAATATTCAAAAGTGTACAGGCATTATCATTGCAGTCATAGAAATATAAATCTAGCTAGCCTTTTAATCATAATGCAAGCTCATTGCTGCTTTTCCATCTCTATGCACCGACCGACTGGAACGACTTGACAGTGTCTGTGATCGAGTCGTGAAGTGACTTGAACTGAATGCCCAGCACGTCCTTGGTTCTGCTGTTGTCGAAGCTGTAGACACCGTCCTTGGGATAGTCGCCGCCAGGAGTGCTGTCGGAAGGCAAGTCCTTGGTCTGAGGGTATTCCTTCTTGATGATCTGGGCGATCTCCTTGTTGGAGAAGTAGCCTGCGGTAACGAAGAATCTCTTGTTGACGGCGCCTTCGACTTCAATGGCCTTGACGTGAGAAAGTGCAAGGTCGCGAACGTCGACCCACAAGAAGGTACCAGTCTCAGGAATCTCGTCCTTGGCCTTGCCTTGGTAGATGTCTCTGATGCGCTGGTTGCTGGTGTTCAACGATTCGAGCGAGTTGAGGTAGTGGACGATGGGACCAAGAACAAGGGGAGGGTTGATGGTCGAAAGGGTGAAGTTGGGCTTCTCCTTCTCGATAAAGTCCCAAGAAGCCTTCTCGGCGAATGTCTTGCTGGCACGGTATCCAGCAGGAGGGCTCTGGAGAGCCTCTTCATGGGTGATAGGGTTCCAATCAGCCTCGGTGTACTTGTGCCCGGGCCAGTTACCCTTGCTGGGGTTGACAATGGACGCAAAGCTCGAGGTGATGACAACATGCTTGACGGATGGGGCGCTCTTCTTGATCGACTTCAGGATACCGGTGGTTCCGATAACGGCGGGGTCAAGGAGTTCCNNTAGGATATGGTCAGTACTGTGACACAATTGGTTACATGTGAGGGGATAGATGCGACTGACCTTCTGGATGTCTGTGACGTTGAAGTGGAAGGGAGAAGCAGTGTGAATGACGGCCTCGAAAGGAGGGTCTGACACGACGGCCTTGTCAAAGGCGCCCTCTTGTGCAATGTCTTCGACGATGGCGAAAGAGAGCTGCTTCTCGGAGACGTTGGGGTGGGCCTCCTTAATCTTGTTGGCCTTCTCCTGGGAGCGGACAGTCGTCACGACCGAGTGACCATGCTCGAGCAGGATGTCAAGAACATGGGCAGCGATGAAGCCAGAGCCTCCAGTCAAAAGTACGCGGGCCATGATGGTAGATTGTATGTAGGAAAGTAATTGTTTCTGGAGAACGACGATCGAAAGAGGGGCAATGTTGAATTATATAGCTTCCAGCGACCCAGCCGTCGATGATAACATACCTTAGGCTGATGGCATAAAGTTATTGCCTATCTCCTAACTCCAGCATGGAGAGAAGTCCGTCTGTGGCTCTACAATGTCATTGGAAACCACTGCCAGGTAGATTACTTCTTTACGAGCTACTTGTGGTACTCTACAACCTGAACATGTGGCAGACAGTGTATTACCGTTGTGCTGAATTGATGTGAACAAAGCCCCAAGGAGTTAAGGTGACAGATAGTAGGAGTGGGGCATCAATGTCCCGAGTCGCGGCTTTCTCAAGGAACGTCATCAGGGTCGCCAAGGCTGGAGTAACTGCCGCCGAAGACGCTCGCCGCGATTCTGCAGAAGCTTGATATCATAATCTAACAACATTATTTCAACATGCCTGAGGATCACTATCATTCTTCCAGGCAGCGATCACGCTCGCCAGGTCGCTCAAGACGTGACCATGAGCATCGTCAAAAGAGACGAAGTCGATCTCCAGCTCCGGTTCAGCTGCCCATGAATGCGCGTGCCCTTGTCAAACATGACCTGAAGGAGTTTAGAAGACTGTTTGCTCTGTATCTTGACATTCAGAAGCAGATTGACATAGACGAGCTGGATGAGACTGAGATCAAAGGTAGGTGGAAGTCATTCTTAGGGAAGTGGTAAGTAAGCCAAACTCTCCACAGCACCAACAGCACAGCATCTGACAGCGAGCAGGNNAATCGAGCCGAATTAGCAGAAGGCTGGTATGATCCTGTGACCAAAGAGAAGGCCGACCGCGCCGCTTCCGAAGCAAAGACGACACGTCGCAGCCCGCCCTTGAGAGATCGACCAGAACAGGATTACCCTCAGCATGAGCAACAAGCAACTGCTAGCCAGCCGGTTGCCGACCATGACGACAGTGAGGACGAGTATGCGCCTTCGCTACCGACTAATATAGCTTGCGTTGGACCTGCAGTACCATCCATCCAGGATCTGCAATATAGAAATGGTACGCTTGTGTTCAGAAGGCACTTAGAAATGACACCCATAGGCTGACATTTTAACANNGAACTTGCCGAGGAAGATGAAACCGCCCGCCGACAAGACCTACGTTTCGACCGAAAGATGGATCGAAAGTTGCAAAAGGAACGATTAGAGGAGCTCAATCCACGCGCCGAACCAGGCTCCCGAGAACGCCAACTCGAGAAGAAGCGCGAGAAGGCTGTTACGAATCGTGCGTTCCGCGAAGAGAAGTCTCCGGGAGCCGAGGAGGTTGGCGAGGGCGAGCTGATAGGCGGCGAGGACGGCATCAAGGCTCATCTCCAAGCCACCCAGCGCAAAAAGTCGGAACGTGAATTGAGAAAGGAAGAGATTCTTCGTGCTCGCGAGGCCGAGCGAGAGGAAAGACTTGCACACCACAGAGCCAAGGAAAACAAGACCATGGAGATGCTCAGAAACCTCGCCAGACAACGCTACGGCTGATGTCTTTTGCTGTTCTAGGACATTCCATTCGGCCCAAGTGCGTTATCATCACTACATTCGAGACCAAGTTTCTGGTCAAACCAAAAACCCGCTCCTGCTCAGGAAGGCCCCCTACTGACAGGCTGGAACAGCTGCCTACCCTTGGAGTGGCACCTGCCACTACGTTGGATGAAGTGCACATCCATGCTTCTGCAAACCCAAGGATAGACTCATGTTTGAGTCAAGGACAACCCGTATATGCTTGCCGCCATGCACATTGTTGCCACATGGTGATCAACCAATGAACATCTACAAATGCAGATCATCGTTCAACTCTGACACAACGACATGTGAGAAATCTTGTTTGTGTAAATACATAGACATTCAAAGAGACTCATCATCTGTTGAACAGTGGTTGTGCGACTGCTGTATCGAGGAAGCTGTCGTTCACGGGCGTGGTCAGGTCCATACAGGAGGCTTGAGGGGTCCTTCGCGTCGTCTCTGCTAGGTCTGTTCCTACATGTATGCATCTAGGCAACCGTGTGGCGGCTAGTTGAGACTTGTAGCACCGATCACGATCTCCTTGGCAATACCGCGGCGCTTACATTAGACAATGTGAGAAGTTAATATCACGTTCCTCCATCGCTCTCAGATGCAAGCAGCAAACGTCTAACCTCACCAAAAAGCAGTCTTGCACTTACTGCAATATGAGTGCCGCAACGTGGTACCCTCTATTCGTGACCGCGGATGTATCAATCGATGTACAATANGCACAAGCATCGGAGTTTATAAGACTATACTGACTCTCCCAAAGGTCATCAACAAAGTCCTCACCAGCGCCCAACAAGAAGCGCAATCTCTGCCTCCAGATCTGAACAAGAGTTTTTATGACCACTGGGTCATCATCGACGATCCCTTGCAACAGGTCATCTCTAAACCCACGGACTCTGTATCTATCGACTTCAACTCTGGATTCGTGAACTACTCTCTAGATACCATCAAAGCCTTTGTTGACGACCGATTAGGCGAAGATGGTCTTGGTCAAGGTGAAGACCTGTACGATCATCTCGCCGACGATGCTTTCGGCATCATTGATGAGCGGACAGCAAGAGATGACACCATTTTGTTTATTGTTCACGACACCATGACTTCCATCCAAGAAGCCGAGATGGCAGTGGCTTGGAACAGAGCCAATGAGTACGAGAAAGCCCTCGTACGGTGTTTGTATTCAGAAAACGACGACGCGGATATTATATTACTTGCAAATACGATTGAAGATATAGATCCTGATGGGGATATCGAGGAAGTCAGGGAACAAGTGCATGATTATGTATATAATCTCAAAGAGGAAGAAGGTGTGTCCAAGTGGTTTGAGATAAGAATGGATGCTGGGTTTACCATCTTGGGTAGTGGTGGTATATTTTTGCTGGGGGCTGTGGAGACTTTGATAGATCGCAAAGGATTTGATGATGAGGGTGTAATGCGCGGTCTTGTTGCTTCAAAAGACTAGTATGCAAAGAAGAAATTACTGATTGAGAGTTCGTTGCCACATATCAAAAACCATAGTTGGGACATGCTAGGAAGGGACTGGATAGACACACACGTGTACATGCAAACACTGGGTTTCCAGCAAGGTGGATTTCGAGGGACACACAGTGTCGAGGAAAACTACTGTGTCTTTCCATGGTCTGACGTATAGCATTGTCGTGAGATGTGTCGTGAGCTGGTCTTGCTTCGTTCCTACATTGTGAAAAGCATTGGGAAGGGTTTGAATGGATACAAGAGCTGGAATTATGGGGTCTAGAGAAAGGAAACAACAGAACATCAGAAAGAGCGAGGAACAATTATGTCCCCAGCTAAAGAAATGCAACAAGACGAGCATGCAGGAACGCATGGAAACAACCACCGTAGATGCCACAAACTCTGCCTCCAGTTTAACGACGACGAGAGAACAAACGACGTAGGCGTGATAATCGACCGGTAGAAGGCAGACCGATCGTCGAAACTGGGGCCACGGGNGACGACGGGCCTCGCCAGGGACCAGAGAAAGGACGGCCCAGGCGACGAAAAAGACCGGGCACTAAGACCACACCAGCATTGTCTCGCTCCGAAGGTGTGAATGAGCGTTGTAGACGACCACGAGGGGATGTCGTGGAGTTTTCAGGAGCGTCAGAGGGATCGGAGACACGAGCAATACCATTACCGCTGTCATCATGAGGAACCTGAGCCCAAGAAGATCCAAGAGGAGAGGCGGGTGGAGACAGTTTGACGGAAGGGGTCGATGACAGCGGCGAAGAAGGACCAGGCTCCGAAACAGCATCAGCTTGGATGGCACCACGACGCCGGCGGCGGCCGCGAGCAAAGTTGGCACTGTTAGTCATGAGAGCGCGTTCTTCTGGCGATATGTTCCAAAAGTTCGATGAGAACCCATCACTGTCGACATCTGAGGGGCCATCAGGGGTGGAGGTACGAGTACTGGCGGTTCTGGTTCTAGAATACGAAGTTCTAGGAGAGGGGGCTCCCACCAGAGTCTCGCCGTCGAGGCTGCCATCACCAATGTACAAGCTTGTGTCCGTGTCTGAGTCGGATAGAAGAAAGAAAGTTGGGTGCTCAATAGACGCTGCACTCTCATCGTTGGGACACTGGACGAGGTCATGTTCAGAGACATAGGGACGACGAATGGAAGGCGGATGGACGGGTCGGTTGGAATGGTGCGGCATTGTACCACCCTCAGATCTGGACTGCGGGTTTGGGTTTGCCGTCAAGCGAAAGTCGGGAGGCAGCGTCACAGTCACACTTGGTCGATGCTGCATGGCTAAAGACTGACCCAGCAGAGAAGAGGCAGAAGAAGGGAAGGTCGTCAACCTCGTCCAGCGAGATGTGCTTGAGGAATACAAGAAGCAAAGGAAAGTTGGTGGTGGTAGAGACAGTGGTGAACAGAGAAGAAGGCAGTTCTGCTGATTGAGACGAGAGGGAGAAGGAGCAGGGCTATAAAGCTGAGAAACCAAATGCAGAGTCGGATGTTGTGTCGACTTGCAGCAATACGGCATCAATGACGATACAAAGTCAGAAGGTGATGAACAAAGAAGCATCAATGGGCAGGAAAATACGCGGTCTTGAAGTATTTGTTCCATGAAGTATCTGTGGAACAAAGCAGTACTCTGAATGACATTGTACCTTTTTGATAGTGTTGCAGACGAGGTATGGAAAGAATGAGACTGTTGCATGCTCAGGCTGCATCTCGGACAAAGTTGAGACATGTGTGAAAGACAGTATCATGGACGGACAGCGAGAGAAGTACCAACACCGAGCGTCTTGGGTCTTTCTTGGGCGACTCTGGGTAGAGGAAGCTGTGAAGATGCCTTAATTTACGACCTACTGGAAATACAACTGCGCTGAGGGCCGCTAACAGTGGACAACAGGGCATAGCACGCCGAGCGACTGCCAACGACAGACTCCAGCACCAAGCGTATTGAATACGATTCTTTCTCGTGTTATCAAGCAAAACGCGACGGCACGAAGACAAACAAAAGGCAATCGCAGTGATCAGGCATCGAAGAGAAGGCGTGATGTCAGATATACCAGATATACCACGGGTATACGTCGGGCCGCCGCGAGTCATGGCTGGCGTCAAGAAGGGAAAGCGAGTCAGTTTCGCGTCTCCTCTAGAAGAATCGAGCGCTCCACCATCACCTTCACCTGCCACATTCACGACAGGAATACCAACCATGTCGGGGCTGTTTGGTAATCTCGGTGGCAAGCCTGCTGGCAATGGCGGTCTCTTTGGAAACACAGGATCCACCCCTGCGACGACGCAACAACAGGGCTCATCATTGTTTGGCTCTGCGCCTGGAGCTGCTGCTACTGGAGGAGCTTCTTCTGGAGGTCTTTTCGGCGCCCAGCAACCACAACCCGGTGTCAAGCCCGCTCTGTCGCTCTTCAACAACTTCAATGCACCTGCGCAACCCGCATCTACCGGCTCCAATCTGTTCGGCGGCGCGTCCAACCCTACACAACAACCTGCTACCGCTGCTCCGGGTCTCTTTGGAACAGCCCCCACCTCTGGAAGCAACCTCTTTGGAGCTACCAACAATGCGCCAGCTCCCGCGAATCCTCAACAGTCTGCATTTGGTGGAAACACTCAAGGTGAGACACAGACAGCCTCAATCATCGATTGACTAGCACTGACCAGAATCTAGGACTCGNGCGCAAGCACCGCACCCGCTGGACAACAAGAGCAGAATGCCAGACCCGTCTACTTTGACAACCTGATCGAGCGCAACATCAAGAGACAGGGAGTCGAGGCTGGCACTAGCGCACGCATGGGAGCTTTCGGAGAGCTACCTACACTGCAACTCGGCTTGGGCGACATCCAGAAGAAGGTGCGCGGACTGGGTCAACAGTACACACCTGACAGCAAGGCCCACTACCTGCTCGCTGCCTCGGGTGTCAACACAAGCAAGGCTCTACGCGATCTCAACATCTTCACAAACAGCTCTGCTGCAAAGGCCCCCGCTCCTATCGCTGCAAACGACCCCCTGTACGGTGATCTCGATACCTACGTCGAAAGTCTATACCAAAAGGAAAAGAAGGACCTGTTCGATGAGTTCATGGAAGATTCCAAGAGAGACTTCGACCAGTTCATCGAGGACAATCTGCAGTGCAACTGGGAGCAGAAGCGCAAGCAAATCTACGAGCACTTTGGAATCACAAAGAAGTCGGACAAGGCAGAGGCTAGTTTCGAGGGCACAACAACCGATGGCGCACGCGGCGCATTTGGCCGTTCGAGCCGCAGAGCTCCTNTCACCAACTCGGCGGGTGCCTCGAGAATGGGCTCCAAGTCTGTACTCGGCGCTACTGGCAGGCAGACCTCCAGAGCCAGCCAGTTCACTGATGTGGCTGAAAAGGCGCCTGCTGGTCTGCAGAATGTCAGCGAGAACCGCATGCTCAGAGACAAGCAGGACAGGTACTCAAGCAAGGTCAAGGAGCTCAACATTGCCCGCATCGAGGGTCGCCTCTACCCGCTAGTGCACAATTTCGTCGACGTCGAGGCACAACCTTCAGCTGAAGACACATCAAAACTCGTCGACGCTTACAAGGCTCTTGCCGACATTGTCGGCGAAAGCCCCGACATCCAGACCTCATCCGACCCTCGCGCCATCAAGGAACGTCAATTCGCACAAGACTACCTCGACGACGCACTCAACTCACGCAAGGCTTTCGATCTTCGTAAACGAATCATCGACGGCTCCAGACGTTTCCTCGAAAAGCAGTTCCTCGCCCAGCTCGAGACCGCCATCCTCAAGAATGCAAAGGAGGCTGCTCTCGGTGGTGTCCCTTCGGTCATCAACAAGGTTCGCGCCTACGTTCGTCTGCGTGCTGCTCGCAAGGAACTTGGTCCAGACACCAGCGAGCTGCAGATGATCAATGAAGATTACCCCTGGGTTCTTATCTTCTACCTTCTCCGCGCCGGTCTTGTTAACGAAGCTGCCGAGTATGTGGCCGACAATGAACGTGCCATCAAGGCTTGCGACCGCAACTTCCCTCTTTTCCTTGCCGCCTACGCCCGCAGCACTGATCGTCGCCTTCCTCCTGAGCTGCAGACCAGAATCAACAACACATACTCTCAACGTGCACAATTCGCTCCCGAGAACAGTGTCGACCCCTACCGCATGGCCTGTTTCAAGATCATCGGTCGCTGCGAGCTTGGCAGACGCACCCTCGACAGCATCAACCAGAACATGGAAGACTGGGTCTGGCTGCAGTTCGTGCTTGCACGTGAGGTCAACCGCGTTGAGGAGACTGCTTCCGAGGTCTTTGGTCTCGACGATGTCAGAAATGTCATTCACGAGGTCGGTCAAAGGCATTTCGTCCAAGGTGCTGAAGGCGCTGCTGGATATGGCACCTACTTCTTCCTTCAGATCTTGGCTGGCCAGTTCGAAAGCGCCATTGCCTGGTTATACCCCAACAACTACCTCAGCGCTGCGCACTTCGCCATCGCGCTCAATTACTACGGGCTGTTGCGTGTCAATGATTACAGCAACTCTGAGGACCTTTTATCATACACCACAAGCCAAAAGCCCCAGATCAGCTTCGCTCATCTGATTGGCTACTACACCAAGGACTTCCGTGCCCAATCGCCAACTACTGCCGCTGACTACATTGCTTTGATCTGCTTGAATGGTGACCTAGGTGGAGAACTTGGCCAGCGTCAAGTCGCACTCTGCCACGATGCTCTTCGTGAACTTGTCCTTGAGACTCGTGAATTTGCTCAATTGCTCGGAGACATTCGTTCTGATGGTCAACGCATTCCCGGTTCCATCGAGCAACGTCTGAAGATCATCCGCATTGCTGACGAGAGGGCGTTCTTGCGCTACATTACTATAAGCGCTGCTCAGATTGCTGACGACAATGGTCGCGTTACTGATGCCGTTCTGCTTTACCACCTGGCCGAAGAGTACGACAACGTCATTACTATCTGCAACAAGGCTCTTTCAGAAGCCATCAGCGTCGAGCTGGGCGATGCACCTCTGCGTCTCACTCCCCTCAAGCCTCGCGATCCCACCGCCGTCGAGACTTCTGCATCTCTCAGTCTGACCGCCGTCGAGGACCCTTACACACTGACCCGCAACATGCGCGCCTTGTACGAGAGCAACCAGCTCCACGCCGCCAAGATCAAGCAAGTCAACCGCGAGTCCTGCACACTCCTCCTCGGCATGGCAGAAGCCAAATCACTCGTCGCCGAAGGTCGCTGGGCTCTTGCCCTCGATGCGCTCAACAGCTTGAACTGCCTTCCCATTTCTGCAGGCGGCAACATGAGCCTCATCCGTGCATCCGCCAATGCCTTTAGCAACTTGCCCCCACCCGTCGCCCGCAACATTGGTAACCTGCTCATCTGGACCATCACCTGCTGCGGCCAACAGCGCGATTACCTCCGCTCATCGCCCTCGGGCTTCGAAGAGCGCGGGCGTGAAAAGGTGGCCGATGATATCCTGCAGGTTGCAAAGGACACCATGGTCTTTGCTGGCTTGATCCAATACAAACTGCAGCCCAGAGTATTCGAGGTGCTTACCCGTGTTGGTGGTGACGTTGGTGCTTACTAAGGTGATCTTTCTTTCGATTAGCATAAGGCGTTTTTTCTTCACGGGCGTTTCTTTTTTTTCTTTCACTCATGTACAAAAACATCGGAGGAAGTGGATATGTGGAATTTCCTAGGGACGAGGGAGGAAAGGGATCATCGAGGTTGCCCCGAGTGCAAGATTACCTTGGCGTTTTGAATGCACAGTAGTATCATAAAGACTGTTTTTCGCCATCACCCATGAGATACAGCGAGTGACATTGCTCCGGGTCCCTTGAATTCCCTATAAATTCCCCTATGCCGGATTTGATTTGTAGCTCTGCCACGTCAACTTCCAACTTTCTTGTGGTATGGTAGGAGAAACCCCTAGATTGACCAAGAAATCTGATAATTGCTCGCTCGTTCGCCATGGCTCGCTGTCACACGCTCGCAGTACGTGTACTTAACGAACGGAAGACGGGTTACGATGCTAGAGCTTCAGATCGTTTGCTCGTCCATTAACGTCTGACTCTCGTGGGATCCCTTGGCGATCTGCACGAGATGCTCATCCAAGCACGTCTTTATGTTCGTTGAAATAAGGCTCAGTATCGAGCGTCCATATCTTCGAGATCCAATTCCTCCTCTTCGTCGTCATCGAATGTCGGCATATCCTTCTCCGACTCCTCATCACTCTGCACCTCGTACTGATAGCCATCTCGTCCGGCATCCACCTCATCTTTGTGCAGATGGTCACGTAGATTTGGTGTCTTGTTGCCATTCAAGACTTGCTGCACACTCTCATCGATCCCTAGTAATTTCATCTGCTCAGCGCTCAACTCAACAATCGTAGGTGCGTATTCACCGGCCTCGTCGTCTTCGTCGAAAGTCGTATTGTCCATTTCTACTTCTTCGCCGTCTTCGAGTGATAGCATGCCTGTGCGTGCAAAAGAACCTTGATGCAGTTGCCAGCCAAGAGATTCTTGGGCATAGGCAAGCAAATCGTCAAGTTCGTCCACTACATCTGTGTGCGTGTTGCCTGATAGACTATCGACTGCTTTCTTGAAGCGCAGAAGAAGCGATTTTAGAAATGTGGCGCCGTCATCGCTGAGGTCGAAGAGGCCGGTTTCGACGTCTTGGCCGTGTTGTAGCTGGAGTTTCAGGGTCGCGAGTGTGCGTACGAAGAAGGATGGGTGGGTGGTTACTGCACCGACGCAAGTCAAGACCAGGGAGAGAATTCTGCGCCATTGTTCGAGACAGGAGTAATTGTTCAGCGTCAATACCATGGCGAAGCAGAATTGGAGCTCGCCGAGTATCTGAGTGATATCATTGTTACAGAAGCGGGTGCTCAGATCTGATAGCAGCCATGAACGATCTTGTGCGGCTTCAGTGCGCTCACGTCCCGTCGCTCCTTCCCGCCATGTTTGTTTTAGATCGATGGGGAGGAGGTGTAGTTCGCGCTCATTACCAGTGAGATCAGATGCGGAGAGTCCTGGTATGTCGTCAAAGTCTTGTTTGGCACTGCTTGAGGACGTGAGTGTCCAGGTCTCAACATCTGCGTCCAATACGCGCGCCAGAAGTGATTCCGAGATGCAGTCTGTCAACTGCACCCAGCGGTTTGATTCTTCCGTTGCTACAGAGTCTTGTGAGGCGCTCTGTCGATACGGTGTCAGATTATCTCTCCAGATTCTTCCTAGATTGGCTCGTTGTTGTAGAAGCGTAGTGACATCTGTTTCTGGTAATAGTTCTTCACTGCTTGCATCCCATTTGCGAATGAAGAAATCTGGAGGGCCGGAAGATGATGCATTGACTTTGATCCAAACGCCGTGGCGAACAGATAATGTGCTGGTCGAGCCGACAAAGACAAAATGCAAACCAGTAGGTATGTTTTTAATGCCTTGAAATTTCGGAGTGGTGGTGAAGGAGAGCAGGTCCATGCCACCCAAGGCTGAGGGTGGCAGATTTAGTAGTAGGATTGCTGGTGTGATGGCGTTCATGTCGGAGGTTCTGTTTATAAGACTTCCAAAAAGTGTGAAGGAGAGTTAAAGGACTAATTGTTCGGTTTCCCTGGCGAAGCGATAAAAGCGTAATGCGAAAATACCAAACGAAGAAGTTCTGGAGGTCAAGACGTCTGTGTGTTTGAGATGATAAGCGAACCCAACCACAAGCTTGCAACTGCTTTTATGTGAGGTGATTGCCAGTTGGTTTCCCTCACTTTTGTTTGTGATATGTCTATACTTGATGTGATAGGTAGTGCAAGGAATGACAGGTGCACGCGATAGAGGCAAGTGGTGCCTCGAGTCATGATCGTCCTTGCTGACTCAAGCGCACGCGGATGATCTTGGCATCACATCAACACCTTTTAATCGCCGTTGTTCTTGACGGCCAGGCAATAATTATGAATATATATTCTCGTGCGATATCGCGCACAGCAACTGGATCTGGGAGACACTCGGAACCATACACATCCCTGCGAACATCACTAAATTCGAACCTTCATCAGTTTCGTCGTCTGGGCGCCGTCCGGCATTTCAAGATCCGCCATGTGATTACTTGGAAAAGTCCCCATGCTAAGAGAACTGACGTCGAAGAAATCCCTGATGAGGAGTCTGTCGATTTCGCTCAGTCTGGATATCAAGCTCCGAGTTCCAGTGACAGCCTTCTTGGAGAGCGACACTCAGCATCGCCGCAGCATGTCAAGCATAATCCATACATAGGGAACATCGCAAACGTCGATGTCGACAAATGGCTAATCAGCCTTGTACTACCGTCGGATGCCTATTTGGACAGATGGAAATCCGCTTTGAAGGACACGGATGTTGGCGGGCTTGAAACGGCTCAGAAGTTCGTGGGCAACTGGAAAGATGCATACGCCGGCATTGACATCCACGTACAAAAGCATAAATTATCAAGGGGCCAGCGCAAGATCTTCATGTGTAATACCAGAGATTCATTACCTTTGTTGGGAGTTCGGGTTGTAGACTCTTTTGGATACAGCAAGGTAAGTCTGAAGGCGCTGGCTTATCACGTCTGTTCAATCTGATTCATGTTTTACAGGNAAGAGGCATATACAAATCGAAGGCTTGCACGGATCTCGGCGCTGTATCGAAGCGGTGAGCTTGACACAATTTATCAAGGAACGATTGCATCGAGAAAGTTATTGAGGGTGCGTAGTTTGCTTATGTACTCGATTCGCATAGACGCTCAAGCAATATACNAGATATACCTACAGGCCGCAAGATATGGCATGGTTCCGAGACTCAAACTCAGCATGTCAAATGATCAACCCGGCGCTCATTATCAAATCACACTTGCACTACCTGAGTGGAGGGTCAAGGCTCTCTCAAGTGCCCCAACATATATTGAAGCTTTGACCGCGGTCATCGAGACCTATGAGAATATGGTTAAGAAACGCGATGTCAAAACTCGCTTCTCATCAGAAGCGACCAAAGACAGACTGGACATCTTAAGCTACGGCAACGCAGAACGAGCCCTCCAATTCCTGATCAAAAAGTTGGAAATCAAGAAGTCTCATTGGGTACGCAAGAAGCTTGATACACCAGGGCCGCAATGGCAGTACTGGTACTTAATAAAAGTCGACAAAGACGACAAACCGATCCTCACCTCCAAATCTCCGACGATACGTAAGCTGGATGCGCAATACATTGGTACAATCACAGCGGTAGCGCGGGTCCTGCAGCGATTTGGCTTTGACGCGTTAGACGGATTCAAAGAGCACGTCGAGGCATCCAGGAACGGTGCCAATGAGTCGGCGTTCTATCGTGTTGATGAAGCTGAAAGCGCGGATCCATCTCACAGGATGGAGAGTGAACGGACGCCGCTACAGGAGACTTCATCCGAGGGGAGCGAAGATTATGACGAGCCAAGGAAATGGAGGAGCTGGTGGTAGAGTGGATGGAAGATGTGCCCCTGCACGTTAGTCCTATCATAGACTCAATATCAAATAGGGACCTGATTCCGACTTGGGTTGAAGTAGCGGGCCATCTCAAAGACGATAACGGATACGAGTGGGAGCGTCACGAAGTGTAAGATAGAAAGATGTTTGGTTCGAACCGAATTGAATTTTGGTACACATTCGAGGTATCTAAGGGGTATGGAGATGTATTCCACCCCAATGAGTCGAAACAATCATGTCATAAACATTCCTCCGTCATGACTGAAGCAGCGCATGGACGGGATCTGAATTCGTGAAAAGAAGACAAGGGAAGACACTCTAGGTTGTCTTGGAGGTCTTGTCCTTGGCGGCCTGGTCGAGGGGACCGGTGGGGTTGCTCTCGAGGTTGGCAAGCTGGTCCTTGGAAGCCTGCTGGGAACCCTGCGAGGGCTCGGCGCCCTGCTGGTTGGGGTTGCCGGAGGTAGGGGCGGATTGCTGCTTGGCGCTCTGCTGCTCAGGCTCGGGGGACTGACGGCCGGCGTTGGGTGCGGACATTGCTGTTAGGTGGTTAGACACGTCGTATGAGGGATGCGTTGAGGAGGGCGGGGTTGGCGTACTGAAGGTGTTTTGAGGTGCTGGGAGAGCTGTCAGTGTCTGGATCGGTGATGCGACAATGCGAGGGGAACTTACTGTTGGGGTTGAAAAGTTGAAAGAGTTGGGTTATCTGAGTGAGATGTTTGTTGACAGGAAAGAAAAAGAGCAGAGGTCGTGGTAGATGTAGCTCACCCAGCCCGCCGATGATGTTGTTCAGTGTGGGGCATTTTCTGACGTCACCCGCGAGCTCTTTCCTTCAGCCTGATTTGTCTCTGTCGGCCTTCGCTCTTGCCTTTTGCTCTCTTGTCGGCTCGATATATTTTCTCTCAAATTGCCGGACGCGTTGTCCTACTATTCTTGCGTCTTCTCACATCATCTTGTTGCCTGTGACTTCCATGTGGCTTGCCGTTCTAAATATCTCAGGCCCTCATACTATATCCCGATCGCCCCGATCATGGCGACATCACGCCGCAGTCTTTCCGAGTGATTGAAACTGGGCATCATTCTCAGTTTCCTCAAGCTCGCTCGTGAATAACATGACATGGAGGCTTCTGATGAATGCTTGATCAGGGCCCGTCTACAAGAATGTATTCAAACAAAGCTCTCGTCATTCAACACTCACGACAGCTCTTCACAGACTACAGCTCAATGAAACTAATTGCTTATGAGCGTAGTGACTATCATGGGACCTCGATCTGAACAAGAACAGCGATTTCGAATGGCTGTCCTGTGTAAACTTTTGCATACACCACGCTTGATTACAACGAGTTTCCATACTTTCAACATACCTGCCCTGTCTGAGACGAGATTTACCGAGCAGAAAAGTGATTGACAAGCTGTAATCAGACACATGTCCTCGAGTGAATGCTAGTACAATCTGAACAGAGTCCAGCGAAGCTACTGACGGTCAGCGTTTGAGCTTTCCTTCTCTTCTCAACTCACGTTACGAACCACTGAGTCCACCATCATCCCCCAAGACACATCACAATGCTGTACTGTTTCCCCAACGGCTACGTCGAGCTACGCTTGCGCGATGCGAGCTGGAACGGCGAATGGGACGAAGATGCCTACCACGAAAGTCATAAATTTGAAGGATGGGACAGCCTGATTTCAGTCAGCGAGCCCGACAGCAGTCTTGTACACGACGGAGAACGCTCAAGGCTTGATCATCCATCTGCAGCCGATTCAAATCGAGTACTTACAGCTCACATACCGCATAATGTTGTCTTCGAGCTCACTCCCGCTTCCAGACCATCAGCGCTTCTGCGAAGTCTTTCATTCTTGACCTTCCAGCTGAAATGTTGGTCAATATTATCAACGATCCAGGGTTGTTCGACGACGACCTTGCCAAGCTGCGTCTCGTTTGCAAACAGATCAACCCCTACGCGACCGAGATCTTCACCAAAGAACGTTCCGGCGGCGGTCTTCGATTCGGATTCTCTCTTTCGGAGTTTGCATGTCTCGCAGCAATCTTCCCATCCCAACTTCATCCGTTCCTTGAGTCCTTACACTTTACACGCATCGTCAATTCTCAAATCACTCAACTCGACGCAAGGATACGTCTCGACTATTCCGCGATTAGGAAAATTAGGTTTGAGAATCCCATCAACAATGAAGAATCCGCGGACGCATTGGAATCGGCAGTAGCATTTGCGGATGTCTTGCAGCAAGCAGTTCATCTCGAGACCTTCTCTTTCAGCACGATCAGTCCTCGTATGAGTTTGCGTTGGTGGGACCAACACGAAACTAACGGCGAGTACGATTTTATTCTCGACCTTCATGATCATGAAAAGACAAACATGGTACTCTCCAACATCAACTCTGATTCACTGTCTGAGTTTGATCTCGCAGACATCTTGACATCTGACACGACTCTCAAGAGCTTACTCGAGAGACATCGTGGTACTATACGCAGACTATCATTGCGTGGCTGCGGGCTCATGGGTGGAAACTGGCTCAACCTGGTTCATTGGATCCCTCATAGACTTCCTCGTCTCGAGCGCATGGATCTTCAACATCTGGTGGACATTGAACCCAGACATTTTTTCGACCTTGATCACTCCTGTAAAGCAATGTGGAAAGACTTGGTCACAGTCGCAGGAAAAGAAAAGATTGATACTTACATGACTAGCTTGAAGAAGGGCGATGTATTCTGATGGACGTAGTTAGATTGGATGGTGGTTGATATAATCCTAAGATTCGATGAAGACGAGCCATCAAATTTGCGTCGATCAGAGGCTACGGTACAGGGAAATTGGAAGGAAGATTTGTGTGAGAAGAACATCTTCTTTCCATGCATATCACGGGGGCACTGAGGTCGCCGCGCAGAGATGGCATCCAAGAAGAGTTCGCGGTTCGACAAAGGCTGGGATAATAACAGCCTCCACAGAAACGCACAAAGACTTCAAGAGACAGTGTTTCTGCTGCTGTAGATGGTCATCTCGGCCGCCTTTTCCAACCACGTCTGTCTTGCCTAAACATCGTTGAGTTCTCGTGTCATTTGGTCTTGCTTGCTATTGCTAGGTTAGATGAGCCGCGCTCGAAAATGTTATTGAGGTTGTCAGTCACTACCGCTTGTCTCTTGAACGTGGCTTTGTCAAAGATGGAAGGTTCGACAAGAGCTCCTTCTCATCCAGTTCTTTAGGAGACAGAGCGCAGTCGCATCGTTCTCGATATCCCTCCCAGAACAACGTGCTTTATGACTCTCATTCTGTCATTCTAGAATAAACCTCGTGAAAAACAGAGCTATCTGTGTCCAAACGGATTGTAAACTGCGACAACGCATCTCGCATGGTCTGGAAGAAGCGCGACGGTTCAGCGATTAAAGAACTCACTTTTCACATCCGCATGACTGATCAGCAACATTTTTACGCGCCCGAAACTGGAATCGGAGACCAGACCAATCCCTTCATGCTCACTGCACCAGTTCCAGAGGAAGAGCAGCTTCTGCTATCCGCCACAAGCACAGGACCCGTCCATCCTCTGAATGACACCATGGCCGAATCTCTTGTCAACTTGCCCAGCGAACTTCTTGCTCTAATCATCCGAGGCGAATATCTCACAGTCAACGATCTCGTAAACCTCCGCCTTATCTGCAAGCAAACCAAACACTTCGCTTCGAGTGCTCTCGGCCGGCGCCTGTTTGTTGACTTGAAAGTCTGGGACAAACGCAACGCCTTCAACTGGTTTACCAATCTTCTGCGCTCGGATTCAGGCACCCATGTGCAGTCATTCACCTTGTTCGAATGGCGACGCAAGTCTGGGAGGACACTACCACCCAAGAATTACGTACACAGAGAGACTGAGACCAAGCCTGACTACTCTTGCCTACAAGACATCTCAGTGATGTACTGCGGAGATGTATTGCACGACCCGGTCCGCTCATGGAAGAAGGCTGTGAGCGCAGCAGTCCATCTCAAAGCCTTCAGATTTGTAAACTCTGATGAGGCTCGTTCAGCTGGGGCGGACTGGCTTGGAGTCTACCCTCACAAATTTCGCAGTAACGATGGACTTCTGAGTAGCATCAGGTCCGATAGTCTGAGAGTACTTATGTTGTCTCACGTCCATGTTTCTGCCGACAAACTCAAGAGCGTACTCGAGATCCACAAGGAGACGCTCTCCGTTATCGACATCAGGTCTTGCATGCTCGTAGAGGGAAAATGGCTGGAGATTCTGGACTGGACTAAAACAAACCTCCCTCGTCTCCAAACCTTGCACCTTGATGTTCGTTACGAAGCAGTAAGGAAGAAGGATTGTACTCAACCACTGGACAGCTGGTGTCCGCTTTACGTCGATTCGTATCGAGCAAGAAGTCCCTACGCTCTTGTCAGACACAGAGATCCCCTCCGTCTCCGACTCGAAGGACAACAAAAGATACTCGATGGTCTGTCAGAACTCTTGAGCATACGTGAGCGAGTTCAAGTTCTTTAAGAGCCCATACTATCTCATCCATCCCTGGAGTGGGCCGACCATGATTTACTTCTGTTGTGGTGATAGAGCAAAGTGGGACAGTGCCAACAGGGCCAGATTTTGGTGAGTCTCATACCAGCTGTCATAATGCCACACCATCGATATGTTATCCCTTTGGTCTATTCGCTGACACGTCGAGCCAGATGAAGTGGAGCTACGCATTGTGAGTGTCTTGTCCCTACCCGACAATGTTATCCATCAACGAGGATTTTCTGTTCTTCGACGCCTTCGATGAACAACATCCGTGCCTCCCTCTTCATCAGACTACCCTCCATATCTCCCCCTTTCTTCACGTCGACGTCCGTGTACCCGTGCTTACGATACAAGAAGTTACCTGTCGGAGACGCCTCGACCCATGAGGGCAAGAACAACTGATCCGCAAGGTCGCATCCCCACTGTAGCATCATGGATCCGATACCTCTTCTTTGATAATCCGGATCTGTAAAGCAGATATGAAGCTCNTACAGTCTGTCAGTCGACGAGCCTGCGATAACCCATAACACCACGACCAGAAAGGCAGAAAGTGTGTTGCTGGAAGAAAAGAAAAGACCACCATCAGGTAGCTCGGGCGGAAGGAATATAGACTCACGACAATAAGGCTCCGTAAACAACTTCCTCCTCTTATCCGCAATACCCTTCATAATCTCCTTACACTTTTTTAACTTTNNTTCTTCATCACCTTCCAACCACTCCCATCCCATATCTTCGTCTTCATGTTCCGGTACATATCCCATGTGTACCCTCCAATTACTCGCTGCCACTATCTTCCCAGTACTCGTCTCTGTGACTTTTATCCAGACGTCTGCGGGGTTGGTGTGCAGGATGTTGTGATAGTAGGAAGCAAGACGAGCTTGATTGGACGGTGTATCTGGGCCCATGAATAGATCGCGGATGAAAGAGTCGGTAAAAGTGCGGAATTCGCAGGTGACGATGTCGGAGAAGTCTTGGGTTGTCGTCGCGCGGGAGAGGATGAATGGTCCTTTGGCGTCATTTTGTGTTGACATGACGATTTCTCCTTGGATATCTGGTGGTGAAGGTTTGGGATATAAAAGCGACGGGTTCGCCGCGTCGTTGGCGGAAGAATCGATGAGAGTGAGGGGAAGAGATGTGCTGTCTTTATATATTGGTTCCGTATTTAATGTTCATGCAAGCAATGTGGAGTTCCCGAAGGATGTGGCACAGCATACGCTATCGTACTGATTCTTGCACCAATTTTTGTGTTGTGCAAGACAGCAGGTCATCAACCTGAATATTTGCGTGATCCAACATGAGAAAATACCTCTTTAGAAAAGATGTATCTTTGAGCACACGAATGAGGAAGGAGAACAGTCGGGGTTCTTTCTCAAAAGAAGGCAAGATCTGCCGACAGCCGCATCCTTCCCGATGTTGCATCTTGAAAGCCTGCATCATATAGACAAACCAAACCGAGGCAAGTCCTGCCTGAGAATACCCATGTCCCTAGTAGACATGAACTCTTCCCACGAACACGAAGATTTTGCCATTTGCACTGAATTTCGCGTAGTGATCATGGAGACGACTAAACACTCTTCTACTCGCCGGAAGGTCCATTGAGAGTTGCCCCAAGTTTCCACGCCTTGCCAGAGTTAGGACTGCCATCAGCATTCCAATCCAATCTCTGAGCTTCTGTGTATCTGTTGCCATCGCAGGCAGCAGCCGAGTTTGCAGTAGCATGATGGACATTCCAAATCTCCTTGTTGTCAGGACTGTTGAAAAATCTATCAAAAATGTTAGCTCACGGCAATGTCTGGATTGATACCAGTCTTCAATCCACCCAAAGTCTTAGATCTGGTGACTTGGATGTCGATCGACTCAGTGGTCAACAGATAATAGTAGCCATCACCAGAGTAAACAATGAAAGCATCCGATCCATCCTTTGCTTTCAGAGGGTTGGTAACAGAAGCAGCAAGTGCAGTAAAAACGGCACCGAGCACCAGAAGAACAGCCGAGGCGAACGTCATGCTGAGTTAAGAAGGAAACACCTGCTTATTGAGAATAGAAGGAGCCATGCACGAAAACCCAAGCCCTCTTGAACATTCAGAGAACCTATCTTTCCACCATCTCAGCTTTTGAGAATGACCACTATGTCCACGGATAGTTTATCCGTCAATAAGATGGATGCATATGGCCAAAGGGAGCTTTCTTTCAACGGTATGTACAGGGCTTGCCAAGCATATGTTGCTGACGGCGGTGTCACTTCCTAGAGAGTTGCATGGCCTTGCAACCATCCCGAAGGCCAAGAATACCACTTCTAGTGATGAAGAAAAAGGTCTATGAACCACGCGTGGAGGAGCCAAAGATGAATCAGTGTTTAAGATATGGTAAGCGAGACCGAGTAGCGCCCCACGGGGTCGAAAGATGGAGCTGCAGAGGTTAAAGACGGAAGCACAATATATCATACTGCAAGTGCTCCGGATGGAGATGCTGGAAGCGACCAAGTAGAAAGAGCGACCTTGGGGCCGAGCTGTACGGACATCCGTTAGTGCACCTTGACAAGTTTCGAACAAAGGCATCTCGGTTGTTTGCGAATGTTGTTGACGGAAAAACTTCTTTGGTATAGTCAACTTCTAAACCAAAAGGACACTTACCACAGCCTTGACTGCCGTCCGGAACAACCCCACAAAGCAGAGCTCCACGCCCATATGGACATCCTCTAACCACGAAGAACGTCGACGACTGGACCTTTGTACACATGCCTCCCTCTGATAATGTAATACACAATCGAAATGAGGGCCACTCCACCAAACATAACGCAGCCATAATTCATCGTCTTGACAGTGACGACGGCGAACATCGGGAAGAAACTGATGATGGCTTGCTGTATCATGTATAGGATAGCACAGGCGTTGATCGGGATGCCCATCTTGCCTAGAGAGAATCTTCCTTGAGGCAAGGGCTTTTTGCAAATCTTCCGCCAGAGCACGCATGCAATACTGATGGAGTATGAGAACCCNCCAGAGCCGGCAAGCAAGCCAACGATTGAGTTGAAAGCTGTGGTTGAGCCAAGGTTGATAAGTGCGAGGACGACTGTGATTGATAGAGAGAAGAGGATGGCGTTGAGTGGGATCGGTGTGCCAATGGTCACGATNCTTCTCCGGTCAGTACGTTCGCCTCTTTTAGATTGTTGGGCGTTACTCACCTGTCTGAGCCACCCAGAGAAAGGCATGCCCTTGTCACGAGCGAAAGAGAAGATCTGACGAGATCCAGCAGCGACAACGCTCAATGCAGCGAAGAAGTTGAGAAGCAAGAAAAGTGTTGTCATGAGCGTGGCACCGACGTCAGAGCCAACGGCTTGCTGGAAGATCGAAATGTACGGATATACCGCCATGTTGTTTGCAACCATAGTGTCGTAGTCAGTGATGCAAAGGACAAAGGTGATGATCGAGACAAGGCCCAGTGCACCGTTCAAAAGCACGGTGGCAACCATGACCCGAGGAACTACATAACTCGCGTTGGCGACTTCCTCAGCAAGATGGGCTGGAGCATCGGATCCNTTTGACTCATTAGTAAGAGAAGCTTCTGAGGAGCACCCATACCTACCTCCAAGAGACCCCACAGCAGTGAGTTGACCTATCACTACCGCGGCTCCAATACTGCTCCAGCCGCCAGTGTTGGCGAATGAAGTAAAAGCTTCTTTGGCCGAGATTTTGGGAGCAACGACCCAAAGTGGAATTAAGACAGCAAAGAATCCAAAGATGTGCAGGAATAAAATGGCCGCTTCGAGTAAAGGTAGACGCTTTGCTCCCAGAGTGTTGACCATTACAGCCAATATCGCCATTAGGATGGTCATGAGAGTGCCGTGCCAAAGGGCGGGTGTATAAGAAGGATGCATGGCAGAAGCGAGTTCGAGAATGACGTTACCAGCAGCGAAAGACGTGAGCGCGATCGATGCTTGCCAGCCCAATGCGGAAAGCCATCCGACGAAGTAGCTGAGAGCTTTTTGACAGTTTGTAGGAGCAAACTCACTAGTCCCTGGAGCACAGATGGGATCAGCATAACTTCGAACAAGACGTTTCTGCAGATTCTCACAGTGGTATTGACCCCCCGAAGTGGGGGCCATACTAGCCATCTCTGCAAGCGATAGTGTGACAGAGATGGTACAGATCCAGGTTGCGACGTAGGACCAGATAGAACCAGCCAGTCCGCCATTGATCAAGCTGAAGGTTGCAGAGCCTATCAATGCTTGCCATGTCCCCATGNNCTTGACCCGAGTTAGCTTTGTCGAGATCTGGCACAGACGGACGAGAGCATACAGAACACTAGACAGACCGAGCATGGAGAAAGCATGAAAGTTTCTCCTAAACTCCTGCTTCTTTCCCAGGCGCATCATATCGGCAGCATCTCGAGCGGTTCCAGACTTGGTCCCTTGTCCTGGCTGCATTTCATAGCTCTTCTCGCTGATAGGCGTTTGAAGCTCATAGGCTTCGTGCTTGTTGTCGAGCATTTCAATGTCGGGTACCCAGGATGAGGGAGCGATAGAAGTCCCAGGTGGTGGAAAACATGCCTATCATATACCGGGTCTACCAGTCGCCGGCTAATGTCGATTGGGCGTTGATGTTTATCTTACTCAATATCCTGCATTCTTGTCTTGATCGGTCAAGTTGCCAATGTTTTCGCACGGTTGAGCGGCACTTGCGGTTTGCTGCACATGGCCGGGCGTTTCTGAGCGGCACGAGTTCAGTCGCAGTGTCGCTCCTGCTGTAGCTGGTGAGGGGGGTTGTACGAAAAGCTCATTGTGTGGCGTGAGCAGATGTCCGGCTTCGTATTAACATGATATGCTTGCAACTGTGCATGAGTGTGCGTGATACAATACTAGCGCTGTGACCACATGCGATCGATCGCTCTAATAGTTAATTACAGGGTGGTAGCGAAGGTGTGACACAATCTACGCTTGCATTGCGCAACCAGGAATCTGCACTTCGGCCCATCTCCTCAACACTTGATAGCAACTTCCGTTTCAGAGTAAGCAGTATTACCTACTGCGTTATGGGCTCTTGCCGCTAAGCGAAACACTATGCAATGCTTCGTATTTGCTTCGGTTACATCATGGCCCCATGTGCACTCAGAGAAGAAGACGAGCACACTTTGTGTGTGACAATGCTAATGCCGGGCGTGTGTCGTCTTACCTCTACCTTGGATCTTTCCGGGGTGTGTAGGACATAGGGTCACCAATTCCGGTAAGGTTGAGGATATAAATGCCACGTGTGGTGATGCACGACTATACTGTTGCGGCCCGTTGAAAGACACGCGGTGTGTCGTACAGAAGCCAATCATCCATGGTAAGATGTATCATCTAGAAGAAGATCTTGCGTAGTTTGCAGTTTTGGGCTTGCAAAGGCTCGACGAAAACCAGGTAAGCGTCACTTCCAGAACCACCACTCATCGTCTTTGACAGCTGCAGCAGAGCGAGCGCCATTTGCCGCCAGCGGCACAACATGAATTTGAAGTTGCGAGCACCCGTCGAGGCGACCTCATGAGAGATCGAAAATAGACCATGGTTGCAACAAAGGATTTTGTGCTCTCGGGTCGTGGTCTCCATGGACGCGTCCGACAATGCCCTCCAAAGTACAAATCGCACAAGTCAGCCATGTACTGCTCTAAAAGCATTGGCTTTGACTGCACAACCTAAGCCTCGGTTTCCGCTGCCCCTTGTGAAGAACACTTGGAATGATGCTCGGTGTTACGCTTACTTTTGTGTTCGGGTCCTTTCACGTAAAACTATGTCGGCGTATGCATCTGGCCTTCGCTTTTTCGCTCCGATAGTCGTCTTTGCCAGAATCCCCNAGGTCGAGATGGAAGCAGTAAGTTCGAAGTCCCGGCCTGCCATCACGGCTACAGACCATTCAGCATTCATCTTCATAGCAACAGCTATGTGTATTGTTTGTATGTTGCTCTTTCTGGCCGCTCGGCTCGTTGTTCGATATCCATGGAAGCGGTCTCTAGGACCTGACGACTGGACGACCCTTGTGGCTTCGGTGAGTCCACAAGCCCATGATCAAAATGGTCAAACTGACTTCTCAGNNGTGTGCGCCTTATGCCAGAGTATTGTTTTGCTCTCAAGCGCCAAAGCTGGGCTTGGAAAGGCTGAACTGGTGCTTTCGTCCCGTCAGATAAGAGCAACTCTCAAAGTATGGGCCCTGCTTTGGATTTACCATGATCTATATTGACCACAAGNNCAGCTTCTGTACGCAAGCGATCTTCTTTACGTACCAGCCATCTTTATTGCACAACTCGCGGTCAGCCTCTTCTTCTTAAGACTGTCTGGACCCGAACGGAGTTTCTTCCACCGACTTGCTCGCTTCATCGCAGGAGCGTCGGTATCTGTTGCAATTGGGTGTTTCCTGATGATTGCGATCAGGGTAGAGCACGGTATACGCGTATGGGGAATCATCGTGGTGGGCCACAGATCGATAGTGAGTCCCTAAGAGCACACCGTGTGTAGACCAGACCACTTATGATTCCACAGCNTTTATCGATGGACCGCAACTGGCGTCTTGAGCATGCTGATTGAGATCCTCCTGATCATATGTCCCGCATGGCTTCTATGGACGCTCCATATGCCGCTAAAGAAGAAGTTGGGCTTTGCGATTTATTTCAGTCTCCGGTTCNCCGTAAGTTAGTTCGGTGAATCGAGTTTCATGGTTGCTAACAGGGTCAGAACGATCATGCTGACCATCTTCCGACTGGTGGCATTGGCCAAGGCGAGTAGGGGATCGGATCGTACATTCGACATGACGTTACCAGTAGTTCTGACACAGCTCGAGATGCACTTTACCGTTCTGGCTGCCACGATACCGATTCTCCGAAACCCGCTTGCCAAGCTCAATTCAGGATATCTCAACACAACGTTGGAGCAGATGGATCCGGCAGCCAGTGCAGCGTATGCCTCATCTAGGTCAGGCAGCAGTGGTAAAGGGCCATCATTTGCTCTGTCGCATATAACGGGTAGCGGCCAGCGCAACGACACGGTCGTTGAGCAGAGAGAACGAGAAGGTATCGAGACAATCGCCGAAGGGGGATCGGATACGCTTGGAGAAGGTCAGAGTATGCTGTCCGAGGGTTCTGACCAGATCATGATCAAGCGGACAGTCATGATAGATTACGCATGATGTCGACGGCCAGAATGTCAAGCTGTTGGAATCTCTTGCATGATCTGTAAAGTGTTGGCTTGTACGAGTGACAATCCTCAAGCGATCATACAATTAGGTCAAGGTCACGTCTCTGCATTGGAGTGAACGAGTGATGAATGATGGATGTCGTCGCACAAGGGCGAAGTCGGAGGGATTTTCCAGGACGCGGAGTCAAGCCGATGCAATCCGTGCGTGGCTGGCAGACCTACGTAATTGGCTTTTTCGAGTCTTTGTAAAGTCGAAGCATCGCAACCAATCCAACTACGATATGTCTGGAGTTATAGATCAACAGGGAGATGAGGTGTATAGAGTGTTACAGTGGCGTGCGATGCCTCAAGATGAACAATAGCTTGAGGAAGTGGGTCAACAGACAGAGGAGTGGTTCGATGGACAGCAGGCAGACTACCCCACTCTGATGTGCCGGGGAGATGGACGACGGCCGCAGTCGGCGACAGCGATCCAGGCGCTTGGCATGCAGGTCGCACTCCCGAAAACCAAAGCAACAGGCCAGAGGCCGCTGGCGAATATTTTTGAGTCATCCGCTCAGTGAAAGTCGCTCGAAACAGAGGCCAAACCAAAGACTTGTTTCCTCCCACGCACACACCCGTTGCTTGCGGCACATTGACCAAGATGCTCTCGTCACAAGCCCCGAATCGCGCTCTCCGCTTGTCGCTCCGCGCTCGCCACTTTTCCACAACTCGCCCTGTCGCTGCCATCTCGCCCTACCGATCGCCGAATCCCTCGACAAAGTCGCAAAAGAAGGTCGAGAAGAGAGAACAGAGCACAGCTGCCGCCGCCCAAGCCGCCAATTCCTCGCCAGCACGCGCCGTCCCTAGCCCAGCCTTCAACCGCTCCTCCAAGGACGATGTCTCCNCCCTCCAGGCCTTCAGACAGCCCGAGATGGACCACTCGTTCGTCGGCATGAACGGTGGTCAGATCTTCCACGAGATGATGTTGAGACACAACGTCAAGCACGTCTGTGAGTAGCTACAACTACCCTCTGCCTTGCACACTCGCGACTAACCCACTTCCACAGTCGGTTACCCTGGAGGCGCCATCTTGCCCGTCTTCGATGCCATCTACAACTCAAAACACTTCGACTTCATCCTACCCCGTCACGAGCAAGGAGCTGGCCATATGGCCGAGGGCTACGCCCGTGCATGCGGCAAGCCTGGTGTCGTCCTCGTCACATCTGGTCCTGGGGCCACCAACGTTATCACACCCATGCAGGATGCTCTGATGGACGGAACCCCCATGGTTGTCTTCTGCGGTCAGGTCCCCACCACCGCAATCGGCTCGGACGCCTTCCAGGAGGCCGATGTCATTGGTATCTCGAGAGCCTGCACAAAGTGGAACGTCATGGTTAAGAACATTGCCGAGCTGCCGCGCAGAATCAACGAGGCCTTTGAGATCGCTACCTCTGGCAGACCCGGCCCCGTCTTGGTCGACTTGCCCAAGGACGTCACTGGTGCCATGCTCAACCGCCCCATCCCCATGAGCAGCACTCTCCCCACTCACCCTAGTGCCGCCTCTCTCGCCGCAAAGGACTTGAGCAGAAAACAGCTCGACACTGCCATTGCTCGCACCGCCGAGATGATCAACAAGGCCAAGAAGCCCGTCATCTACTGTGGTGCTGGTGTTCTCGGCCACGAGGACGGTCCCAAGCTCTTGAAGGAGCTCTCCGACAAGGCTCAGATCCCCGTCACCACCACTCTCCAAGGTCTCGGTGCTTACGACGAGCTTGACCCCAAGGCCCTCCACATGCTCGGTATGCACGGTTCCGCCTTTGCCAACATGTCTATGCAAGAGGCAGATCTCATCCTTGCTCTCGGCGCTCGTTTCGACGACCGCATCACTGGTCACGTTCCTCGCTTCGCTCCCCAAGCCCGCCTGGCCGCCCAAGAAGGCCGTGGTGGTATTGTTCACTTCGACATCATGCCCAAGAACATCAACAAGGTCATCCAGTGCACCGAGGCTGTCGAGGGTGATGTGACTGACAACCTCCGTCACCTCCTTCCCCAGGTCAACAATGTTGCCGAGAGTGATCGCAAGGAATGGTTTGCCCAGATCGCCGACTGGAAGAAGCGCTTCCCCTGGGCTTACGAGAAGGAATCTGGCCCCGACTCGCTCATCAAGCCCCAGACTGTCATCAGCATGCTGTCTGACCTGACTGCCCACATGAAGGACAGGACCGTCATCACCACTGGTGTCGGCCAACATCAAATGTGGACCGCTCAGCACTTCCGCTGGCGCAACCCTCGCACCATGATCACTTCTGGTGGTCTTGGTACGATGGGTTACGGTCTCCCTGCCGCTATCGGTGCCAAGGTTGCCTGCCCCGAGAAGCTTGTCATTGACATTGACGGTGACAGCTCGTTCTCTATGACTTTGACCGAGCTCTCTACCGCTGCCGAGTTCAACATTGGCTGCAAGGTTCTTATCCTGAACAACGAAGAACAGGGAATGGTCACACAATGGCAATCCCTCTTCTACAACGACCGTTTCGCCCACACCCATCAGCGCAATGCCGACTTTGTCAAGCTCGGTGATGCTATGGGTGTCCAGGCCCGCCGCTGCACCAAGATCGGTGACCTCAAGGATAGCCTCCAGTGGCTCATCGAGGGCTCCGGCGAGGGCCCCGCCCTTCTCGAGGTCGTCACCGACCAGAAGATCCCCGTCTTGCCCATGGTCCCTGGTGGCTCCGCCCTCCACGAGTTCCTCGTCTACGATGAAGCCAAGGAGAAGGAGCGCCGTAAACAAACAAGAGAACGCAGTGGAAGATAAAATCGCCTTCTGATGCGATAAGTTGTCTCTACCTTTCTCTTTTTGTTTACATTCCGTCGGTCCTTTGACCCCCTTCTTCATGACTTTTTGTGGTGTTTTTCGAGCATATCTGGCGGCGGAAAAGGATGTGGTTCCTTTGCGGGGCGTTTTATATCTATGGTCATCACCACCTTTTTGCTATTTTCACTCGAAGAGATAGATCAGATTGCAGAAGCTGGATATTCCGTCTTTCTGGTGTACAAAAGTGTTATTTTTCTATCATTATCTGATATTGTCTTCCGCACAAGCGTTTGGTGGGAAGAAAGAGAAAATGCAATCCATGCGTCTTTCGACACGTAATGTTTCCTGCTCCAAGTGAACATTGTCCATCCCACCCTCTGCAGACTGGCGGAACACCACCAGCCTCAGGCAGAAGTCACACACACTCACTCTGTTGGCAACAGGCGTTTCCATGTTGGCAACATCTGAATGGCATCTGTTTGCCCACAGCTGTGCTTCTTCCAGCTGCAATGAGACTCGCATTACACGATGGTGCGAAACAACTCTGGGCGTCGTCAACATGATCCTGATACCTGAGGTATGCCCAGAAAAGGAAGGACAGCTGCATACATTGGCGGGGCAACCACCTGGGCAGGCGAGAACCATTCACTCATGTCTTGGAAGGTAGGCACCAGCATAACATTGAAAATCTTCATAAGCTACAGCATCATCTCTGCATTCGAATGTTGAAGCCATACACACCTAAAGCATGGATCAGTTTTACTTGAAAAATGCAGCGCTTTATCAGACTTACGTCGACAAAGTCGATCCAACCGAGCCTCAACTTCACTTTTCGAATTTGCCGCCTCAGGCACCAAAGACCGTCACAGACAACGATAATCCCAACATGGCCATCAGCGTTCGCATCCGCCCAATGCTGCAAGACGACATTACTTCAGGCTTTCCTTGTGCTGTATACCCTCGTCCTCACGATCCGACAGCCGCACACCAAACCATAGATCTCCATGATCTCTACAACCATCCACGAAGACCTCGTCCTGTTCTGAGGTCCTCGACGCATAAGCTTCAGACTGTGTTCGATGCCAGCGCGAGCACAACGCAGGTCTATGATGAGGTTGTGCGTGACTTGGTGCTATCTGCTGTAGATGGCAAGCTAGGAACTCTCTTTGCATACGGGCAGACTAGCTCTGGCAAGACCTTCACCGTCACAGAGTTGCAAAAACTCGCCGTTGCAGACTTGTTGGACCGTCAGACTGAGTTACATGTCACTATCATTGAACTGGCAGGCAATGTAGCCTTCGACCTTCTCAACCAACGCGAGAAGATCGCTGTCCGCGAAGATGCATCTGGAACCACGCAACTTGTTGGCGCCATCGAGCATCAAGTTGCCGACAAAGAGCAAGCTTTTGACTTGCTAGAGAAAGCAATGTCCTTCCGCCGTGCTGCACCAACCCTCAAGAACCCCGCCTCCTCACGCTCCCACTGTATTTGCCGCATCAAAGTCACCTCGCCTGGCTCGCCAACACCAGGTTTCCTCTACATGGTTGACCTCGCCGGCTCCGAGATCGCCCGCGACGTAACCGCCCACGGACCCGAATTAATGCGCGAGACGCGTGAAAACAACGTCAGCCTCTCAGTCCTCAAAGACTGCATTCGGCAAAGAGCACTGGCAGCAACGAGCAAGAAGAAAGTGCATGTGCCGGTAAGAGGCAGCACATTGACAAAGATCTTGAAGCATGTGTTTGATGTCGAGGGAGGCTCAGACTGCAGGACTGTGGTTATCGCGTGTGTGAACCCGAGCCTGGCGGACGTTGCGTCGTCGAAGAATACGCTTAGGTACGCCGAGTTGCTGGGGAAGATAGATTGAAGCTTACCTGGGAATCAATTGGCGCACTGATATGTGCATTGCTGAAAATCTTGAATAGAGCCAGTCATCTAGCTTGTGTCGTTGACACTCGACCAACCTCAACATCAAGACAGGACGGTCGGTCAGTACCACAACTCTGCCTGTTCTGCCTCGATTTTCCCATCTAGTCTTGAGAACTGTGCGTTTTGATTGTACACACGTATCAGACTGCCTTGAGCACCATGTTCTCCTTCAAAGCGTGTATCTAAACGTTACAGCCTTATCTCCGAGATCGCCCAGCTCTTCCGGGGTATATCTCTCGGCTTCTCCCTGCGCCAGCGCAATCTCTCTTTGCTTGTTGATGCGACGATAGCTCAAGACCTGAATCACAAGAGCCACCGTACCCATACAGATGAAGCCAATCTCAAGACCATGGCCAAGAATATACCTCGGAGCATCTGTGCTGCGATAAAAGTTTGATGCCATTGCNTGGAAAACACCATCAGTAACGTCGGAACCACAGTGAGGATAAAAGGAGAACAACATACCGCCAGCCAAATTTCCAACACTAATCTGGATACCCATTCCAACAGCTCTCTTGTAGCTGCCGGACAAGTTGTTGCTTAGCCATGTGATGTTACTTGGTTGACACTGATACAATGCACATGCTGCGATGAAGATTCCGGCATATGTGACTCCGGGATGACTGGTCGCGATACACATGATGAAGCCAACAGCCTGGAAACACAAGCCGACCAGGATCCAAGGTGAGCGAAGTCGTTTTCGATCAGCGGCATACGCCACGGCGATTGTGATTGCAGATGCCACGACGTAGATGGGTACTGTGAGCAATTGTGCTGTTGTGGTTTTGTATCCCAGCTCTTTGATGATCGTAGGCAGAAACAGCGAGATGCCATATAATGGACAAACATAGCCCCAGTACACGACGACATTGACCCAGATCTGCCAGTCCTTGAAGGCAGCAAAGAGGAACTTTCTGTCAGAACGATCGGTTTGAGCAACTCGATAGCCGTGCTCTGTGTTGGCGTCTTGACCATCGTACTTGAGGCGATAGGTGATGAAGGCACGTTCTTCCACAGTCAAAAAAGATGCGGTCTCGGGGTAGTCGACCAGGACAAAGAATGCAACAATCGCAACAAGGAAGGTCAGTAATCCTTCGAGGATGAAGATNCCTGTTAAAGGTTAGTAAAATCATCTTGGTCTTAATTGAAAAACGCACCATCTCCATCCTGCCAATCCTCCGACGCCNTGTATCATTCAAGTCAGTACCATCGCGTCTTTCCAATGATAGAAATACATGCCTTCCATATATGAGATGCCGTATGCCAGAAGACCAGAGAATGCACCAGCAACACTTGCCGCACTGAAAAAGTATGCCTGTCGGACCTGGACTTCGTACCGGCAGTACCACATTGTGTTATCTTCCAGACACCACGGATCAGCATATCACATCTGAGTGTCATTAGGGATCAAGACTCACAGNAAGACGACTCCAGGAAAGAGGCCTGCTTCCGTCACACCCAAAAAAATTCTGGCAATGAGCAAACCATTGAAGTCCTTCACTAGGCCCATCAGGGTCATNCTGCTTCTCCGTCAGGGATTATTATAGAGCCGCTGGTCGGAGCCTCTACTCACGACTATTCCCCAAGCAACCATGATAGACGGCAACCAGATCGAAGGCCTCAGCTTCTTGAGTAACATGTTACTCGGTACCTCGAAAGCGCAATATGTGAAGAAGAAAGCNTGACACGCCGCCAGGATTCAGCAATCAATATTCAAAGACAGTCAACACGCAGTCAACTTACCTGTCAAGCACCAATTGTACTCCGCACCCGTGAGGTGAAGGTCTTCAGCTAAACCTTCAATCTTCGCATTGCCTATATTGCCTCTATCCAGGAAACTTAGCAGGTACTGTCCTCAAACATCAGCATCTTCATCTTCTGCACAGAGAATTCCGGAGAATTGATCACGAACCAAGACGGTTAGCATAGGAACCAGTCTCATATCGATCTTCCTCAATATTTTGTTGATATCCAGGTGTGCGAAACTCTCAAGCGTAACCGAAGGATCCTCCGCAATCGCATCGATGGCAGTAATCTTCTCGTCTTTGGTCATGTTCTTGTCTTCTATGTGCATTATGTCTTCTTTTTGTGCTGAGGAGGCTGGAGATGCCAATGGATGGATATCCTTTTCCATCTCGAGATCGGCTCAAGAGAGTAGAGTGTTTGGAGGTGAGGTGATGGTTTCCGGGAGAGCTAGAAGAGACGTCGATGAGGACGAGATGGACGACTCGATGATCTCAAGGCTTCTGATTATTATACTTACCGATTGTCATGTGGAGGGGCTGCATGATACCTCTGCATTTCGTATACTTGACCCACATCGGTGTTCTCACCGGTGGAGTAAAGATGCGGGGATATCAGAGACACATGCAGTGATGTTCCACGACCGGGGAATGTCTTGTCGATCTCTGGTCCTTGTGCAGGTACGCTAGTTGACCAAGGCAGGTAGGGCGAGTATGGACGACATGCGCTGTATTGTATGATTGCAGCAGAATCAGACCTCCAATGGCAGTGGTCCGATGCCCAGATCCCGTATTTGTATGCAACAGAGAAGATCGTAAGGAGCTGCGATGGATCCTCGAATCTTTGCGAAGCTGCTGCTCGGATGAGACTACGGGGACAGTGGGTCAGCTGATGTGCTTACCAAAAGCGATGGAAATTCCTTGACCTCGCCAATGACTTCAACGACGGTAGCAAGCCTGGTTTCAACTTCGAGTCCAGCGCCGGCATCAGGAAGGCCCCCAGACACTCATTAGTATGACAGCATGCAGAGCGAATTACTACTCTTGTTCGGGAGAGAGGAATGAGGCACAAATCCATGCCTGATCGAGTCGACAAGGCAGGCTTGGCCACAGACGAGAGGCAGGCACGACCAGAGTGGACAGTTTGAGTTGTCATAAATGTGTTTTTATTGCAGATCAATCTTCGTCTATCGCAAGATGAGAAGTCCACATATCAAGTAAAAAGAGAGTCATACATATTCGTGCCAGTATCCAATATTCGTATCCTTATTCGTAACCATATCCCGTCCCAAACTCCCAGTCCGTTTGGGTATCTTAAACAGTGTAGCGGAAGAAACTGGCGTTATCACCACGCTCGCGCTCAAGGTTCTTCTCCTCGGAAGTGTAGTCCTCGGGACGCTTGTACTCTGCATCTCTGCGGGCGTTTTCGCGGCGAAGGTAAGTGGTCATGAAAATCTGGAGGATCAAAGACATGCTCATCAAGCCAAGAAGGATGAAGTGACCAGTGTGGAACTTGGGCGAGTCTTTCTTGAGGTAGACGAATGAGGCAAGGATACCGCCGAGGTTACCGAAACCGACGTGCATGGCAATACCGACACCACGCTTGGTAGAACCACCAATGTTGTTACCGTTCCAGGCAACACCTTGAGGGACGTTGGGGTAGATACCACAAGCGAAAAGGAAGACACCGGCGTACTTGACATGGGGGTTGCTAGATGAGACTTGGAGAATGACACCAAGCATAGCGGTAAGAGTGAAGCCGATCATGAAGATACCGCGAGTGCGCAGTTTGTCAGCAAAGTATCCACCCGTGATACAGCAGAAGCAAGCAACAATGTAAGGAGGAACACTCATAAGCTGTGCCTTCTCATTGCTGTAGCCAAGAGTCTTGACGATGGTAGGCAGGAAGAGAGAGAAACTGTAGAGAGGGGTGTAGATGCCGAAGGTGATGAACATGTGGACCCAGATCTTCCAGTCCTTGACGGCGTGCATGAAGTACTTGGTGCCGTACTCGTCTGCAAGCGAGCTACGGTCTTCTTCCAGGCGGCGGGAAATCTCCTTCTTCTCAGTCTCGTCCAAGAACTTGGCAGTCTGGGGGTAGTCGTTCATGTAGAAGAAGGCGACGATGGCGACGACGAAGGTAAGAAGACCTTCAAGGATGAAGATCCACTGCCATCCGTGGAGGCCGCCCATCTTATCCATCTCAATGATACCGCGGGCGAGCAGGCCACCAAAAGCGCCAGCGGCGGTTGCAGCACTGAAGAAGATGGCCATGCGAAGACCGCATTCATGACGACGGTACCACATAGTGATGTCTACACACATACAAAGTCAGCCTACAGATCCAGATAAGCGTCGAGATGTAATACTCACANNGAAGGTAACACCAGGGAATAGACCACCCTCGGCAATACCGAGAGCAGCGCGAGCAGCAAGCAACCCGTGGTAGTTCTTTACGATACCAAGAAGAGTGGTGGTGATGCCCCAGAGAACCATGATGAACGGAATCCATAGTGCAGGGCGAGTACGTTTCATCATCATGTTCGATGGTATCTCAGCAAGAACATAGAAAGGGAAGAAGATGGCGAGAGCAATNCTGCCGTCAGATGTCAGTGAAAATCTAACCACTATTCCAAGACTACTCACGTTGTAATCCAGCCCCTCCATGTGAAGGCTCTTCTCCAGGCCAGCCAGACGGGCGTTGCCGATGTTGGTACGGTCGAGGAAACTCAACAGGTACAGCAGGGCAAGGAAAGGCAGTAGCCGCAGGTCGATCTTGCGAACCAGACGGGCAGTTGCCTTGTCATCGAAGAGATGTTCTTGCTCCGACTCTGAAGAGGTTGAGATGGTTTCGTAGAGCTCGACGGTACCCTTCTCCTGTACGATAGGAGGGTTGTGCTTTTCCTCAGTCATGATTGCCATGGCGAGTGAGTAGTGGCTTTGAACGAAAGAGATGTAATGAAAGTTGTCGATGGAATCAACGATAGTATGCAGTAAACGCGAACGCCTCTGATCAGCGCTGTCAGACTGAGATGAGATCTACCCTGCAGAGTGGTACGGCCGGAGAGCATCTTATATATGCTACTGCCCTACTGGCGAGACAAAAGATACCCCATACCCCAGACCCCGGACTTCTCCAGACCGGGGTATCACAACAGGTGGATCGTGTCGATGCCGTTGAACGTATTGGAACCTTGCTAGCAGTGCCCAGCACCATCGTCGAGTCTATCGAGGCAGCCAACACTGTCGGATGAAAGGCCAAGAAAAGCCACGGTCTTGGAAGCTGTATATCTGATTTCTTCCAACGGTTGAGTAGGCGAAAAAGGAGAAGAGAGTTTGATACTGCAGACGGCATGCGACCCCCACGTGCATGATTCGACACTCAAGGTCTCAGAGTCTCGAACCTTGCCAAAACGCACAAAGGGGAGCCGCTGTGCCAAGAACGTCGTGGCGGAGGCTGGATCTTGGAAGTTGACCTGAGTATTTCTTTCGCCTTGACTGTGCCTAAGCGATGTATCTTTGACGTGTTGCCCAGGAGAAGGGTGTGAGCCACATACAAAAGAGAATGCTTATCCCTGTGTCCATCTTGCTGCTAACGGATGAATAGACAAGATATATGTTCGTGAAGGAGGAGGTGAAGTTGGAGGAAAGTGTGGAGAAGGGGAACGAACAAACCTTCGAACGTGCAACACCGCCTGAGATTGCCCTCGGTGAAACCGACCTGCCAAGTCGCTAAGAATTGCTAGGAAGGAGCAACCGTGGTACACGACGATGCAGTTCGACACGATCGGTACTCCTGCAAGGTGATCATGATAGAAGCCAATCTTCCACCTGTCATCATCCGGCTGTTCTGGATAGAGAGTGCGAGGTTTCGCAAAGGGTTTCTGGCTGCGGGCACTCGGATTCCCCCACACTCAGCGTGGCCATGAACGACCTCCGCTCCTGCAATACTTGGCACCTCAGCCATCTTCAAACGGCAAGACCGAGTGACCACAATTTGACCTTTAATCTAATCATTGCCGTCGTGCAATCCTCGTTAGAGTCCCGGATGGATGGGACAAGCAATTACAGACATGCTTTTTCTCGAACCTCGAGGTCTTCCAAGACGACGAGGGCTCATCACTCACAGCCACGAGCAAGCCGAACCTAACGCCATGCCTTGTCTTTGATGCACGCAACTTCCATGCATCACAACGGCGGATCCTCCGGATAAAGCCTCGCCTGCGGAACTCCTCCGCTGACTCCACTGCTTGATACCTCGATAGAGACTGCGGGCTTGCTCTAGCTTTCGGAACCCCCTCTCCTCTTGTGGTCCATGGACGCACTGCCTCTTTCCGCGCGCTGGCTGGACTGGCCACGATGATTTGGCATGTCGCTGAGTTTATTTGCTTTTCCTTGAGCTTCAGACATTCTGTGTTGGTCTCATTCATACTGGCAACCATCTACGGACCATGGCAATCTCGCGGCGAGTGACACCTCACACGGGTGGAACAAACAAATCTTTATCACGTCCGCCAGAAGCCGGCGGTCAGCACACTTGGACTCTGGCAGCCACATCCTTGGTTGAGGCATCTTGGCTGACTCTTGGTCAAGCCCAATCTTGTGCTGAAGATGCCTCGGCATACATATTACAGAGCCACCTTTCAGCAAGGTCCCCATTCGAGATGACCACAATTCTTTTGAACAGATCTTGGGCGACAACGATTCGAGCGGGTTGTCGACCCAAATACGACCTCATAGTACAAATCATTCGTTGTTTGTCACGTTCGCAAATAGTCGGGTCCAGTAAGAAGTTTGAGATGTGTTAAAACAATGTCCCTCCTAATCAGAGTACTTCTCGCTGTCTCAAATGCCGGCAACTGTCCGAAGATAACCCTACGGTCAAATCTCCATTGGTTGATGGACTCAGGCATATAGTCAGCCCGCCACGACCCATCAGTCCATCGACTCGAATAACGAAAGGGCCGTTCGTTTCTGGTGCTTTCAATGTATCCTTTCTTATCCGCCTGTAAACCTGTTGACCAGATGTCGACACATTACCACCTGTGATTCCCGAATACACGCTTCGTCTCGAGGCGTAACCAACATACTGCCGATCATAACAAAGCTCGTCTATCGGTGAAAAGCCTCGGTGTTCTGTTAGACGTACAACTCACTAGCTAGTCGTCAGTCAAAACACAAACCTGCACTGTCCACTTTCACTTAGTATAGCAAACACCTCTACACTTTACGACAGAACTCTTCAAACATCTTGAGTCAAATACGCGGATGTGGTGACTTATTCACACGCTCTCTTTTCCTATTCTAACAACGTCATAAGCAGTAAGGTGTTGTCCCATGCCATTCGACATAGCTAATGTGTCTTTTGCTTTTTCCAAGTCAGGATTCTGCGGACATTGACTTAGGCCTAGCTTGATCATGTTATCGGTAACGATCACATTACTTTTTTTCGTTAAAATTCTTAGCAGTCCTGGATCATGCCTTGTTGTAAGATGAACACTGACTTTGACGCTTGATAGTATTGCTACAGGGCCGTCTAGCAACTATTCTCTACCGTACAAATTGCTGTATTTTCTCTCCCACGGCTTTCAGACGGGGCTAAGATGCGGCACACAGACCTTGACATATAAAGCCTGTGATTGCGGGAAAGTGGAACAGGAGATTAAAGGGTCTTCAAAGGAGTCCCAGAAGGATATTTGAGCGTCGCCCTTGAGCGTCGAGTGTAGTGATGGTTGAGTGGGTTGCGAACTGGAAGGTATGACCAGGGTCATGACCACAACAAGGCAGCCTGTCAAACGCTGTATCCCTCTCCGGACACATCTCTCGGATCAGACCATAGTCGACGGTCAGTGGGTAAATGCGATGGACATAGAAGCGCGATATGATTGAAGTGTATCGTTTCTGGTTTTGAGAGTATGGACAGGGTATAAATCTACGCCTGGACCCTGAAGGTCCTGCCGCTGGCCGTCTTGCGCTCCTTTTCCTCGGCCTCTGGTCTTGCGCGACGAAGGACNTGTATGAATGTTAGTGAAGTGATGGGACTTGAGTGAGAAGGAGTCTCACCTTGAAGGAAGTCGGCAGTTCGTCTGCGCATTCTCGAGTGAATGTAGGCTTTTGAGGCCTTGATGTGGTAGTGGAAGTAGTCGCGGAACGTCTGGATGTGGGAGATGACTTCGTATCTTCTTGCAGGCTGGAGATGGCGAGGGAACAGTACGAAGGTGACGTAGCCGACATCAGCGGTGCCTGAGGGAGGCAGACCGGCCATGCCCTGCAACTCCAGAGGGGGGTCGTGACGGAACAGCACTTGAGGAGCGTTTTGGATGGCTCTGCGACGAGCATCAACAAACTCTTGCAGGAAGACCTTGCCGAAGATGCGGTCCGTCTCTTCACGGAAGATTGTGCTGAAGATGACGGTGACACGGTCGTGACTGGCCTTGACGTAGATGGCCTCCTCTTCGCGGTAGTGAATGGCTCTGACCTGGCCACCCTCGAGGACACCCTGGGGAGCAGATTCGGAAGTGTACTTGGAGGCCTCGTCGTGCAATGCTTGGTACTCGTCGAAAGCCTGCTCAAAGGGAGCAGCCATGGCGTTGCGCTTTAGCAAACTGATGCGGGAGATGAGGTCGGTGCGGGCTTGTTCGTCTTGGGGGAGGTTCTCGAGGTCAATCTCGATGGAGAAGTTGTAACCAGACTCGGGCTGGACAATGTAGCCTTCATATTCGCGCTGGAGGACCTGCTCGGCGCCATACTGGACAAGCTCGTGGTAGCATCGAATGTTGATGGAGATGAGGATCTTTGACTTTGATGTGGGGGTCGAGATGTGGAAGGTGACACCGTCAAAGTCGGAGACGACCTGGTCGATCGAGGTGGGGGTAGCGCTATAGAGACAAGGCGTCAGTCGGGTGTGCTGGACGCGCGGGACCAGGACGGGGGACGAGGGCAGCTACCCAGAGAAGCGATCCTTGAGCAGCGACTCGATCAGGACGTTTTGGTAGTCGAGCAACAACATGGCGGCGACGACGATTGAAGGTGGAAAGAGGCAAGATGTTCCGTACAGCAACAGCTACAAGAACAGCAGGAGCGTGGCTTGGCCGGGCAGTCGCAGGCCTGCGGGATCGTCATGCGAGGTCGACACCTTCCCCGGACTTTCTCTTGTCTTGGCACCTCTCAGGCGCTTGGATCAACCAACTTTTTGAGACTCAAGAACTTTTTGCCCGTCCAAACTTCTTTTGCTGCCGTCGTCGGCACCATGGTCAAATCCTATCGCAAGTACGAGCAGTCGGCCACCTTTGGTCTTGTCAACACCGCCCTGTCCAACCTCGTCTGGACCCCCGATAACCTCGTCTCGTCGTCCTCGCGCAACACTGGTGCTGGCAGAGTCTACGTCGGCGCCAACGAGCATGTCCTGGCCTGGGATGTGAAGAAGGGTGAGCTGCTGAGTCGCTGGCACGATCAAGACTGCAAGTCTCAGGTCTCGGCCATCGCTCAGTGCTCCGCCCAGCCCGACTTGTTCGCCGTCGGCTACCAGGATGGCAGCATCAGAGTCTGGGATGCTCTGTCCAACAACCCCATCATGAGCTTCAATGGCCACCGCTCCGCCATCACCCACCTGGTCTTCGACTCCGAGGGTGCAAGACTTGCCAGTGGCTCAAAGGATACCGACATTATCATCTGGAACCTGCTCTCCGAAACTGCCGAGTTCCGCCTCAGAGGACACAAGGACCAAATTACTGGCCTTCACTTCATCCGCACAAGGCCCTCGGGTCGCCAATCGCCTCACACCGACGAGGCTGTCGATGTCACCTCGGGCGAGCCAGAAGAATTCGAGGAAAAGTACCTGCTTTCCACCAGCAAGGATGCTCTGATCAAGATCTGGGATCTCTCGACCCCTCACTGCATCGAAACACATGTCGCCCAGACAAACGGCGAGTGCTGGGCTCTCGGTGTCTCTCCAGACGGCATGGGCTGCATCACTGCTGGTAACGACGGCGAGCTCAAGGTCTGGTCGCTCGATCTGGACAGTCTGGCCGAATTTGGCGCAAACATTGCCGAAGCGAAGCAGTCCAACTCTCTCACAGCACAGGGTATCCTCCTCCGCCAAAGCAAGGACCGAACTTTGAGCGTCGCCTTCCACCCCAAGGGCGAATATATTGCCGTTCACGGCTCCGAGAAGGCCGTCGAGATTTGGCGCATCAGATCAGATGAGGAAGTACAAAAGAGCTTGGCTAGANAAGAGAAAGAGAAGAAGAGAAAAGGCCGCCGCCGCCGGTGCTTCGGTAGCCGAAGTCGAGAAAGAAGAGAGAACACAACACCCGACGTCTCAGAGGTCTTTGTCTCGTATATCATTGTCCGCACTGGTGGAAAGGTCCGATCGGCTGCTTGGGCTGCTAACAGATCTTCCAAGAACGTAGAGCTGGTCTGCTCCACTACCAACAACCAGATCGAATCCTACACCATCACCAGCCGAGAAAGGTCAAAGAAGGCAACGGCAGAGGCTCCCGAGTACAACCGTGCTCTGGCCGTCGACATGCCTGGACACAGAACTGACATCCGTGCTTTGGCTCTGAGCTCCGACGACCGCATGCTTGCATCTGCCTCTGCTGGACTCCTCAAGATCTGGAATGTCAAGACTCAGAGCTGTCTCAGAACTCTCGAGTGTGGTCAGTCGCTCTGCTGCACATTCTTGCCCGGTGACAAGATTGTCCTGGTGGGAACCAAGACTGGAGAGCTTGAACTCTATGATATTGCCTCTTCCGCCCTGATTGACAAATTCCAAGCGCACGATGGCGCCGTGTGGACTCTTCAAGTTCACCCTGACGGAACATCAGTCGTGACTGGAGGTGCCGACAAAGCTGCCAAGTTCTGGAAGTTTGACATTGTCCAGGAAGAGATCCCTGGTACCCGGAGAACTACCCCCAAGTTGAAGCTCACCCAAACTCGCATCCTCAAGGTCGCAGATGATGTGTTGAGTGTCTGCTTCTCACCCGACTCTCGCCTTCTCGCTCTCTCCACTCTCGACAACACCGTCAAGGTCTTCTTTGTCGACACCCTCAAACTCTTCCTTACACTCTATGGCCACAAGCTTCCCGTTCTCAACATCTCCATCTCATCAGACAGCAAACTTATCGCCACTTGTAGTGCAGATAAGAACGTCCGCATTTGGGGGTTGGACTTTGGTGATTGCCACAAAGCATTCTTCGCGCATCAAGACAGTGTCATGCAAGTCTTGTTTGTTCCGCACCCTGTCGAGAAGGAAGAACAACATCTCTTCTTCAGTGCCAGTAAGGATTCAGTTGTCAAGACCTGGGACGGTGACAAGTTTGAGCAGATCCAAAAGTTGGAAGGTCATCACGGAGAAGTGTGGGCCATGGTTGTCAGCAGGACTGGCGAAAAGGTCATCACAGCTAGTCACGACAAGAGTATTCGCGTGTGGGATGTCACAGACGATCTCATCTTCCTGGAAGAAGAAAGAGAGAAGGAGCTCGAACAGATGTATGAATCGACACTGGCCACTCAACTCGACAGAGATCATGCCGATGATGACGAAGGCGCCGAGGACGATGTCGCTGCCGCGTCAAAGCAGACGATAGCTACCTTGACATACGGTGAACGTATCTTGGAAGCGCTTGAGCTTGGCTACGCAGACTACCAAATCATGCAGGCATGGCAAGCTGAAAAGGCAACAAAACCCAACCTCGCACCGCCGCAACGAAACCCAGTCTTCACATATGGCAATCTCAGTGCTGAGCAACATGTCCTGCAGACTATCCGCAGGATCCCGAATGCATCTCTCAACGATGCTTTGATGGTTGTGCCATTCTCGTCTTTACCAGTTCTCTTCATGTTTGTTTCTGTCTTCATACAGCGTCGCATGCAACCACAACTAGCATGGCGTGTGTTCTACTTTNTGCTACAAACACACAACGCACAAATCGTAGCCAGCAAACAGCTCAAGGATGTATTGAGCGAGGTGCTCGAAGCCTACGGTCAATTCGTCAAGGAAGAAAAGAACATGCTCGGTTTCAACATGGCCGCGCTGGGTCTCATGGGCAGAGAGATCAAGGAAGCACAAGTCCACGGCATGGACGACGAGCCAGAAGAACAAGAAGAGAAGCTGGAAAGGGGAACCAAAAAGCGTGCATTTGCTTCTGTTGCATAAAAGGCATTGGGTGGCTATTTGGTTTTATGGACTGTTCAAAGAGATGTTTTCTTTTTCTTATACCACATTTGTTGATAGAGTTGATATGACATGACTATTTTTCACAATTTGTGTTGGGCCATACCGGTCTTCTTGGCGACGACTGCTTCTGAGTCACGATGCATAGAAATTGGGATGTGTTTTGCGATGAGTCAAAGGTGAGAGATCCGCGCCGCCGGTCTCGGGGATGGGCGTCTGGGGGAGAAAAAGAAGTGGCAGGAAAACGGGTCGAGCTCGACAATGAGCCGTAGAGATGCACGTATCGTAGCAATTGATGAAGTTGAAACACTCGTGAACGCTTCGAATAGTTGGTCAGTGATTGACTGGACTTCATGAGGATTGAGACTTCTACTGAAGCATGCCATGAGGTGGGAATAAAGCGTCGATAGAGCTTCGCCGGATGGCCGGACTTGAAGCACCGACACAAGCGAATTGCAGTATTATTGGGTCGGCCAGCGTCGGCTTGGGCGAATTTTGTGTAGCAAACGTGGCAGCTGAGCCGGGAATATTGCAAATCAGCATTTCGAGCTCCAGCGTGAGATAAGCTGTGCTCCTTATCTGGGGACAGAGAGTACCGTGCAGGGGCCGATGTGAAAAATAAGTCGACGTCGCTGCTCTCTGACCGTTCTCCTCTTGTCATCTCAGTCATATCTTGAGCAATCAGCTCTCAATCCACCCATCTGCCATCGGCACGCGATTCGCCCTTATGCGGACTGCGCCCTCCGTTTTCACCTCCCAAGGTCAGTCTTTCGTTTGCACACCGCGAAGCTCTGCACGAGCGTTGCAAGTCGGTGCTCAAGTGCCGAGCTGTGTGGATGAAAACTGACAGACTCCCAGACTACATTAGCGACCACCTGTGGAAGGCCAACGTCAATTGAGACTGGCCTGTTAGCCCTATAAACTACCGACTTTTACCTTACACCAACTCTAGCCATGGCTTTCTCCAGGCGTCTGGCCCGCCAGACAGCCTCGAACCTGCTTCGTCAGAGCCAGCAGCCCATGTCTGCCAGGCTTGCTGCTCGTACTCTGACGACTCAGTCGAGCTTTGCTGCTAGCAACCCCGCGCTGCCCGCGCACCCAAGAGATCTACCAACCGCTTCCTTCAAGTCCGCAACGCAACAAGCAATGCTCAAGTTGCTCCCAGTGCAAAGGCTTACCTCGACAGCGGAGCTATTGCCGGTGCCCAGAACCTGATTGACGTCAAGAAGGTCTTGGTCATTGGCAGTGGTGGTCTCGCCATTGGACAGGCCGGAGAATTCGATTACTCTGGTGAGTCGAAGTCTCAAGATACGAGTAGGCAGGGCAACGACTGACAGTCATGGCAGGATCTCAAGCACTCAAAGCCCTCAAGGAGGCTGGCATTCACTCCGTCCTCATCAACCCCAACATTGCTACCATTCAGACCTCGCACGTTCTCGCTGACGAAATCTACTACCTCCCCGTCACCCCTGAATATGTGACCTACGTTATCGAAAAGGAACGCCCCGATGGTATCTTCCTCTCGTTTGGTGGTCAGACTGCCCTCAACTTGGGTGTGAAGATGGACGAGATGGGCATTTTCGATCGTTACAATGTCAGAGTCTTGGGTACCAGCATCCAGACCCTGAAGACCAGTGAAGACAGAGATCTGTTTGCTCAAGCTCTCAAGGAGATTGACATCCCCATTGCTGAGAGTATCGCTGTCAGCACCATCGATGAGGCTCTTGACGCCGCTGAGAAGGTTGGCTACCCCATCATTGTCCGTGCTGCCTATGCCCTTGGTGGTCTCGGTTCTGGTTTCGCCAACAACCCCGAAGAGCTCCGCAACCTGTCTGCTCGTTCTCTCACTCTCTCCCCCCAGATCTTGGTCGAGAAATCGCTCAAGGGCTGGAAGGAGGCCGAGTACGAGGTCGTTCGTGACGCTTCTGACAACTGTATCACCGTCTGCAACATGGAGAACTTTGACCCTCTCGGTGTCCACACCGGTGACAGCATCGTCGTTTCGCCCAGTCAAACCTTCAGCGATGAGGAATACCACATGCTCCGTACCGCCGCCATCAAGATTGTCCGCCATCTTGGTGTCGTTGGTGAATGCAACGTCCAATACGCTCTCCAGCCTGATGGTCTCGACTACAGAGTCATCGAGGTCAACGCCCGTCTCTCTCGTTCATCTGCTCTTGCCTCCAAGGCTACCGGTTACCCTCTCGCCTACACTGCTGCCAAGATTGGTCTCGGACACACTCTTCCTGAGCTTCCAAACGCCGTCACCAGAACCACCACTGCCAACTTCGAACCCTCTCTGGATTACATCGTCACCAAGATGCCTCGCTGGGACTTGAGCAAGTTCCAGAACGTCAAGCGCGACATTGGCAGTGCCATGAAGTCCGTCGGTGAAGTCATGGCCATCGGTCGTACTTTCGAAGAATCATTCCAAAAGGCCATCCGTCAAGTCGACCCCAGATTCCTCGGACTCCAGGGCGACAAATTCGACGACCTTGACGACGTTTTGGCAAACCCCACCGACCGCAGATGGTTGGCTGTCGGCCAGGCCATGCTCCACGAAGGCTACTCTGTCGACCGTGTCCACGAACTCTCCAAGATTGACAAGTGGTTCCTCTACAAGATCCAGAACATTGTTGACACTACCCACGAACTCGAAGCCATTGGCAGCCTTTACGGTGTCAAGAAGGAGCTCATGCACAAGGCCAAGAAGCAAGGTTTCTCCGACAAGCAGATTGCCAAGGCTGTCAACAGCACTGAGGACGAGGTCCGTGCGCGCCGCAAGAACTTCGGCATCACCCCCTTCGTCAAGAAGATCGACACTCTTGCTGCTGAGTTCCCGGCAAACACGTGAGATCCGCTCGCTCTGTAACTATTCAAGAAAACTGCTAACAAGTCTACAGAAACTATCTCTACGTAAGTTTTTTCTCAACTTTTTCTCTTTTTCGTTTTTTCCTTTGTGCGTTCAGTATGGAGTCAAGCACGTGACTTGGCCTGTGCTCTGTTTCTTTGCTGTTCAGTCAATGTGCTTGACTCGACCGCTACGAAATGCCATTGGATACTGGATACTGGATGCTGGACATACCACTGCCGTGGTCATGGTCACACGATCAGAACTTGAGCTATACATTCAAGTTTGCGAGCAAACCCCTCCTGTTTCTGGAGGTGCATCAAGTTTGCAAGCGGATACCTCCACTCTGAGAGTTATCAAGTCCGAGCATTGCATCGACGCAAGCCACGGTCATGCCTGTGCGACATCCTTAGGGATGGGAACTCGGACATGTTCGCACCACTCTCCCCGCATGGGCGGCATTGCAGATAAGTCTGTGTTTTCAAACTGCATGCGAACTGAACCATCACCGACGTTACGGTCAAGGTCAAGTTCCATACTCGGCTCTCGCCTCAAGTCTTGGCTGTCGAAGCCGGGGGCTTTGGAACGAAGTTTTGAGCACTTTCGAGGTCAAGATCAAGTCTTTGACCTCGAGGGTCGCAAACTTGACGGTCATGCTTGAATCTCGCTCAGGTCCTCCCGCTTGTTGGAGACAACTTGGGAGTGACTCTCGACTTGGGTCACGACTTCACTTTTCTGCCCACCTCGTGTCACGTTCACTTCACGCTTCCCTCGAAGTATTAAGGGTCGACCTTCTTAACCATTTGTGCTTGGTCGTAACCCTCGCAAGACCCGTGGCTGAGCTGTTTGGTCAACTGAATTCAGTTGCCGAACCATCTGAGTTCGGACTCTCGAGCTGCTGTTTGTGCTCTTGGGCAACTAAACTCAGTTGCCGAATCTGAATTTGGATTTTGGAGCTACTGTTTGTGCTCTGACCAACTCGATCTGGTCGACCGAGCTATCGATGAGGTTCATGGTCAACTGGACTCAGTTGTCGAACTATCCAAATTTGGATTTTGGAGATCGTTGGTGCTGCTGGTCAACTAAATTCCGTTGCCGAACCGTCCAAACTTCGACTTTTGAGCCTTTGATGATGCTCATAGCCACTACTTGTCGCATGTGAATGTCGTTATACCCTGACAGCACATGAGAGTGACTGAGAGAGTGGGTTTGCATGTGGAGATGTTGATGAGAATCTCTTAACCCCGGGTTAAGAAAATCGTCACACTTCCACTCCCATAATGAGAATGCTTAACTCCGGGTCAAGAAAGCATCCCTCCTGGGGCTATCTCAGTGGTACTCTAGCTTGTGCTTTCAGCATCTTGCTGTGCAGCACATGTTCATGCTCGTGATCTTAAGCTGAGAGAGGCTTGTGATTTTCAGCTATATAAGCTGTCTTTTCTTCCAAACCAACCCTCCCAGCTACAATCCACTCCAAGAATGGCTGCGGGGGCCCGCCCAGAATTCTCCTGGGATTTTAGCTGTTTTCATCAACAACATCAGTTGAGGAAGGAGCGACCACGACCCCACTTGCCTTGAACATGAACTTGACGCGAGTCGCGGTCACGTTCAGAGGTTGGCTTGCTGCCTGCCTCCCTCCCACCTGCCACTCGTCGTCTTCGACTGTTGCATCAAGTTTTCCACTCATCTCCAAGCTTGCTCGTCGTCAACTATCAGCGATTCATCAGCCTTCAGAGGGTACCACTCTCCCGTCAAGTCGGGCCTGACCGCCAGCTTTGTGTAAGACAAGTTCGGATAACGTCCAACTTGAGCTCCTCGCTGACCTTGGGAGTGACTCTCAAGCCCCATCATGTCTTCGATGTTCGATCCCAACGATCTCGACGAGGTCATTAGTCCGGACGACGTCGATGTGGAGGACTTCGTCCTGTCTCTCACATTCGAATGTCTCCAGGACACTCCCAAGTCGATGAAGAACCCGCTTTACTCGACCAAGATCAAGAGATACACCGATATCCAGCAGATCACGTCTGACATCGAGCTGATGTTCCCCTCGGATCTTGGCGAAACGCTCAAGTCAGGTACTGCTCCAACAATCAACTGGTTCAAAAGTCTTCCATCTTTCGCTTGCCCAGGCTTCATCGTCTACCTTTTGGTACTCACCAAGAATGGTTGTCGCACTAAGATATACATCGGCTCAGGCACCGACGAAGAAAAAGGCGGCAAGAATCGACTTAAATCCTACGATGACCTGACTGCCTTACCTACGCTGGTCAAGAAAGCTCTTGCCGATGGCTACGTTATTGCCCACAAAGGCCTACTTGCGTGGACAACTACTCTTCCCCGCGCGGGCATCGTTCCTATGACTCGTTTGCTCTTCCTGGCCCTTGAAGCAACCTTCTCCTACAACTTCTGGGCTATGCGTGCCTACAAGGCGGATTATGGCATGGGCCATATGTGCCTGTGGTCTAGATCCGACCTGGAGTATGACGGACTCTGCACTCACTGTTGCTTGTACGAGGGCGTACGTAGGGACTTCGACCTCACCGATGAGCAGCTGGAAGAGATTGCAATCTTGGTTGGCAGGAACCATAGAGAAAAGGCCGCTGTCAGAACCCACAACTGGAACGTCGCTTTCAAGCAGCGTGATCCCGACGGTTACCGTGCTTGGACCGCAGCGAACAGCTCAAAGTATCACTTCACGCAGATGGCCACCAACCACGAAGAATACACCGCCAAAAGCGCCAACTACCGGCGCGAGTTCTTTGCCGCCCACCCTGAAAAGCTCGAGGAGAAGAACCAGACTTGGGGTCGTTTGAGAGACGCCGTTTACGACGACGCTCGCGCGAACAAGTCTTACTTCTGCGTTGAGTGCAACCTTCCTTGTCGCGATGCTAAACACTTCTCCACCCACGTCAAGACTCGTGCGCACGAGCGGGCCGTCAATGCCGACCGTACCAGTCCGTTGTGGTGTGGCTTCTGCTTCATGCTGTGTGTGTCGATGCATGGTCTCGAGTACTCTCACCTCGTGTCGCAGCGTCATCTCGACAATGTCGTCAAGTTCGACGCTGCTCAAGCCGTCGAGGCTTACGATGCTGCCGAGCTCGAGGCCTACGAACTCGCTGAGGCCGAGCATGATGGTGACCTTGAGGCGGACGACATGGACCTCATGGAGTTTGAGTTGTATCTTGATTGAAGCACGTCGTACCTGGTCATGACCACCAACTCTATTCTGGTCACCGTCGCTTTCGAGTGACTCTCAAATTGTGCATCTTATCGTCGTGGCTGGTATTGATGGACTTTTCTTGCTGGACTTGATGGTTATGATGATGAAGTTTCCCTACTGGCTGAACTCGGACATGACTACGTGGCAGACTCTACCTTGGCTCCAAACCTGCTACATAGCTAACTAACATGACTTTTCTTCTGAATCTGTTCTTCTATCTAGTAACCTTTACTAACTCTTATGTCAAAGACTACTTATAACGGTTCAAGTCACGACGTCGCGTTTAACGACCATGGTGTGATTGTTCTCGGAAGCGGAGTTTACAGAATCGGATCCTCGGTCGAGTTCGATTGGTGTGCAGTCAACGCTACTCTCTCCCTCAAGGAGCAGGGCAAGAAGACCGTGATGATCAACTACAACCCAGGTACGAACCAACAACCGAATCCGTGCAAACACGACGCTAATCCATTGCCAAAGAAACCTACAGTACAGACTTCGATGTTGCCGACAAGCTCTACTTTGAAGAACTCTCTTACGAACGTGTCATGGATATTTACGAACTCGAATCTGCCCAAGGTGTAGTCGTCTCTGTCGGTGGTCAACTCCCCTCAGAACATGGCTCTCAAGCTCCAGGAAAGTGGCAAGGCCAAGGTTCTCGGTACCGACCCTAAGGACATTGACAAGGCCGAAGACCGTAAACAATTCTCTGCCATTCTCGACTCTATTGGTGTTGACCAGCCTGCCTGGAGCGAACTTACTTCTTACGCTGAAGCCCAGCAATTCGCCAACAAAGTCGGTTACCCTGTTCTCGTTAGACCCTCTTACGTCCTGTCCGGTGCTGCCATGACCGTCATCCGCTCCGAGGCCGAACTCGAGGAGAAGCTCAACGCCGCCGCCGAAGTCAGCCCTGACCACCCCGTCGTTATCACTCAGTTCATCGAAGGCGCTCGCGAAATCGATGTTGATGCTGTCGCTCACGACGGTAAGGTCCTTGTCCACGCTGTCAGTGAGCACATCGAAAACGCTGGTGTCCACTCTGGTGATGCTTCTCTTGTTCTCCCTCCTGCCAAGCTCTCCGAGGATACCATCAAGCGCGTCAAGGTCATTGCCGACAAGGTTGCCAAGGCCTGGAAGATCACCGGTCCCTTCAACATGCAAATCATCGACGCCGACAGCCCTAACGGTGGTGAATCTTCCCTCAAGGTCATCGAGTGCAACCTCCGTGCTTCCCGTTCATTCCCCTTCGTTTCCAAGGTCCTCGGTACCAACTTCATCGATGTTGCTACCCGCGCTCTTACCAGCACCAACGTTCCCGAGCCTGTCGACCTTATGTCCGAGAAGCGTGACTACCTCGCTGTCAAGGTTCCTCAGTTCTCTTGGACTCGTCTTGCAGGTGCCGACCCCTACCTTGGTGTCGAGATGTCTTCCACTGGTGAGATGGCTTGCTTCGGTACCGACCTTGTTGAGGCCTACTGGACTGCTGCTCAATCTATGATGAACTTCCGCTGCCCCCAGCCTGGTGAGGGTCTTCTCTTCGGTGGAGACATCACCAACCCCGATCTTGCCAAGATTGTCGACTACGTCAATCCTCTCGGTTACAAGCTCTTCGCCGCCAACGAGTCTGTCAAGAACCACCTTGAACAGAACTCCAAGGACGGCAGTGTCAAGGTCGAGGTCATCGAATTCCCCAAGGAAGACAAGCGCGCTCTCCGTGAGGTCTTTGAAAAGTACGATATCCGTGGTGTCTTCAACTTAGCCAAGGTCCGTGCCAGCAGTCTTGTTGACGAGGACTACGTTATGCGCCGTAACGCTGTCGACTTTGGTGTCCCTCTCTTCATGGAGTCCAAGACTGCCGTTCTCTTCGCTCAGTGCATGAGCGAGAAGCTTCCCAAGCCTGAGGGCATTCCCTCTGAGGTTCGCCCTTGGGCCGACTTCATTGGCGGTCGTCCCCTGTAAAAACCTTTTTCCATATGGTTGATGGTCTTTTACCACAACCTTTCTTACAAATACCAACAGTGCTCATTTATGGTGGAGTGAGAGGATACAGGATTGTTCGATTTTGGTTCTATGGCGTTTATAGATTTTGAGTCTTCCTTTTGAATATATCAAACAAAACCTACACTTTCAACTTCGATTTCCAATGTTTCACATGTGGACCATGCGTCGGCCTTCTCTCCTCATCAATACTTGTATCACAACTGCCGTGACTCGACATCGGCTGTTCAGGTAAATGCATGGAGCATCAATTGCCAATTAGGGTTTTAGGCTAATGCCCAAGATGTAGCATACAGCGTCATACCAAGGAGGGGAACCGAGCATCGCAAGGTCGATCTTCTATTCCAACCACCCATACAAAAATAATAAAATGTCTTGCTGCGCCATGGCTAGCAAGAGATCGTTTCCATTGAGTCCCCTGGAATTTTTCGAGCAATCATGGTCAATCTTACTCACGTTAATCTGTTGACGCTGGCGACAAGTATCCCGTATGCGCAAGAGTTGTATGGGATTGCGAATGCGTCGACGGATCATATTTCGTTCTTGTCGTATAGTGAGTATCTTGATCGAGCTGGAGGGAGAGCCTCAAATGTGCTGATGAGTGATTGTANNGATGACACCTTCGTTACCGACATTCTAGGACCCAATGTTTCTCAGCAATTGGTCAGGAGTGAAAACTACCAGGCATTCCACGAGGCCGGCGTATAGCAAGTGTCGCCCTGTCGCAACGATGTTGATAACACACTGACTGAGAAACAGCNNAACATAAAGACTGGCAAGCTGTATGCCACCAGCAACTGGAACGGCAGTTTGTCAAACCCCATCAACGTCACTGCCATCGACATCAACAACAACAACACCATCCAATCTTACCACTACGAGTACCTTGCCGAAGCCAATGGAGCCACTGCGTGGTACCCAGTAGGCAGCCCAGCCAACAGCAGCGAAGGTCAACAAATCGTCTTTTGCGACGAAGGCGACTTTACCAATCCCGCCGGCCTCGTACTCGTAGACCCAGCGACCAACATCAGCCGGCCCCTCATCAACAACTTCCTGGGTAGAAACTTTACTGCCATCAATGATGTGCGTCAACACCCTGTTACCGGCGATCTCTGGTTCACCGACGTCCCTTACGGATACTGGCAATACTTCCGTCCCGCCCCCGTCATCAAGAACCAAGCCTATCGCTTTGAACCCAATACTGGAGTCGTGCAAGCCGTCTCCGACAACGAGATTGCACCAAATGGTATTGAGTTTTCGCCCGATTTTAAGCATGTGTACATTACGGATACTGCTGTGCATACTTTTCCCAACAAGGACAATTTGACCATGCCGAGTACGATTTATCGATACGATGTTACGCCTGATGGCAAGAGATTGCAGAACAGACAGATGTTTGCATACTCGGATATTGGGTTGCCGGATGGTATTCATTGTGATACCAAGGGTAATGTGTATGCTGGTACTGGAGATGGTGTGCATGTGTAAGTCTTTATTTCTGCCCACATGCGACTAAGAAATTACTTACTGATGCGAAAATACAGCTGGAATCCTGAGGGTGTCTTGTTGGGTGTCTTTGCTGTCTCTGGCGGAAACGCAAACTTTGCTTTTGTGCCTGGTGGCATGTATATCTTTAACGAGTACAAGCTGTTCAAGGTTACGCTGCAGGCTGAGGGTAGGGAGGTCAAGAGGGACTTTGGACTGTACTAAGGGAAGGAACAATATGCTATCCGTGGCAATATCATCCACGTCGTGGAGTACCAAAAATCAGTCGCGATTTTGAGCTTTATAACTTTCCAAAAATTCCCAATATCGTCTTCTGACCGTCACCTTGTCTGGATTATCACATACCTCTTTTCTCGCCGAATTGTACAAAACTCCGAGATTGAAACAGCAGTATCATTTCCGTTTCCGGATGCTCAGTCGCTGCTGTCTGCTTCTCTGACTCTAGCTACAGCAATCAAGAAACTTTTATTTTTCATCTGCTCGGTATAGGTCACTGCAGACCACGGACATGGCGTTGCAAATCAAATCAGGATTTGCGCCTCAGCTCATTAGCAATGTGACGATCTCTTCACAATCACCATCGAAGCTCCGATTGACGACATAGCACAAAGGCGTCCCCCAATGATTGCCCATCTCGCCTCCTTTGTGGTTTTGATCGTATGCATTGACATCAAGACTATACTTGTCAAGTAGATGTTTGACAAATGCCAATTGACTTTCGACATAGCCTTGAGGGCTGAAGCTCGAGCTGATGGCAGATTGAACCGAGAAATGCAATACTCTTGCCGTGATTGGCGCGCCTTTTGAGCGCAAGAGCTCGAACGTAGCGAGGTTACAGCCGTATCTGACAGCTTGCTCGAGCAGTGATGGACAATCTTGATGGTTGCGCAGGTACTCGTGATTGAGATATGGTTCTTGGTTTTTTAATTGTACACTTGCACCATGCTCTAATGCCCAACCCACATGTTCATGATTGTCAAGGATCTGCCAGAGGAATGGCTTGCGACCAGCATTGATATCCCATCCGTGCGCAATCAACAGTTCTAGAATGCGTACTGATGGCAAGCCTTCACCGAGAGGAAGATTTGAGCTGCTTGGGAGGAAAGTACCTCTGGAAAGAACATGAGCCAGAACTTTTTCTGCATTTTGTTGAATGGTTACCCAGACGGCGCATCCGAGGATTTCTTGCTCGGTCTTTGACGGCCCTGCGAATGCTTTTGGCGTGGCTGGATTAGCGGCTTGCCCTACGATGCCTTCAAGGACAGAGACATCATCTTCACGGTATGTGTCATTGATTTGGAGGAAGAGAAGAGAGGTGGTATACGAGCTGTTGGGACTTTGGTTCCATTAAAGAGGAAGGTACGTCTCACTGTCTGCTGCCTTGTGACATGAAGCTGGCCGGATGGACCTGCCGGTTTGGAATTCCGTCCTCCGCGTCCGTGCACTCATATAAATCTCTACCCTTACCGACTCGAAGCATGAATCTTTACTGCAGCAAGCTTTGATATACAAGATGTCTGGAAGCGGACAGGAGAATGAAGATGGCCTCATAAGATCATCCAGCAGTGCCTCTGAGGTCAAGCCGAACGTCATGAAGATGGTCTGGCGCAACAACAAAGGCGTGTTTCTAATTCTGCTTGCTCAAGCGACGGGATCGACTATGGATGCCATTGTCCGCTTTTTGCAGCAGGNNGGAGGTCATGGTATGCACCCTTTCCAAGTCATCTTTGCGAGAATGAGTATTACGGCACTACTCAGTACCATATACATGTGGTATACAAGAGTACCTGATTTCCCGCTTGGAGCACCTGCTGTCAGGGGATGGTTGATCTTGAGAGCTCTGGCAGGCTTCTTTGGCTTGTTCTGTCTGTACTNNGTAAGTAGACAACTCGTTCTCTAGAATTGTTTCTTGGACATAAGCTCATTTAAGTGACAATCAGATTCGGTACATTATCTTCCCCTGGCCGAAGCCACGGTCTTTCGTTTTCTGGTACCTATCATCACCGCATGGGCATGTTCTGCATTCCTCGGACAGAGCTTCAGTAGAACTGAATTCTTGGCTGGAGTTACCGCTTTGCTGGGTGTAGTCATCATTGCTCACCCAGCTGCCATCTTTGGCAGAGTAGAAGACGACATTGAACTCCCGCACCGACCGAGCAAAATCGATCAAGTGTCTGCTGGCCAACGTCTTCTCGCCATCTTTGTCTCTGTCATTGGTGTGCTGGGTGCTTCTGCCGCTTACACTTTGATCCGTGTCATTGGCTCCCGCGCTCATGCCCTCATCTCGGTGAACTACTTTGCTCTGATCAGCACTTTTGGATCTGCGGGTGCTTTACTAGTGTTGCCTGGCATGAGTTTTACCATGCCCCATGGTGCACGGGAATGGCTTTTGCTTTCCCTTCTCGGTATCCTCGGCTTCGTGCTCCAATTTTTACTCACCGCAGGCTTGCAGCTAGACAGAACCTCAAAGGCCACGAGTATGCTGTACACGGGTATTCTGTTTGCGCTTGCTTTCGATGCGGCCATTTGGGGCGTCTTTCCCGGATTCTGGTCGTGTATTGGTGGTGCTGTTGTTATTGCTAGCACGCTTTGGTCTGCGTTGCAAAAGTCAAAGGGAGTGGAGAAGGCAGTGGTCGCCAAGGAGGAGGTTGTGGATGAGGAAAGTGCGCTGCTTGGGGCGCAGACTGAGGGGAGTGAGGATGCTGTGAGGGCGGGTGCGACGAGGACCTCTGTGTAAAGTGACACGCTTCTACGCAGTTGTTCGCGAGATACTGATCTTGGTTTGCTCGTGCTCACTGCCTCTCTGACCAGCCGGTCACATAGAGAGCTACGATACTGGAAAAGCCATATACGGCTATCTTGTGACTGGCACGAAAGATACTTGGTCTGCACTTCAATACCAACCCTCAATTTTTTGTTGAAAGTACGCTGTACAAAGCGCCTTCACTATAAGGTGGGACCAGGTCAACGAACACAACCACAATCAAGCCTGGATACACCGAGAAATTTGTATGTTTAAAGAAGTCCAGATCAATTCCATATTAGATCAAAAATCGCTAAGATGTCTATAAAAAAAAATCAGACCAGAAAGTCGTTACGCTATGCATGTGTATCATTCTTTGTTTGAAGCACTCTCCCATCACTTTACCAAGCCAAAGCCTCCTGTTGCTCCTCTCCACAAGCCAACCCAGAGCAAAAGTCGATGTCCTTTTCACTCTGCATCTCGGCGGCACTCATTTGCTGTCTCGCCGGGTGGATCTTCGCACCAGCAGCCTTTTCCTTGTCGTGGTGCTCGGTGACGGCCTCTCTGCACAGGTTTTGGAAGTAGAGGGGTCCCTTTTCCATGCGTGGGTGCATGAGACCGCTGACAAAGACGCCGGCGTTGACGTTCTTTTGAGCGGCGTCGCAGAGGACCTTGTCTTCGGACATGATGCGCTTGTACATTTGGTTGATCTTTTCAAAGTCTTCGTCTGTGGCGTTTTTGTTGCGGTACACTTCGTAGCTCATGGTTGCTTTGCCGGCAGCGTGGGGTACGAAGCGTTGCATGAAGAAGAAGTTCGGTNNCTATGAAATCGTTAGTAAGGGTACGGAGATTGATGTTCAGAGAGACGATGCTTACGTTGCGTTAACAGAGGCGTTGGGGAAGTAGTAGGTTGGGACGACAGTCATGCCAGCGGCGACTTGGTCCGGTTTACTTGCGACCTCGTGTTGGATGTGCTTCGCGGTTGTGTTGACATAGTAAGCTTCTAGATCTGCCAGAGCCGGAATATCGGGGTGAGTTGTTGGGCAGTGGTAGCACTCGTTGTAGTTGTCTGCCAAAATCTTCCAATTGTAAGGACCATCCATCTCCCATTTGTGGTCAAATTGATAGTTTTCAAAGTCGAATTGCTCATAGCGTGTTTGGATATCGACGCCATCAAAGTTGTCTTCCCAGGCAATCTCGGGTTCCGCTTTGGCATCCATGTTGACCCAGACGAAACCGTTCTTGTCGACATGAACGTGGATGGGCAAAAGTCCATTGGCCTCCTTGTCGAACCCCTCGAGCTCCTGGTAGTCTGGTGCCTTTGCCAGCTTTCCGTTCAAGCCATACGACCAACCGTGGTATCTGCAAGCAAAGATGCGAGCTGTGCCTTCGGTCTTCTCGACAACGGGGTATGCTCTGTGACGGCAGATGTTGTGGAAGCCGTTGATGTTCTCTTGACGATCCTTGGCAAGAACGAACTGGAAGCCTGCTACATCGTAGCGGAGAAAGTCACCAGGCTTGGTGAGACGGAGCTTGTGTGTGATAAGGAGCCAGCGCTTGGAGAAAATGGCACGGCGTTCAAGCTCGTACATGTCGGCAGATGTGTACCATGATGCAGGAAGTGCTCTCACAGGCTGCTTGTCCAGAGCAGGTTTTGTTGCTGTGTTTCCGCTATCTCTGCGGTTGAAGTAACTTAGGAAGGATGCCATTGTGAATACGATATCAAGTTGTGTTGTGGAGATTGCAATAGAGTAAGGCAATACTCGACAAGATGGAAAGGGGAAGGTTGATATGGATATTCAAGGTTAAGAATGGAAGAGAAAAAACACAACAGAAGTTCGCGCTTTCCTTAATTATATGGACGATTTGGTGAGCCTACTGGTCAGGAAGGACGGTCCATAGAGCCCCGTGGGGTATGCCTACGCATTGCAGCATTCGTCTCGAGCCAGTATCAGCCAGCTCGTTTAGAGTCAAAACTGCTCGATTTGCGTAATCATTAGCTGATGGCAGCAGGATTCGATACCCAAGATGAGTCGCAGTTTGTGGCTCTCGAAACAAGTCACTCTGACTTTGGCAGCGCTATCGGGATCTCGATTGTGGCGACGAATGTGCATTCTGACCCAATTAGGAATATGAATCCCATCTGGGGTCAGCCCACAGCCGGACCCTTTGAGCTGGTGCAACTTTAATCGGTGGCTGCCAGTCTTGGCAACGACGACATGTGGTAGGGAAACGAATCCCAACTCAGTTTGGCGTGTTGCGATATGTGATTGATGGTCGTAGTAGGAGAGATAGTGATGATAGAGAAGGACCGAAATCGAGATGGACAATTTCGATGGAATCCTGATAAGTGATGCCTGATAAGGCCGTAACCTGATTCACGTGCAATGCTCGCTATCTATGTTGAAATGTCGAAATCACAAAACTGCATACACCTCGATTCGAAACGAATGAATGGGACAGTGAAGAATGGTCGTTGAACATGTTGTAGTATGATCCATTTGATAACATATATAACTCCAAAATCAATAACATGCATGTCCCATTATTCTGTGTGGTAGTGTTCAGCCATCCATCCATTCGTAAATCAATTTCAGCTTCTCAAGCTGTTACCCCAGTAGCTCCGACTCTTGCGGTCATCGATGTGGTCTCTTGGACAGTCTCACTGCCAACCATAGCCATACGCCATGCCATGAGCATATCAAGAGAGATGTCGTTGCCGCCACAAACAACAAGAACCACCTTACTGTCCTTGGTGATTGTCTTCTTGTTGGCCAACAGGGTCTGTAGGAAGCCATCAAAGCAGACAGGAACGTTGACGCCCACAGTCAGCTCAACCATCATTCTTTCGTGCTCAGCCAACAGGCAACAGCCCTTGGCAGCCTCGTCATCAGTGAGAACAACACTCGTGACATTAGGTCTCTGGGCATATTCGAAAGTCTTCTCGGCGACTCTGACAACTCCCAGACTGGTGGCTGCCGATGTAATTCTGGGAAGAGTGACGATCTGACCGGCGATGAGACTCTGGCTCAACGAGTCTGCTCCTTTAGTCTCCATGGCGAGGACCTGTACGTCGTTGTTCCACTTCTTGTGGTCAAGTTCTTGCATGATACCGTTCAGGAGACCTCCACCTCCGACACTGCAGACAACGACGTCGGGTTTGTCGCCAAGTTGAGATGCAATCTCCTGCATAACAGTTGCATTGCCGTCCCAAATGTCCTGGTGATCGAAAGGAGGAACGAACACACCGGTCGGGTCCGCAGGCAAAAGTGTGTTGAGAATGTACTCTTGTGCTTCGGCAATGGTAGAGCCGTGCTGGATGACCTGCTTGACTCCCNNTGTTCATTCATCAGTGAGTGTGTCAAGTTCTTGTCAACAGGGAGAACATACCATGGCCCAGATCTTAGCAATCATGACTGGTTTGGCACTCTTGGGTACAACAACAGTGGCAGGATAGCCAAGTGTTCTAGCAGCGTGGACACAGGCAATGCCTGCATTACCACCCGATGCTGCATAGAAGTGTGTCGAATTGGGAACTCCAGCAGCTGAGATGCGTTCGGCGGCACGCTGAAGGACGTAGTTGCCTACACCACGAGACTTGAACGAGCCGGATGGTTGTAGGTTGTCCAGCTTGAGGAAGACTCTACTNTCTGCGATTTAGAAATCGTTTTCAAACATCGGTCGTGCTGGGACAAGAGATGGTGGAAGGATCGAGAATGTGAACTGGGAAACATACCATCCTGCTGCTTCTGAGAGTGGTCGACTCTCAATCAAAGGTGTCCATGCCCAAGGCTTGGGTTGCTGTGGGGCTTCTGCGAACATCGTTGTGGCGTGGCGGTATGTGTTAAAAATCAGGAGATTACTATCAAAGTGTCCTTCTGAAGTCCGGAGATGATGACTTGGAAGGAAAGATGGATCAATAATATGCTGTCACTGTGTGTAGAAATGTCCTCAATCCGCCTTGGACAGAGATCCTTCTTAGATGATATCTAGGCAAAGTGGTTGCTTTTACCGCGTCGGGTACGTACGCACGCTGGGACTACATATGGGGAGTGTACAGCCTCATGTGTCGTGGGTTACCGTACGAGGTCAGGTTTTGCGAGTCCGTCACCGTATCATTTCATTATCCCCTGCATAGTGACCTTATCACGACACACGATTCATGATCGTCCAATCAATATGCAAGTCGGAAGGAGCTGACCAATTTTAGTCCACCGTTCCTGGGGAAGTTGCAGTGCGGCAATCAGGCAAATCGCGGGAGGCCGATCCAACCCAAAGATAGCAGGAAGTGTAGTCTGAGTTTGGGGAACTCGCAACCAAATTGGGACAGTGGCTTCTGTAAGCTTATCTCGACAGCAACTCGCCAAGGTGGTCTCGACTTCTAATCAGAGAGATGTGTTCTAGAAGCCTGGGACTCCTCCTCAGCTCTCCTCTAGGATCATACTTTGCAGGTGGGCGTCAAGCGATGCAGTGACTCCCGGAACCAGTAAAAATATTCCATGGGGAGGCGTTTTCTCGAAGCACTCTCTTTCGATACGAGAGTACGTGAGGAGGAACAGTATTCGGGAATCGTCGTACGCCGTATGCGTCCATAGCATGAATATCCTGTTACAGCGTGTCCTGTGCAGATGCCTTCATGTTCCGTTATCTCCCGTTAAAATAGAATCAGGCTTTCTGCTTTTTCTGACCGCTTCGTTCTTCCTCATGCAGCAAATTCTTTGATTGCGATTTTCGAAGTGTGATTCCGATGCACTGTTTCACTTTCGATCGCCTCGATGACAATCCGAGTGCTCGTAGTGCGTATGGCCACAAAGTATTGGCATCGAAATCGGCGACTCGCACCGATCCCTCGATATCTAGGACGTTCAGTGAGAGTGGCCATGGCTTGTAAGCAGATTCCCTTTCGAGCGCCATTCTCCTGTGCTCATGATAACAAGTATTGGAGAGCATGGTCATACAACTGCACCAAAGGTATGGTTGGTTTTAGCACCAACCGTAGACACTCAGAGAGATGTGAGACTGCAACGTGATTGTGATGACCTTTCCAGGCTCGGAACACATGTCGAGGTGTCTCTCCGTCTGGCTCACCGAATGCGTGTGTGAAGTCATGTCGCCTACTTTGCTTGTGAGCAAGAGGTCTCAAATGCAAGTTGCGTATGATATCGCCACAGATCTCATGGCTACCATGTTCGAGATGTGTGCTGCGCGTGTACTGCATCCTCAGTTATCGTCTCTGTATCGCTGCTCGGGAAGCTCAGTCGCGTAGGCCTTTTGAGTCGCTTGTGTTACACTCTTCAATGTGACCGAGTGGGTCGCTTCAGAGACTGTGTCGCGATCGATGAAGATGCGATTCTGGTTCACTCAGGACGTCTGTCACCATGTGCTCTCTCTTGCCAAAGCGACATCAGAAATTAAAAAAGCGTTTCCTCATGTATATCAAGCTGTCGATGTAGTGTATTATAGCCTGGCGGTTCTGACGGGGTCCAACATATCCTTCATCTCGTGTCTTGGCCAGTCGGCGAAGTGCTTGGGGTCAGGACGGTCTCTGTCCCAGCCCCATTTTTCACACAACTCGGGTTCCAATGTGCCCTCCAACATGGAGATGATGTACTTGCCTAGCACGGGGAAGAACTTCCAGCCGTGGAAGTTACCACATGTTGCGACATATAAGCCCTTGGCAGCGGTGTGTGGCGAGATGATGAAGTCTGAGCTGGATGTGAAGGCGTCNCCTGTACAGAATCAGTATGTGCAACGAGTCTGATGCGAATGGACAACTTACCAGCAGATACGGTGCTTCTCCATAGTCCAGTGTGCAGACTTCTTTCCATAGAATACGTGGTTGGCGTATTGAATATCTTCCTTGAGTCTGTTTGAAACGTCCCATTGGCCGTAGTCGGGCTTTGCTGGAGGCGCAGATACAATACGTCCAGGCAGGACTTCTGTGTCGTTCTTGAAAATCTTCTGGCCCCACCACTTGAGCTCTCTGTCTCTGGTGGGTGGCAGACTGCCGATGAAAGGTCCNTATTGACATGGTAAGTGACTGGTCGTTATACGTACGGAATATCAAAACTCACCAGTTTCGGCAGTGTAGCCCTGGACACCAACAGGCATGGATGCGAATCTGCGGTATGAATCCTCGTCGAGCCTTGTCATGCCAGTAGTGATACCGCCAGCAACGATTCTTTCACCAGCACACAGGTCGTTGTTACCACTGGCCTGAGCACAGTATTCGAGCAACTTTGGTGTGTATGCGCCAGTGCAGAGAAGAGTGTGTTTGGCCTTCAATGTCTCGCCATCGGCAGTCTTGATACCGGCACAGCGGCCATCGTCGAGGATCAATGAAGCGACCTCGGCCTGCTTGTACTTGACACCAAGTCTGAGGGCCTCGCGGGTGATGCCAATCAGACACTCGCCAGCAGTAGCCCAGCCACTGGTCTTGTTGACGAGGACCTCCTTGACATCGCTGTAGTCGGCGTCCTCGAACAGCCCGCCGTACAGCTTGCGGGCCTCGTCGATGGGCACGGCCTTGAGGTCGGCCGCTCTGCCCAGCTTCTTGTAGTTGTTGACAACGTCCTGGGCATAGTCGCTGCGGCACATCCAGTAGATGCCAGTCTGGTAGAAGTATGGCTTCCACAGGTTGTCCGTCTTGAACATGTCTTGTGACTCGATGGCCATCTTGCAGTACACAATGTCGTCGTAGTCGGCACGAACGACCTTGTTCCAGTCCCATGAGGCAGCTACACGTGTGTCCTGATCGAAGGCATCGCGGTCGACGACGGTGATGTCTGCGTTGGGGTACTTTTTGATCAGATGGAAAGCAGTCGAGATGCCGAAAACGCCGGCGCCGACGATGATGTACGACTTGTCGGCCATTGTTGGAGGTAGAGAGGATGGATACAAAGAGGAGTATATGACGAACAACAACGACTACATGTTGCCGGTTCTGTTTTATTATAAGAATCAGGCCGTGGCCGACGTCGTCAGGGTCGTGCGGATGCTCAGTTCGGTCATCATATCCACTTCCGATTACGGAAGTCTCATCCATCAATCTCACGTGTCACGACCTGTTGCCCCGCCACGACCCCACGTTCCTACACGAGAATGCTGCCCCAATCCGTACATGTCATTGTCCCACACACCAACGAGATGGATACAGAGTTGAGAATACTATGACCTATCCAGGGCTCTACAACGCCGATGCTATCTTGTCAGAAGCTTACCGTGACCATGTCATCCACACAGTTCAATTTCAAGCTGAAGGATGCTGAGAGGCCAACCCTGACTCTGATTTCCCATCACGAGAAACTCATGGTTATATAGGTTTACATTGCTTGGAATCGTCAAATGAGACACTCATCACACTCCAGCCACTCAAGATATCTACTGGCATGATCAGACGTGTTTGTGACATGTTCTGGGGTTGTTGTCGCTGATTTCACTTTTTGCATCTGATTCCTTGGGAAGACCACCTGCGTCCAGCGCCAGGTAGACCTGATACCTACGGCGGAGATCGAGAACACCTACCCACCAATCACCAGAGGCACTTATTCATCAGATGCTATGAGTCATAGTCGCTTCCATCCTGTCTTGACAAATGAGCACGTGTCAATAAATGTCCTCCATCACATTCTCAACCACGCACACACACAAGGGTCCATGGTTTGACAGAAAACGGTCGAATTAACGTTGAAATATGCCTTGATCATTAAAGTGCGCCATGTCTATGCTATAAACAAACTTTCATTACTTCCAGAAGCCCCGAGATCAACCACGCAGACGTGACATGGAAGGATCGAACAAGGGCTCGGCAGTGACCGTAGCCCCGATCCTCTTGCCAAAGTACTCAATCTCCACCTTGTCCTCCTCGTTGATCGAGCTTGGCAACCATGCATAAGCAATGGGCTTGCCGATGGTGTATGCAAATGCAGAACTGGTGACGTATCCGCTGGGCTTGCCGCCGACGAACACTGGTTCTCTGCCAAGCACGACCGAGGAACCGTCGTCGATGACCAGGCAGCGTATGCGCTTCTTGGCCGTCTCGACTGAGCGTCCTTCCAGAGCAGCTTGACCATAGTAGCCCAGCTTGCCTGCCTTGACGGCGAAGCCAACACCAGCCTCGTAAGGGTCGTGCTCGGTGTTCATGTCAGATCCCCACGATCTGTAGCCCTTCTCCAGTCTGAGGGCGTTGAAGGCAGTACGGCCAGCCGCGATGACGCCCTGCTCCTGCCCTGCCTCCCAGAGTGCGTCCCACAGTGCTTGACCGCGGTCGGCTGTGGTGTAGATCTCCCAACCGAGCTCACCGACATACGAAAGACGCATGATGGTCACAGGGATGCCGCTGATGTTTGCACGCTTGGTGCGGAAGTAACGCAGGCCCTTGGCTGTGGTCGAAAAGTCATCTTGACTCACCTTGCTGATGATCTCTCTGACCTTGGGGCCCCAGAGACCGATGCAGCAGGTTCCGGCAGTGATGTCGCGAATTGTGCACCATTTGGTAGGATCTTGCTGCATCTGCTTGTTGGCCTCCTTCTGGAGGAAGACAAGATCGACAGGTCCGTTGCAGCCAACCTGGAACAATTGGTCCTCGAGTCTGGCAACAGTCACATCACTCTTGATGCCACCCTTGTCGTCAAGCCATAGTGTGTATGTGACGGCGCCAGGCTTCTTTCCAACATCACCAGTGCTTACGCGCTGCAACAACTCGACGGCACCGGGTCCATAGACTTCCAAGCGACGCAGTGGTGTCATGTCGTACATCGCTGCTGCTGTTCTCGTCTTCCATGCTTCCNNTGCCGCTGCAATTGGGCTGTAGTATCTTGAAGACCAAGCATCGCGGTCCTTTGGCTTCCACTCCTCAGGCAAGTCTTTGACCAACTTCTCGTTGGCCTCGAACCAGTAAGGACGTTCCCAAGCACCGCCCTCCAGGAAATAAGCACCGAGCTCCTTCTGACGAGCGTGGAAGGGGCTGACACGGAGGTTGCGAGGTGAGTCGCGAGGTTGTAGCGGGTGCATGATGTCGTAGATCTCGACAAAGTTCTGCATGGAAGTCTCCTTCACGTAGGAGCTTGACAGTTGAACCTCCTCAAAGCGGTTGAGCTCAACAGCTCCAAGATCGATTTGAGACTTTCCAGTTGTCAGCACCTCAGCTACTGCACGGGCGATGCCAGCAGAGTGGGTCACCCAGACTGCTTCAGCGACGAAGAAGCCTTCGAGGTTNGGTGCTTGACCGACTAGGGAGCCGCCGTCGGGTGTGAAAGAGAAGATACCGTTGAAACCATCCTCGATCTCGACTTCGTCCATGCAAGGCAGAAACTTCTTGGAAAGCTCCCATGCAGGTTCGAAGTCTTCGCGAGTGAACTCAAGACGAGAAGGCATGTTCTTGTGGTCGACCTTCTCAGGGGTAACTCCCAAAGTTGAGGCTACGATAGGCATGGGCTTGTGACCGTAGTATCCAATACCGTACTGGTCACCATGCTCGCGGTAGTACAGATCTCTATCTTGGTAACGTAGGATGGGCAATGAGGCCTCACCCGCAGGGTTGTTGCGTTTTGACAGAGCGGGCACAGAAGTAGTCTTGACATATTGGTGCGCCAGGGGGAGAAGAGGAATAGGGAGACCGATCATGGCACCGATCTCGACACCCCAGAAACCGGCGCAAGAGACGACGATATCAGCTGGGATGACACCGTTGGGTGTCTCAACACCAGTGACGTGGCCGTCAGCTCGTGCGATTCCAGTGACTGGAGTCTTGTCGACGTACTGAACACCAGCTTTGCGGGTACGGTTGATAAGGAGCTGAACGGCGCGAGCAGCCTTGGCAAGACCATCGGTGGGAATGTGAAGACCACCATGAACTTGCTCCTTGTTCAGGAGCGAGTACTTCTCCAGACACTCGTCAGGACTGATGAGATGAGCTTCAATGCCCCAGGATTGTGCGTAACCGTGCTTGCGCTTCAACTCTGCCATACGTGCAGCATCTGTGGCAATTTCCAGACCACCGACCTGGTTGAAGCAGTTTTCGCCATCTTCTTCGAGGCCCATGAACTTTTCCACTGTGTATTTGGCAAANAGAGTCATGGTCTTGCAAACGTTTGTTTGGAAGACAAGACCAGGAGCGTGTGATGTGGAGCCTCCAGGCATGTCCAGAGGCCCTTGGTCGACTACTGTGATGTTGGTCCATCCTCGTGCAACCAGCTCGTCAGCAACGTTGGTGCCGACAATACCAGCACCGATGATGACCACACGTGGCGAGTACATCTTGGAGAGCATTGTTGTGATAGTCGGGAGCTGTCCCTTGAGTTCTGTTGATGGAGCTCTAATCTGTGGAGGGAGGTACTCTAAATGTCTGCAAAAGACAATGAGGAGGTCTTAGTGCAAGAAGAGTGTCAAAGGATTAGGAATAGATCAGAGTGATATGAATGCCTTCACCTCGAACGTGGGAAGAAGCTGTAGATATAGAAGCGTCCATGTTCGATTACCCGTACCTTTATTCTGGACGCCGTGACTTCTCTAAGGGTGGTGTCTGCTAGGCGGGATCGACGCGCTTGTGGGCGACGGGATTCACGTACCCTTTTGGGACAGAAAGCACATTCCTGGCCAAATGTGGGGAAGCGACGAGACCACAAAACTTTCGCAACTAACGGACTCAAGTCAGACGGTCCGCTTGTCGCGATATGACCATCTGTTGACATCGACAGACCCTTCTTGGGAAATACTCGGATCATGGTCTGCCCGCCGGACGGAGTCAAAAAATGCGAGCTGGATGGTCGAGCTCGAGATAAGTCCATTGTACTGCCGCAACAGTCCAAAGAAGCCTTGAGATGCAAGTAGCAGTCTGGTGATTCATCTTCAGGTTGTGGACGTGGCGCTCTTAAAATGTGATCCTCGGTTGTTGTCTTGTTGTGATTGTCATGCAGTCAAGAGGTTGGTTTGTCGACACCGGTGTCGCGAAGCTGCACTCGTTATTACTTTCCAAGGATCATGTTGTAGAGATGTTGTGCATGATTCTAGCACCAAACCAATTAGCGATTTTTCAGATTGTTGGGACCGTCTGCAGAAAGTGCGGAACGTGGACACTGTGCCGTGGATCGGATGGTCACTGTGACAGCGATTATTCACTATGCACTGTGATGTTGAGCTTATACTCCTGCGATTCAGGAGACAAGCAACAGAGGGAAGATCATGAAGTTGGATCAGATTCGTTCATCTTGAATATACGACGTTGAATGGCGACCGATAGGTTCTTGGTGGTTCTTGGTATTGCCGATTGGTGGGAGCGGCTCGTGTTTCGCCGCAAGGCTTCATCTATCTCGTCTCATCATCTCTTTGGTGGTATATCGCGCCCTGTCTGCCCTTCTACCATAGCAGTGGCACACTACAGACCGGATGCATCAGGACAATTGTGCTGCATTAGCATGTTCACATGGAGTCACATCACGCATCATGTCAATGTGTGCCGCACTTTGAATGCTCCACACATGTATCAAGGTAAGCACTAAGAAAGCTCCACAATCAACATCAATCCTGTGAACCGTGGTTCTGCCGATGAAGCTTTTGGACCTGCCTGTTGGTTTCGCTGCCTGTTCGTAGATAGCCTGCTAAACATCACTGTACACTGCACAGCTGCTCCTTCCACTGAATACCTGACCCCTCCCCGAGACATCCTGCCTCATCGTTTCATAATCGCCCAGCTGGACTACTTCCTGGAGCAGATGTAGCGGCACAGACATGCTTCCGATTGGCTCACAATCAGTCGCGTACATCTCATTGGATGGCACGACTGTCAACTTGCACCGAGTAACCACACACGTTGGTTTCTCGCCCTTTTCGGCGCGTAACATACTCTCCCGATGAACGGACAGAAGTTCTTCGCTTAGATGATTCTATTTATTCCGTTTGTACATATAGATATCCAGGCCTGGAAAGCATCATCAACCTTTGTTCTAACGCACACTTACTTCAGAAATTTATACTTTCTTCGTTCAAATCTACTACCCAGGGTAAGCACACGTGACCAAAATCCATTGGCAGATGATATGGACTTTGACTGACCACCTGTCCAAGATGTGCCAGAACGTCTACTCGACTTTTATTTACCCCTGCGGCCACCGCAATCAGAAGTTCGTGAAGGTCGAGCGATGCGATCCTGCAAAGCAACGTGGTTCCGACTATTCCACAAAAACGGAGAAACACATTGGCTCGACCAGACGGAGGGATGATTGTGCAGTATGCGCAGATGAAGGCTATTCCCGGACTTGAATTCAGCTAAGGTTCGTCGCTACGGAGTCGACTTTGGAAATGTGATCTTACAGCAATTTGAAACAGCCTGTCGTTGAGAATTCAGTGATGGAACGGCGCTTAAATCTAGACAAATCAGATCTGTGGTGGTTTGCTCTGAGATAGTTCAATACCTCGATCGTTCAAAACGGATCCATCATATCCAGAGTATACTGTCACTTCCATCGTTTTTCGTGGCTGTAGTCTTGTTTCTCACGTGACATTCGTTTAATCGGTGATGTTGGCAATGTGATAATCCTAATCTAGCGATGTAGGTCGAGCAAAAAAGTCTACTTGCTTTACACTGATTATATGGCATTTATGTCTGCCTGCGTGTCGATCGGACGCGTCCCGCGCGCCAAGCAATTTTCTCAGCAAGCTACACGTAACACATGTGTTCCGTCACGCAAGGTTTGCCTACGTGTCGACTGTTTATGCTTTCACAAATCGACGGCTTGGACTTTTATCATTATACTTTTGTTCCTCTATCCACCTGTTCTGCTGCCCCTCAGTAGTCTCTACAACTTTCTGATCATACCCACTAAGACCGTCTATATGGAGCTTCCATCAGACCTGCAAACCGGCACTTGTGTAGAAGAATGCCTAGACCCAACACCTCAACTGCTAGAGCAATGTCAAAAGCATTTTACTAAACCTTTCGAGAGAGATAACGTGATCTCTGCTGGCTCCACTGGAATCGTGGACCGTCTTCCCTGTGGCCACGTTTGAAAACAACCCTTTCCGGACAGCGAGCCACGAGAGAAAGAACGCAGCTTGCAAGATATTAAGAAAGAGTACGACGTTTATTGCAGGATCGTTAATAAACCACATTTCTTAAAGATGATCGAGTTTTCGGAACAGCAAGGAATCATCATAATGCAAGGCGCACTGGACTACACTTTACGTCAGTACTTAGAAACTCAAGGCAGCTGCATCTCGCTGTCTAAGCGCCTGGGGTGGGCTTACGACATTGCTGTAGCTCTACACTCACTACATGCATCGAACGTCATCCATGCGGATTTGAAACCTGAGAATATTCTCCTAGACGAAAGCTATAAGGTGTACCTCATCGACTTCTCAGGATCTTGGATTGACGGAAATTCTGGCTCTGCTATGGAAAGCGTCAGATTTTTCTTGCCCCGCGACATGGACTCGGACTCTACTGTACAAACAGACATATTCGCGTTTGGGTCAACTCTATATGAGATAATGACAGGCACACAACCATACAACGACCTTGCTGATGAGACGGTGGAAGAACTCTTTCAGCAAGGTGAATTTCCGAGCCTGGACTTGATCCCTTGTGGCCAGATCATCAAGGAATGCTGGACAGGGATATTTCAGTCTGTCAACGATGTCCTTTTTGCGCTGCAGAGGGTTCAGAAGTCAGTTTCGGTCCGCTAGCTTAACCAATTGAGCATGTAATTCATTATTGCAATTGCAATCTGTCCACGGACCGAAGGGAATGTGGTCGACAGCTCTTGTTTCAACTCCAGTCTTGTCGGCAAATGTGGGAAGGCCAGATCTCGACCATGGGCCATTCTCGTACAGGCATCAGGAGGTTTGTATAGCGATGCCAGAGCAGCTTTCGCAATTCCAAATGACATGAGATCGCAACGGTAAACGCTGATGTGGCATCGTATCTAATGCCTCATCGCCATACTGCAGCTCCAGCATATGCAAGCAAATTCATCGCGCTGGATGCACACCAGGCAAAGGCGAGTAGTATGACACTTCAGACCAACTCCGCTGCGGCTTTCGACTTCTGTGACGGACCTTATGCCTTCCTTGACCGCTTCCTGGACCGGAGGACGTCTCCACGGTTAGAGGAGCTCTGGCCAAGCCCATACGTCATGATCGAGCCTCACCCCGCTCAAAGACACCCTGACCAATGAACTCATCTTCTGATTTGGAATTCATTTCACATCCTACGAGACAGCAATCGGTTTCATGCTTACAGAAAGCAGCTGTCATGCTGGTAGTTGAGGTCTAGACACGAGAAGAGGTATAGCATACTTGCCAGAACCTACGTATTCGGCAATTCCGAGCGCGATTGTGACCGGGCAAGCTGTTGTTGGAGGGGTAGACGACGAGAAAGCAGAGCCAAAACAAAAAGGCCGAACGAACTCCAGAACATGACCATTAGCTCTGATGTCAAGCTTCAAGACTCGAAGTGAAATAGCTCCTTGAGCCCTCGGGCTATAATTGACAGCTTCACTCCTCCTCTCTTCCTTTCTCTACATCACTCTCCACCTCACAACCAATCCATCACCACCACACACGTACAAAAATGTCTACCTACAACGGAGCCTGCCACTGTGGCGCCACCGAGTGGACCGCCTCCCTCGACAAGGATACCTCTTCGCACATCCTGTGTCACTGCAATACTTGCAAGATCCTCTCCGGCGGTGCCTACACCCTCAACCAAATCGTCCCCAAGGACTCTCTCAAGATCACAAAGGGCGGCGACGCACTCAAGAACTACACCTACAAGGGCGACTCTGGAAACCCCGTCCACTGCTACTACTGCCCCAACTGCACTGTAAGTTCTCTCTGCCTTGCCTCTTGACACTAGCTGGGATAGTTTTGCTGACCATGAGCCCAAAAAAAAACAGNNACTCACGTGTACCACCACCAAACCGCCCTTGGCGACGACAAGATTATCCTGCGCACGGGTCTGCTGTCCGAGGGACGCAAGAACTTTGGCCCCGCTGCCGAGATCTACGGCAAGGACCGCTTCTCATGGGAGAAGGAGGTTGCCAACACCTTTGAGGTTTTGCCTCCACAGTAAGCGTGTGTTTGCGCAAAGAGAATAAACATTGCTCCTTTGGGAAAAAGATGATATACCAGTCTCTGCGATATAGAGCTATGAATTTGAAAGAAAGACTATTTGGAGAAGAGGTTATTTGTTGTCGTGCTGCCGCTCGGTTTCTTCTCCATTATATGGCTTCGAAGAGCGTGAGATGCTTTGCTTGTCATTTGGCATTAGTGTGCCTTGCTGTAAGGCCATCAGTGAGTACGATCGATCCGTGACTTCTTACTCTGTAAATTCCTTGCATGGCACTTCGTTCTTAAGTGTCTATGCAGGTGAAAGCCGACGAGATCTTGACTGTCCTACGTCGGGTTTTGAGCACGCGGGAACAGGCATGCATACTCAGGAGACAGGAGAGACAAGATAGGAAGATGGTCATTAATTCGAATATGCTGCCGTATACCATTCCACCTACTACTGTATGACCCTCAAAACGCCATTCGTAAAAACGAGTATTGCAACTCTAGATGGCTCTGGCAGCCTCACCAGCAGCATCTGTTTCCTCTGCTCTTTGTCTCTGCTTGCCCTTTCCAATGCCACCCTCACCAACGCCCATTCTCTTTGCCACGTATCTTTGAGCCACGACACCAATGGCTAGATTCAATGTGTCTTGTATCCACTCAGAGACCCATTCGCGAGGGTCGATGCCGCCGGATTCGACAATGTCGCGGATGCTGTCAGGGAGGGTATCGGGGTCCTCGGGATTGGGTGATGAGGCGTCGAGCCATTGTGCCCATTGTGCAGGGAAGGATTGAGATAGCGAGGAGAAGGAGAGAGTGTGGATTGGGTCGTGGAGGTAGATGGCGAAGAGGGTGGTTTCTTCGTCTGCATCGGGTTCGACGACATCGCTCTTGGGTTCGTCGGGCTTGGGTCCTGCTGCAAAGAGCTCCTTGGCGGCTGACTGTGTGACGGGCTGGATAGCCAGGAAGATATCCGAGCTGCGGACGGGACTAGACTCCGAGAGTGTTTGTGTAGCTTGCTTTGCGGCTTCTTCGACGCCGCCGCGCGAGGAGAAGAAATCTGTTGCGTAGGCTTCGGCATTGGCACGGCAGAGCTTGGTACCTTCAGTCATGCCTTTTACTGCGCCCAGGCTGCGCTGTGAAGCGTGTTCGCGCCACCAAGGACCATCAGTCCACGCGCCGCTTCCTGTCCCAAGGATGTTTCCGCGGTAGGCCAATTCCGAGGAGCTGCGGCCGCGCTGGCGTGATTCTGAGCCGCGCTGAATAACAAGGAGGTCTCCGCCCTCAACTTGCTGCATGACGCGCGAGAAGACTTCGTAGATGATGGGGTCAAGAGAGGGGTATGCTTGTAAATCGTGTGTAGTATGGATGATCAGGCGCTCGTGCTGTGCAATAGGCGGGGCAATGGTCTCGAGTAGGGAGGTAAAGGTAGGCAGGGCCATGTTTCGCACGTTGCCGCCATAGGCCTTCAAGCTCTCAACATTGACGTTGTGACGCAGCTGTTCGGCATACTTGAGGACTTCAGGGTTGCCGCGCACCTCCTTGACGGCGGCCTCTGCTTGCTTGACGGCAGCACTGGCGGCGCTGAAGACGCTGGCTCCCCAGCCACCAAAGCCCCAGCCGCCACCGCCACCTTGTGCCTTTTGCTCTTGCTCCTGCTCTTCTTGCTGCTGAGGTTGATCATTCGGCGTCTGACTCTGGTGGTAGCTACGAGCGCTTTCGGTGCTCTTGCGTGTCTTGGAGCGGTCCTCGCTGGTACGTCCGCTGGGTGGACCGGAGCTCTGAGGGGTATGTTCAGGCTTGGACTTCGTTCCTGAAGCTGTGGAAGTGGTGGAAAGACGAGGAGTCTGTGGACGGGAGACAGGGCGAGCAGCGGCAAGGGCGCTGAGCTCGGCTAGCGGGTCATCATCGTCGACGGCTCCCGAAGCTGCTTTGGCTGACGAGGGTGTGGTGCTATCGGCCGAAGGAATGTCTTCAAACTGAGCAAGAAGCTCTTCATCAGTCAACTTCTTGGACATGGCTGTTTGTATTGTGCCTGCGAAAGAGAGAGAGACGGGAGTCTTGGACGACAAACAGCAAGCACAAGCAGGCCCAAAGCCGGGGAAAGTCACTAGCTTAGACTCGGCTAGCTCCCGCCACTAGCCGCCGTCGTCTGTCATTGGCTGTTGTCTGGTCGTGTGGATCCCGCCTTGGGACTACGAGTCTGGAAATCAATCACACAACTCGAAAAAGACTATCATTCTTGCTATTGATCATCTCTGTTCTTGCAAATACTCCCAGTCGCGTCTCGAGTCTCGACTCGCCATTCTGTACAATTCTCTGCCTTGGGTTCGCCAACTTTTTCTTTTCTGCCTCACCCTCAAACTCGACGATCCGATTTTGCTCGCTTAAACGTTATTCTCCTTTGCTTTCTTCAGCACATCATCTGGACTTGGTCCATCACTTGTTCCTCGAGTCTTTCAAGGCTTGAGTGGAGACTCTTCTGGGTTTTCACCATCTCTATATAATCTTGGCCGCCTGGATAAGCTCTCTTCGGCTTCATGGTTCTTGGCTTGCCACGATAATAGTGTCTCTATCGAAATTCGCTGCCGACAATATTGATTACGATGCGAACAAGGACTCACAGTAAACCTCAACTACCTCAAATCAGTCCCTCTCTCACTCGCGCCACCCGCTCTACCAACAATTCCTCTCCCGACAAGATGAACTCCACTATCATGGCAAAGGCTCCCAATTATGCCGAAACGGATCCCGTATCTCTTAGATGGGTTAACGACCGTACATTTGCTGTTTGCGGCATCGACCAAGAGATTCTAGAAACTTATGAAGCCGAGGATCAAGCAAGGAGTTTTAACAGACCTCAAAGTCCCAATGATCGTCGTGCTGCACGAAGGGCTCGCCGTGAAAGTGCACATGAAGCCATCTTCTTTACTGGCTTGACATCCAGCCAGAATGGACAAGTCAAAAAGAAGCCCGAGTCCCATGAAAGCACAGGCCATCTCGGCGACGAGTCACAAGAGAATGCTTCTTTCAATCGCCCTCAAACGGTCTCCTTCAATGGCAATGGAGACAATACTGCATCAGATATCGACGATATCGACAAAGACGACGACGACGCTGATGACGATGATCACGTATCAAACAATTTCCAGCCTTTGCCACGAGGCAATACCTTGTCGAAACGCGGGGGCACTGTAAAACGCAGACGACGAGGTGGTGCTCAGTCAGCATCACGACAGCCATCTCGCGAGCCATCACCTGAATTACCGCTTCTGGCGCCAGAAGACGATGTTGTCAGTGACAACGATCTACCGTCTCCCTTTACCGAGGAGATGTTCGAAGACCCCAACCTGCCAGACGATGAAGCACAAGCTCTATACAACAAGCTGTTCGAGCCGATGACACAGCCCGATGTCTTCATTGGACCCCTCGTCAAGTTTTTGCCAGGGCAGAGGTCTACGGACAATTTGTATGTGCTAGCCGCAAACACAGCAGCAGCATTACGTGCGTGGCAGGACGAATATCTTGAGCTCGAGAAGATCACTGCTCCACATGCCGCCATTCCTCGCAAAGCTGCGACTGGCCAACGTAACCCCATTGATCCCATGATTTACGAAGATCAGAAAGAAGCCGAGTTGTACGACTACGTGTTTGATGCTAAGAAAGTTGGCATGCAAGATCCCATCGCTCAAAAAGTCGTCAGGGATGCTTCTGGCAGAGAACTACGTACCCGTCAACCTCGCGGTCAGGCCAACAAAGAAGTCTCCGCAGCTACAGCGGCTGTCGTGCCAGAGGAGATTGTCACAGGCAGACGGGCTAGAAAACCGGTTGCTAAGTATGACGGTGTTGTTTCCACTGACCAAGCAATGGGAAGAAAGAGGGGCGCAGATGCGATGAGCGAGACTCCTGAAGCAGATGAACCCATGGCAAAGCGAGGCAAAACAGCTACTCGTGGTGGAAGAGGAGGCAGGGGAGGACGTGGTGGCAGAGGTGGGAGAGGTGGTCGAGGAGGCGGACGAGGTGGGCTGGTTGCAAAGCGTCTGCAAGAGCTGCGTGAAGAGAGTGCTGCAGTCTCAGCCACAGCATCCGAAGATGAGATGTCGGGCTCTGACGCGGGCAGCGTGCCGCCAGACACACGCGAGAACAGCCCTGTATACGAACATCTACCTGCGACCGGGACGACCACGCCGGGTCTAGCCGACGAGTCACAAATCGACCCACAAAGCGAAGATGGGCCATCACTTACAGCCAGTGGCAAGAAGAAGGGACGACCAAAAGGCAGCAAAAATCATCATAAGAGATCAGACGCTGGCATTCCGAAAGGTCCTCGCGTACCAAAAGCTCCGGGCAACGGTACATCAGGCTTCGGAAGTATCAACTCGGACATACCAGCAAGTGCAGAGACGAGCCTTACGCCTGGTTCGGCAGACACGACGCCCGTTGCACCAGCCACAGCGGCAGGGATTCCAGTCGATCCCAAGCGTAAAGTCCCGCGAAGTGAAAAGCGATCCAAGAGCATGGTTGAATGGTGGGCCCGCAGGAAGGCCAAAGAAGCAGAGGACAAAGCTCGCGAAGCAGAAGCGCAGGCTGCTGAACGCCATCGCGCTGCTGAAGCTCATGCTCGATATATGTCACAGCATGGCGGACTGATCGCTGCACAACAACAAGCCCAACAGCAGCAACATCAGCACCAACAACATCAGCAGCATCAACAGCAGCAACAGCAACAGCAGCATCAGCAATTTGGCGGATACACAGGGCCTTATCCACCAACAGGCGTCTTACCTCCCCCAGGACCACCTCAGCAAATGCAACAACACGTGCCACAACATTGGGGCTCGGGGTTTGCACTGCCCGGTCTTCAAGGTCCTGGCGGATTAGTGTGGCATCAGCCTGTGCATCACCCGAGTCAAGGTCTTCCATCCATGCAACAGCAACCTCCTCCTCAGCAACAGCAGCAGCAGCAGCAAGGGCCACCCCAAGGGCCAAATGGACCACAAGGACCCGAAGGGCATAGAAGGGATCAGCATGGGTTTGTGAGGAGCTTTTGACGGTGATGAGAGGTGCCTCGAAAACATCTCTCCTAAATTCAACTATCAGAGTATAACATCGCATAGTGCTGTCGGTCGTGGTGTGCAATATCTGTAGCAGTCACGCAGAACGAACAAGTCCTTGTAACAACATTCAATCTTACACCAAATCTGATCCTATGTTTTGCGTTTGTCATTCAAGCAGATCTGCAGAAGGTATCAATTCTCGATATGTATCTTGTTTCTGTTGTTACATGTTCGCCAGTACAAAGCACACCTATGCAGGCTATTTGAAGATCAAATGGAGAAACGTATGACTTTCAGACCAACAATTACGTATATTCAAGTTGTTGATAAGCAGGAACGTGGTGTAGATGGAAGAGTCAGGGTCGCAACCGACACGTAAAACGATCGGCGTCGGGGTTTGGCAAGCACCGACCAAAACCTCGCTCCGCAGATCAGTCACAAAGTTTCACATGCGACTCGAAACATTGGCCAAGTCACTTTCTCAACTCATCGTCACAACAAAACTCCTGGACCATGGCGGCGAAGCTGGAAGAAACGAGCTCAGAGCTCTACGAGCGCTGCACAAACGCCGCCCTCAGCTCTCCAGAAGGCCGCGCCAAAATCTTCGGCCAGGATGAATTGCTCAAGATGGGTGTGGTGGATAGTGCTCAAGCGCTGCTGGAGCTGTTGCAAGGCTTGATGGATGCACAGTTGGTGCGATTGATGCAGATGGAGGGCAAGATTTGCTATGCGCTGCGCACTAAGGATGATGCGGCCAAGTGCGTATTCGACCTTGTACACTACTAGGTGGAAAGAATGCTGATGGTATCTGAACTAGGANTTGTCACCCTCAACGATGATGAACGCATGGTCTACAATCAAATCGAGAACAGCGGCACCAATGGTACCTGGACAAAGACGATCAAGCAGCGCACAAACATTCATCAAACCACCGTCACGAAAGCTATGAAGACGCTCGAGGGCAAGAAGCTCGTCAAACCCGTCAAGTCGATCAAGAACCCTGCTCAAAAGATTTACATGCTATTCCACCTGAGTCCGAACGAGGATGTTACCGGAGGACCATGGTTCAGCGACGGAGAACTGGACGTCGAATTGATTGCCATCACCGCAGACGCCGTAATCCACTTTATCGCCCAGAACAGCTGGAAGACCGTCTACATCAAGCGCGAAGCTACTCCTGAAGCCGACGGTGTCTCCAAAAAGAGGAAGAGAAACGATGCGGCAGATATCGAAGGGTCGCATCCAAAGTCACGCAGAGCAGGCGGCTATGAAACACAAATCTCCTATCCGGCAGGCTGGCGCGGTTATCCTACAGTCTCTGCCATTCATCACTTCATCACGGAAGCTGGGTTCTTGAAAGACAGTTCTGCGCTCGCCGAGTCTGATCTCCAGAACTTGCTCGATGTCTTGGTGTTTGACGAACGCATTGAAAGGATCGGAAATGGCTACAGAACCTGCAAGGGTGTCTTTGGGGCAACAGAAGCCATGAAGAACATCATGCAGGGAAGACAAGTGGGAGACGCGGTCGAAGAGGTCGAAGGAAACGGATTGAGTCAGGCGCCTTGTGGCAGGTGTCCAGTCTTCAATCTCTGTGAAGACGGTGGCCCTGTTAATGCGAAGAACTGCGAGTACTTCCAGACTTGGCTGAGGGCCTGAAGGTCTCTAGACGTTGTTCCGTCATGCTTTCTCTCCCTTTGACGAGAAGCAAAACTGGCGTTCTCTGGTTGCATGGTCCTCGGCGTTGCTCTAGCATCTTTTGCTTTTGTTCTTTTTGTTTTTAACGCGCTGCTCAAGTGCTGACAGCGTTACATACCCTTGTATCTCTAACCCCTTCTTTCTGCTACACACATTCACGCTCATATCAGTTTGCCAAGATTGAGGCCAAGCGATCAGCCATGGCATGATAAGGTCGATCAAGCAAGCCCGTCCAAGCGATATGAAGCAATTGCTTGTCCTCCTTCTTCAAACGGCCATATCGTTGACCATCAAGTATCTCGCCCAAGCAGCCAAGACGAAGCAATATGCTATACACAGGGAAAGTACAGACCTGAGAAGAAAAAGTGGATTCTGCCTAGAGATGCTACAGCGGCTTTGGGCAGGTGGAATTGCTCGCAGAGAGGGGCAAGTTCAAGAGACACGGCGAGACACAAGGGCACCTTCTACAAGAGGAGTGGTTGCCCAGGTGCATCTGCTTGCTTGTATGCATGAAGTCCTTGGCTTTTTGGTCGGGCAAGTGCGATGCCTGCGGTGTCATGACATGACTGGACCTGGCAGTAACAACATCTTGGAGGAATGGCTGGAGGGATCCATCGTCTCCAAACTGTCGATATGAACTGATACGTTCCGACTCTTCTAGACTATAACGAGTATAGAGAGCAATTAAGAGAGTTATTGGTAGGTAGAGAGGTGGTGTTCAAGCATGACTTCCTGACGCTATCCGACGTCACCGATTTCGGAAATGATCGGCAAGGTACGAGCGCTCTGCATGACAACCTTATCAAAAGCATCGCTCGTGACTTCCCTCAAACACAGACACCTTTCTCAGGTGCTCAACATTATAAGACTTTGACCGCTTCCCACCATCCTTCTCATTGCAACGCCATCACTTGTTTGTTCATCACCACTTTGTTTCTCTATCACCACTTTGTTTTTCTATCATCATCATGGCTATCCTTCGGACTTGTACTGCACTTGCATGCATTGCCGCTGCCGCTTCGGCCAGACAACTTCCCCTTGTTGCGGACGACAACTATCCTGCATATGTACCACTTCCACCATCATCCAACATTAGCAATGGAACCGCCATCGACACCAAAAAGCTTCAAGCGGACATTGACATCAAGAAGCTGGTCGCTCGTGCTGAAGACCTCGCCAAGATTGCCGAGGCCAGCATTCCCGAATATAACCATCCAACCAGAGTGATTGGCAGCCAGGGTGAGCATGTTTCCATTGATCTGTCCATGCCTAATTCTGACTTCCATCCAGGCCACCTTGGTACCGTCGACTACATCTACTCCGAGATTTCCAAGTTGGGCGACTACTACAACATCACGAACCAGACTTTCCCGGCTGTTAGTGGTAATGTCATCGAGTCTCGTCTCGTGATCGGATACGACGTCCCCAAGTCTGCCGAGCCCTTTTCTCTCACTCCGGCTACCAAGCGTCATGAGCCTGTCTATGGTAACCTTCATCTGGTTCCTAACGGAGGATGCTCGGCCAGCGACTTCCCTCGCAACATGACCGGCCAGATTGCACTGATCAAGCGTGGTACCTGTTCGTTCAGTGATAAGTCAGCCAATGCTGGCAGAGCTCTTGCTGATGCTGCCATCATCTACAACAATGAGAACAGCACTCTCTCCGGCACTCTCGGGACGCCGTTGCCCGACCACATCGCCACTATTGGTCTTTCAGCCGCCGATGCAGCACCTTACGTTGCCAGACTCCTGAATTCTACCAGAAAGCTGGATGCCATCGTCTACATTGACGCCACTGTCGACGAGATCATGACTACCAACGTCATCGCTCAGACTACTGCCGGTGATCCCGAGAACTGTGTCATGCTCGGCGGTCACAGTGACAGTGTTGCTCCTGGTCCTGGTATCAACGACGATGGCTCTGGTACCATCTCTCTCATCGAGGTCGCCACTCAACTCACCAAGTACGACGTCAACAACTGTGTTCGTTTCGCTTGGTGGGCCGCTGAAGAGGAAGGTCTGCTCGGGTCTGACTACTACGCCACACATCTCTCTGCTGCCGAGAACCAGAAGATCCGTCTCTTCATGGACTACGATATGATGTCGTCGCCTAATGGCGTATATCAGATCTACAACGCCACCAACGAAGAGAACCCCAACGGCTCAGGTGAGCTTCGTGAACTTTACGAAAACTGGTACGAGGAGAATGGTCACAACTACACTTTCATCACCTTCGATGGCAGAAGCGATTACGCTGGATTCCTCACAGCCGGTATCCCAAGCGGTGGTATTGCCACTGGCGCAGAGGGTATCAAGAGCAAGAAAGAAGCCAGCATTTTCGGTGGTGAAGCTGGAGCACAGTATGATCCTTGCTACCACCAGCTCTGCGACGACATCAACAACCTGGACTTGACTGCTTGGGAAGTCAACACCAAGCTCATCGCCCACTCTGTTGCCACTTATGCCAAGTCGTTTGATGGCTTCCCCAAGCGTACCGCTGCCATTTCCGAGAGATCGCTGGCGGACTCGAAGAAGGGCACGCCTTTGTTCAAGTACAAGGGCAACGAGCTCATCATGTAGATGTGCTTTTCCTTTGTTCGAGTTGATAGAATCCTGTGAGCCAACGTTTGGGCTTTTGAATGCATACCAAGTTGCTCCTCACATGTTTATCTGCGTCCCAATTTCATATGAAGAGTATTCGCTTGCTTGGAACAGAGAGCACATGAAAAGTTTCAACTCAACCCTTGGAAAACATGCCGATAGGATCGCAATGATCCAGGCGCTGGTTTCATGTATTCATGGAAGAGAATCTCCCGTGCCTTTTTAGTTGTTCGTGCCTCAAGTACTGAGATTCTATGAAGAACCACACAACCGACAGCCAGGACGGGCTTTGGCTCGTGCCATGGCTATTTTGAAAACTTGCAAACACTTCGACCGCGTTAGTCATTCGCAGAGGATAGTAAGGTGAGTAATCAGGTCCGTGAATCTGGAACAATCAGCAAGATGAATGGTGTAAGAGATGTTGGCATGAGATCTTGAAAGATGGAGCAAGATGAAAGGGGGAGGGACGATATGCGGAAAGGCTTATGGACCTGATGACGTCTTTCTGCTGTTTCTATTATTCACGTCCCACTGTCGAGTGATCTTTTTGAGTGGGATTGATAGCACATACACCAGCTTCAAGCGCCAGGACCATCTTCTCGTTGTCTGCCCAGTGTCTTTACTTTCCCACTGTGATACAGATGTGCTTCTAAGCCATCTCGATCAATCAATTCTTGGTGGATGTAATGTGAAGTGTTACGCATCACGACAAACATTTATGTTGCAGAACTTTCTGTCTAGCTCTTGCCCTTGGATCTGCAAAGCCAAGTCACTTGTCAGTGCGGCCAATGATTGCAATGACTGATGCTCGCTTTCGACGGATAGTGGTTCAATAGACCGTAATGTTCAACGAAACCATAGTCTATCCCTACTCCGATATAGTCTCAGCCATCTTACCGTAATCGCAAAGCTGTCGATCCAGGTTCAGAAGCAGACAAAATAATAGGAATGCTTTTGGTGCGCCAGTTTTCGGAAAGACGGCGCGGGATGCAATGGTTACTGCCCATGTAGGGCGAGACTGTCAGGTGATTAGGTCCATGATCTCAAGATCTAAAAATCTCAACAACATTCATAGATACTATTGATGAGGTATAGAAGGCACAAGAGCTTGGCAGATAGAGACATGGTATATGGATGCGGAAGTATAGGAGATGAAGATAGGGTCATGGACCTAATACCTTTCTTTTGCTGCCCGGTGTTCCTTGTTGCTGCGACTTGGTGATTGAGTGGGATAGATGCACAGACATCAATTTTGATGTCAGACTCATCGTCTGTTTCGTAGAGCAGATGATAGCGAAGTTGATTCTCACAAGGCAGCGAAACTTCTCAACCCACAAATCGCAATCAAAACTTTAAAGAGTGTAATCTCGTTCGATGGAGAAGTCTTTTGAGAAACTCCCCCTCAAATACTGGAAGCTGTAACCGAGCATAGCAGTACAAGATTGCAGTCGCCATACACTCTTGGCAAGCAACTGATCTTTTTGTCTCCAGTATATATATCATCTTCGGAGAAAACCATCAAGAGAATCTTTCTCTCCATGGGATGGCTGATGAAGACCAAGTCCCCTTCACCGCTCATGTTACGTGTTGCAGAGCCCTTTTCTGCTCACTTGTCGTGTTTATTCTACTACAAACCTATGCAGATTAAGTCTCCAGGCAATTAGAGCTGCATGAGTATGAGGGACCTTTTATGTTAGACTTCGCATCAGCATGAAACGGTTGGTTAGGTCAGCCTTCTTGCAAAAGTGGCCATGGTGGAGGACATCATGTTCCTATGGCCAGTAATGGTGTTAGGTTGCTAAGGAGTTGCAGCGGAGGAAAGACACAAGCTGTATGTGATTGCGCTCAGTCCATGGAGTCATCTGCGAAATGAAAGCGGCGCTGCCAGGAATCGAACCCTCACCCCCTTTTAAGGGTTCAATATTCAGTGTTTTCCAGAATACGCATTCCATACGCAACCCATCATGATCTTCACCTTGATCCAGAAGACAACCGTACTGATTCTACAGACCTGATGCAAAAAGGAAAAGACATCCAAGTCCTCCACGGAGCAAAAACGCATTGACCCGTAAGTTATCAATTGGAAGATGGGAATGTGAGCCCCTGTTAAGATCGCGGAAAAGCTAGAGAGATTTATTTCACGTCCGGCCGGAACCGCTACACTAAATGGTTCTCATCATCGTTTTATTACATCTTACCTGCGCAACTTCATGGTATATAAAGGTTGGTCAAGTGAAGACCATTCTGGCAGATGATAGTCCTCGCGCTCCACAACAACAACAACAACGAGGGTTGAGCGCCAGTAGTCCCTTCCCTATGCTAGATCTCGGTGTCAATGAAGTAATTGAGATGTACCAAAGCATGTCGTTTTGAGGGTCTTGCAATCCTCAGGTACTGTAGACAGAGACTCGAACGATCTATTGCAGAATCATGGGAGAAACAAATGCGCCCATCGAGTGGCTTGTGTAGCAAGACAAGACCGTCGAATCTCTCTCCAGTAAGTAGGCAATGTTTGCGCTCAGGACGAGGTCGCGAGACCCAAGAGAACGAGGTTAGAAAAGGGTTGAAAGCACTCACAGACTCGAATGTCGTACATGGTTATCCGCAGTGATACAGACGTAGATCACTGTGAACCAGGCAGGATCAGGGACCTGATGCAGCCTTCCCTTTGCCTATAGATGCGGCCGTAGGAGTTGTGGCATTGGCAAGCTGGAATGGTATGGAAGAATACACCTAGAAGTAAATGTACATCGGAGTCATACGAGATAGCTCAAACTCAGAATCAAATTTTCTGTTCAGTAGCGTTGCTACCAAGTTGTTGTACCTTGTCCAGAGCCATAATGATGAGCTGATTGATTGATTGAATCCAATGCATCTAACTGTCAGTATTTGTTGCCTGGGCAATGCACCTCGGTACCAGGAAGGAGTCCATCAACATTATGACTAGCCATGATTAAAAGGCCAGAGCTATGGAGTCATCCAGAAGAGATGTTACGAATGTGGAGCCGATCCTCATCCTCCATCACTTTGGGATGGGAACACGACAAAAAAGATCAGACACAGCACAGTATTAGTGGCTCTGAAGACAGTTACGAACATCGAACATTATTGCTACTGGAAACCATGACATGACCTGCGAGTCTGAAATGTGAACCCTTTATTTTCTTGAAAGCGATTCCTTGCCTTGCACTATACAGAACTTTTCACTATTCTGATGCTATTTATATGCCAGTTGACTAGTCCCCCATGAGTTTCTGCTCCTGAGAAAAAGTCTTGTCCCATGTAGTCGCCCAGTCAACGAGAGCGGGTAGTGATTCGTCTTGTCTCTAGCCCCCTTAACTCTTGCGTAGTCCCTCAGCTCATGTCTCTGATGCTGGACCCTGTGGGCTTGGGGAGGGAGACTCGATCAAAGACTTATTGGCGAAGGGGTTGCTTCTCTATCACGGGCGAAGTTGGTGGATTAACATTACTAGAGAAATTGAGAGTGATGATGCCGTCCAAGGTAACAGTATCGGAAAGAGTCTCGGTGTCACTGATGTAGAGATCCATCTTATCATCGTTGAGCACGGGACGGTCGGAGTTGAGGATGGCAGAGCTGCAATGAGGCCGCGCTGAGAAACCGTGGTTGCTGTCAGTGTGTGGACAGAGGTCCTCAGAGTGCTGAGAGTGAGATTGCGGTGTGGCACCAGTGACCTCGATGGAGTTGCTGGTAATGTTGCTGACGATGATGCGAGAGCTCAGATCGTGCTCGAGAAGATCGTAGGTCGCATTGTCGATGGCTTTGTGGTGCTGATCACTATGTGTTCTGAGCTTGGAGGATAAGAGGTAATTGATATCGCTGATGGTCTCTTGAGATGCCTGCGACTGGTCAGTCTCGTCGACGCTCAGGAGCTAACTTTCAATGTTGATCTACCTCGAAGCAGCAGTCATCGAGTTCCATCAAGAGACAGTTGATGCAAGTTGAGGAGTGTTGGAAGTTGGAGTATGCGAAGCACTGGGAGGAAACCTTGTTTACAGCAGTGCTGAAAGTGGATGGATTGGAGCTCCACTCTATGGATGATTTAGATGTTGGAAGGACCCTCTCTTCCAACTCCAAACCTCTATGGAGTTTCCATAGAGTTTTGGAGTTCTAATCCTCTATGGATTATTTAGAGCTCCATGGATCCTCTAGTTAGAATAGTTGGAGCTCTAATAGTAAGTTAGGGTTGTAGTGTTAGATTACATGGAGAAGTAGTTAAATTTATTAAAAATAGTAAAAAACACTTTAACACACCATAACTTGCTATTACATGGCTAAATTTATTTTAAACAAGAATCAACTAGATAATACTGCTGTTCTTTAACCTAATTAAAAACAAAATACCTTAATACAAGGCAGTAGGGTTACTTTTTAGTGGTAGCAACCCCTAAGTAGGGTTATAAGGTTAACAACTAACCTTAAGGGCTTTAACTTATTAAAACCCTTTTAATTTTACTTATACCACCTTCTTAACCTTATATAACCACCTTACATAACCACTTTAACTACGTTAACCACCTTATACAACCATCTTACACGCTGCAGAATTTTTACTGCTAAGAGCTGCCACTATACCTATTTAGGAATCCTCTATGGATTCCAACTAGAGCTTAATTGGAGCTCCATCCTCTATGGAGGTTGATGTCTATTCCAATCCATATGGATCTTGGCAATAATCCATGTGGAGTTCCATTTGGAACTCCATCCAGTTTCAGCACTGGTTTACAGGCAGAAGGGTCTGATCACACTTGGAGCAGTCGGTTGCAGGCATGTTGATTGTGTTCCTGTTTGGCAGAAATGGATTGTTGTTATTCTTGAGAGTGTGATGAAAAATTGAAATGCAGATACGCGTAGTTGATCGAGATGCAAGAAGGCTGCGTGATTGTGACGAAGGAGAGGAAACCTCGACGGCTAGGGACGCGTCACAACAACACAGCACCAAGCGGAACATCCATGTTTAGTTCTTTCCATCTGGATTTACTGAAGATCAACTCAGCCTCGCAGGTGGTTATTCACAAAGGCCAAAAATTGATTGTATCACTCAATATTCTGATCTGGCCTGGGCCAAACTAGCCTGAGTAGACTCTTGAGATATATCTTACTCTGTACAGACATGGTACCTAAGTGTCTTTTCCATCGATCAGTCTTACCCTTGAGCATACAGCGACTCTGGGACCTAGCTTATCTGTATTATGCCCAGGATTTAGAATGGTATTCAGGTAGGGGCAAGATAGTCCGGGTGAAAACTACAGAGAAAGACAAGAGAATCACAGACACAGCAATAGAAAAGATGATATGAGATCGAGAATGTGCTTTCTACGATTTCCAGCGAGGGCCATATCTTTGCACTTCTGGAATTCGCTTCTTCTCCAAAGGCTTGCGAGGAACCACTCCACCGAGGAGATTTGTAGACCCAAAAGTAAACCATCGCAGAGCCAGACCATTTCAGACATAGAAAATGTATCGAATAGCCGCGTGAGGTGGTGTCCTCATTAGGGTCGTAGTCTGGTCTTCTGAATGACTGCCTCCCACTTGAGGCTGATGTAGTCGATGGTTATGGTGATATTCTTGTTCTCGTTGAGATCGAGCATGTTGATATAAAGCAAGGCAGCATTGCACGAATTCACAAAGGCGGGGGGGGGGGGGGGGGGGGGGGGGGTGAAGTCGTCCTTGGATTCGGTAGTCTTGAGAGCCATGAGGCTCTACGTTTCCTTGAGAGCACCACCCTGGAGCTGATGAGAAAGGCAGATGAGGAGGACGTAGATGTGGCAGTATTTGCTTCCGCCGGTCAGGATGCATCTGCCACAAGCTAGAGTTATATGAAGGAAGGTAAGGATCGGGGAGGTGATAAAGGCTCAGATGTGAGTGTGTTACGAATGTAGAATCATGAGGCAGTATGGAAGGTTATGGAAGTTGGTTTGGCTCAATCAAGACGCCGAGAGCATGATGCAAAAGCAGCTCGACTATAGTACAAGGAACCCAGCTTACTGCCGTCTGCTAGACCTCCCGTTGCTCACCATTGAGCATTGAGTATCTCACCGATGTCTGCGAAGGATGTCAGTGGGACTTAATTCAGAGGCATACATGATAGAGTAACTTATTGTGAGCGCTCCAATAGGAGATGCAAGAATTTGTGGTCTAGACAAGAACCCACTCGTCCTCGTCCTCGTCCTCGTCCTCGCCCTTGATGGTTTCCAGGACTTTCTCGTTGATCTTGTTCATGGCATGCATATGTACAGGGGGAGCCTTGATAAACTCAACAAGACGCTGCTTAAAATCGGCATCGTGACCAGCGGTCTTGAGAGTAAGAGGTTCCTTGAACTCCTTGGAAGCAGGCTCATCGAGCTGATAGATGTTAGTGATCCATGTTTCGTAAACTTGGTGAAGGAGATACTAAAGAGGTAAGCATTTGCAAGCAGTGAACCATGGACAAGCAGCACGAACAAGTATGTTAGACTGGGTTCGTGGTGAGAGAAGAGATTGTCTGTGTTGATGCCGACGTAGGTCAACAGGTTCTTGCAAGGAAGGATGATCCTCGGTCGCGTGTGAGGGGGGAGAGAGGGAAAGTCAGGATTGGCCTTGGTCGAAGTTGCTTATATAAACAACAACACCTCTCGACAGTTTCAGGATCACCGTTGTCAGATCACCGGACGCCCAAGGTCACTCTGATGTCAACCGAGCTTGTACCCTGTCAGAATCGCAGACAAACGACGGAGCTAGACTCTGACGGGAACCCCTTGTTCTCGATAGATCAGTCTCTCCTTCTCCATCTGCTTCATTTGACGGAATCGTACACTCTGAGTCTCTTCCGGATAATGTCTTCGGTCCAAACATTGGGAGAGCATACGCGCGAGCCCCTGAGTTGATAAACAGAAACCGTAGATACGAACTATCCAAGCGCCGTCTTTCCAAGTATCCTCGAGTACATAATCTCCAGACGGCGGGAACTGTAGAACACAGCCGAAGATGTCTCTGAGTGCGAGATTGTACCATGAGATGAAGTCAATGCAACGTCAGGGGAGCTGATCGAACTACATCTTGAGGTTCCGTTATAGCTCGATGGACAACTTGAACAAAGACTCATGGCAGCAGGGGTATATCTTCCAAGGTCGTTGTGTTTATCAGCTGCGAACCTAGAGCTGATCCATGCCCATGTCGATCAGGGACTGTAAACGATGTCTCTGGGACTCAGGCTTGGAACCAGGTATGGTGTCCAGGCGCACGTAGAGCAGGCATAACATACTTCCTCCTTGTTCCTACCATTTCTTAGACTCGAGAAGTCAGAGGGAAGTTTTTGAGCACTGCCGAAGAGTCCAGCATTACCCTATATAGACCGCTAATATCTTTAGATGATGGCTCAGCAAAAACAATCGAACAGCGATGAGCGAAGAGGATGAGCAAGGGATATGGTAAAAAAAAGGCAGCTTACAGCGCTCTTCATATCCTGCTCCACACTCCCATCGATCGCCTTCCTCATTCTTCTGGCAAGATCAAGCTGAACAACCCTCCCACCAAAGGCAAACACCCCCACCTTTCGGAAGGGAGAAAGCGGCAGCAGGCTCAAGAATGGCGAAATATTACTCCAGCAAAAGGCAAACATGAAATCTCATACTTTAAGATATACTCCATTGATGGCATAGTCAAGAGCGGGAAAGACCGACTATTCACAAACTTCTCTCTCCACGAGCACAAAACCAGCGAGTATGAGCAAACATTTCCCTCAAACAAGAGATAGAGAGACAACGAGAATGTTCTCAAGTTCTTGATGTTCTTGCATCTCGATAGTTGTGTAAAATCTCGCGACCGTGCATTGGAGCCGCCCACCATCATGTCATCTCAAATCTGACCTTCTTACACGAACCTTTCTAAGGCACTTGCAACAACTCATAAACAGTTCCACTTTCTTCCAACGCCTGCTCCACTCTTTCCATAACAGCAAGAACCTTCTCTTCCTCCAGTCTTCTACCCACGACTTGCACAGCAACAGGCAATCCAGCCATCTTATCCGCGTCGTAATGTTTATAAGCTCCCTTGGCCACTCCATTCTTGTTGATGACGAAATCCTCCGGAAGAGCGTCCTTGGCAGCATCAACCTTGGTGACGGGAATGATACCACAAGTGTAGTCCAACAGGTTGAAAAGGAAAGTGTAACCACAAGAAGCAACCGCATCTTTCATTCCATCATGAGGGACAGCAGGAGTAGCGTTGGGTGGCGTGATCATGACATCCATCTCCCCTTTGCCATCACTGTTGACACCATTCCACCAGTCAAACCAGACGTTCTTGAAGCTTTCGCGTTGGTACACCAGTTCCCAGTTTTGATATGCAGATTTTTCGTGTAGAGACTCTAAGAGGTGGGCCCAGGTAGCGTCGCGGAGGATATAGCGAACGTATTTGACGTAGAGCCAGCGGAGGGGAGAAGGTAAGCGCATCCAGAAAGTCAGTTGGGCGGCTCCTGCATCGTTGGTCTCGCCGGAGGCGAAGAAACGCGAATATGTTCTTGTGCCTTCTGCATTGAGTAATTGGGAAGCGATGGCCAAGGCATCAAGGGGTGCGTGAGGTGCGGAAGGTAGAGTTAGGTCAAAGACATCATGGCCTTGATTCTTCAGAGCGTCGACGCTGAGTTGCAAGGCGCGAGCACAGGCAGGAGAAGGGTCAACCACACCGTCAGTCCTCAATACACCGATTCTGAATTTCTTCTTGTCTTTGAAGGCCTCGTATGTTTCTTGTCGCCAGGCGAGTCGATGCACACTTTGATCATAGGTCCAAGGCTTACATTGGATGAGACTCCTTGTGAAGTAGACCAGATCAGAGAGTGTCCTTGTCATCGGCGAGAACACACTGGGTATACCTTCCTGGCCTGGCATCGAGGTGTCCACACCATACTTCGGCCATCGTCCCGTAGAGCACCTGAGCGAGAAACAACCAGAAAAGTGCGCGGGCGCGCGAACAGATCCAGCAACATCACTTCCAATGCCTATCCTCGAGCCTCCGAACGCCAAGATGGCGCCCTCACCTCCAGTACTGCCGCCAGGGCTGTAATTCTTGTTGTGAGGATTGGTGCAGCGGCCCCAGACATCGTTGGTGGATTCAAAGCTCAGCAAAGTAATCGGTAACGCAGTCTTGACAAAAGGCACCGCACCCGCATCTTTGAGAAGTCTCACCATAGCGCCGTCTTTGGCCCACGGTTTGAAGCACTTTCCAGAATATCCGACACTGGCATCGAAGCCACCCACGACAATCGAGTCCTTGAGACTTATAGGTATACCAGCAAGAGGGCCTTTGAGATTGACCCCACCATTGCTGATCCAAGTTTCTGCATCGGGAAACATAATCTCCGTCACACAATTAGTAGCGTTCTGTGCTTTGACAGCTGCTTTGCCATAAGCGCGAAGCACATCGATAGGTGACTTGATGGAATTCTGGACATCTTCAACCAGTTCCTCGATGGGTGTATCCAGGATGGAGCGTTCGGAAGATGAGATGGGGGATTGATAAGACTGAGGCAGATTTGCTATACGCGCGGCACGTTCATCTTGCTTGCGTTGACTNAGATGCCATGTCATTAGCGATATTCGACATTCTTGTATGATTAGAACTTGCCATGTCTGTCGGTGCTGGGATGACCCAAAAGGCCACATGATGATGGTTGTGGTACTGAGCTTGAAGTCAAACGAGACAATGCGAGACTGTTGTCAGACAAAGGATTAAAGGCTCAGGTTTCATCGAGATGTAAGCTGATGCAGCAGGCAGGACAAAAAGGGAGTCAAGACATTCTTATACTCCTTACCGAGTTGTCCGAGAAGTGGTTATCAAGGCGGGGTCATTTCAGGACATACGGCTAGACTTGCCAGATTAGGCTTGGTGTCGATAACGGCTCAACCTTCCACACTGAGCAAGACCGCACGTCGTGGTCGAACGCGTCTGAAGAACGGAGCACGAGAGAGGACGTAGCAAGAGCATAGTCGAACGTGATAAACATTTATACGTCTCAATCGTAGTCTACTCGTGAATTTCAAGGATACATAGCAATTGCTGTCCATGTTCCTTGTCTCGGCCACTATAACAAATCAACAAAAGTACTTGCTCTGATGGAAACTACAGTCCCTGACTGGAACGAACGCCAAACTCCTCAATGTTTTCATCCCACCAAGCCGATGAGAAGATTGATCGTTGGTTAGGATTGGAGTGCGCTGGAGGAGGAAGTGGGCGCGGAGGAGGTGGGCTACCGTACATCGTGGTAGGGGATCGCGTTATGAAAGGGGGCGAAAGCGATGGGTCGGATAATCCCTAGTTGATGCCACCAGCCTCGCCCTCACGCTTCATCTCGCCTTCCACATCTTCTGCATCACGTTCTTGACGTCCTTCCTCCTTTTCCTCGGCAGCACCTTCACCCATCTCCACGTCCTCAGGAGCTGTTGTGGGTGCTTCAGGCACTGCAGGTTCTGGCGGAGGTGTAGCCGTAGGTCCGGCACCTGCTTGTGTGTTGTTCGCATTTGGTGCGTCCGTAGGTGGTTGGGCGGTATCATCATCGCCCATCTCGACATCTTCAGGCTCGGCTACAGGAGCTTGTACGGTAGTCGATGCTGGCTTTGGCGGTGATCGTGCTCGTTGGGTTCCATTGCTGGCGACTTCCTCGCCGAGAGCGGGCTGCACGGCATGAGGATCTTCGGATGCCTTGGCGGCCATGATGGCATCACCTACAGCAGCGTTGGCCTCTTGTGCTCTCTCGACGACCATTTGGTCGGCTTGGGCAGCTACAGGTGGGAGAGTGCTGTCAATAGGAGTGGCGGTTCCAGACTCGATTGGCCCCTCTGCCGTGTCGGCGAAGGGGTTCTTGTGGTCGGTAATTTTCATCCTGCGAGACTTCTGGCCAGGCTGTTCCTTGACCCCAAGCAATGCGTCCATCTCTTCGTCATCAGAATCTTCAAACTCGTCATCTCGCTCAACACGAGCATCCCATTTGCGTTCGGTGTAGCGGGAGTCTGGGTTCTCGTCGTCGTCCTTGTCGTCCAGACGCTGCTCACGTTCATCCAGATCTTCGGTATCACCCTCGTTGTCTGGGTCGTTTTCGTTCGGTTGCACAACAAGTGGTGAGCGAGGAACATCGGTCATTTGAACACTGGGCGCGAATCGTGTGCGTGAAAGGTTCTCAAAGACTTGCAGCTTGATCTTCTCGAGGTACTCCGGGCTGTTTGCGTTGTCCATGTTCGAAGGGCGGACGTCAAGTTCGAAGTCGGGAGAGTAGTATTCGTAGTAGTCGGTGTATGGTAGCTCAGGGCCCATCTCTTGACCGACAAGTTGACCGGTCTCGTAAGCCCATGTACGGGCAACGTTGCGCATAGTGTAACCACCACCTCCGAGGACTAGTGTTGGAAGGTTGAAACTCTTGACGTACTTGACACAGTTGGCGTGGCCGCGCATGGACAAGTTGAAGCAACCAAGACGATCACCACTCAACGAGTCACCACCACACTGCAGGACAACGGCGTCGGGACGGAAGAACTCCATGATCTTGGCGATGATGGGCTCAAAGACACTCTTGTAAGCGACATCATCCATACCGTCGCGGAGAGGGAAATTGACGGCGTAGTTTTTACCATTTCCAACACCAATGTCGCGCAGCTCACCAGTACCGGGGAAATACTCTCCGTACTTGTGGAAGGAGCAGGTCATGACGCGGTCGGTTGAGTAGAAGGCTTCTTCGACACCATCGCCGTGGTGGACGTCAATGTCGATGTAGAGAACGCGCGACTTGAACCTGAGAAGCTCGATGATGCCGAGGACAATGTCGTTGATGTAGCAGAAGCCACTGGCCTCACTCTTCTTTGCGTGATGCAGACCTCCAGCCCAATTGACGGCGACGTCGCACTTTTGGCGATTGAGACGAGCAGCGCCTTCCATACTGCCTCCAGCACTGATGCCGCAGTATTCGAACAGACCATCAAAGACGGGGCAGTCGTCACCGACGTTGTATTTTCCTTGCTCTTTCGCATAGCTATCCATATTGTCCGGGGTGACTTTTGAGAGAAAGTCGACGTATTCGTCCGTGTGGAACTGGGTCATTTCGTACTTGGAGGCAGGCTTGGCTCTNCTGAGAGGTGGTTAGTGGGTTGGACAGGCAATGCGACAGGGAAGGTTCAGGCGCACGTAGATTTCCATCTTCTTGTACAAGCCGTAATTCATAATCAGACTGTGTGCCATTCGGATGCGGTGGGGCTTCATGGGGTGACCAGCATTGTATGCATAGTTGCCGACGTCCGAGTCGTAGAAGTAGGCGACCTTCTTGGGCTGAGCACCATTGCTGGCGCGAGGAGGGTCCAGCGGAGGGCCATACTGGGCCGAGTTGGCCATGGCAGCGGCTCGTCGATACTAGTTGAACGAAGCTATCGTGTATAAGGATCCGATTATGCGCAGGCGATATGGACGGGAAGAATGCGACGCGATCGAGTTGGTTGGTTGAAGGTGAATGTTAAACAGTATCGAAGGTAAATGCTCGGCGACCTGCCACTTCCGAGCTTCGTTCTTTGGGGAAGGTGCAAACAAGTCAAACAATCTCGCAGAAGGAAGTCGCGGCGGAGGCCGGAGGTTGGAGCTTCGGAGGCTGCATCATTGTCGTCGTCGTCCAGCGTCGCCGTCCGAGCTGCTTCCATCACTCGATCCATCAACAATCCCATCTCCCTCTCGCCGCCCATCCATTCCGCGTCCGACCACTCTACACGTCTGCGCATACTAGAAGAGAAGGACGAAGCACACACACCCACAACGCACCACCATGGACCGACTCTCACGAATGCTGGCCGCCGCCCAGGGCATGGGAGGCGGTGCTGGCATGCAGCAGGACGGCAACGTCGTCGACAACTCCGAAACCGTCTACATCTCCTCTCTCGCCCTCCTCAAAATGCTGCGCCACGGCAGAGCTGGTGTGCCCATGGAAGTCATGGGTCTGATGCTGGGCGAGTTCGTCGACGACTACACCGTCCGCGTCGTTGATGTCTTTGCCATGCCTCAGAGCGGCACTGGTGTCTCGGTCGAGGCGGTCGACCCCGTCTTCCAAACAAAAATGATGGACATGCTGCGTCAAACTGGCCGACCCGAGACTGTTGTTGGCTGGTACCACTCACATCCCGGGTTTGGCTGTTGGTTGTCAAGCGTCGATATCAACACTCAACAATCCTTCGAACAGCTCACTCCTCGCGCCGTCGCCGTCGTCATCGATCCCATCCAGTCCGTCAAGGGCAAGGTCGTCATTGACGCCTTCCGCCTCATCAACCCTCAGACTCTCATGCTCGGCCAAGAGCCGCGCCAGACCACGAGCAACGTCGGTCACCTCAACAAGCCCAGCATCCAAGCTTTGATCCACGGTCTCAACCGCCACTACTACAGTATCGCCGTCGGTTATCTCAAGGGTCGTGGTGGTGGTGGTTCTGGAAACGGTGCCGACGCCAAATCGAATGGTCAGGTGGGTGGAGAAGAAGCTATGCTCATGAACCTGCACAAGAGCGTTTGGACGGAAGCTCTCACCATGCCTGACTTCAAGGCTGAGGGCGACCGCACATTGGAGAAGCTCAACAAGCTCGTCAGCTTGGCAGAGGGCTACGAGAAGCGTGTCAAGGAGGAGACCGAGTTGACCAAGGATCAATTACGCACAAGATACGTCGGCAAGGTCGACCCCAAGAAGCGTATGTCGTCTCACATCAACAATCTGATTCACCTACTAACACCATCACAGACANTTGAGACTCTCGGTCAAGACCTCCTCGAAGACAACATCGTTTCCGTATCACGCCAGATGATCGACAAGGAGGCATCCGTACCATCAGCTTGCCGTATAGAAGCTGTCGATGACGACGCTGATGGCATGGCTGTCGACCAAACCGCATAGACTGCGACGTGCCATCACAGACCAGGACGAAACGCCACCCAAAACACGACCAGCACAAACACTTCGACTGATGAGACGACTTCGAGCGCAGAATCCTATGTCGTCCTCTCACACTCCGATGTGGAGTAGTATGAACGACCTTTTGGTTCATCGTGTATCAAAGACACGAATGCATGCATCTCGCACAAGAATCGACCTTGAACGAGCATGGAAGTAAAGACGCCGGAGGTCGGCAGGTATACAATCAACATGCGCAATGATCACAAGAACTATTTCTCAAAACTTCTCTGCAATCCGTTTCTCTCCGTTTATGCTCATCGCTCACCCCCACAGATAAAACATAACAAAGTGTAGATGATGAACTTGAGCTTGTACCTATTGGGTGCAAGCACTGTGATGGAAAGTCAGAGTTTCACATACGTCTTTGAATCACACGTTTTCGATACTACTTCACCACCACGTTCACTGTTGTCTACTAAGCCATGGACTTGGAAAGGAGCCTCGCCCGCTCCATTGTAAGCGGTGCCTCCCATATTAGCGTCGACTATATCGACTAGGGCGAGTATGGACATAACATGTGTATGACATGTCGGAATATCTTACCGCCGAGGGGTAATGTCCAGTACCTTCTCACTCTTGTTAGACAGAGACTCGCAATGATCAGGAGTACTAGGGAGATTGGCCCATTACGCTTTGTACATGCCGTCAGAATTGTTGGGAATGTCTCATCATCGTTGATCATGTCGAACCACAACAGATTTTAGGGAGATATCGATGCTAAATAGAGCAAGATATTGATGAGTCTGTGCCTCGATTGATGCAAGCGCAATTGGGGTAGACTCCGATATCAACGCACCATTGCTAGTGAGTACCAGCATTGATAGGCCGTCAAGGTCGAACTTCGTATAATACATTACAACGCAATATTCAACAATGCTTGGAATCATAATCCCTCTCTTTTCACCCCTCAAGGCTCTCCATCTTTTTTTCCATTGCCAACTCTGGTCTTCTGCTGGCAAGTAGCCCCATGAGCAACTCATGCACTTCCATAAGTCTGATGACCATGCTCTCTCATAGTGTTGTTCGCATCAGCACCAGGCATCAACACTTCCCTTGCCTCCTCAGCCTCCTCTTCCAAGTCCTCCCTCTCGATATAGCGGGACTGATACCACACATATCCCACCAACATCACCCCAACGGCAAACGCAGTAGAAAGCAAAATGATGTTCACAGGGATAGGGTTGTTATTGAAAGCATGATGAGTGAGCGCATCCAAGCCTTGGGCGGAGAAGTTGAACAGACCAGCAAGGCAGATAATGAGACCGTAGACTTTTCCAAAGGTGGCGAAGCCAAAGACTTTGGCCGAGTAGTCCGACACAGCTGTGTAGTACAGGGGACGGTAGATGACGAAGAGGATTATGTTGGCGTATGCAGAGCCGGTGTTGGGAATGACGCCTAGAACACCAATAGTTGTTGCAATGGTGACCAGCAGAGTGAGAGTGAAGACAGTGCTTGTGTGGTCGAGGACCAACCCGATGAAAGGCACAGCAACAACGCCACCTAGTGGAAGTGCAATATCGAAGAATGCGTTGATGTTCTCAGCTTTGCCAGGGCCGACAAGATAGGAATACTGAGTGCGAATGGTGGCGACAAAGTAGTTGATTCTGGTCATCTGGATGATAGTGAATAGAGCGATGAGGATGAACCATGGTGTCATGATTTGCTTCAAGGCGGGCTTGCCGTGCAGAACGCCCCAGACACCGCTCGTTGCTTCGACTTGTTGTTGCTGGGCCTGTTGTTCTTCGGCACCCTTACTGCCGAGCAATTCAGTGATCTCGCTGACCACGGACTCGCGATGTTCCTGACGAAGTAGAGCACGTTCCTCGCTGCCGATGTCAAGATCTGAGTCCGAGTCTGCCGATGGCTCTTCGGCTTGCTGAACCAATTCACCGACGGTCTTGTAGCTGTTCGAAGGCATGAGGAAGATTTGAGCGACGAGTATCAGGGCCGGTACAGCCAGATAGATCAGGAAGAACCGTTTGGTGTTGAACTCCCCGTCAGTGGCTTGGAAGATGAGGCGATAGACAAGGAAGACAGCAGAGCTAGTGTCAAAGGCACCAGTCAGGAGTGCAAGGATAGTACCAGAGTGCTTGGGAAATGTGTTCGAGAGCTGGAAGCTCGAGATGAAGATGAAANNAGGTCCACCGAGAGCGAGGAAGAAGTAACCCGGAATCCAGAGGTCGACGTTCTCGCGAACGTCCCAAGCAAATGCCAGAAGAGCAGAACCGATGGCAAGGAGAAAGCAGCCGATGATACCAGCAACTCTGGGGCCATATCGATCCAAGATAGTTCCAACAGGCAAAGCGCATACATTCGTGCTGACGGCGGCGACGGTGAACATCAAGTTGAGTCTCAGCTCTTGTTCATAGCATACCCACACCCCTTCTTCAATCTCCTTTGGCGTGCATCGCTCAGCATAAACGCCCTGCTCAATTAGAACAGGCTTTATGGCAGCATAACCAAATACCACACCAGCAGCGAACAAGCAATACAAACAAGCGACAGCAACTTGAGCTATCCTCTTGATCTTGCTGACCTCGAACGCAGCAACAGGTTCCTCGTGCGCAACATCCGGTACCCAGCTGCCTACAGGGTTAAAGCTCAACTTGCGACGTTCGGAACCAGTGGGTGAAGATGCTCTGACTCCCAAGTCATTTGGTGTCGTTGTGTTCGAGTGATCTCGCAGCGTCTCCATGCTGCTTCTTCGTTCGAACAACGACATCGTTTCGTCGTTCCGTGCGACTCAAGAATTTTATATTCGGCGGCTGGTAGAGTATAGGCTGACGTAATTGCTCTCACAAATGGTTCCTTCCCCGCAAAGGATGAGAGCACGCGATCAAGTTGCCAGTGTTTAGCGAGTCAGTTTAGGCGTGTAGGATGATGGGGGATGACCTCGAGACAAGACGAGAGGAAGGGAGGAGGTTGTTTTGCGGAAGAACTGACTGAGGCAACTACATGTTTATGAAAAACTTCGCAAGCCGACTGGCAAGAATTTTTTCTCGGGAAGGGACTACACATGATAACTCAACAAATGGATAGAGCACGATAAGAAGTAGCTGCATCCCATTGCATGTTCAAATTCGTCCAATCATGACGCTCGGGACACGCCGACGCTTGACAGATTGACTCGATAGAAACTCGTGTGTGGGGCTTTTCATTCTTCTACAATCAACAAGACAATTCGTGATCATTATCTATTAGGAGTCGTCTTGAGAATGCGCCTATCTTCTTCATCTCTGCCCGTATTATCCCGTCGCAATGCGAGAATGATGGAAACGACTGTGAAGTGACGACCGCTCGATGCCGAAGGAAAGGTACTAAGGAAGCAAAAATGCAAACAAAGGAGAAGACATCACATCTCCGCGCAATGCGCCTACATCCGATACCACAATCTGTGCCGCAACATGAAACTTTTCGCTCCAGGGATGCATAAGGGTCTGGCCCTTCAATAAGCTTGCGTGTTGTAAGTCGCATTTCCGATCAAGTCAATCGTGCTGTTCAAGCCGCTTCGATCCTCTTGGGCAGCAGACCGGCTCTCTTGCTCTTGAACCACAGAGTTGGCAACAGAGTACAAGAGCATGAGAATAAGATGCTGTGAGACTTGATGTCAGCTACTCGATCGTCGTATCGGATATTCTCAAAGACTCACCAGAGCGCAATGCACAACCCCCAGATGGCCTTGGTCTCAAGACAATTGACTCTGGTCGAACCGGCCCAGACATACAGTCCGATACTTCCGCCCTGCTTGACGTTCTGCACCAGACTTTGCAACCAGTACGCAGCGCCTGCTGCATCGACTTTGGAGTCGACATTGGCGATGGCGAAACAGTTGAGCAGACTAAGTGGTTTGCCGAGAGTGACTGAGACGACGATGAACGCAAGGAGAAGAAGACCGTCAATGGCTGTCATGACGAACAGGCCTAAGTTTGCCTGAGCCATGTAGAATGGGATACTGATCAGAGTGTATAGGGTTGCGATGCAAGTCNNTGGCATGTGAGTCAGTGTTGATGAAGACATGGCTTGCGAAGAGATACATACAATGCTCAAAGTTCCGACAATCTCTTTCGGAGGCTCGATGCCCACACTGTTGATTGCAGCCACGAAATTTGCGGTCAGACCGACAACACCGACCATGGCAACCAGACTCAGCCCTCTGATGCAGAGAAAAGTCTCGCTGAGAGGAAGGGCACCGTAACTTGGAACAGGCATTCTGTCGGCTTTGAAAACGATTGCTGAGGGGAAATGAATAGGTAGAAGTGCAAGAGGCCGGCCTGCGGTCAAGAATCAAGTGGAAAAGGACGCAAGAGATATAAGACTAACAAAGATGCAGAATGAGTAGAAGATATGCCGAAAGAAAAGCAGAAGCAGAAAGACAAAAGATGCTGTAATTGTCGAGTTGTCTGAGACCAAAAACAAAGACAGCAAAGCAAAGGTCTTAAATACTGGCTTTCCATCTACACAGCCCACTGAACCTTCATGGCTCAGACAATAAACACTGGTCTTTTGCTATTCTGATCTTCCTCGTCTGAAGAGATGGAACACGCTGTCTCTCTTCAGTTGACGCTGCCCCGTCCAATGAGACGTTTTCTTGGCACGGCGCGTAAATATAGCGACATCTTTTCGCTTGCGACGATTGAATAACTGCCTTCAAAGCGGATCGGGACGCCTACGTTCCATGTTCCTGCATGTTGAAGTGGCCTGCTGCTGTTGTAACGGAAGCTTGTTGACGGGGGGATGTCTGGCAAGCAGATCCCGTTCGAGGCGCTGAGCGGATGTGCATGGAGCATCGATCAGATGTTTCCTCCTCGTTTGTTGGCTAATCAAAACCTAGATACTCTTCCGCGTTCAACTAAGATCTGGCTTGCAATAATTCCGCAGTCGTTTGAGAGGTTCTTGTCCTGTACCACGATCTTCATAGCGCTATTGTAGCAGAAGGTTCGGGTTACCATTACAGCAGATAGTTTCATCCCGCGGGTCGAACTGGAGCTCTCACTGTCTTCCCGCTCAGCTGAATATAGATTGCAATACCTCGAAGTCAATCCGAATCAGACTTGACCATCTTATTTTGCTGAGTCCAGGGGGAAGTTGCAGTTCACCATCAACAGCGTTTCCGGAAGGGACGCAAAGGCAAGATTGGCTGTTGGCGGAGGTGCGTCCGGACAGCGTCGCTCCTGCCATGGATTTTTGTAGCGAGGACCGGGTCTGCCTGTGCCTTCCTTGCAGTGACCAGCTCTCGACTGTATACCAAGAATTGGAGATGGCGGTCCTTCTCTTGACCATATGCTCCAAACAAAAGTCAGAATCGCCTTGGCGAGCTGCAAGAGTCAGGACGACCAAGGGACGTTGAGACGGCTGAGGGCCAGAGTCCAGACGCCGTCGGGCGCCGAAAACGACCATGTCACCATGTCGCAGGCCCTGCTTGCTGTTAAGCAGTGAACAGGTATGGTCCCCGCCGTCGATGCCTCTGCATCCTCGTACACGCCGTCGAATAGCTTGCCGGCCGAGCTCCATCTCCTCGTCGATTTCATTGCGGACGACAACCGCCCCACCTTGATCCTAGACGATGCGACAACCGAAATCGTGTACTGCAACACGGCCTTTGACACCTTCACAGCCACCGTATCTTATGCCTCCTGGCTCGAGTCGCTCCTCGATACAGCGCGTAGTGGCACACGACCTGAGCCACACACCACGCAGGAACTTGGCTCTTTTGCCGAACAATCATGGTCCAGAAAGAGCATTGCATCGTCCTGGACTGCCATCACTTGTCTGCCACCAGCACACCACAATCACCATGTCGGAACGCAACCAGACCAGCCACAAGCCTTGCCGCTACAAAGCTCTCTTCTTTCGACCACCATTCCTCTGAGACGTCAAGAGTCAGATTCCGCTTCGACCACTTCCGTCTCGACAAACACATCTAGCACAGGATCTTCTGACATGGACACGCCCTTCGAGGACCTGACCGTAGACTGGCTGTTGTATCCGAAACCTTCCCCAGATCCCTGGCTCGACTNNTTTGTGATCAACCACAACTGGGAAGATAAACCCGTCGGTCCTATACATTCTTGGCCTCCCATACTGAGACAAATGTACACGACAATTCTGGCTTCGAGAGAGCCTCGTGTCCTGTACTGGGGGAACGACATGGTGTTATTCTATAATGAAAAGGCTAGGTTCGTAGTGGGAGAATTACATCCCGTCTCACTTGGCGAGCCCCTTCTGTCAGTCTTTGGCGAAGACGTCCATACGAAGATTGTCAAAATGATCAGGTCTGGAATCAAGCGAGGAAAGCCCATTGCTCAGAGGAACTATGAACTCATCTTGACACGACATGGCTTTCCCGAAAGCTGCTTTTTCGATCTTGTCTTCCTTCCTGTTCCCTCGCCCAATGGCTATTATCTGGGTGTTCTTGTCGAGTTCACCGAGATTACTGAGAAAGTCCTCCAGAAAAACCGCCAAGAAGTCTCTAGATCCTTGTTGCAGTCTTTTTCAAAAGCTACCGATCTACACCATCTCTGGCAAACCTTTGTGCAATCTCTCAAGTCAAATTCTCGCGATCTGTCTTATGCAGTCGTGTACACGGCGACTGAGAGTCTGGGTGAACAGCATGCAGGCACGTTCCAGCTCAAGGCTTCCTGCAACGTTGATCATTTGCAGAAACATCCGTCATCTAGCATTGTTGAAGCTTTGAAAGCTTCTCACACCGAGGTCTTCGTTCTTCAGCAGAGCAAGAACTCCCTACCACTGGATCTGGCAGCATTCATTCCTGACATTGGCACCGTCGACACAGCTTACGTCTTGCCCATTGTGGCTCTGGACGGCGTACATATCCGCGCTATCGTAGTGCTAGGCCTCAACCCAAGAAGAGCCATAAGTCCAAGCATTCGCCAATTTGCAGAATCCATCCGTGACATGCTTTACAAATCGGCTGCGCTCTTCTCGCTTCCCATGGAGCAGCGAGAGTCTCGTGAGATTTCTCTAGCTCTCACTCGCCAGTTGGAGACCATGACTATCAAAGCTCAGGAAAGCGAACAAAATTTCACCAGAATGTTGCGCGATGCGCCCATCGGCATGTGCATGCATCGAGACGATGGCCACTGTGTATACGTCAACGACGTATGTCTCGAGCTGCTCGACATGACCAAAGCCCAGTTTTACAAGGCTGCTGAAGTTGGACTGGCCTGGCGAGACGCTGTACACGACGAAGACTGGGAGATAGTCAACCGAATCTGGAGATCTGCAATCGAGAAGGGAACGGCTGTGAGTGCCGAGTTTCGCGTCAAAGCACAAAAGCCGCAAAGCGAGGTCCGCTGGCTGGAAATTAGTGCTCAGCAACGACTTGATAGAGAGGGTAACTTGGAGCATCTATATGTTTGGCTTAGAGACATATCCAGCGGCAAACAGTTGGCCGAACAAAAGTTGCAGGACGCGTTAGAGACCAAGAGGAGATCAGAAATCTTTATCGACATGTATGCAGGCGACATGAGCAAGGTGGCAGTCCAGCCGGCTAATTTTCAACAGGNNGTATCACACGAGATGCGCAATCCTTTGGGGGCTATCTTGTTACTTGCTGATGGCATCCTAACCTCGCTGCCTCCGGTGTCAGATAGCGCTCAAGCTACCGTGCTGACACCTGATTCACGACACACGCTTATTGATATTGCAGCCAGCATCCAGCTATGCGCCAATCACCAAAAGGTCATTGTCGAAGAGATTTTGACGTTTAGTCGGCTGGACTCTAATCTTTTGGTCCTTGCACCTGAGAAGGTCCGGCCATCCGAAACAGTGCAAACAGTACTAAAAATGGTCAAACCCGAACTTGACTACGACCATATTCAAAGCTCGATGGAAATCCAACAGAGCTACATTGATCTGGCAATAGACAACGTTCTACTTGACCCAGGCAGACTCTCACAAGTCATTCTCAACCTGATGACCAGTAAGGACTTTTTATCAATGAATGCCGCCACAAGTACTGATGGCGCCAAANCAGATGCTGTTAAGTTCACCAAGAACTCAGACAAGCGACAAATCACAATTGGCCTCGCTGCATCACGGACAAGGCCAACCGCCGATGACTGCCAGGTTACGCTTGTAAAGCCTCGAACAGACAAATTGCAGAGGGTAGCAAGACGAATGTCAATTACTGATGATCCAATTGGTGAAGATGTCTATTTGATCTTCAGTGTCCGGGATACTGGCTGCGGGTTGACAGCAACCGAGATGGGCCACCTCTTCCACAGATTCACTCAAGCTTCACCAAAGACGTACAAACAAGTTAGTAAAACCTTTCTTGATGGAAAGAAAACATCACTGACCATCTGACCGTATAGTNATGGAGGTAGCGGGCTGGGTTTGTTCATCAGTCGTGAGCTCGTGGAATTGCAAGGAGGTCAGATTGGTGTGAGCAGCGTTCCAGGAGAAGGCTCTACGTTCGCCTTCTTCGTCGAGACTGCTCGGATTGAGTCACATGTTGAGCCACTTTCCGCACAACTCGCTCAAACGTCCATCAAGGATCATTTGCGAGTTATAGATGATTCAGCTGCGCGGAAGACGCAAGCGCCAGACCTTCATGTCNTTATGTGAGTACAATTATGCGAAATGCCATGTTATTACTGACAAACAAAAGTGGTGGAGGACAACGCCATTAATCAAAAAATCCTTGCTCAGCAGCTTCGCAAGACAGGTTGCGCCAAGGTTCTTGTCGCCGATCACGGTCTTGACGCTCTCGAAATACTGTCAACCACCACCTTCCACAAGTCCACTGGCATACAGCAGACGCCTTTGTCCACCATTCTCCTTGACGTAGAAATGCCTATAATGGATGGCTTGACCTGCGCAAGACGCATTCGAGAACTAGAATCGACCGGAGAGATCGTTCGCCATGTGCCCATCATCGGTATCACAGCAAATGCTCGTGTCGAGCAGATTGCAACGTGTATCGAAGCCGGTATGGACGAGGTCGTGGTAAGTGAAAAGCCTGATGACTGGTATGTCAGTCTGCTGATGTTATGTGCAGNNACGAAACCCTTCCGCGTCATGGACCTTCTACCTCGCATGCTTGCTCTTGTAGACCACTACACTCCGAGTATTTGAGACGCCTCCCACCTGGTCGATTCAACCAATTTCCGGCCGCTGAAATGAATTGTGATGAGGCGAGACAAGATTGTAAGAATTATGATTCTGCTATGGGATGTCAAGATCATTCGCATCAACCACTACTTCCGAGCTCCTCCACCCTGATGGTCACCTGCCTGCCGACTTGACGTGACTAGTCAGCAGTACGTCTATAGGCGTGGGGTAGTTTTGCAGATCTTATGCGGGGTGCAGAAAAGTACTGTGTACATAGGAGCAAGTTCCGTACCTAATGAGGGGACCTCGGCCCTCAATATCCAGCACACAGTGCGGCTCCCTTTGGACCGGACAATCGCTACATTACAAAGAGCTACGGCTCTCCAATGATACTCGAGAATCAACACTCAAGCTCTGCAAACACTTAATAGCATCCTTTTATTTGCCAACATGCCTAGTGCGACCGCTGGTTTCGATGGCCGCAATGCATCAGCTCTCTGCTCCCTCGATGAATTCCTCAAACAAGAGTACGACTACCTCGTCGTTGGCGGTGGCACCGCAGGACTCTGCGTCGCCGCCCGTCTAACAGAGAATCCAGACGTGACCGTCGGCGTGCTCGAAGCAGGCGCAAATCGCATGGATGACCCTCAAGTCTACACGCCAAGTCTTTACCCTACCTTGATTGGACGCGAGAAGTATGACTGGTGCTATGAGAGTGTGCCGCAGGCTGGGTGTGGAGGTAAAACAATGTCGCAACCTAGAGGAAAGGTGTTGGGTGGTTCTAGTGCGATCAACTATCTCATGTATGTGAGAGGGTCGAAGGAAGATTATGCTGCTTGGTGAGTCTGTCCGCGGTGTGAGAATTGTTGATCTGAGCTCATCAAATGCGCAGGGNAGTCTTTGGGTAATGAAGGCTGGGGCTGGGAAGGTATGTGTGGAGTTATTCAGCTATGTTTGGCATTGCTTATTACTCGGNTAGGACTGGCTCCCTACTTCAAGAAGAGCCAGACATATGATCCGCCACCGAAAGAACACCCGAACAAGCAGTTCATGCCGATTGCAGCAAGAGATGAGTACCATGGCACCAACGGACCGATTCACACATCTTTCAACGATTACTGGGAGGTAAGGCTCCAACACGAGAATATTCATGACTGGGATCAGCGACTCACAACGAACAGCNCATTCGAAGAAGACTTCTGCAAGGCCGCCTATGAAGTCGGTGGGGAAGAAAGTTCCCTGGTCGATGCATGGTCTGGCGGTGAGTTGATATCATATGAACTCTTCTTTCGCATGTGCTGATGTTTCATCCATGAAANNGACCACTTCGGCTTTTACAGTTCTCTTGCGGCTGTCGATCGAACCAGCGATAAAGGTAGACGAAGCTATGCTGCTACAGGATACCTGCGACCAAATCTTTCTCGCCCGAATCTCAAGGTCTTGACTGAAGCAATGGCAACTAGAGTCTTACTTGACGGTATTACTGTGACAGGTGTTGAGTTCTCGCATGGCGGCCAGAAACACACCGTCAATGCAAGCAGAGAAATCATCTTGTCTGGCGGTACGGTCAACAGCCCGCAACTTCTTGAGCTCTCTGGTATCGGCGATCCTGAAGTGTTGAAGGCAGCTGGAGTAAAATGCCTCATCGAGAATAAGCGTGTGGGATGCAACTTCCAAGACCATGTCCTTGGTGGCATGATGTACGATTTGAAGGACGGCTTGAAGTCTCTAGACTCACTCCACGACTCGGAATATCAGAAGGCCATGGAGAAAGTCTACGAAGAGACTGGTGAAGGACCCTATGGGAGCCCTGGCATGCTAATGGGCTTCGTATCATACGCTTCTCTGGTCAGCAAAGAAGTGTTAGACGACACCATTGCCGAGATTCGCAAGAACTCGCATGCGAAGACGGACTTCGAAAAGCGTCAGGAAGGGACCATAATTTCGCAGCTGAGCGACCCGAAGTTTGCAAACATCCAGATTTTCTGTTACTCACACCTTTGCTTCTTCGATATCTATCACTGACTTCAACAACAGGCANTTGGCGCTGGACTGGACATTAGTCAAGGAGACAGTCAAGTCAAATTCTTCAGCACACCCCCTGAAGGCAAAACCCGCATCTCCCTTCTCGTTTGCCTGGAACACCCGCTATCGCGCGGAAGCATCCATATCACCTCTTCCGATCCAACACAACACCCTCGCATCGACCCAGGCTACCTCAAGAACGGCGCTGATGCCAAGATCCTCGCCGAGGGCATCAAATGGATGGACAAAGTCGCCAACCAACCCGTTATCAAAAAGTCGCTCGGCGATCGTATTCTTCCACCTCAAGGTGCGAGTATCGAGACCGAGGAAGACAGGGTCGAGTATGTGAGAAACCATATCTCGACGCAGTATCATTTGATTGGCACCTGCACTATGGGCGAGGTTGTGGATGATAAACTGAAGGTCAAGGGTGTTGAGAATCTGCGTGTCATTGATGCGTCAGTTTTCCCGACGCATGTATCGGGCAATATCATGGCTAGTGCCTATGCGGTTGGAGAGAAGGGTGCTGATTTGGTCAAAGCGGATGATGGAAGGTTCTTGATGAAGGTTGATTCGAAGGTCGACTCGAAGGCATGAACGATTTTGGGGCATCGTGCGTCGGTGGTATCGTAATGCAGCTCTCAAATGATACCCTCTTCAGGCAGCTTTCACACACAATTTACCACCGCACCGATATAGCGATCGAGCCGCTTTGTTGCAAAGAAGGTTGCAAATATTGGAGGGAGGCGCAGCTGGCTGTGGGTAGAAATGCCCTGCTTCGGCAAAACATCAAAGTCGCTCTTTTCCAACAAGCTTCCATTGCAAGCAAATAGATTGGCTTGTTCGAACCTTCCCCTGTCGACCTGATTCCCTTCCGCAACGCCGAGAAGACGTAGAGCTTGGATACCATAACTGATTGTTAGGTCATCAGCATGGAGTTTACGTTCATCCTGCCCCACCAGAAACCCTTGAATGATCCTGGGAACCCCACTTGCAGTCATTTTGCCTGTTAACCTCCGCACTGTAAACATACATGCATAGCGGCAATCCTGAAGACGGAGAAACATCTTCCAGCAACCAGCTCACCAAGTTTTGTCCTCTCGAAGTCATGTCGTTCCTTCATGGCTAATCTGGAGCCGAGTTGAAATGATATGCCACAACATGTCATAGAGGGGCAAGTTGTTGTTTCTGCCTGTTTACATCCTCTGCATGTACAAACGAAGTAATCCGTCATGGCTTGAATACAAAAACGGAGCGTGTTGCACACTCGAGAACAGACTGAGGCCCTACAGATAGAGAACCACATTAATCCAACTCATCGACCTAGCAGAGCCCGCACCTTCCTACGTTGACCTCGCGATGAGACTCACTATATCGACATTGGTCTGCCTGATACCAACGACCCTGGGTAGTTTGTTCGGAGGTCTTGGCTGTGACGATCCTCTAAGTCTCCTCTGCTGACTGCTACTAGGCTTTACCAACATACCAGACAGATGTCCAAAGACCCCCGAAAACGCGACTCGATATGATGCAAAGCTTCCGGATCCATTCAAGTTTGCCAATGGTAGACCGGTCAAGACACTTTCTGACTTTGCCTGTCGCCAACGCGAAGTCAGCGACCTCTTTCAGGCTCTGGAGCTGGGCATCAAACCACGAAAGCCAGATGCTGTATCTGGTTCCATCTCTGGTCCCAACTTGACGGTAACAGTCACTGTGCACGATAGAACAGTTTCTTTCACTCCTACGATTACTTATCCACCGAACGGGACTGCTCCCTACCCAGCAATTATCGCATTCGGAGGACTTAGCATCCCTGCCCCTTCTGGCGTGGCCATCATCACATACAACAATGACGATATTGGTGCACAGATCAACCAAAGTAGCCGTGGCCAAGGGAAGTTCTTCGGTCTATATCCTCAATTGAGGAGCGATGGTGCAATGATAGCTTGGGCATGGGGTGTAAGCCGCATTCTCGACGTTCTGGAGACCTTGCCTGATACCAACATCAATCCGAGAAAAGTTGGCGTCACTGGTTGTTCGAGAAACGGAAAAGGAGCTTTGGTCGCAGGTGCACTTGATAGTCGCATAGCTCTCACCGTGCCTCAAGAAAGCGGCTCTGGAGGAACTGCGTGCTGGCGTCTCAGTGACTACGAAAATCACAATGGTACCACTCAGACCGCATCAGAGATTGTACAGGAGAATGTCTGGTTCGCCACGCAGTTCGATGAGTTTGCGAACACTACTGTCGACATGCTCCCATTCGATCACCACATGTTGGCCGGACTGGTTGCTCCAAGAGGTCTTCTGGTCATTGACAACATCGGGTATGAATGGCTTGGGCCCTGGAGTTCTTTCGGATGCATGAAGACCGCTCGCAGGATCTACCAGGCCCTAGGAGCACCTGATCACCTAGGGTATTCCATGTCCCCCAGTCATCTGCATTGCTCTTTTCCGTCATATCAGATTCCTCAGCTTCAAGCCTTTGTCGACAAGTTTCTCTTTGACAAAACCTCGGACACGGATTTCTTCACTCCAGCTGGCAACATCACGTTTGACGATGCACAATGGGTAGATTGGTCTACCCCAAATCTGCACTGAAAGCCCAACTGCCTGTCTTTCAATCAGACCATGAACCTGCACTCCTTTTCTAAAGCATCAATCTCTTCTCGTTCGCGCGCTCCTTGCTTTAAAAAATCTGCTTTCGGTCGCAAGTAACGTACCTCGCATCTTCTTAGCCAGTATGCATCAATTGTTCGCAAACATTTTCTGTCATCGTTGATATCTGCTTGATTGGTTGTGCTTTCGCCAAACATCTGGTCTTGCCGGGAAGGTTTTCCGTATCGAGAGAGCAAGTTGAGCAAGTTTTGTTTCTTACCAAGTTGGTTAGGCAGCGCACATCTCGCTCTCTTTCTATGAAACGTTCTCTCTCTCTATCCCGTCCTATATATCCAATTCTCTTCCAAATCCTTTTTCTAGTTGGTGTTGCTGGCTGATGGTGGCCATGCACTAAAGAGGTAAGGCTTGAGTCTGTGGTGAGGGAGCGATCCCTAGGCTTAGAGGCTGCGAACCGCTGTCAAGAAACATCATCAATGTTCATTTCAAAATGCTTGGAAGCGAAAGGGTCACCTGAGGAAAAGAAGAAGATACTTGAGGGGCTCGGAGCGATGGCATAAAGAAGACACAGGTCCAACTCGTATACGTGACAGGAGTGGAAAGGATGTTCTTGCCCACTTGAAATGAGATCCCACCGTGCCTCGAAGACAACATGACTCTAGCTAAGTACAAGGTTTACTTTTTGAGTATCGTTCCATGCAGACCGTCATTGCTTTCGAGTCTCATACCCATAAGAATCCATCACTCCAATAAACTACGCAGTTGCTTCTCAATGCCCTTCTGGAACTCCTCGACGATGGCCGACATGACCGCTTCTGTGATTTTGGCAGTGTAATCTCCAGATGTGACTCCTGCCATCTTCTCATGAGCCAGTCTAACGATGCGTTCCTCGGACCTGGGGTCATGAGGGGCGAGATACTCCTGGATTTCGGTTCTCAGAGGCTTTGGTTTCGATGGTCCGAAGCTAACAGCATTTGTTATGTCCAGTAGGGCTTTCATCTTTAGCTTGACTTCGAGGTTGATCTGGGTTGTGATGAGATCATCGAGAGACTTTGAGGCGCTGNNTGTCTACTGTTAGGGAAGAGACGGTCTAAATCGAGATTCCAGACTTTACCTCACAGTTTTCTCCTGCATGCTCTCGAAGATCTGCACAAGCTCCTCGGTAGCACTCTGTTTGGTAGCAGAGGTCGTGATCTCTGCGTCATCCTTGACGCTATCACGCAGCTGTGTAGCGAGAACGCTGGCACGTTCGATCTGGTCCTGGATGTCGAGACGTGGCTTCTTCTTAGCCTGGATGAGGAAGAGCTCGGTGACAGTGTCGGCTTCGACGCGCTTGGAACCCTTGTATGGCACTGCTTGTGACCGAACTGCAGGTGTGGCGGTTTCGAAGGCTGACGTTTGAAATCCGTTGTTGTGTGAATACGCGGACCCAAAAAGAAATGTTGTTGGACGGATATCGGGTGATCTGGGCAAGTTCGATGGCGAGCCGTCATCCGAGTTTGAATTATCGCTGCCGTACATAGTAGACGATGACTCTGAGGCCGTGGTGTGTTGGTGTTGTTGTACAGATCGAACTGGAAGCGCGGCGTCGAAAGCCGAACAAAGTGCTGATGGATCGAGGCAAAAAAAGTGACGAGTCAAGTTATAATGGAAGTCGCGCTCCGATACACTATGTCTCTGATCGAACCCTACAAGGAGAAGGATATTTATCTTTGTCGTGCGAAGCGTCTTGACTAAGACCTGAAGCAAGCGAAGCAATAGCGAGGCCCTAGAATTCATCTCATGCTCCTGCGTTAATAGCAAGCAACTCGTTCCTCCTTTCCGTTTCTACTTCTTTCGATCAATTCAACTCTCTCTCGAAAACCTCGACAAACTTCTTCTTTGCAGCCAACATATATGCACTCTTCGTCTCGTTCTTGACCTTTCTGATGGCCTCATCCACTGTCAGGCCTTGTAGTTTCTCCTTGATCTGCACTTTTACAATCTCGATGAAACGCCATTCGTACTCCAGAACACCATCCACGAACATGGTCTGTGGCATGCCGCGTTCTTCGTCAGCCAANNAGAGTGGGCTTTCAGCGTCGCGGTCAGAACACGGATCTCGCTGTCGACCAGTGTATCGATCAGTTTGTCGACTATAGCAGAGGCCCTNGTTCCATATGAGTAGCTGCAGATATGACTGTACTGCTCGTTGACTTACTCTTTGGACTTCTTCTCAAGCTTTACGACAGTAGAGACCATAGATTCGGCCTTCATGATGTTTGCCATGATGTCGTCGCGGCAGCCAGCGTGGCCCCACTGTACGGCAGCTTTGTGGGCCTTCAATGAGTCGAGTAGCTGGTTGCTCATGGTCATGGCCTCGGTCACAGTGTCGTCGATGTCGATGCGAGACTTTTTGGCGACGGGAGCAGTGGCAGGATTGTTGTCGGTAGGAGGACGCTTGGACATTATGATGACGAGAGACAATTGTTTGATGAAAGAGAGAGGTAGCTTGATGGAGAAAAGGCGAAGGTTAAAATTCGAGCAAGGCGCCGGGGAGATATGACAAGCCATTCTCGGTCTGGGAAGTCGCGACTGCCTCAAGACAGAATTCAGTTTTGCATGTGACACTCCCAAAATCAGGGGTTGCGACTACTCAACATGCAAGCTTGGGAACCGCACAACGCTGCCAAAGAAGCAACATAGTGTCAACTGAAGGCGTTCTAGGGTTCAGCCATTGGGAATTGGAATTCTGCCCAGGTCTCTCGATCGACAGGGATGGGAGAGTGGAAGTTGCCATCTTGATACCGAGTCTTGTAACAGCAGAGCAGAGATGAGAGATGAGGCGCATTTAGATGGCTTCCTCTGTGATACCTTCGCCTTGTTAGCATCCTAGCACTTGAGTGCGCACTGTGATGGAACCTGAAACTCCAGAACAAAGGGCAAAAACGAAATCACAGGTCTGGTGGCTTGAGGAATCACTTACTCTCTCTCTTCTTCCTCTGCTCCTTCCTCCTCTGCTCCTCTCTTCTCCTCCAGCCTCTGACAGTGACCTGACCACCTTTCCACAGGAGCGCGTCTATCAAGAGACCATGTGATGTTGCTGAGTTGCTGATGAAAGTTTTGGCTGATGCAGAGACTCGAACTCGAAGAAGTTGGCGTTGATGACTGGCGATTGGTGGATAAGTTGTTGTTTACGAAGAGACTGCCGAACTTGGTTAGCTTGGAAAGGCGACGGTGAGGTGATGCTAGCCACCAGACCATTGGGGATGTGGTTGTGTTCATGGCAGCTTGACTCTAATATAACGACAGTGTAATGATGGGGTTCACATGTGATATCTGATATCGTGCTTCCCTGGCCTTGCTGAGACGAGTCGTATCTGCCTCTATTGACGTCTCTGTTGGTAACCTAGTTGCAACCACTCAAGAGTCTTCCTAGTCATGTCCAGCTCGTCATCTCATGACAGACTGCACATCGGCATAACTCAGCCATGAACAGGTCTGGTTATAGAGGTAGCGTGGTTGTCACAAGAGCTGCCGAGATAGTCCAGTGGTCAAACCAAGTGAGTAACGGGTTGGAGCACATGAACATGACATGATATACGAGCAGAGAACAGAAAACTGAGGCAAGAAGAAAAGGAAATGCAGTATCCACAAAAGGATACTACCGATGTACTTTGGTATCTTTTTGGCATGAACATGATGAGCAGATGGCACGTATGACATGAGGGATTAAGGAAGAAAACAGCACCACCTTATTTGGGAGGGTGTGCCTCCTTGACACTGACAGAACCGTCCTCGTTACCGAAGTAAGCAGCGACAGGCTTCTGACCGCCCTGGCCGCCAGCAGCCTGGACCTCGTAGCCGTTGGGGCCGAAGAAGAGACCAACCTCGAGGACACCGGAAATTGACTTGATCTTGTGGGCAAGAGCAGTGACCTCCCACTGGCCATCCTTGCCAGAGCCGTCCTCGCCGTTCTTGATGTCGTCTTGAGTAAGAAGAGGCTTGAAGGGAGCGTCAATGATGTAGAAGCCTTGGTCAGTCTGGACAGGGCCAGTCTTTGCAAGAGTGTGCTCACGGAGCACAGGGTCAATGGAACCAATAAGCTTGAGTTGGCGCATGACGGTAGCATGAGCGATGGGAGCGACCTCGATGGGTATTGAGGGCCATTTAGTAACGAGACGGGTCTGGTTCTTGCGGTAATCTNNAGGACGGGATATCAGCACTTGGTGAGGCAGAGCAAGGCTTCAGAGTGTATTACCAGCAATGCAGACAAACTTTTTTGCGCGGGTTGCGACCAGCTTCTCCTGGAACAAGCAAGCACCACCTCCCTTGATGCAGTTCAAGTCGTCGTCGACCTCGTCGGCACCGTCAAAGGCGACGTCCAACATGACGTTCTCGGGCAAGCTGTCGAACCCCATGGGCATCAGGCCAGCCTGTTCAATGACCTTTCTCGACTGGAAACCGGTAGGGACGAAGAAGATGTAGCGACCGTTCTTGGGAGGGTTCTTGGTCAAGCAGTCCTTGATTGCCTCGACACCGTAGATGATTGTGCTTCCAGAACCAATTCCGACAAACTGCATCTCGGGGTTGAAGTGGTCGGCGACGGCGCGGTAGGCGGCCTTGCGCTTGGCCTGCTCGATCATGTCGACGGCAGCAGCAGCCGTTGAACCAGGAGCTCCAGTAGTGACAGACATGTTGCGGGGAGATTGGTGTCGGCGGGAGAGAGGGTGGAGAGCGCGAAGGGTGAAGATGGAGGGAGAGTTGGACAGTAGACGGACAAATGTTTGTTGGGACGAAGCTGGGCGGTATGAGCAATCGAGGCTTCAGTCACAGTGACACGATGCGAAGAACGACTCACCACCAAACATACACAGCGGATGGTTGGATAAATAGCTTCAGGTGGTGACAACCAAGAAGGTGATATTAGCCGCAGGGGAATTGATGGTAGCGGGGTCTTTTGGGAGTCTGCCGGCGCCTGCAAATCGCCGGCCGCCATCGCTTCCACCGCCGTGTGCCCCGCCATTTCTGCAACGTCATCGACCAAACGCCGATAGCACGCCGTAGCTTCCTGATCTGGACCTTGCCTTCAGTCCAGACCATCAATCCACCCACCACTTCATCATGGCAGCCAATGCAGAGGCAACACCGCCTCCTCTTGTGGGAGTGCCCACATCCAAGGAGAAGAGATACGACAGACAGCTCCGTCTCTGGGCTGCCAGTGGACAAGCCGCCCTGGAAGAAGCTCACATTCTGCTCATCAACAACGGCCCTGGTGTCGTCGGCGTCGAGACGCTCAAGAACCTGATCCTGCCTGGCATTGGTCGCTTCACCATACTAGACTCTACCCTCGTGTCAGAACAAGATCTGGGCGTCAACTTCTTCCTCGACGAATCCACTCTGGGCACCTTTCGCGCCGAATCAAGCCGTCGTCTGCTGCAAGAGCTGAACCCCGATGTCCAAGGCCACGCCATCGCCGAGCCGCTCGAGACCTTCTTCGCCAAAGAGGGTGCTCTCAATCCGTACACTCTCGTCCTCGTCACCGCTCCCATCACGCCAGACGTCCTCCAAGTCATCTCGACCCATTGCCAGACCCACGCCGTACCTCTGTTCTATATTCACTGCTCTGGCTTCTACTCACACTTCTCTCTCTCGCTACCACCCGCCTTCCCCATCGTCGATACCCACCCTGATCCTGCTTCAACAACCGACTTGCGCCTGCTCGCTCCTTGGCCAGAACTCGTCCACTTCCAGAAAGAGAAGACTAGCCATCTCCAAGCATTGTCTCCCGAAGATATAGGTCATGTCCCATACCTTTTGCTCTTGTTGCACTTCCTCGATGACTGGCGTGCATCTCACAATGGCCAATCACCTCAATCCTACCAGGAAAAGACCGACTTCCGCAACATGGTCGCCAAAGCCTCTCCACCCGACGAAGAGAACTTTTCCGAGGCTACCGCTGCCATCATAAAATCACTCAATCCACCTACCGCTCCTGCCTCTGTCCTCGCTGTTCTTGACGCTCCCGAAACAAACTCCCTTGAACCCACCTCCTCCGCCTTCTGGTACATCGCCAATGCCGTTCGCACCTTCTACTCTACGCATAATCAGCTCCCTCTTCCTGGTGCTGTGCCAGACATGAAGGCTAGAAGTGCCGACTACATCCAACTGCAGAACGTCTACAAGTCCAAAGCCCGCAAGGATGCTGCCGAGGTCCTGCAAACTGTGCGCTCGCTCGAGGCTGCTGTTGGTCGCAGAGATCCCATCGACGAGAAAGAAGTAGAAGCCTTCTGCAAGGGTGCTGCTCACGTCAAACTCGTCCGAGGAAAGCCTCTTCGCATTGCACGTGGTGATGCCCCTCTTCACTGGGGTGAGGATGTCGCCAAATCTGCTGTCGAACACCTCAATAACTTGACTTTTGGTCTGGACAGCGGCATCTTGCACTACATTGCCTTTTTCGCTTGGGATGCATTTGTCGGAAGCCATAATGTTGATGCACTCGGTGGCGAGCCCAGAGTCCCTGGCTCGAATGATGTTGATATTGATACTGATACTGAAAAGATGGTCGGCATTGCTTCGAACATTATCGATGCTCTGATCAAGGAGGCTGGCACATTCATCGAGAACCCCGGATACGATGAGCTCAAGATAAAGTGCGCCAACATTGTGCGCGAGCTGNTAAGTCTTCTTTTATCTTGTAGCTTCGAGCATTACTAACCAATGATCAGTGGTCGTGCCGGTGCTTCCGAACTGCACAATATCGGTTCCTTGACTGGTGGCATGGTAGCCCAGGAGGTCATCAAGGTGATCACGAAACAATACGTGCCCATCGACAACACATGCATCTTTGACGGTATCGAGAGCAAGGCTTCTGTTCTTCGCGTTTGAGCTATGCGAGTACTTCACGATTTACAAAAGAGGTGGCGTTTATACGGTATCTCATGGCTATCAAGACGGCATAGCGAGGCGTTTTTCATGTCTTTTTCTGTACTTCTTTCAAACGTTCTCCTAATGCTCCTAGATCTAGGCTAGATCGTGAGCCTTTTACTGGAATACAAAGCTGATACGCAAGCAAATTAGTTCTTTCCGCTCATGACACTAAAACGACATGTGAGTTACAGAGCTGCAGAATCGTTTTCATACCAGAGACAACTCCAGAGGGCCATTGAAGTGGTTGCTTCTAGATGTTGCGCTCTCTGCCAAACGTATCGTGTAGCTTGACAGTTAAATAAAAATGAGAAGCTGTAACGGAGAGAAGGTGCATCTGCAGACATGGATTCAAGCCTCACACAGACACGCAGCGGGTGCTTTGAGGGCCCCTTGGGCCAAACAGTGACCATTTGACAGCCGTGGTGCTTGTGGACCACCAAAAACTGTAGTGGATGCTTGAATGTCAGAGGCTTGAGCAGATGGGTCGAGTAAGCTACAATCTGCGGGTATTGGCCTTTGACACATGCCTGATCGATACATGCGGACCACAAGGCATGCACTGAGTTTTTTTTGTAAGGGGCTTGCAACTGTCAAATACTCTGATTCACTCGAGACGGTGAGAGCAAGAGACAGCAGTACTATTCTATTTGCGACTTTGCTCCGTAGAACCATTGGGGTCAAACTTATTAGACCAAGATGATGACTTGGTCATGCAGAGGTAAAAGTGGTTTGTGATCTTTTTTTTCGTTCCAAGAGGGCTTATATAAGCCCAACAAATGCTATGCTATCCCATTGTGCTTGTAACATGTCAAAATCCAACATCTATCTAGACTTTGTCTTTGCCTTTACTCTGGCAAGCAACGAGTTCAAGTCCTCACCACCAGAGGAAGCCGAGGTCTTTGCCTTCTTCTCCCTCTTTTCCATGGGTGGTGCATCAGCCCTCTCACCATCTTCATCACTCCTTCCCTTTCTCTTCCTCCTTCCCTCCTCCAGCAAAGCCTTCATACCTTGCGTACCCTTGAACCTCGGATTCGTAGGATCGATAGCAAACTCATGACTCTCGAACAATTTGGCAAATCTCGGATCCTGCGTTTCCATGCTGAAATCATCCTGTTGCAACACTTCTGCCGCATCCTTTGCTTTCTTGTTGTTCTTGCTCTTTTTCTTCAATGTCTTTTCGGCCTTGGCGATTTCGTTCATGTTGAAGTGGCGGATGTTTTCGGAAGCCGTGTTTTCGTCCACCATGAGCAATTCCAGTTCTGCGCGTTTGGCGGCCGTGGCGGCGTCTGCTGCTTCGCGGGCCTCGCGCTTTTTCTGGCGGTCGGCTTTGCGGGCGAGTTTTTCTGCTTTTTGGGCCGTGGCCGTGTCGTTGAAGAAGGGGTCGTTGAAGGGGTCTTGTTCGTCTTCCGCTGGGGGTGCTGCTGCTGCTGCTGCTGCTGCTGCTGCTGCTGCTGCAGACTCCTTCTTCGATGATGGCTTGGTTTCTGTAATGACACCGTCGTCGTCGTCCGAGGCTTCTACGGTTTCGCCGTTACGGGCTGCCTTCATTTTTTCCTTGCGGCGGGCTTTGCGTTCTTTTTCCTTGCGAATGTATTTCTCGCGTGTGGTTTCTTCGATGATGGGTTCGTTCTCAAAGACACCGTTTGTCTTTGATGCGGCGGCGTTGGAGAGGCCAGAAGTGAATGTGATTTGCATGTCTCCCACTGGACCATCGTCTTTGGATTTGGTCTTTGCTGCTTCGGAGGATAGACCCAGTGCAGCGCGCATCTTTTGTCTTTGCTGCTCTGCTTTTGTCAGGCCGGTGTCGTTTTCTTCGTCGTCGCTGCTGTCGCTGCCGATATAGGCTTGTAGATCGTTTTCGTCGATTTCGGCACGTGAAAAGGCACGTTTCTGGACTTCTTTTCTTGTGGTGTCGTCGGCGTCCCAGGTCAGGCGGACTTTGCTGTGGGTGAGGGCATCGGTGACGAATTCGTTGGGCTTGTAGCCCGAGGGTATCTTTGTGCACTCGTCGCGAGGAATATCGGTGTCAAAATCAACGTCGTCGGGGATGAATCGTAGATCGAAGAAGTTTGCTGTAGAAAGGTATTCGCGGCCGTCCATGCCATCATAGAGGGATTTGGCGGTTTCCTTGGAGTCGCAGGTGATGACGGCGTAGTAGTACTTTAGGCGGTCCAGTTGGTATTGGCGCAGCTTTGCAGAGTCAAACTCCTCGCCTGTGTCTCCCTTGAGCAGCTCCTTCTTGATTCTCTCTTCCTCGTCATCAGTATCTTCGTCTTCGTCGACTTCCTTTGTGGCGCTGGCGAAAATGTCTCTGGGTGGGCCTTCGAGCTCTTCCTTCTCCATGCGCTCCTTGCCGAACTCGCTGGGGTACACGACGACCCTCGATACACGACCAGTGGAAGCAAAACTTTGCGCGACAGCCATGAGATCCTCGGCGCGGATGTTGTCCCAGTCGAGATTGACGACAGCCAGACGAGACGAGACGTCACCAAGAGGCACATCAGCAGCTCCTTCGTTAGGGAACTCGACTGCATCCTCCTCGATCTCGTCCTCCTCTTCGCTGTCGTCCTCAGAGCTGCTGTCATCCTCAGAAGACGAGAAACCACCCTCTCTCGCCGGATCTCTGACTCTGCCATCCAATCTCTTGAGCTCGGCTTCAATCTCATCGTCATCAGGAACAACCTCCTCTTCACTCTCTTCGTCACTTCCCATAACATCTGTGCTTGGCTTCTTGCTCTTCTTGGCCTTGACCTTCTGTGCCTTGCCCATCTCTGCCTCTGACTCTTCGTCTTCATCTTGCTCATCTCCATCCTCAATCTTGTAGAAGCGTTCCAACTCTTTCTTCGCATTGCCCTTGGCAACCTTGCGACCGTACTTGTCGACAGTGGCCTTTTTGGAAAAGTCGTCGTCCTTGAACATGCGGGTGAAGCGCTTGTCGACGCCTACTTTGCTGTGTCGTGCTGAGGGGAGGCGGAAGCGTGGGTCTGTGGTCATGGATGCGAAACGAGGGTCGNNCCTGTTACAATCTATCAGTATACAGATCCTCTTACTCCTCGGTAGATCAAACGTACTCGCTGCAGCAGAAGAGGAAGCGCCTTCATTGCGGCGACTGCCCTTTGCTTTGCCCTGAGCTGGCATATTGGTGTTTCGAGGATACGATGATCAATCCAGTATATATGGTTACTTCTCGCGACCAAGCTGAGAGTATCGAATCTTGTTTGTAAGTGGTTGTTGGAATGTTCAAATGGTCGCAAGAGAATTGGTACAAGGTAACTTTTTTCTGGCTGGGGAAAAACAGCCTCGGACTTTAGCCATTCTTCGCCGCAGCTTGGCGTGCATCAATCAGGGTCACACTGCATACAACCATCGAAACATGTTTTTTCTTATCAACTTGATCATATTCATTGTTTTTATTCTTGGTGATTCATGAGAGCCTTTCAGAGCACTTGATGTGTAGTCCACCCAAGCTTGGTACTTATCCATTGCGTGGTCGTGGCGTTATGCCTATCCGAAACAACCCCAATTACAAAATCTAAAACATGCTCTACCTCTTGCCGCAAACATACAGCGTCCTCAGGTCCTGACTGCGAAGCAGACTGCGAAGCAACAAAAGCAAAAGATACCAAGACGGACGACTCCCGAAAGCAAAGACAGTTTTCACCAGGGACTTATACAAGAACACAAGTTTGAAGGATAGCAAATAAGGCCAGAGTGCCCTTGATCATATTCATGATTATCTGGGACACCAAACCGAAAAGTCATCCTTTGGTTTTGTCTTTTCCTAGTCATTGCCACTTTCCTTCATCGAGCCTCTTAACCATTCAAAACCGACCATAGATGGTGAATGGCGACGTACCCTCGAGGTACCTGAGGCTGTTGGAGACGGTTCCTAGCGTCTACCGCCGTAAGCAGCACCCATGCCTTGGAGCATTGGCATGCCCATACCAGGGCCTTCTTGGGGACTTCTCATGCCAGGTGTGCCATCGGGGCTCCTTACGTTAGAGCCGGGCATCATCATCATGCCCGGAGGAGCAAAACCGGGAGGAACACCGGGAATGTGGTTGGGGTTGTTGAAGAAGCCAGGTGGTGGTGGGCCGTGAGCTCCGAATCCAGGAGGTGGCAAGCCCATACCAGACGGGAAGCCGGGAGGAGGACCTTGCATGCCTGCGCCCTGCTGCGGAGGAGGCTGGGAACTAGGCTGCTGAAAGACGCCGGGCATGTTACCGAAGCCAGGAGGGTGGCGCATGTTAGGGTTGAAGCCCGGAGGCAGGCGGTCACCAGGACCAGGAGGTGGAGGACCACCAGCCATGTAAGGGAAATTTGGGGGAAAGTCCTGAGGAGCACCAGGACCAGCATTCGGCATCTGCTGAGCAGCGCTCTGGCGGCGCGGCTGAAGAGGACCGTTGGGATAGCTGCGTTGGGCTTGCTGCAAAACAATGGAAGGATCTTCAATGAAGCCAGGAGGAGCACGAGGGCGGCCCTGGTCCATGTGTTGGTTGCCACGGAACAACTGCTCCTCGATAGATTCAGTAGGACGAGGAGCTTGCGGCTTGGGAGCAATGGTCTGTGGTTGAGACTTTGGTGGTTGGTCGAGGAAGAGTTGGAAGGGCTCAGGCTCATGTTGGTTGCGAGCAGGGGGAGCAGCTCTGTTGGCGTTCTTGGCTTGAATGAGGTTAAGCAAGAACTCGGAGTCCTTGTTCAAAGAGTTTGGCTTGCGCGAATGCTGTTGGTTGAAGTTCTCGGGCGTCGGACCGTTACGAGGAGCTTGGTCGAGGAAGATGTTCTGCATCTGCTGAGGTAGGTGCGACACGGAGTTGTTCGCTCTCATGGACGACGGATCAGGGGAGGCGACATTACTAGTAGGACGGCTGAATTGAGAGGGTGGTGGCAGGAAAGATTCGGAAGCAAAANNGCCAGACTGAGGTCGAGGAGACTGAGTAGATGCCGGAGTCTTGTCGAACATGGCCGCCAGGGGATCTTGAGATGATGGCTGAAGGCCAAAGCCGGGCGGCGGGCCAGCTGGAGGCCCTCTTCCATCCTGCTCTCTAACAGGCGAGTCAACGCCAGAGTGAGATTGTCCTCTTCTAAGGCCAGCCATAATCCTGAGGAAACCTGCCTTGTCTTCGTTCGACTCGAGTGGAGCGGGGCTGGCAACCTCTTCGGCAACAGGTCGAGCCTCCTCTTTGGGAGCTTGGAACATGGATGCAAAGCGAGAAGACTTTCCCTTTGCTCCAGTCGGCGCCTTGGTTGTGCGGGTATCAACAGGACTCTCAAGCCTCTTGCTCTCTCCCCAAGATCCGAAAATGCTCTTGTCGAAGCCGGGCGCATCTGCCACGAGAGGAGTTTGTGGTTTCGAGTGTGCTGGTGTTGACTTGACCGGAGTGGCGACCTCGTCGGCGAATGCGTCTTGTTTGGTTTCGGTAGCGGACCCGTTGGCAGCAGCCCTCATACGTTCCTTCCACTGCTCAAAGTCTTCCTGCGTGTGCATCTGGTTCTTGTTCTCCTTCTCCAGTGGCTCGTCCATCCATTCGGGCTCCTTTTCGGGAGCGTCCTGCTGGCGCTCGTTGCGTGCCTTGTCTCGCCATCCGCCGCGCTGGCTAGGTCTTTCTCGCTCACGTTCACGTTCGCGCTCACGCTCGCGGTCAACACCACGGTCACGGTCGATATTGTCGCGAGCCCAGCGTTGGTCGAAGCGCTGGCCAAAGCCATTGCCGTTGCCCTCGCGCGGTTGACGCGGTGTGAACCTGGGCTCGGAAGTCAAAGCATCGTCATCTTCTTGCTGTTGCTTGGACGAGCGCCAATCTCTGTTGTTGCCTGTCTTTGTGGTCTCTCTGTCACGGAAGAAGCGTGAGCGCTGGTTGGCGACTGGTGACTCTTGTTCCTGCTCGCGCTCTTCGAGCTTGTTGATATTCCGGGAAGATGCGAATGATGTTTTTGGTGGGCCGAGCACGATTTCTTCTGGTGAAGGTAAGCTATTGGCAGGTCTGGACAGAGCGGCTGACGTACCGGGCTGCTGGGTAGAGCGCGAAGTGTGTCTAGTCTGTAGTAATGATGGTCTCTGTGACGAGAAGTTGCCCATGGGAGCGGGCTCTTCGGGTCTTTGGGATTGATTGCGTGGCTTGCGACCGGCATTCTCTTGTTGCGATTGCTGAGTACCTNNCTTTTCTTTGTTGAGCAAAACGTCTTGGTGGGAGGCGGTCAGAGGAGGGGCTTACTCTATCCACTCATCAATCGAGGGCAATTCGTCTGGTTTGCGCACTAAAGGCGACTCACGAAGAGCTTTCAATTGCTCTAGCGTGTAGCGCGCGCCGTAGACGGCCATGTTGTTGCGGAAGTGAGGGGCAGCGGCGGCTGGTCGAAGCGACGAGAGTGTGGTAGGGAGGAATAGCCTTGCAGGCGAACAAAGTGATAGTCGAGCTCAGGTCTGGGTTGCGATAGCGAATTGACTCTGGTTAGCGTCGAGTGTCGTGGAGTTTGAGAGTTAGGTGTGGGTGTTGGCGAGATGTGTCTCGTCGCCCGATGGGCGTTGATGGCGCTCCCGAGTCGGAGACGTCAGCTGCTTCGATTGTGCTGACAGGATCGACGAGCCGACGGAAAATAATATCAAGTCAAGCAGGTGCGGTAGCTGAAATGAGAGTCTGAGGTTCGAGCAGGCAGCAGTAGGAAGATAGCAAGAAGAGTGTTTTGTGATTGCGCCTTGTCAAACAGACAGGAGAAAGTTGTGCTTTTGCCCAGTTGCTCCACCGCCCTTCCTCTCCAAATCTCGCTGCCAACCTCACTCTCAAATCTCCTGCCAAATTTTACCATACGTCGTGTCCAGTTTCCTCCCCAAACACCCAAGGATATGCACATTACAGAGTGCTAGACTAGCTCATAGTTCATGGTTCAGAGCCTGTCCATATATCGTGTTTGTTGTAGATACCTAGGTAGGTATTCACTTGTTCCACTGTCTATTTCCTTCACCACCTGCGAGTCCTATATCAAGATCGCCAGCTGCTTGGATCTCGAGTGCCAGTGTAAAGCATCTTGAACCTGTGGAAACGCAGCATGTAAAACCAGCAGGCAGTATTGCTAGAGATAGCAGCAAACAACACATTACAGTCGCTGCCGTGATTCGATTGGTAGGCACTCTGCGTATCGACAGTGGTCATCAACGTACCGTGTCAAGAGAGAGTCAGTCTATATCATCCAAGGGGTCAACGCAAAGTGGTGTAGAAGGTCGACGTAGACACATCGTGACTCGACGATAGACCGTGCGGAAGAGATATGCAGTGATGAACTCGAGTGAAAGTGACAAATAATACGTCCAAAAATGAAAAGTCGTGTTTGGTCACTATCAAAACAACTCTCGACTTCTCCGACCAACCTTTCTTCCTTTCCTCAGCGCACCGCAACCAGTCAGATTTTTTCTCGACAACGAAAACAAGCACCACCAACTGCTTTTTTTTGCCCTGCGTCTCCCTCTCCAGTGTCTCCAACAAGCACGCCGTAGCCTTAAGCAAGCGAAAGCGTTGCGCGATGGAGCACTCCTCCGCCTCTCGTTCGCGCGCTGTCTCGCCTCGTGGCAGCAACAGCAACATCAACAACAACAGCAACAAATCTCCTCCGCGCGAGAAGCGCAAGCTCGAGTCCTTCCTGACCGAGTCCGGCGAGACGTGGGAGTTCACACGACCCGTCAAGAAGTCCCGTTCGTCCGGGCCTGGCAGTAACACCAGCACCATCGCCCTGGATTCCCCTACCCGTACCCAAAGGCCTTCTTTCCCTGCAACCTCGCCGACTCGCGGCAAGCGGTCTCGCGACCCGTCGGACCAGGATACCGACGCTCAGTCCCCCTGGCCCAAGAGGCAGATGACTTCGGTCACTGACCTCGGCGACCATGCAGCTGCCCTTCGCAGGGCCAGTTGGCTAAGCTCTTCTCGCAGCAGAAGAAAGGGGGCTGCAGCAAGTAGGTCCCGCTCTCCCTCGCAGGGCGACCTACGCGGTATGTTCGATGCGGGCTCTGTCGCAGGTCAGAGTGCCGGCTCCGTGGAGTCCGAGGAGGAGCTCCCGGACTACGAAGACGACGACCACGATGACGACGAAGAGGACACCGTCGACCAGCATGCCGACAACAACCTGGACCAGTTGGCACCGTTCCAGGGGCCTGCCATGACCCTGCCTCCAGCCAGTCACTACCAGGAGGGTCGGGAGTCGAGAATGCCTATGGTGGCATCAATTGAGACCGACCAGGACATGGAGTACCAGGTCGGCTCGAGTCACCATCAGGCATTCAAGACTGTGGTCAGTGACGAGTACGCTGCCGTTGCTGGCAATGGCGCGTACGAAGCTGCTTCAANNCCACCAGACCTGTTGTCTGGTCATCTCTGGACCCCCGACTGTCCTCTGAAAGCCGCTCTCCGAGTCNCAGTGGCTCGTTACAAGCTCGCTCGTGCCGACAGCAGCGGTAGCGACAGCGATGTCGACAGCCCGCAACTGCTCCGAGGCAAGTTTGCTGGGTTCGCTCAAGCTGCCGCAACGGTTCAACACCGTTCCGAGGCACAGCAGCAATCGGCGAGGGAGCCTGGATATACCAGTACCTCAGCCAACAGTCCTCGCCCTGTCACAGCTGTAGATACCGCCATCGTCGCCACCACCGAGGACTACGAGATTGACCCAGCCTTGTCACAAGACGAAGACTATGAGATCGACCCAGTCTTGTTGCACGACGAAGACTATGAAATTGATCCAGCCCTGTTGCAAGATGACGAGTTAGTAACCTATCCAGCCTTGCCGCAGGGATACGAGTCAGATATCGACCCAGCTTTGTTACAAGACGACGAGTCCAACATCGGATCCAGTACCGAGTCTGTGGAAGCCGGCAACGTTCAGCGCGCTCTTTCACCAGTCCCAGAGCTCATGGAGCCGCCAACTTCGCCAGTCAAGGAACTTTCGCCACCAGGAAAACGTTCACCTACAATGTCTCCTACAAACTTACCATCGACTACCATGGTCGAGCCATCACAGCAGCTTTTGTCCGAGCTCGAAAAGTACGCCAGCGACCGCAGAAACTGGTACGCAAAACAAGTGAAGCACGAAAGAGTGAACGAAGAGGAAGTCAAGGGAGAAGACGTCTGCGCACAGTCCACCCGCACCAGCCACAACCCACCAAAAATCAGCCACATCCCGCAACCGCAACCAGACGCGTCCATTCCAACGACTCTTGCACCAACTTTTGCTTACACCGAGGAGGAAACTCAACACATCATGGCCGTTCACACGGCCGAAGGTCCCAATGAGGACGGCATTGATCTCTGGCGCATTTGCATGGGAGAACTTGACGGTCCTATGGATGTTGACGACGAAGACGACCTTGCCGTCCAGGACTATTCTCGCGATGGGATTCGCAAGGGACGCGACGAAGACATCAGAAAGTCGAAAGCACTCAATGATGCGCGTCGCAAATTCCAAATTCAGCGCAATCACTTCGATGAAGCACCAGACTCTGCGTCTATAGTTGAGGAAGAATCAGACCAAGACGATGAAGACCTCCTGTATACCGATCATCTTCTTGCCAGCTCTGATGACCATTTCAATGCCGAAAAGATTCGCCTTCAGGCCGCGCTTGAGCATTGGGAATCGCCCTGGCCAAACCCATCTACCCTTCCATCCGAACATTGGACACAGGAAGCCCTCACTTTTGCAAACAACCAAGCAAGTGCGACCAACTCCGCCGAGAAGCATTACTGGGCCTGCCGCAACATTCAAGCAGAGTCATACGCCGAAGGAAAATTCAACTCCGGCCGAGGCTCGAATTTTCACATTTCGTTCTCCCTCATCGACTGGAAGAAGAGCATCGCAGTGTCAGACGAGGAAGCCGAAGCCTTTGCTGAACAAGTCAGCCAAATCCAACTTGTCGAGGAAGACCAAGAAGCTCCTCTGAGAGCCAAGCTCGCCCTCTTTCTTTCAGAACTGCCTCATGAACTGGACCAGAAGGTCACAGAGATCCTCAACACCACAAATCCTGGTAGAGCAATCGTTAAGTCTCCCGAAGGCAACGACTTGACTCGCAAAGACTTTGCTACCCTTCTCCATTCCGCAAACTACCGCACCGGTGAGCCTGAAGGATGGCTCAACGACGAGATCATTAACGGCTTCTTCACCGCGTTGTGCAATGCTATGAATGACAAGGCTGGCCACACCAAAGGCAAGGTACCTCCATATGCATCCTATATAACTGGATGGTATTCTTCAGTCACCAAGAAGGGTATCAACGCCATCGAAAGATGGTCTCGACGCAAAGGTATCAAGGGAGACAAGCTACTTCAATGCAAGCGCATCTTCTTCCCAGTCAATCCCGGCAACCACTGGTCACTGCTCGTGATTTGTCCTGACATCCACACCATTGAGTACCTCGACAGCTTGGACGTAGGTTATTCAGAAGACAATCGCAAGAGCGCCCGTTACATCAGACTGGCCCGCCAATGGCTCGAGATGGAGCTTGGCGACAAATATGCCGCAGGCGAATGGAAGGAACTTGACCGTCGCAGCTCAATTCAGAACAACGGCTCGGATTGCGGCGTGTTCACCTGCCTCAACGGCTTTGCTTCTGCTCTCGAACTCTCCAACCCTACCAAGGAGTTCGGCCCCGAGCAAATCCCATACGCTAGACGCGCTATGGTCTCTCTTTTCAACCATGGAGGTTTCAATCAGCACTTTGAGCTTTGAAAAGCTCCTCACCGTCTGTCTCGGAGATCGCATTCTGTTCGAACCAGTGTCGTTCCACCACACCACAACACAGTTCAGCTGAGGCAATCGTCTTTCCTGCCTCATAATTGAGCAGGCCAAGCAGAGCTCTCAGGCTACGGGGGACTTCTCTTTTGTGACCCTTCAGTCACCAGACATGCTGCTGCCCTTACAGCCTACGGTCCTCACCGCATCTTGGCATACATACCACACTCATCATCCAGCCATTGGACCGTGGGCTGCTTCTCTCGTACACATTACTGCCCAACACCCACTCATCCAAACACCAAAGGGCCTATATACAGCCGAGACACACCAAGGGCAGCAGCATGTTCCTCTCTCCTACACAAGACAACAGCACCGACAAAAGTAAGTCTCCGAGCATATCTTCAGCCACAACAATGACTAACACGAGCCAGAAAATTGAACAAACAAGAAAGACGATACCAAAGGAAGAAAAGAAGGAATTACAGCATCAGGGCCTCAGCATTCGGAGGTATGAGCGGCATCGTGAGCGGATCTTCGTATATGATACCCTTGTTTCAGCGCGGGAAGAAAGGAAAGCAAGCATGCATGTTAAGGAGTTTGGGTGGTCGCATTTGCATTCAAGGACTCTTCAAGCGCTGAATTGTTCTATTCCATGATAAGAAGAAAGAGGATATGGGTACACGCAAGCAATGAAAGCATCAGAACACTTTTAACAGAATACCAGAAGCACTGCAAAGGCATTCTACTCGATCAGGAAGGCATGATGGAGGTGATGCTTGCGGTGACATTTACATGCCGAGCACGGGCCCAATGACGTTCCCTAGATTGGAGTCGGCGGTGCTCAGGCGGACAGATGAGTAACAACACCGCTGAAAAGACTTCTCTGCTCGTCTGCCTGAAGATGAAGCGTGCAAGGCGACATGATGGCATCGTCAACGAATCAGTACATCCGCCAAATCCTGCACCATAGCGAGGCACCACCTCCAGTGAACGCCCGCTTTTTCTACACCTCCCCACTCGCCATAGACGATCCGCTGTCCCCTCTGCCGCCTTCAGCCCAAACTGCTCAGACAACCTACGCAAAACTGCCACCACGACCCTTCTCCGAGTTCGATAACGCCGCTCTCGACAAAGCATGGCATGACCTCTGGCATAAGCTCCTCCGATACAACGAGGTGCGAGGTGAGAAGCAGAAGGATCCTCAGCCAAGCGGGAGACAAGAGAAGGGAAAGAAGACAGATCCGGACATACTGAGCACTTCCNCCTCTGCCCGCCGGCCGGCGTCAGCCAGTGATGCATCGACAAGAGGGAGCAGACTTGCCGACATATACGAGGCACCTGCCATCCCTCCAGAGGCAGAAGCCCATGACACGACGGGTACTCCATTCATTCGTGCTCCTTCGGCACGAAAGCTCGATCGAGTTGCACCCCGACCCCAGCCTCAGACACTGGACAGCTATCAGTGGGATGATCCTTCAGAAGCACCCAACCCGCCTGTCAAACCGCGTGCTGATCCGGAAGCACCTTCTGCAAAGATAGCCGTTGGTGTATCGCGATTGCACCATGTAGCTATGCCGGACCTCAACTTGGAGCCCATCTATTGGCGTCCAGTCAACGACGTCTCTCCTGTTGTACGAGCCACTTGGTTCTACAAAGACAGCATGCTTCCCGTCGAGCCTCCTGTTGCCAACATGCTCGAGGCAGGTTACACCGAGCTTCAGCCCTGGACCGAGACTTGGAACGACGAGCTCAATAGCGCTATCGAGGTTGGTGCTGCTGGAGAAGCCAAGATTCTGCACAAGCTCTGGCCTGATCTGTTCAAGAGGCTAGAGAGTAGACCGAACCCTGCCAGGACTGAAATGGGTAGTATGACCTCTACCAATTTTGATGATGAGCCATTCTCGGCCGATAAGGAGCGTGAACATGTCGTCGAAGTTGCCTGCGACATAATCGACATCGCTGCAGGTGTTGATGGCCCTGACAATAAAGCTTCTGGTACATCAGCATACTCCTCTGGTGGCGGTCTACCAAGATGGTACCCTACCGCCGGTGTCATCTATGCGAACGCGACTGACGCTCATATCCTGAAGCCTAATCTGCAGCCCTCGGCATATCATGGTCGCCGTCCGCTTGCAAACTATATCCGTAAAGGCCGTAAGTTAGGCATACCTGTTGTTCGCGGCTTCGACCAAGCAGCCTATGATCGACTGTATCCTACGAAAAGGACATCTACTGCAGTCAAGGCTGAGGAGGGTGTCTCTATCTCGCAGTCAGGCGCACCTCCGAATCGCCGACAGAAGTCTGATCCTGCTCTAGCTCATGCTGAGCGTCCCAAAGTCACTGAGCTGATCCTTGTAATTCACGGTATCGGCCAAAAGCTCTCAGAGCGCATGGAGAGCTTCCATTTCACGCACGCCATCAATGCATTCCGCCGAGAGGTTAGTGTTGAGTTGGGCACAGACAGTGTCAAAGCTCGGCTAAGAAAAAACATGGGCGGTATCATGGTTCTGCCGGTCAACTGGCGCCAGAGCCTTTCATTTGAGGACGGCCGAAGAGAAGTTCCAGATGACCCAGCGCTGAATGACTTTGGACTCAAGGACATCACGCCCGAGACCTTGCCATCAGTACGCAACATCGTTTCTGATGTTATGCTTGATGTTCCGTACTATCTATCAGATCACCAGCCCAAGATGATTGCTGCTGTGATCGCTGAGGCTAACCGCATCTACAAGCTTTGGTGTATCAACAATCCGGGATTCGCTCAGTACGGACGAGTGCACATTATCGCACACTCCTTGGGTAGTGTCATGGCCGTCGACATCTTGTCCAAACAGCCGACGTCTATACCCCCTGAATTAGCCGATCCAACGACTGTTGATCTGAACACTTCACCAGTACTGGAGCATTTCCTTTTCAACACTTCTGGTCTGTTTTTGTGTGGTTCGCCGGCCGGCTTCTTCTTACTCCTCAAGCGAGCTTCCCTGATTCCACGTCTGGGCAAGCAAAAGCCCGGAGCCAACTTGTCGTCAATCAGAAAACCGATATGTGGAAGTCGTGGAACGTACGGCTGTCTGCCCATAGACAATATCTATAACGTGGTCAACCCCTATGATCCAGTCTCGTACCGTCTCAATGCCACGGTCGATGCTTCGTATGCATCATCGCTGAAAGCGGCATGGGTACCCACAGCAAGCTCAGGTTGGTTCTCCTCATCTGGATCATGGTTTTACTCGTCACCCGAGGGAGCATCGACCACTCGACCAGATCAGCTGCCTAGATTACCTTCGAACGTCGAGCTAGAGACACATAACTTCTCACGCGAGGAGATTGCCGAGCAGCGCATGCTGTTGTTGAACGACAATGGTCAGATTGACTACTTCCTCAAGTACGGAGGCGGACCGCTCGAGATTCAGTACTTGACGATGCTCGGTGCACACAGTAGCTACTGGCTTCTCCAAGACTTTGTTCGCATGATTGTTCTGGAATGTGGCAGGGGGCTTGGCAGGGATGGAACAATATTGGGCATGCGAGCTACCAAGAAGAAGACGCAGTTGAGTACATGAGAAGGGAAGGGACGCTTTTGTCTTATATGTTTTTATTGCATTTTTAATGATACCCACCTGTTTTGGCACGCATAATGACGCTTCTCAACCCTTGATCATCAAGGTGCCTGCCCGATAAGATAAGAAACCGAAAACGGAAAGAACGAGTTTTCTGGTCCGAGCTTGTACACCGCATGCGGGGAAATTGCATTCACAATGGTCAAGAGCAGCATGAACCAAATACAAAGACGGACAACCAATAGAAACAATTATGAATAGGGTCAATGTCGAGATGAGTAGGCATTCACTCTTTGGTCTCGACAATACTCGGCTTGCCATCACTCATTCCACGCTCGTCGCATCTTGAACCAGTCCTTGTCTGGCTGCCTTAGCACGCACATCACGGCAATCACACGCGCAGACTCGACTGAACCTCGAACAAAGTCTACCTGCAACTGAACAACACAATCGCCATGCCACCACGGCTGTTCGAGCGACTTTCGGCTGCCTTTTGGGGCTACCTCTCTCCACGGCAACCTGCCCCGAAGAGAAAGACAGTCACCCGTGATGCTCGACCTCCACGCGTCTCTCCAACCAAGTTCGTCACTCCTGAGCGCCCTGGCAGTGGTTACTTGCCACTCACACCTGCCGATACACACGCTGGCTCCAAGAGAAAGAGGGATATTGAGGTCGAGCACTACCGAAAGAGAAGCAAACATGAGGAATCGCAAGCCGAGGACGATGCCGAAGAAGTCCGCCTCGAAGACCTGAAGCTGGAGCACGTGGAACAACCGACAGAACAGTATGATCCTGGTGATTTGTTTTCTGAGGATGATGAAGATGAGGAAAGTGGTGCACACTACGACTTCGATGTCTACAATCCTACCCTCAACCCGTCAAAGCAACCAGCGCAAGTATTTGAGGCATATGGTGATGAATACGATGGCATCAAATACGACTACAACATCTACAACCCTACAATCCGCTCGGACAGGCCTATCTCAAGACAACCGACCCTCCTTGAGAGCGCCCTTCCTCGAGACGTTCCCCGCATCATTATTGACAGCACAGAGGGAGACACCGACGACGACAGCGATGTGATCAACGTCCTCCCTAGACCAGCATCTCCTGTATACGACAATGGAGACGAAGACCTTATCGTCTTTGCCGACACAGATGCCAGTGACAACGACGCTCTGGATGTTGACCACGCCCAAGACGACAACTCCTCACTGCTCGTAACGTCCTTCAAAGAACCCTCTCTCTTTGGCTCTTTCTTCGAAGAAGCTCAAGATGGCGAAGATACAATCCTGCTTGACTCACGTGCTCGCGTCGGTAGTCTCGAAGATAATCGCGTGTCAAAGGATCAACTTCTCGCCCGCGGCTGGCCTCAAAACACCATCTGGCTCATCCAACGCATACACAATCGCGGTCGTGAACCCCTTTTTGCTTTCCACTGGCGCATGGATTTCCCGATGATGCCTGAAGGCATGTTTTTACCCAAGCGCCACGAACACCCAGGTTACATCAACACATTACGCAGCAAAGATTTCCGCGCCAAACATGCCTTCGAACGACTCATGCAACTCGGTCCGAAAGTCAGAGACAAGATCACCGTCGGTCTTGCACCGGAAAAACTCATCGTGGACGAACTGCACAGATACATGCACTGGGCAGACTGGGACAGCAGAAACCAATTCCCCTCTTACCCATTCATTGAAATCCACACTGGCACCAGAGATGAGGACGTCAATGCCATGCAAGACACTTTGCTGCTTCGTCTTTCAACCTTGCATAAACATTGGTTGGCTCCTTCTGATCAAGCCCCTAAACGCCCTGCGCCTTTTATTGGGTCGACTTCTGTGGATAGGACGCAGCCCCCGCCGTTATATGGTATCCTGGTTTCGCATACTCTTCTCGGTATCGTTGCTTTTGTGCCTGGTGCTGAAGATAGCGATTCGATCGGCTATTTGCGCACGGTGGGTGTCTTTGACTTCAATGTCATGGGCTACGATGTGTGGACGAGTCTGGCGCTGGCTTTACTGGTCGTTCATGTCAGAAACGAGGGTGTGGACAGAGGATGTTCGGGGCGGAGACAAGGCATGAGGGATCGTTGGGCGAGAGTTAGTGCCATCAGGGATCCTGACAGGTAAAGGGATATCAGAAAGGGAAGGAAGTGGATAAAGTGGTCTGGCTGGTCTGCCGAGTCTCTTGCTTTTCTTTCTTCTTTGTGTTCGTTCGCAATCTCTCAAGGTTGCTTTTTTTCTTTCTGTTCTGCTTTCTTAGGAAGATCTTTGCTGTGAGATGCAGTCTGGCGTTTTTTTCTTTCAATTTGCAGAGATACCCTTTTTTCTTTACCTTCCATCAATTTTACTTCGTTCACGCCCTCACCAAAGCACGAGTAATTCAACGACGCTCATATCGCACTCTTGTCAAGGAACGTGATCAAGACAAGCTTGTCATAGTTTTGGTGACTCTCGAAAAAGACTAACATCCTGCACAGCAGAACAACAGTCATGATGATACATCATCCCTAAAAGAAGAGAGAAGAAAAGAAGTGAAGTGAAAAGGGTGAAAGACAGCAAAAATCTCGACGAAGAAAAAGGACGCACAGCATCCATAACAACCCATCCTATCCTCAATGCATCCCTAAGCCATTGAATCAGAAAGGAAAAACTCCCATCCCATGCTCCCCAATCTTTTTTCGTTGGTCATGAGTCGAACATGGAAAATCATAAGACCGTTCTGGTATTGACGCCATCACGGACAGTACGCTTGTGGATGCGCATGTGGTTGTGCTCGTCTCTCTTAGACTGAGCGCCGCAAGTGCCAAAGGCACTGTTACAGCCAGCGCTACAGTATTCATCGCTGGAGCCGCAGTAGCCGTGGCTGGAGCAGCAGTCCCCGAAGCTCGAACCCTTGCAGGTCACGCCGTTGCCGCAGTTGCCTTCGGTGGACACGGTGAACGAATTGCCATTCGATGAAGGAGCGGCATATGTGGCCTTGGCGACGAGAGCAGACGTCTTGAATGTGGTAGCGGCGGGCGTGCTGCCGGCGGTGGCTGGGAGGTAGGAACCGTCGCCATTCTGAGCAGACACTGCGGCAGGGAGATTGACCTGTCTGGGGGGGNNAGGGTTGAGGTTCTTCATGTAGTCGGGAGGACCGTTGTAGTTGCCAGCACTGCACTGGTCGTTGATGTTCTGGCACTTGCCTTCCCAGAGCTTGCAGCCAGTGTTACCAGTAGGAGGAGCAGTAGCGTAACACTCCTTGGCTTGAGCCCAGCAAGCCGTGCTGGCGTTCCAGCAGCCGGCTTGGTCACTATACTTGTCAAGCTCAATACCGTCCCAATTGCCGTTGGTGATGATGCAGTCATTGGGGGCGAGACCTTCAGTCTGCTTCTCTTGGGACACTCTTAGCTTCTGGTTGCCAACATTGGCAGAGGATGAAGGAGCATAGACCGCAGGACCAGGGATAGGGTAGGGCAACGCCATCGGCTCGTTCCAGATGTTGAAGGAGGTGGATGGTTGGTTGTAGTCAACATAGCCTGGGATGGAGACGGTGTGTTGAGGAAGCTGGCTGCCAGCAGAGTCGAGCCAGACCTGAGCACAGCCAGCATAGAACTGAGGATCACCCTTGTCTGCATTGTGGAGAGCGAGAAGTTCGGGACGGACAAGGTAGTAGCCGCCTTGAAGGCCCTGAGGCATCTGGACGCTGAGGTGGCCGTTGTTGATAATCAGCTTCTCGGTGCACCATTTGCCAGCCGACTCGTCATATCCCTCGTCCCAGATCTTGAACCAGCCATCACCAGCGCCTTCATCGTTGATAGCAGAGTCAACTTTCTTGAGATAGACAGCGCAAGGTCCCTTGTGAGAGATGTCGATGCTGCCAATTGATGGGTTGTCAGGCCAGTCGCGGAACTCGAAGCTCAGAGCGGAGCCGCTGTTGATAGAGCAGACGCGTGCAACACCCTTAGTGCCATCAACACCACAGGCCATGTCGTTGCTGTCAAGACTGGGGATGGGATCGGTGGCAGTATTAGGGTCAGAGGGCATACGAATGCAGGTTCCATCACCCNNTAGATAATGTTAGTATTGCATGTGATGGTCTCCAGTATGTGACGAGACGGAGTCTGTGCCTACCTGGGCCTTGCCATCGACGTAGAGCTCGGCAAAGAGGGTGTGTGCGTTGGCGCTCTGTGCAGCCATCAAGGCGAGCACAGGAACGACTGAAGGAATCTTCATGGTGAGCTAAGAGAAGAGGAAAACAGAAAGCAGCAGAAGAGAATACGAAAAGTTGTAAAAGAGCGTGGGTTGGATCTGGGAGAAGAAAGAGTGAATGAGCGTGGTGACAGCAGTTAAATGTCGATGCGTCTGTACAAAGGAGTGCGAATGACGGAAGGCCGAAGAAGATGCTTCGGAGAAGCAGGCGCAAAGGAATGGTCCAATTATTTCAAGAAGGGAGAATACGAGGATGGAAAATGAGAGTGGTTTTATCAGCACTTGCTTCTGTGCGAGTCTTACCAACCAAGCACTTGCCAGCAGCTGCAGTGTTGGTTCTCATGCACCTAAAACATGAAACGTTTGGCAGCGCGCGAAGGCGTTTCACCCATCGCTCCTACGTACGATGTGTTCACTCATCTCACACAGCAGCCTGAATAGAAGTCGGTAGGCCCTGCTCGTGCATGCTGGCAGCCACTATCCGTTATTGCAAGGAGTGGTCCGGGAAGGAAGGTTTCAAGGAAAAGCTTTCCCCACTGCAGCCTGAAGAAGATCTACACATCTCCGCAAACAGGCGGCGTTTTGGCGCCAGGACACAAGCACTGCACGACATGCTGATTCTTTTGACCAATCATCTTGTGATTTCTTTGCATCAAGGGATAACGACAGTGATTGCAAAGACTCCTTTGTACCTTTTCCCATCTCAGTATACCAACTTTGCTTGGATTTCCTTGCTTTTCAGATGCCTTAACGATACGAACTCCGAAAACAAACCCACCACAAGCGCCTTGTCCCAGGATGCATCATTTATCATTACGATTCATCATGTCATGTTGATCAACGATCGCCTTTTCTAAGCACTAGGTACGGGTGCGGAAAGGAGCATTAAACCCCTGACAAATGATGTTAGATAGTATGGGAAGGAGCTTGACGATACAACTTACATAGATGGGAGTTCCGTGTCTGTTCAGAACAAAGACAACATCAGGTACAGTGATGGTCTTACGGGCAGTACTCTCTATATANACTTGTTAGCATGGAATGGCAAACGATTGAGCTAGTTGAAACTACCTAGAATAGCACAGATATCCTGGAGAAGCTATGCAAAATGTCAGTCGTTGCAGGCAAAAGCGCGGATATGGTTGTTGTTCTACCATGTGCAGTCTGCTCTTCAGGGCAGAGCGGACCTCTTCATAGATGGTAGCCGAGATGCGCTTGACACCACCGCGACGAGCCAGGCGANNCTAGATATCTTGTCAGTGGAGCTTAAGTAGTCTGAATTGTATAGCTGCGAACCGGATGCTTCCTTTGGTGATGCCTTGAATGTTGTCGCGTAAGATCTTNACTGTTGTATGATTAGCAGGGTCACCCTCTTGGCAATGGTAGTTGGTTGATACGTACCGGTGACGCTTAGCGGTACTCTTTCCAAGTCCCTTTCCACCGAGACCAGTAGCGATCTTGCCCAGGCCTGTTGGTTGTGCTGTGCCGGACAAACGAGCCATGATTATGTTATGTCGCGAAAGTAGATGCTGAGTAACCAAGAGGAACACGCCGGCGGGTGGTGGAGGAAGCTGGTGATCAGAGTGGAGTGGAGTGAAAGCGGCTAGGGCTGATTTAGCCGCCCGGATGGTGCCGAAAAGGGTATCGCGTCGTTCTGATTTTCTGACTGCGACTGCGTTTTCGCGTGGGATGGTCGTTGTGCAAGAATTGACCTAGAGACCCAGCGCCTTGTCACAAAGGTTTTGGTAGAAGAAACGAAACAAATTGGATCGCGATTTTGTATCGTGAGGTGTACCGAGATCAGCTGCAAAGTTTCACTCACAAGCCGTGTTTCTAGCCTCTGCTTCCATTCACTTTCACTCTCACAAAAAGGCCTGGACTCGATTGAAAGGTTGCAAATCGGAAAAGTTGCATTGAAGTTGCGATGGCAGATGCAGATGAAGACGTTATCCCTCGTGGTCCAGACGTCGGCGATATCGATCTATCAGACGAGACACAAGACTTCCGCTTACTCTTAAACTTCTCGTGAGCTCCAATCTTGTCCTAGATATCGTTTCGTTGACTCTGCTAATTTCTGATCAGTGGTGATGACACAAAAATCCCGAAAAGAGGCGAGAAGGACTTTGAGCCCCATCATACAAATAAACAATCAGATGCTTTGACCGCATCAAGAGATGCTATGCACAATGCACTTTCGTTTCAGCGTGTCCATCAACTCAAGAAGCATGTTCTGGCTTATTACCACCCAGGGACGAATATGGCATATACAGAAGACCCTAAAGGACCTCTGTTCAAAAACATGGGCAAAGTCTTCCCTGGCAAGGAAGATCCACTCGGACCTCGTACCGCTGGAGAAAACAGAATTTGGCTACTACCAGAAGAAGCAATCTACTTGCTCGAAAGAGGTACGATTGATGTCAGATGGCCGCTGGACGACGACGACGACAACAGTGAAGATGGCGAAGGCCTCCCCATGAGTCTTCAAGGTGCGTATGCCGCATTTCTGGGCATGGAAGGCAATAGCGACGGTGCCCTGACTTTCGAGAGATACTCTGTATACGCAGGTTTGAAAAGGTCAGGTTACACAGTCCACCGAGCTCCAAGCTGGGATGGTACAGGCGACCAACCGGGAGAAGAGTGCTATCCGATAGTGCAAGGCACCCTATGGAATCTGGGTCTGCTGAGAGACAAATGGCGAAGCCTGTTCATTGACCGAGCTGCAACACAAGCAGAACAGAAAGTTGGTCCGTTGGTAAAATCAGGAGTCTACCGCAACTATGGTATGTGCCAGTTGTTCAAATGTACAAGTCATCCTACTAACCTGTTCANNGCTGAAATCTATCGTCGCCTTGCGATTGTCCCCAGTTACGACCCAGCAGCCAGGAAAAGGAACTTTACAGAGACGACAGACCCTGCATTCAGGATTACATACCACTTATGGAAGCCTGGCTCAGCGACATACAAGAAGAGCGACCCCGGTACACCTGACTTCCGCATTGCGGTTGTCGATGCTCGAGAGACGACTTTCCCAACACTTGCCCAGCTGAGTGCTCTGATCGACACACAACCATACCAGCCACCCCGCCCAGATGCGCAGTTGTATCAGAAGTTGCGTAATGGGTACAAGAGTGTGATTTTGGCTGTTGTGGACCAGGGAGTTACCAGTTACTTGAGACTGGCAGACGCTGGGTTCTCTAGGGAGAAGTTGTTCGATCGCAAACCGCCAGCTGCGAGAAAAGGTGGCAAGGGTGGAAACTGGAAGAAGAACAAGCGATAGATGGTGTAGGTATGATATGTAGAGTGGCTGCCTCAGTACGCTACTGCCAAGAACGAAGTGGTTCGAAAAGTGCATGGCTGCCTGCTGAAAAGAAGTTGGAAAGCGCGCCTGCCCACTTACTGCCTTCGGCGATTCCCATGTTCCATATTCACTCGTCAGACGTTCCACTCCCGCTACTTTTCACCTTCATCGACGCTCGGATCCCATCCATCGTTGCGCAACCTGCCTCNTAGCGTGATTTCAAGAGTATCCCGTCGCCAAGATGTCGTCGGATCTCTGTTACAACTGTCACCGGAGTATGTCGTTTGTTCCGAGTCTCTCTTTTCGCATTACTGACACCCNNACAGTCCATGCGCCTCGCGCATGTGACAAGCCTCTGCAAGAATGCCTGAATTGCGGAACCTTCGGCCATACCTGGAACTTCTGCCACCTCGGACCGCTCAGAATCCAGCCCGATTACAAGGTCCTATATCAACCCAACCATCCTGCATTGTATCAGGACAAGATCGCTGACACTCGACACNAGTACTACGCCCTCTGCCACAACTGTCAGAAATGGGTCAGTATCATTGACCATTCTGTTCTCCAGCACAAAGACAGCTAGTTTACTCCCGATTTTAGCACCTTCCTGCTCCTTGTGAGGAAGAATTGGTTCGCTGTGGTGGTTGCATGCAACTTGGCCATCTCCGAGAGTACTGTGCTTTCGANNCCCAACCCCGGCACGCTGTTCACTGAGGGCATGAGTAACTACATCTCGCAAAATCTCACTGCCAACAACGCCCAATGGATCGTGCACAATGCTTCTCTGGCCGATGAGATCTACAAGATCAAGATGGGTGCAGTCATGGACACGCTTCAGCTCTTCACAGGCAGGAATCGTGAAGAGGTTCGTGTCTATCTCGCCAATGCTTACCGCGGCCAATTTTCTGGCGTATCATCCTGTCACTCCGTGTCTACACAACCATCCGCAACAAGGCAGCTTCCGAAACCTGTTGCTGTCAAGACGAAAACCAATTCTGCCCTGTCTCTTTCGCGTCCGAACATTCCACAAACCCGGGTCGGCGACCAATCTTACGAAGCATACAACACGCTAGCTCCTCTTCAGTTCCAAGATGGCGACAAACAGCCACGCCAACAATCCAAGGCCTTGAACACTGTTGTCGCCATGGACAGTGGAAGTTCGTCGATATCTTCCACTAACCACGATTCTGGAGTTCAAAAGACGCTCGCGGATCCTCAGTCCGCCCACGACGGTATCTTCAACTTCCGCACATATGACGATGGAGGCCATGAGGAAATTTGTGGTGGCAGTTCAGGCAACGAAAGCATCACCTCGAAAAGCTCTCCTTGCGATGATCGTGCCCNNGTGGAAAGCAAAGATGAGGCGGAGCAGGAACGTGAGTTCTTCGAAGGAGCACTTTACTAAGGCTTGAGCAGCAGCAAAAGATCGCGCGATGATGGCAAAGGGTCTGCACAGCGCGGATCTGCCTGCAAAGAAATAATGCATGGCCTGACAGAACATAGCTAGGGGCACGTCACATTGCTGAGTCGTGAAATAAGAATGTGTGTGTTTTGATCCGTGGTTCTGGGATTGATGTGCCGAGTAGTGCTTGTAATCCCTGTTCTAGGCCTAGCAACCTTGACTGAGATATAGCCTAGTCCCTTTGTACTACTCTGGGTTGATCCAATCCGATGGATGCAAGTGTGGCTTTGGAGAAGTCTCCGACGGGCCGGCGGTTAGATCAGAGATAGGTTCGTTAAAGCTATGGACGCTGCGACATCCTTTGGCTAGTCTTTCACCATGAGCAGTGGGTCGAGACGCTCTACCCACATTTCATACAACCTTGAGAAGTGGTATCTCTACAATGACAGCTCGTCGGATTACAGGGACGATAATCCGGTCCAGCTTCGTTCGAGTCATGTTACAACAAGGTGATGAGGGACATCATGCAAATTCCACGATATCGATTAGAGACGTCATGGTGCCCTTGCTTGACTCGGCGGCACATCCAGGTTTCCGGTATACTGGCATGCCACGAGACTCTGTAAGGTCTTTCCAGCCTATATTTACCGCCAAGTATCATGACCCATGACAAGACAATCCTCGGGCCAATCTGGTATGGCATGTGGTGATGGGCAAGTCAGACATGGAATCTCGACCTCAATCCGGGGCGGATGTCAGGGGCGCTGTCGCGCATGAAGGTCAAGTCAAGCGCGGGGTCCTTCGGGTACGCTTTTGTACGACATTTCGGCAGTTAGAGTAACACAAAGGGCTTCCAAAAAATCGGTCTGGGTAAATTTGAGGAACAATGACTGGGCGGGAAGTCGTCCAAGCATGAATTGCCGAGTCAGAGGCACGATGGAGCCGAGTTGGCGGGATACGGTCTGGCGGTTGCGGTTAAGCAGGCCAACCGGAGCAAGGAATGCGGCTAAGAAAAAAGTAGGGAACAACGACATCAGAAGAGAGGTATGATATTGCTCGGTGCTGCATAATGGAAAGCTGAGATCCGACGGTTAAATGTGTCGAGAATCATCAAGATGCGAGATGGACACGGCGGTCGTGCCACGGGATACAGAACAGGAAGGGCAAGTAAGATCACATGTCAGAAGGAAGATCAGATCAACAGTCGGGCGGCACTCGGGTCTGTTTGATGTGGAGAGAGTCGGACCGTGTCGGCTTAATCGAAGAGCTGATATGAGCAGCCTGTAGTTGGGAGCAGCATGTTTGAAGGCCCACGGCTCAAGAGGACCACGGTCCCGGCTCCCCTTCCTTGTTCCCTTTTCCCTTCCTCTCCTCTTCTCCGTCCGACAGTCGTTTCCCACACGAGTGCTTGCTGTTTCTGTGTTGCTAGTCTTGCCGTCTCTATCTGGCGTGTGTGCTTGGACAACAGTTACTCCGCAAAGTTCGCTATCTTCGCTTTCCCTCGGCTGATCTGAGCTCTATCGCCGAGCTGGTAGCCGACAGTGCTCGAGATATTATTCCTTTGATCCGTCTCTGCGTGCAGCAGTTTCTCAGTGCCTCAGCGGGCTGCTGTATCCAAGTCGTGAGAGTCTCACGCAAACCGCAATCATTACTTCCTCAGTCGCTCTTTCCAATCTGCTTTCGGGGCCCTCGGCACCGTCGCCAAAGCGCCGCTTCTCCGTCTCTCCCGACGGCAGCGACGACTACGATGCCAGGCCTCGCAAAAGCCCTCGTCCCGACATCAGCTCGACAATAACTCCGGCTCGCCCTGTTCCTGCTCCTCCAGCCTTCACCCAACCCTCTCCAGCAGCACCGCCGGGCTCGGATCAATCGTCCCGGCAGCAGCCCGGCAACGCCCAGCAAACACGCCATGCTCAGGCACGTATGCGTTCCTCGATCGCCTGTGCTCGCTGTCGTCGGTCCAAGGTCAAATGTGTCAACAGTGGTGTTGGCACACCGTGTCGGTCTTGCGAGGCCGGCAACCGGGAATGTACATATCCGGTACCTGTCACGGGTGGACGTAAGAGGGAAAACAGTCTGACTGGACCTGCTCCTAAGGTCGACCCTATGACTGAAGAGGTGAGTAGTCCTGTTTAGCATCTGCCACGTCAACGACACTGACCATAAATCAGANTCCGGAAACAACGGCAGCAGCGTAAGAGCAATGCTGGCTTGCCGGGCCAGCCTATGCCCGCCTTCGTCGAGCCTTCCATCGTACCAGCAGACGCTCTGGACCCTATCCTTCTGACTCCGGCGATCTGGAAGGAATTGGTAAGACGGCCCGAGGATGCTGGTCCATGTACCTGGCTAACACAGTACCTAGNNTTCGACATCTTCCAACTACACTTCTCAGCCGATCTTCCCTTTATTCACCCTCCAACCTTTCTCAAGCCTCTTCGGCAGGCCAGTTCCCAAGCCCAGGCACCTCAATACCGACCCTATACAAACGTCCCTGCGCCTCCGGTCCGACCTCCCGCATCTACCGAGTTCTTGCTGGCCTTTTTAGCCTTGACTTCCCGCTTCCATCCTATACTCGTCGCTCACCATTCGCCAAGAAGCGCCAATCGTTCCAGCGACCCTCTCATTGCTGCCGAGTTCTACGCCTCGGCCGCTTCGGCTCAGCTCAATGCTGTAACAACCGACAAACTGGGGCTTCACAACATCTCGACAACTCAAGCTATGCTAATGCTCGCTTTGCACGAGTGGGGCATGAATCGAGGTCCGAAAGCATGGGCTCATCTCGGAATTGTCATTCGCTCTGCACAGGCCATGGGACTGCATTACGAGGAGGAACTGGACGACCAACCTCTGTCGCGCTCATTACCATCTCGAGCACATGACCAACAAGGCTTCGTTGATTCTGGTAACGCTTCACCTGATGCTAGTTGCCAGAATGACGCATTTGTCAAACAAGAGATCCGTCGTCGTACCCTGTGGGCTTGCTTCATCTTGGATCGCTACTTCAGCAACGGCAAATTCAGACCTCAAGCTCTCAACGCAAAAGATCTTCGTATCCAGTTACCGGCTGGTGAGCATGCCTTCCTGTTTGGTGAAAAGGTTCGCACCCTGCTCTTGAACGAGGAGAACACGTCCAGAGCCGAAGTTCAAAGTCAGCGCCGTGCTTCTTTGGCCACTGATCCATCGAACCATGCTCACAAGAGGTCTTCGATTCATGATAGCGCGACTGGCACGTCTTCACCTCAAGATCCCGAAGGCCGCTGGGAAGTTGGTGCGGACGAGGGCCTCATCAGTCGATACATCAAAGTATTGGATATCCATGGCAAGGTGATGCGATGGGCATGTGGAGGAGGCAGAAAGTGAGTTGAACCACTGAATATGCAGAGGACAGTAGCTAACCAGCCCAGACGTGACGCTCTACCACCATGGAATCCACAGTCAGAGTGGTACCGTCTGAGAAAAACCCTTGATGACTTCAAGATTAGCCTTCCCAGACACCATTCTTTGACGGCACAAAACACATCTGCTCACATCAACCTACACTCCTCCACACCCTACGCTCTTGTACACCTGACCTTCCTTCTTTCTCAGCTTCTCCTCACCCGCGAGTTCCTACCATTCATTCCATTCCGACACGGCAAGCCTTCAGGCCCCCTCGATGGCACGCGGTTCGATACCATACCCTCTCCTCCAGGTTTCTGGGAAGACAGTGCTCGCGAGTGCCTTGGTGCTGCTCGGGCCATTGTCGACCTGATCGGCTCCTTCCAAGAATGGGGCGTCGTAGTCGAGACTCCTTTGGTCGGCTTTGCTCTTTATAACGTTGCTTTACTAGGTGTCTACGTCATCAACTTCCCCTGGATGGATACTCAAGGCTACCTTCGCCGAAGCGCCAAGGACGACGGCATCACCTCCGGTGCAGATGCTGCTCGTAAAGCCATTGAGCTGCTTGCTTCGATGAAAAGTCGACTATATATGGCTAGTGGATGGTTCCAGACTGTCAAGCGCTCACACAAGTACTTTTCTGGCCTAAGGAAGACCTGGATGGATTCTGCAGCCAGGCTGCCCNGAGTTTTCCACGACCAAAGCATCGCCACTGCTCAACTACACCCACCAAATGCTGAAAGCACACGAGTTTTGCTGGAGAGAGCCTTGAAAGACTCAGATGACTCTGGTGATTCTGATGTCGACATGTCAGATGCTATTGCCAGCTCCGATTTACCTAACGGTGCACCTGCTCCTCCTCGCTCAGATGTGAGCAGTCCGCGTGTTGGCACTACGCCGCCCAAACAATCCTTCTCTACCCCTGCTGAACAAGCGCAGGCTCATGCGCAGCAAGAAGAACGTTGGAATGCCATCAACAGTGTAGCAGCAGCAGCTTCTGCCGTAGCTTCTGGCAGAAGTCTCACACAATCTGCTCCTCAAAACAACAGCAACAACCCGCATTTCCGATTCTATAACGCCTTTCCTCCAGCCTCGGCTTCATCAACTCCAGGTGGCGGCTACCCAGGCCATGGCTTCCGTGCTGCATATCCTGATGCATCACCTCAGTCGCACTCGCATCCTCAAACCCCAGCCTGGACACCATCGAATGGCAACTCGAGAGAACCTCTCCAAGGCATTCATGCCTTTACGGGTGACCAACGCCGAGAAAGCGAAGCACTAGCTGGCGCAGCGGTTGCAGTCCACGCCGCTCACCATCGCCGTACATCTTCAGATCGCGAGATCAAGGATGTTGAGTCATGGCTAGTTGCCTTGGAGAAGCCCTTCGGCGCCGATGATGTCGCCGCATTCGTTGATGGTGTCGAGTTTGCCGAGTATGCGGCTCGTGGTTCACGAATCTCGCGTACGCCTAGCTGGTTGGCCATAATTTGGGCGAGATGATTATTCCTTTCCCTTTTCTTTATTGTTTTCAGGGCGACAATCTCTGAGTACCAGGAGCGGAGTTCTTCTTGGTTCGTACAAAATGATGTTATGATTTCTTTCCTTTCTCGGTCCCATTTGGCACAAAACAGACTCCTGGCATTAGCGGTATGCTTTGTTTTCATTTGTTACATAGTTGCATCCTCTGCTATACAATTAGAGCATGACAGCTGGATTTCCTCACGGCTTGACTACTTCGCTTTACACTTATCATGGAGCCTGTGCAGGAAGCGTGTGGTCAATTCAGTGCATGGTCCCTCCCAGGCAGATCGATAGTGATATAGTATGCTATAGAGATGCACGGTAGTCTATCAAACCAGACTTTTGATCATGGAAGTAGCCTCGAAACAATGGGCTGCATTGTAGGCAGTATAGTGCATTTCTATAGCTTCCTAGAAACAGATTCCAGCATATGGAGAAGATAAGGCAGAGATAAAATCGAACAAGCACGTTTCCTGTCAAGGGTGCATTTGTCATGTGGTTGGCCGGATGATGCCTTCCTCGACCGCATCGCGTCCGCCTTTTTCTCCACAGATCAAGACTCTTTCTCCCATCTACCTCCAGCATCGTGCATTTTGTTCAAGTAACCCTTTGAGAATCTACAGCCATGAACACAAATCTAGTGGTCATGAAGCATGACACCATACAACTGCCCACTAAACCAACCGCCAACCTCAGTTATAGCTTCCTGCCAGGCAACTCGGCGACCAATACCCTAGTGGTGTTCTTGAACGGCCTCATCCTCCCAAGGTCATCTTGGGAACAGACTATACTAGCCATACAATCCAAGCTACATGATACGCAATTGCCAAGACCACATCTATTGGCCTACGATCGATATGGACAAGGCGCTTCGGATAAGCATCCGGATGGTAAACATGATGTTCTGGATGTGGTCCGGGATCTTCATACCTTCATCACAACATTCTGTGCAAAGGAGTTAGGGGCAAGAAGCCGCCGCNAGTTGGTGTTTGTTTGCAATTCTATTGGATGTGCTATAGCGAGGCTGTTCGCCGACAGTTATCCTGGCATGGTATCTGGGTTGCTCTTCTTGGATTCTATCATGGCACATGTTGATCTAGTGGCTTTGTGGCCTGATGTAGATGCCATTTGGTTCGATGAAGCTATGTTACCACAAGATGTCACGAAAGAGGAGGTGAAGAGTGTAAGGGAGGAGTATAGAAAGAGGTTCCATGTTTATGTGCCGAACTCAGAGGAACTGGACAGAAGCACACTGGCTGAGCTACTTCCACAAGCGGACAGACCGAAGCTGCAAAACGCGTTGCTCACGGTCGTTGGTCACGATCCCGAGACTTTTGCTCAGGAAAACGAGGTTAGTTTTTTGCTTTTATAAGACCGTTCCGGGTATACTGATGTGGTATACAGANAAAGCTTTGGTGTTTCAAAGGCACTGGTCATGAAGTATGTTAATCCAGTGTGGCATGAATACAACAAAGAGCTTGCTACATTGGTAGAAACCGAGAAAAGCAAAGGTCCCATTCTTGCTAGGGGATGTGGGCACTTCATACAAAGAGATGATCCTGGATTTGTTGCTACAGAATTGTGTGACTTGTTACGGCGTCTTGAGGAGTATGCGTAACAAGTTCAGAGAAAAGAAAGTAAAACAACTCCTTCCAATGTGCCAGATTATCAATCGCACTTTCCATATGCAGAGTCCTGATCCTTCGAGCGGAGAGTTCTGGAAGAACATCCGAGAAGCGAAGGAGCGACCTTGAGTGGCTGCTTGTTATTACGGATCACTAGGAATTTGCCGAGACACAATGACAAGATGCGTTTGAGGCATTTGAATGGGAAAAAGACTGCAGAACAATTGATATCCGTATCAAACACATCGTCGCTCAGAATCTGCGAGGTATGCCTTCAAAGATGTTCTTGTCATAGTCGGACTCATCTTCAAATGGCTCCTTTTGATAATGCAAGAGCTGCTTCGTAGTAAACTTAGGAGCCTTGCGTGGCGCAAGAGCCTTATTTTTGAGAGATTGGGAAATTCTTGGGGTCTTAGTGGACAAATCGGTCTTTAGAGACTTATTGGGTGCTTCAGTCTTTGGAGATGTATGCGCTTGCGAAGACGTATGGGTCTTGGAAGATGTAGGAGTTCCAGAAGAGGCAAAAGTCTTGGGCGATATCGGTTTCCTCTCTTTCTGCTGGCTAAAGTCAAAGGCTCCACATACACAGATCTTGTCGTGCTTCGTCATAGCGTTGAGTACTGCCTTGTCCCTCGTTTCGCATATCCTGGAGCCCTTGACATTATCACGCATCGTATTTCCGGTCTTGATGTACTCCAAGTCACAGTCACACCGTGCCTCAGATCGATGGTCAATCAACGTCTTGATGATCAATCTGCAAGTTCTGTCGATATTTCTGAGGTGTCTTGACTTCCTGGGCTCCATTCTGCATGTGAGAAGGATGACTGGATCTTTTTCCCTGCATTGCTTGTGATCCTTCTCGCAATATGTTTTCAATGCATACTGATGCCATATCGAAGGACCTCGGTATAGTATGCGGATGGAGAAACTACCACCAAGTGGGCGGGATATGCGCCAGGGCCAGTCTTTGTCTTCAAGCGTTCGTCCGGTATGTGAAGGACTTTCTGATGGACGCAAGGTGTTCGGTTTCCTGATCGATCGTGGCTTCGTCGGCGAGGTATTGGCTTGACCCATGTCGTCGACGTCTACTAAAATGTAGGAGAGCGGCCCGGGCTATAGAGGGCACTTCAACTTGGCACATGAAGCTTGGGTGACCTGATATCATCCCAAACTTGCTCTTAACTTTTCTTGGCCAACAACGAAGGTTCACCACTCATAAGTTAGCATCTTTCTTCCGCGCACATATGCTTCAATCCACATTTCTGAGAATCAAGCAAGAATCCGAGTTCAAACATGGCGACAACTGAGGCTTGCGACAGACTGTGGGCATCTCCATCGATCGATCCAGAATCTTCAGCATACGCATATACCGGCCCACGCCCCGAATGGCGAACCAAAGTCACACGCCCGCCAGTCGCAGCGACAGACAACACAAGAACAACAGAACCCAGGCCTACACCCACGGCCAAAGACAACACAAGAGTCCCACGACCAAGATCTACCGTCACACCTGTCCCAGATCTCCCTCCAGCTTACGAGGATGGCATCACCCTTGATCCATGGACCATAAGGGAGAGAAATGTGTTCAAGCGTAGGTCCCACTACCGTGAGAAACCTATCGCATGGCACTATGGTGTCAGCGAAGACAACGGGAGCAGGCCAGACGCTTTCTTCGCATGCATCAGGAGGACGAAATCTCCTGATCGGACCATGAACAATCTATGCATGGGGATTTGTCGAGAACTTCTGCATCACAGGAAGGAGCTTGGTCGCAACTGCCACTGCGACTTTGAGTATCTCAAAACTGGCAGGACCAATCGAGATACGTCGAGATTGTGTCTTTGGAGGCTGGGCAAGACGGGCAAGTCTGTGCTGAAGCGAATGGAGAAACATGATAGGATGTGTGACTGCGGCGCCTTTCGTTTCTCGAGCAGCAGAGTAGAACATGGGCGTTGACCAGAAGCATGCTGGCCCTGAAAAGCAGCATAGTCCAGTGCAAGCCATATTCACATCGACTTTTCAGAGACATGTCTCTCATCCTAAAATGATCGAGCAAATTCACATCCTCTAAATCAGTGTTGTTATGTGAGAGGATACTACCGACTCTGTTGATTTGCTGCATCCCTGGAAAGAATACAGCGTTCCACGATAATCAGAGTCTCCGTTGTACTGCGGATGGATTGTCGGTTTAACGGCAGCCTCTTTGTCGAATTGAAAGGGTTCCACAGGTGGCTCCAAGAGGTCTTGACGAGTGACAACCAGTGATGTGGAAGAGCTATGGCATCAGACAGGAGCATCGCGCAGTGGAGCGTCCTAGCAGTCCTCTTGATCCCTAGTCTGTCTTGAACAATACAGATTGCAACCTGAGAAAGGATCCTTCTTGGCAAGCACTCATCCGGCGAGCCAGTAAGACTCCTCCTCGACGATGAAAGATACTGAGTCGGGAGGGCGTGCATTGCCAGGTTTTAACATGGCATTGTCCTAGTTTCTACCCAAGTCGATATCTAGTGCCAGGGCCATGCGTTCTCTCTTCAATGTCTGCTCTTCCTCTGTCGACAGGCCGAAAAATGGTTTGATAGCGACATCGACTACCTCCTCGAAAAGCCCTTGCACGATACTGTTCAGTTCATTTCCGGTTTGCGCAAAGTCAGGGAAAGCGTTGATCTCGAGCAAGTAGGGCGTTCCTTCTGCATCCAGCATGAAGTCAACACCAAACAGCTCAAATGCATTGGGCAATGGTTGGAAGTGGACCATCATGCCTCTGGCGGCTCCCTCGAATACTTCGCCGGTGATCTTGCAAATCTGGTCGAAAGTGTTCTGCTTCCAATCGGATGGCAGGCCAGTATCATCGTCAGGTAATGACCAGAAAGCGTGTACGCTGCCTTCGCGCTCGCCGGTCTGCATGCATGTGTTTGTAAGATGACTTGCCAGTTCCTCGTTGGGATCTTCAGTCTCCCATGGTGCGGTGTATGTCTTTCCAGCAAACAGAGCAAGCATAGGCTTGTAGACGAAGACCTTCAGTGCCCCTACTGCCAGAACATAGGTGCGGATGTGGAATTTGCGATCTGCAGAAGCAAAGGGCGAGGGAAGCAATAGAGGTGGATGAATGTATGGCTGTGCAATAAAGTGGCGGAGTTGCGATGTGATCACACCATTGCCTTCGTCTCCTTCATCATCGTCGACCTTGTGTTCGTCTTCATCTCCCGAGTGTTCAGCCTCCTCGTCGTCGCTCTCTTCCTCCCATGATTCAAAGATCGCAGTCAGATCATCCTCGGAGTTGAAAAGACGAATTCCCTGTCCGCGATCGCTCATTCCGGGTTTCAGGATCCACCACTGCTTTTCAGAGTCTTCGAGTCCTTCGTTCTGCTCGAAGCTTTCTCTCAACTCGAAAGCTTCAACCAAAGCGTCATCCAGGAACTCAGCAAAATCCAATTCAAACTCAACACTGGGTTTGACGTTCTTTCGCAGACAAGATTCGGGGTTTTTGGTCAACCAATGAGATACAGTAGTTGATAGATAATGTTTTCTGATCAGGGCCTTTCTGATGATGTAAGAGTTCATCAAACTGGTCCGTGAATTTCCCATTACATGGTCCAGATCCAGAGATTCGTATTGTTTCCATTGCAGCAAGTTTGCATCCGAAGCAGGCGCTTCCGAAATGGTTTGGATCAAAATCAAATCGTCGGCGGGCATGCGCGCCTTGAGAGCGGCCAAGATCAAAGGTTGCACATAGCGATCTTCATAGTCAATAAGTGCGTGGACCTTCCCGATAGAGGACTGTCGTTCTGCCATCTTCTCGTTGGTTCAAACTGTTAATTTGTCCGTGATCAGATGTGATGCAAAAATTCCCAATTCGTGAGACGCGATGTTCTTGGCGCGACTGCCGCGTTTCTCTCTTTCTCTCTCCACCACTCTGGCACTCTCCAGCTTTCTCCTCGACCTGGTCTACATGACAATAACGATGAAGCCAATGCGCAAGCGAAACTTCCAAGCAAGCGACTACGAACATCAACGGTTGAATCGGTTTTATTCCCGCTCAACCCTATATCGACTTCTCGCGTTGCACATAGATGTCCGGCTTCAAGCTCCTCCGATAGCGGTTGACGCTTTCACATCTATCGCGTTTATACAGACTGTCGGAAATCCAGTAGTTCTGTTTGTCTGTTAGCATGGATCAACTGTAACAGTTCTGTCTCGTAGAGCGTACCTATCGGTGCCTGCTTTCGGTTCTCCTCCTCTATGGTCTGTTGCAGACCCTCCACGATTGTTGTCAAGTCTTCTGGAGGATCTGACAGCTCTGGTGCCAGGGGACAGCAAATCGGCTCACAGGGGCGATCATCAGGTGCCTCCAACCATGTCGCAGTGATGATAGTTTACCAGTGAGTTTTGTGCGGATATCGAAAGCACTCCTGGCATGGCCGACAACCTTGATGCGAGAGTACTATTAGCATGACACGACAGATCAAGCATCCTCAGAGACACAACGTGGATGGCTGTTGACATTTACTATCCGGACTGTCATGTACGTACCACTGCCGCGTAGATTGGTCGCTCGAAGGGGATCGATGCGCCCTTGTCCTGTTCCTCCCATTTCCAAGCCAGTCTTGTGTAATCGCCATTTTCATCGGGGTGCTTTTGCAGCGCGAAACTCCAGCGATACTCCATCTCGGCAGTTTTGCCCTTGGAACAATTCGTAATGTTTCCAAAGAAGCCAGCTGCCTCGATATGAGGGTCGATTTTCAATTTCGATTCAACATGCTCCTGCCATGGTTGCCCACATATCTGCTCTGGCTAGGCGACAGAGATATACGGTCCTCCTGTGGCCTTGGTAGACTTCTCCAATCCCACTTCCGCTTCGGCTGCGACATACTGCAGACGGCAGTCTTTGGGTTGCCAAAACTGAATCTTGGGAAACAGCAGACCACAGTGCGTTTGGCACCATTCTACGCAACATTGAGGGCTATCACAGGCAACGCACTTCAACAGAGGAACAAGGGACAACCGAAGAGCCAAGCTTCGGCCGTCGCGCGAGGAGATCGCCACCGATTCCAATAGTCGAATACGACGTACCACTCAGACCAAGAGTCAGAGTCAGATCCAGCTCGACTTCATCAGGAGATCGTTCCAACAAGCCCCGTGTCTCACGCAGGTCAGTCCGAAGTGCCAAGAACTGGCCGCGAACAGGTTTGAATTGACAGCAAGTCTAGCTCCGCCTTGACTCAGGACTCTGGCTACTATTCACATCGAAGTGGCACGAGATATTCTTGACAGTATAGAATCCGAGGACTGCAGAATATGTCACACTTCGGCTTCAGGATATAATGCTTGAGTAGGAAAAGTTTGATGTATGATCGCAATGCAGTGTATGTATATCTAGCACAGAAACCCCATTCCGTCCTCATCAAGACCCTGTAGGAAGAAGTGACAGGACTATGATGTCGAGAATTTTCTGATTCTTTCTGGCAGATCGCCCATGTCGTGCGAGTTGCCGATATCTGGCTGTGAGGACGACAACGACGACGACGCGGATACACATGCGCTGTGCGTGACAGCGAGGTGATCAATCGTTTCATCGATGAGCACTTGCCTGCGAGGCATCATGAAGAGGTATCGCGGTCGATGGTTGGTATGGCCAGATCTCCATTCCATCTCGGCACGCCTTCTTGCTTCTCTTTTGTTTCTCCAGCCAATCTTGGTGATAAAACGTGTAATGTTTCCAGCCGAGGTATGACCTAGATTCCAGGCCTGCGTGATGTGCTCAACAGAGTATCCCGTCACGGCGGAAAAGTCCTCGAAAGTGCGGATTCTGAGATCAGTGCAGTGCGCAGCAAGGTGGTTGCAGAGGATGATCACTTTCGAAAGGTCTTCATGAAGTTGCGTGTACTCCTCGAGAGGCATCTCGTTTGGAGGGCAGTGGTTTTGGTCGATAAGTCTTTGGTGAGTCCGCTTCGCTGTGATCAACAAAATTGTCTCTACGGTCAACACCAGGCCCATTTTGTGGCTAGGAAGCCAAGTGCGGTAGCGGCAGAGACAGGTCCTATAACTCTGATAGACCGGAGACTCAAGGATATCGATGCTCCGCTCCTCTTGTGACATTCCTCCGTTGAGAGACATGATGCGGTATCGAATGTTGGCAGATTTCTTCGGTGAGTAGTTGCGAAGTGTGTGTCTTGATGGTTGAGATATTTTGGAGCTGAGAGTCGAATGTGGCTACGTCCAGGTTGAGTCTGGAGTTGTGGTGTTCGAGATTCGTTGAGCTTTGTGCCGGAGGAGAGTAAGATAAGAAGGAACAAGTCGAGTTATTTTACAGGATCGTGACTCTTAGGCAGAAATAACTCTCTCATGATTCTCGCCTGCATGATCCTTGAAAGAAATTTCCCGAAGCCGACCTTCGTGATGCGTAGTCGATGCAAACTTGCTCGTTGCTGACTCTATGCACAAGTATATCAGGTTTGAGCGCTTGGGATCACTGGAGAGCACGACCTCGAGTAGAGCCTCTGACAGTACCTCTGCCTATGCCGCTGCCGGCTCTCGAGATGCCTCTTCCTCGACCACCTTGGCCGCCAACACCTACATATCCCGATGTTGATGTAGAAGTAGCCGAGGCTGAGGAGGGTTGTCTGGTCAAGCGACTGGATGCTGTACCAACTCTACCCCTGAGTTTCGAGCCGCGCACTGCAGGTGGCGGAGCAGTCTTTTTCTTTCTTCTTCCNTCAGCACGCCTCTGAGCAGCCTCTCTCCTAGCTTGTTCCTCGGCAGCACGTCTCTCAGCCTGTTGTTGACGCATATACGATTCGTTCTCGATATCTTGCAAGTCTTGAGTCGCGCCTTGCCAGTTCGGGTTCAGGAGCAGGCGTTGGTTGTGTTCGGTCTGAGAGAGAATGCGCGTCCAAGTGTCGAGAAGGGTCGAGGCCGAGTGCACAGTACGATTGACGTTCTACCAAGTGTTAACAGCAGTACGGAATGCGCGAGACAAGGCAAAGCATACATCCATGTTGCCCTTTGCTTTCTCTAGACTCTGAACGACGTCCTCGATGACTTTGTTGATTTGTCGCACACTGTCCAACTCTTTACGCAAAGCAGCTTCACGCGACTCGGATGTTTCTGGTCGAGGCGCGCTGGGTTTGGAAGGTGTCGGGCCCAGATCGATGTCCATATCGTAGTCAATATCTTCGTCCTCGTAGGGAATTCCGTCGTACTGTTCGTCTACGTCGTCCAAGCGCAATGCGCCCATATCTGGAGGTTGTGGCATGTTTGGCTTGGGATAGTCACGATGCTGCGAAAGTCAAATGGAGAATTGGTATGGCGCCAAATCAAGGTGTTTGATTGCTTGTTTGCACTGTTAATGTTTACTTCGGCCTGTCTATGACCTAATCCTCCACCACAGGAAATATCCGCACAAACATTGGTAACCTGAAGGTAGTTTACCAGCTAGTTTACAATGCCATTTCGATGGAGTCTCTCTTTTCCCATTGTCAGTATCCGTCTGTAGCATCCCATAGCATTGAGCATAGCGACCAGGAAGGAGCGGAAAATGCCGCGATGCGTGCACGGTCCATACCTGCCACTTCCCAGCCACCGCGTTTCGCTCAGAAGTCGGAAGGAACCACCGAACGATGCCAGGGATATCGTGACATCCGCGCTTGCACAACTGCACAACCTCACCGCATCCCGTCCTTGTCTAGTTTACCATCCTCATTGCCCGTTTGTATATCCATACAGCTCTTACCGCGACCCTCTTCTTGGATACCCACATCGCTATACAACTCGATACCACGCGCCTGCGCATCGTCGCGCCCTTCTCGTGTTTCGTCGCGTCCGACTTTGTTGTTGTCGACAAAGACCAAAGTCTCAAGCTTGCCACGGAGTCAGGGTCATCGTCAGGACGATAGAGTCGTCCGCCTTGGACAATTGAGTCGTCCGTCTCGACAATCGTGTCGTCGTTTGTTGTCGACCCAAGACACGTCCAGCTTTCACTCGCACCGCCGCCATGATGAGAGACGCAACAACCCCTCCTCCACCCTCGTCGCGACTTCGCACTCCTCCAACACCCAAGCACGGTGCCGGATACCATTCCTACGACCCGTACGAGCCCAGAAGGTCCCAGAGAGTTCAGCGCCTGCACAACATTCACGACAAGGTCTCCCACTCCTCGTCGTCACGCAAGTCGACTCTCCAGCGCACCTCGTCAACACAAACCCTCTCGCCTCCTTCTTCCCCTGCTGTCGACCGACAAGAACCACAACAAACACCTGCCAGACCTACTCCCGTGCGTCAATCGCTATTTACGCGCAACAGACCTACCAACACACCCAACATCAACTCCCTCTTCGACGTCTTCGCACCTCAACCACAACTTCCCACACCCGCATCCATGCTGCCCACTCCCGACAAGACCCCTTACAAGCGCGACCCCAACGCCATGCAGACCACCGCGCGCATCCTCAACTTCAAGCCTGTCAGCACTCAGTCGGTCATGCACACCCCACGCAAGAAGGCCAAGTCGCGTCTCACCCTTGACGACGACGATGCCGTCCATGAGNAGGTCAAGGTCTTTACCGACATCCAGGATCGTGTGCCCACCGTCGACAAGACCGAAGACAACCCGTTCATCGGTCCCAGAAAGACCAGAGCTCGCACTCGCGCTCAGACCGCTCCCTCATCTTCAACCGATGTTGACATGGAGGACGCCCACGCTGACGACGACAATGGCATCCTTTACGTCTTCCGTGGCAAGAAGGTCTTCCGTCGCTTCGAGAAGTCTACTGATGAGCCTGCCGACTCGGATGCTTCCACTGGTTCAAACAACAGCCTGAAGCGTCAGGCCGGCGCCTCTGCTTCTCGCCCCTTGACTCGCTCCTCCCTCAAGCCTCGTCTTCTCTGGCCAAGCGCTAACAGCGATGGCGACGCTGATGAGGAGGCTCTGACCGACATTGACGAGGATAACATCCCTTCAATCAACTCGGCTCCCTTCGGCGCTTTTGTCCAGCCTACCAAGACTCCTTCCGAGAAGGCTGCTGCTCACCCCGCCACTCCTCCTTCGTCTCACCGCCAGACCCGCTCGGCCGCTCAGCAGGTTGCCATCTTCGCCGACCCTCACAACGAGTTTAACCGTGCTCTTGCCTCACCCTCAGTCACTCCCATGCCTCAGAAGGTCGTCTCTGGCCCTCTCTTTGCTGGCTGGCCTCGCAGCAAGAATGCTGAGGAGAAGGCTGCTCGTGGTGAGAAGCGTCACCGCACTACCATGTCTGAGCCCGAAATGCCGACCAAGCGCACTCGCTCCAACCTCTTCACTTCTGACCGTCCTTGAACGACTTTCCTGTCTATGGATTCAACCTCGTTTCATCAGCTCCACTTCACTTCTTTAACGCATCGTTCTTCCTGTTTCTCAGTCTTCTACTTTCCTTCTGCATGGCATGACGCAAAAAGCGTAGGGAACCTGGGAGTTTATGGTTTTACTCAATGGGGGTCTGATGTTTCTTTACATCCTGTCTCTTCTGCATGGTTTGGCGGCGTTCACGAAAACTACGCATGGCATTTCTGCACCTGACATCCTTCCACATGATACATGTTGTCCACGAGGAGGATGTTTTCTTTGTTTACTGTCATGTTTTCTCTGCTTTTCTCAGATATCCACCGCCTCTGCCTGTGCGGGTCGAGGGGTTTAGATAGTCTACAAGACCGATCCTGTACTATACCCTGCCCTTAAGGCATACAGAGATCTTGTGTCACGAAATGAAATCCACAATTGTGTTGAACATAGCCTGTCATTTCTCTCCTGTCTTGCCTGGCTGTACTCTGGCTTGTTGTTTACTTGCTCAGAAAACGAGCGGAATCCGAGCGTTCCTAAGCTCCTTGCCCATAATGACCTTGACTTGGTCCTTCGTGGGGTTGCTCCCGTGCTCTGTTAGCCTCCTCGAGCCTGTAAGAGAGTATGCGGTTCCAATCGTCGGCATTCCCATCCGCGTCTTTGTCGTCATGCTTGTCTTCTTCTTGCGACTTATCTTCCCTCACATTGTTGATCGGGGCTTCATTCTCCACTTCTCTCATGCCCATGCTGTTCTGCTCTAACCTAGCTGCGGCAGCGGCACGACGCACATCAAGATCAGCTCGGGCAGAGATACTCGAGGCAATCGTAGCATTGCGCCGTTTTCTTGACCGTTCTTGTTGTCCTTTTCGCCACTCCGCAGGCCCGACCTCCTGCACATCTGGTCCCTCGCTGCTGTCGCGTCGACGTTTGTGAGAGCTTGTGTTGGGAAGAGTTGTGGAAGGCCACTGTGAAAGGCTGTCAGGCCACTGTGGTTGCACGTGTCTGACAGGTTGAGGGGCATGCACTTGGTCGATAGAGTAGTTTGAATGGCTGGTCGTCCCATGGGTTCTTCTCTGGTTGTCAGCTGCTGCTACGTGAGTGTACTGCAGCATTGTGCCCGAGGCAGGAATCTCCTGAGCAGACGGCATCGAAGCACCAGGTATATTGTTGTCCAGGTCTAGGTCCCAGTTCTCTGCCGGAGGTTGTATCATGGCAGGTAGAGTAGTGCTGTGTGTAGGATGTTCAGCGGGATAGGGTTGCGGATAATCATTGCTGTGAGCGAATCCACCAGGTCCTGGAACAGGATATGGTTGAGCGAGGCCGCTGTCTTGTGCATTGGTTTGTCCACCAACATATTCGAGATTTTGGTTCACTGCTGAATTGAGATTTGCTGAGGGAGTCTCCCATGATGGAGCAAGATTAGAGACCCGCAAACGCGGATTTGTAAGGTCGTTGGCTTGACTATTGTGTTGCTCGGTCGGTAGCATCTGATTATAGACTAGTTCTTGGTTATACGCTGCCCTCTGGATCCTCACTGGTCCTTGACCATAGGCTAGTTCCTGACTGTATGCTGATGAACGCCAGTGAGACGTACAATCGAAATTTCCGAGCCCAGCCATCATTCCCATATGCATCGGCAAAGAGTGTGGTTGTGGATAGCGGATGGCAGATGAGCCCTGAGGCGTGAAAATCGATGAAGAGTCGTCCATGCTGGGTTGTGGTTCATCTCCCTGCATCTGTTGAGGCCCGCCAGATGATTGATGACTCGTTCCTTGAGCAGGTGGCTGTCTGAACAAGCTCGTCATCCTCGAGGCAGAACTGGCAATTCGATCATCGTCAGAGGTAGGTCCCCCTGTCCTGGACGTCTCGGGAGGCTTTGGGGCAATTGGTTGAAGTGGACGATCAGCCATGTGGGCTTTACGTGGAACCCCTTTGGAGGGCATGTTGATATTAGATACGAAGCACAGATGTCTTGGCTTATAACAATGCCCGATGCGAGTTGCTGCTAGATAAATCACGCTATGTTCCTTGAAGACCAGCTTTGTGACACTAGGAAAGAAAACTTCAGACGTCAGATGCGAATCTATCAACTTCGTTATGAGTCGAAGCCATGTGGCGATTCGGCTACAAGAGAATCCTTGACTCACCTGGTGAGACCAGTAAACTAGCTCGTGTGGATAACTTGCTCCACTAGAGAGCTCGTGAGGTTAAGAATAATATGTTGTTGTTGTTGATGATGATGATGATGAGATGTCAAGCGAGAGTGACGAAGAAACTAGGTGTACGACGCGCACACTGATCGTACCTTCCATCACTGCATCTTACACATCTTCAGTAGGTCGAGGAATCCATACCGTACTTGAGGCGCGTACTGGAGGACATCGCGAAGTACAGATGCGTTGATTCTGATGAGACCGAGATAATGTTCGTTCTTTGTGGACGATCATGCACAATTGGTTGAACTGAACATCTCGATGCCTAGCTGTATCAGTATACGCCCGTCGATGAGTTTCTCTCTCTCATTCTTGCCGTAGTCCGCGAAAGTCACCAGGCGGTAACAGCTTCATGTTGTCGTGTGAACCAAACTTGATATCGAACAGGCTAGGCTCAACATGGCCGGCGCATGCTGCCATGGGACATTTCAGAACAGAACAAGCAAACTGGACTGTTCTTTGGGCATGTCTTCTTTTTATCCAGATGGCTTATACCGCGATCTGGAGGAGAATTACGGGCTTTAGCTGGTTCAAGACCATTCGGCACCTTTCAAGCCGCAAAGGCAAGTTTGTAGATGCTGCAAGCGATGACACATCGATGTATGATACGAGCTCTCTTCTGAAGAGAAAACACATCAAATGCCCATTATCGTGGTCATGGTAGCAAGCAAAGAAGAGAAAGCACCTGGCAGGTGCAGCCTCAGACATGCCCACGATTTTGCCGACAGACACCAAGCCCGATTGGGAGCGCGCCTTCCGCCTCTAACTTTTGGCAGCGACCTCCACCCGACTACATTCATTCTTTTCAATGGAACAGCAACATGCATCAAATACTGTGCCGCCAGCACCTGGTTCTCCGGCTGTGCCCTCAAAAGAACAAGCTCTGAAGTCACTGGCTGAAGGTGATAGTGGCGATGGCTCTATTTTTCAGCAGCTCACAAGCAATCCATTTTTTACTGCAGGCTTTGGCCTGGCAGGTCTCGGTGCTGCATTGAGAATTGGCCAACAAGGCCTGAGAAGAGGAGGAGAGTTACTAAAGAGACGTATGCTGGTTGATCTTGAGATTACTCGACATGATGAGTCTTATCCGTGGGTTCTTAATTGGATGACACGGCAATATCAAAAGTCGCTTTCGGAAACCGCTGAGACTGTGTATGTGAAATACTTTATATCACTTCTCGATTGATGCTGATTTCGATAGGNNAAACCTGGCATGGTGGAAGCTCTTATACGACGCTTCACACCAGGTCTGCATCATCTTCAAATCAAGACAGCAAGTCAGAAGACTCCTGGTGGAGCTTCTCATACACACTTTTCTCTGGTTCCTGGACACGGAAAACACATCTTGAGATTCAAGAATGCCTTCATTGCAGTTGATAGACAGCGCGAGGGAAAATCTTTCGACGCTCAAGGCCAACCGTTCGAAACCATCAAGCTCACCACATTATATGCACACCGTCACATCTTTGAGGACATGTTCTCCGAAGCTCACTCTCTGTCTATGCAGAGCATCGAAGGCAAGACTATGGTCTACACTTTGCGGAATATGACCTGGATGCCTCTGGGAGATGCCAAGCGCAAACGACCTTTCGACTCTGTTGTTCTGGAGGAGGGTATGGCAGAAATGATCAGGGATGATGTACGCGAGTTCTTAAATGCTCGAACTTGGTACCTCGACCGCGGCATTCCATACCGCAGAGGCTACCTTCTGCATGGTCCACCTGGAACTGGAAAGACGTCGTTTGTACAAGCATTGGCCGGAGAATTGGATTTCAACATCGCCATGCTCAGTTTGAGTCAACGTGGGTTGACGGATGACTTGCTCAACCAGCTGATGCTCAACTTGCCCCCACGTACATTTGTCCTTCTCGAAGACGCAGATGCAGCTTTCAACAACCGAAGACAGCGCGATGAGGATGGTTTCAGCGGAGCCACTGTCACTTTCTCCGGTCTGCTCAATGCTCTTGACGGCGTTGCTAGTGCAGAGGAACGTATCGCCTTCATGACAACCAATCACATCGAGCGCCTTGATGATGCACTTATCCGTCCGGGACGCGTAGACATGACATTACGTCTGGGCGAAGCGACACTGTGGCAGATGGAGCAAATGTGGGACAGATTTTACGCACATCAAGACCCCGACGGTAGCAAGAGAACTCTGTTCATCGAGCGCGTCGAGCAGTATGGTCTGGTGAACTCTGTCAGCACGGCCGCTCTGCAAGGACTGTTTCTATACAACAAGGATGACCCTGACGGCGCTGTGAATATGGTTGGGCAGCTACTTATGGCAAAGACACCAACTATGGAAGTGCCCAAGAAGAATTAGACTGCAAGTAGCATGTAGAAGTGTACGATACGTTTGTTGAAACTCTGAGCCAAAGTCTCTAGTTGGAAACGCTTTCTTTTTCCGCGCATGCCTCCTGTGAAAGACGGCTGTTTGTCTTTTCTGGAAACCCATGCGCTGTCTACGGCATTGGATCAAGGTGATGACCAATGGCTTGCAAGAATGTATAAGAATACAGAAACAGCATCAGACAAGTTCACTCTACGCCTTGAGACGAAGACCTTGCATATCCTCCTGTGCGTCCTTGATCAAGAAGCTAGAGAGATCAACATTAGCATCGCACACGCTCATAGTCTGTATAAAGTCAACGAAAACTCACCTGTACCACCATAGCGTAGGGAAGATCGTCATCATGTGCCACAAACTATGGGCATCCACTGCACCCCACCAAGGCGGGAAATCGAACAACTCTAGACTCATCGCCAGGATGACCCAGGCGACAATGAGACCAGGCCAAGCTGCCCACATGCGTTTCGTCTTCTGGTATCTGCTGATACTGAACCAACTCCAGATGAGGTTTTGGATGATACCCACCGCGACATTGGCAGCCATGTTGTAGGTATAATCGAAGCGCCAGAACGACAGATAAGAAACATGAGCGAGGTATAGCAAAATGCAGAGCGAGGTCCAGGCTCTAAGCACACTAGACCGTTTCGGTGTGTTCTTGTCCAAACGGAACACCCTCACCACAGACAAAAACAAGCCATAGAGAACTGATGCACCAGCACCAAAGTAATCCAGCTTCTCTGTAATTGGGAAGTCTCTCGTGTGGAACACGCAACTGAAGATCCAACTCGCAAGCCCAAAGTATCCAAAGCCAAGGTAGAACTTCCTCAATGGATAACTTGCTGGGATCTTCTCTCGCAGGACTTTCATGCCGTGGTCATGAGCCAAAAAGTTGAGGAGTGAGAAGACGACAGATGCGGGCTCTTGCGCTCCGGCGTATCTTTCAAACGGCCATTTGCCATGGAATTGAAGGATTGGTTCGCGGTAAGGAGGCTCTCGAGCGAGACGGGTGTCGGTGACAATGTGCTGGCAGGAATAGTCGCATTCGGAGGGGCAGTCCCAGAAGAGGAGGCGGTGCTGGAGTGCTNNGTTGGATTGGCTTTGTATGAGCGTCTGTTGTTGCTTGCATCTTGTGTCCTTTTGTCCTTGCTCTTTCTTGTCTCGCGTGGATGGGATCGTGAGTCAGGGCTTACAGATCGGTGGACCGCCGGGTACGCAATTAGTCGCGGTACATGTCNNTGTGATGCTCGTGTTAGCTAGCAGCTCGGTGCACATATGATACAGCTTCTGTCGCAAGTGGGTTATTCGTACCTTGACGCATTCTTTGAAGTCTGGTAAACGGTCGCCCAACGACGCGCTGACTGTCGTAGCTAGAGCTACCACCACAGCAGCTCTCAGTGCGTTGTCTCGAAGATGCATGTTGGTGTATCTGACATGCTTTGGCAACTCCTGAGATTCATACCTACTCGTGCTGAGGCTTACAGATCGCGCATAGGTCTATAAATTATTCAAACGACACATTTTTCATAATTGGGCGTCTGGCGCAGTGGTAGCGCGTCTGCTTTGCATGCTGAAGGTCTAGGGTTCGATCCCCTAGTCGTCCATAGCTTTTGTTCTTTGTGTGGACATGTTCTCTCCTTTTGCGGATTGCAGGAAGAGGGAAAACAACAAGCTACACGTGGGCTGTTTAGCCAGAAAGCTGCAAGATTGTGGTGAACAGTGAGAGGGTCTTCTGTACCACGGTAGGGGTCCACTGACGTCTAGAAGTCTTTCTGAAGGAGACGTCCCCATGTCGATCTCTCGATCATGACGTCTGCTGATTATCTGCCAGAGGAACATCAGCTACTTAACTGTTCGAGGAGGCTCTTCTTTTGACTATCATACACCATACCAAGTCAAGAATCGGATCAACAAACATGTCGTTTACTCAGTCTTCGCAAGGCACTCATGCCACCAGACAGGCCACGCCAGAGGAACAGAAGTTCATCACCGACATCCTCAAGCTGTACCAGTGCGAGCCCAACGAGCAGAGCTATACCCACTACGCAGAGAGTGCTGTCTTCCACGACCCTGTCAGCATAGCCAAGGGCAAGCAGAGTATCATGTCTCAGTTTAATGGCATGCCGAAAATCTTTGCGCGTAGCGACACCAAAGGTCCGTCGTTCGCAGCTCCCATCACGAGGACAATCCTTACTAACATGTCTGCAGAGATCGCAGTTCTGGCATCGTCAACGCCCTCTGAGCTGCAGCTGAACCTGACACAACACTATGTTTTCAAGTCGCCGATTCCGTTCAAGAAGGAAGGTACCGAGAAGACTGTCAACAGCAAGTTGACATTTAAGCTCAACAGTCAAGGACTGATCGAAGAGCACATTGAAGAGTGGGACCACGAGACCAACCAGACGGCCGACGATGGTTTCATAGGCAAGCTCCAGGAGCAACGCAAGAAGATGGATGCAAAGATCGTCGAGGCGACAGTCTCGAGCGATCCCTCCAAAGCATAATGAGGGACGAGGGCTCGGACATATCCACGAATATGCTTATGAAATTATGAATATATACCAGCTCGCAAGTATAATGACCATATCCATTGTTGAGAACACGAATCCATACCTATTTGCGAGCGCAAGGCTTCAAGCAAATCACATGTCAGGATGAGGGGCACGCCTTTGCGATGACCGGCAGCTTATGCATCCGGACTGCCGAAGTTGGTGCCTGGCGTATGGACGTGACCTATCCGGAGCTCAACACGAGGTCGTGATTAGTAGAACAATCCGACAATATATGCTGGCTGCAAAATATTGTCATAGAACAGAGTGCTATTAGTGGTAATGAAACAGCGGATACGGGATACGGCGAGTGAGGGGTTGCTTGAGAGCTCCCAGCTGTGCCAAGTTTGGAGTCGCAGCTGCAATGAGATGCAAGCCGACGTCTGACTGAATCGCCAGCACGCGGGTGTGTCGGGCTGCTATGCACGATATACTACAGGTTAGAAGATCGGTAGTCTCGTTCGTGGGCGTGGAGTATCTCGGTGGTATTCGACAAATGCAAGCTGTTCGGCAGTACAAAAAAAGCGCCAAGGATTTTGTGACGTAGACAGATGTTTAGCCCTCGGAAGAGCAGGAACAAACAAGGGATGGTCAGGGAACTGCTCTTCTGAAGATACGTAACAGGGCCACGTTGAGTGACGACGACAGATATCATTCGTCTTCCTGTTTCAGAGAGGTCAGATAGAAGACACCGAACACAAGTGACAGCAACAAAGCACGAATCAACAACTTGGTAGCCTTACCGACGGCGTTGTGCACAGATCCTTCTTCTAGCACCGGAGTGACAAGGGGACATTAATAAAATACGACCATGGTTCTTGGACATTCGCATAGACGCCATTCGGCTGCTAGTTCGTACAAGTTTTTCACCCTCACAAGATGACTCTGGGACTGAGAAGAAACACCGCAGGCAACCGATCGTCTGTCGAGGGCGACCGTCCAGACACGACCGCCGACGATGAGACGGTCGTTGACCAGGACCAGGGCAATGTCCTGTCGCACATCATCAGCCAGCTGCGACCAGGCGCCGACTTGAGCAGAGTCACGCTGCCTACCTTTATCCTCGAGCCGCGATCTATGCTCGAGAGAATCACAAACTTCATGGCACACCCTGAGATCCTCCTTACTCTGCCTGGCATCGATGACCCCGTCGAGCGCTTTGTCGCCGTCACCAAGTTTTACCTCAGTGGATGGCACATCAAGCCTCCGTAAGTGTCTCTCTGTTCTCTCTTCGCTCTAGCAGCAGCTAACACACATGCAGCGNGTGTCAAGAAGCCCCTCAACCCCATCCTCGGCGAGACCTTTACCGGATACTGGGACTACCCGGACAACACGCGTGGATACTACATCTCGGAGCAGACTTCTCACCACCCTCCCAAGTCGAGCTACTTCTTCATGGCCCCCGAGCACCACATCCGTGTCGACGGCACCCTGAAACCACGCAGCAGATTCTTAGGCAACTCGGTTGGCAGTTTCATGGAGGGCATTGCAGTCATGCGTCTCATGAACCGCAACGAGCGATACTTTATCACACAGCCCAACATGTATGCCAGAGGTATCTTGTTCGGCAAGATGAAGTACGAGCTCGGTGACCACGCCTACGTCCGCTGTCCCGAGCTGGGTCTGGAAGCTGAAATTGACTTCAAGGTCAAGGGCTGGATGACTGGAACATACAACGCTATTGGCGGCCATATCAAGGACACCAAGAGTGGAAAGAACCTCTTCGAGTTCAGCGGTTACTGGGATAAGGAGATGTACATCAAGAATCTGACAGTAAGCTGCCTCTACTCTCCGATAGAGTACATACAGATGCTAACATACAGCAGANCCGGTAAGAAGGAGCTCATTTTCGATGCCACCCACGCAAAACCCTCGTACCCCAAGGCCCGTCCCCTCGAGGAGCAAGGAGACCGCGAATCGCAGAGACTATGGGACAAGGTCACCAAAGCCATCAAGGTGGCCGACCAAAGGGTTGCTACCGATGAGAAGTCCTTCATCGAAGATCGCCAGCGTGCAGAGGCTGCAGAACGTGGAGAGCACGGAGAGTGGCACCCCAAACTCTTCCGTGCAACAAGAGCTGGTGCAAGCCAGGGTCCAGGCGATATGGACGGCGAGGAGAACCTCGACTGGGTCATTGATGCCACCATGTGAGTTTTCTCTTCACCTTAGCACCTGCTCGTACCATTTACTGACTGGTGTAATTCTAGTGACGGCAAAACACCCGATGAGATTGTAAAGCAGGTCCTCGCCATCGCACCCATTCTACCAGGTCAANAAGCCCAAGCCCAGGCACAACCTCGGGCTCAGGCTCAAGCCCAGCCTCAACCTCAGGCACAACCTCAAGTACAGGCACAACCTAGACAAGAGACTGCTCAAGCAACTCCTGCACCTGCCGCCATACCCCAGCCACAGTCTTTCCAACAGCTCCAGATGAACCAACCAATTCAACAGTCGCAACCAGCACCATCATCGGGACCCAGCAACCTTGTAGACTTTGGCCATGCAGGTGGTGTCGCCCCCAGCCAACCGGCTCAACAACACACCTCGCCTCTGAACACCATGGGCGACCTCAAGGAGCCATTGCAGCCCGTCATTCACCGTCAAGATAGCGTCGAAGGTATCGACGAGACTTTCCACGATGCCGATTCATAGACATACCAAGATTTGCGATGGCTGGAAGTACGGTTGCCGTACATTGTGTCAAAACGATGATGACATAGGAGGGGGCATTGGAGGATGTGTCTTCTACGAATTAACTCTATTGTCACGTTTTTCTTTTCCTTTAACAGCTTTTCTCTCATAAGTACCCAGAAGTGTTTTTTTCCTTCAACAGATGAAACAACAAGCCTTTTGCCTTTATGGTCCGGTCCATTCGATCGAATCCAAAAAAAAATCAACAATCCTTTCCTCCTTTTATCGTGATAATCTACACAACACTACGGTGCTCGTTGCATGCTAATGGCCATGGAATTCAAACGTAAGAGGACAGAGAAGTAATTGATAAATAGTAGACAGCTCTGAGCTACAGAGATCACTCGCCTTCTCAAATATGAGACTGTTCCGCTCAAGACCACATTATTCGCATATGGTTCCTCAAGGTATATTGAGCATGGGCGTGGGTTGTGAGAGGCAGCAGAAAGAATAATGGAGCCAATAGAGCTTTTCATGGAGGCAGAAGAGAGAGTGTGTGTAGATATGGTTAGGGATATCATAGGTGCTGAGGTGGATGCAGAGTGGGGGATTTACCTTGGTGGTAATCTGGGTAATCACGTCTTGTTAATCTATTGAGTAGCTTCGACTTTGATGTCTGCGTCCATAATGTCAAAGTCGAGATGTGGTCTTGAGTGAAGAGCATTCATGTCAATCCGAAAGGCGGGGTATCAACAAGCACCAACGAGGGAAAGATTTCATGTCAAGGTGGAAAAATGCACTTTTGCTTTGTTTTCATGTATCAAAAACTAGTAGAGTGCTTCAAGGGTTTGGATTAACTTGATCCTCCTTCCTCTGTACAAGGGGTTCATGTCTCGTATTCTATTTTGCCAAGTCAAAGACGCTTTGGGTTCAACGACACGCTTAGAGCTCGCCAGCGGCGGAGATGGTGGGGGAGAACCGCCGCCCTTGNATGGCGCCAGAGCTGGAACCGCAAGCCTCGATGGACTTGATGACGGACATGGAGGCGGTGTCACCGGAGGGGACCTGGCCGAAGACGACGTGACGGCCGTCGAGCCAGCTGGTGACGACGGTGGTGATGAAGAACTGGGAGCCGTTGCTGTGATGTCACGTTAGCTGTGTCAATGCTTGATGGTGGATGAAAACATACGTGTTAGGGCCGGCGTTGGCCATGGAGAGCATGAAAGGCTTGTTGTGGGTGAGCTTGAAGTTCTCGTCGGCGAACTTCTCACCGTAGATGGACTTGCCACCGGTGCCCNNTGGGATGCATTGTCAGTCTTGCAGGACGATTGGTAGTTGACAAAAGTCACTCACGTTGCCACGGGTGAAGTCACCACCCTGGAGCATGAAGTCAGGGATGACACGGTGGAACTTGGAGCCAGAGTAGCCGAAGCCCTTCTCGCCAGTGCAGAGAGCACGGAAGTTCTCGACGGTCTTGGGGACGACGTCGTCGAAGAGCTCGAAGTTGATGCGGCCGGAGCGCTCTGTTTGACGTTAGAAGTGAATTGAGTGAGGTCTGCAGTCGACGGTGGACGTACGCTTGATCTCGCGGTCGGTGTTGGTGGGCTTGCCGTTGCCATCAACGTTGACCTGAGGACCGGTCCAGGTGCAGTCGAAGTAAACCTTTTGAACCATGTTGGCGGATGAAGCTGAGAAAAGTCTGCTTTGTTGTTTGAATGAGTTGTTGATGAAAGTGGTTGGGGTCTTTCGGAGTGAGAACATGTGGAAAGAAGTGTGGAAGAAGAGCTAGAAGTGGCGGGGCAACAAGAAACCCCTCGTTTTGGTGACCTCAGAAAACTCCACCCTTGCTCCGAAGAATTACCGTCATTGTGTTTCACTAAGGCTCTGACTGCCTGTGACAGTATCAGGCTGTTCAGATATCTCCAAGCTTCACTTTGCACCTACTCGAGTACATCAGTGTCAAATCGGTGAAGCCACCCATGCAGAGCTTCTTGTTCAACGCATCAAAGCATGCAGCTCTTCCACGCCGCAGCTTCGAAGCTTAGCTCATCACCGAGAGGGGGAGCTAAGCCACCATGCACAGACAGACGTCCTTCACACCTGTGAACAATTGGCACTCGTATGAACCCGAATACCCCCAGATCTAGTATCACAACAAGTCATTGAAGTTGTCCCGAAGCTCTGTATGGTCGAGCGCTGCCACTGATGTCCCCAGTAAAAGTCGATGACGCAGTTTTTGCAGGCAGGGTTGTACCATCAGCATGAAATTTGTACTTTGAAATTGGTATTGACAAAGCATTTCTCTGTTTGAGACTCTGTAACTTCTATACGGATAACATGGGTCTATAAGGCATGAGATAATCGGTATGTGCAGGCAGATATGGCGTGGGGAAGAGAGCAATGAGGAACATCTGAAGCATGTAAGATCTGTCCATGAATCTCACTGATTGAACATGCAATCGGCCATTGACAAGATTGTCAAGTCGCACGCAATTTCGAGAGTGTATCAGACAACCCAGATTACTGCCTCGTATGCTCATATCTGTCTGTAGTCCCAGCTCGCATTGATATGAGAGGACGATGAGTGCATCCATTGTCTCCACGATGAATTTGATGCCAACATGTATAGAAGCACATGGTGGCTTTGTTGGCGTTGACAACACTTGGCATCTCCGTCGAATCCGGGGCTGCCGCTGCGACGTCAATAAGTCGAGCGCGACCAGCAGCGTGTCACTTCCAGATCGAACAGCAATATCACACCAAGTTCCGGCGCAAGATGGATTTCGAGAGCTTGAAGAGTCAGGTCAGCAATCTGACACTTTACGACCTGAAGGCAGGCGTTCGTAAAGTGCAGAATGGTATGTTTGTGGTATAGCGACCAGTTCAGGAGGCTGGGCACTAACGCGCGGTTANNGCTGTCATGAACTACACAGAGATGGAGTCCAAGGTTGGCCGAATGTTCATTTGCTATCTGAATACCATTGTTGACTAGAGTCCAGNNGTTCGAGAAGCCACCAACAACGAACCCTGGGGAGCATCCACCACCATGATGAATGAGATTGCCGCTGGAACCTTCAACNTAGTACGACTCCAGCATGCGCCGGTGCCCATGTTCTCCCGTTTCTGACTAGGCTACAGTCAAATCCTCAACGAGATCATGCCCATGATCTACAAACGCTTCACCGAGAAGACGGCAGAGGAATGGCGACAGATCTACAAGGTGAGTTCGACGGCTACACCTCTTAGAACATGTCTAAACCACGACAGGNCCCTTCAATTGCTCGAATTCTTGATCAAAAACGGCTCCGAGAGAGTCATCGACGATGTCCGATCCCACCTCTCCCTCATCAAGATGCTGCGCCAGTTCCACTACATCGACCAGAACGGCAAGGACCAGGGCATCAATGTCCGCAATCGATCAAAGGAGCTCACCGAACTTCTCAGTGATGTCGACAGAATTCGGTCTGAGCGTAAGAAGGCAAGACAGAACAAGAACAAGTACAGCGGTGTTGAGGGTGGTGCCGGTCTTGGAGGCTCAATGTCCACCTCCAGCAGCAGATATGGCGGCTTCGGCAGCGAGTCTGCTCCTGGAGGCTACGGCGGAGCTACAAGACAAGTCTACGGCGATGGCGGTGGTTTCGGAGGCGAGACGGTACAAGACGACTGGGAAGAGCGAAGCCAGAGCCGCAGCAGGGGTCAAGACCGATTTGACGAATACGACGAGTACGACGAGGGCACATCAGCAGCACCACCAAGAAGAAAGGCAGAGCCCTCAAGAAGCGGAACCAAGACATCAACAGCAGCAGCAAAGAAGCCTGAACCTCCCAAGCCCAAGGAACCCGAGGTTGACCTTTTCGATTTTGGAGACGAGCCATCCTCGATTGCAGCCCCTGCCATGCCTGCCATGTCCTCCAACGGCAAGCAGCCAGCTGATGACGGGTTCGGTGCTCTCCAGTCTGGCGGTGTGGACGACGATGACTTTGATGACTTCCAATCTGCTGCCCCAGCTGCTGCTGCTCCTGCTCCAGCACTTGCAGCAGCTTCCAAGCCCAACTACACTCCCAACTACACAGCGATCGCACCTCCTGTCTCTGCCGCCACACCCAACACTCAATTCGCACAGCCTCAACCAAGACAGGGCACTAACAACGCTGCCTTCAGCAATCTCTTCTCCACCACATCACCAGTCACCGGCGCAGCAGCACCACCGCCTCAGAACATTGCATCGCCAATGTCAGCAACTCAACCACGTGCAGGTGGCTTCCAGAATGCACAGCCCAACTACTTCACATCTGTCAGTGCCACCCAGTCACAGCCGGCATCGACAGTGGCATCTCNNCCCGGTGTCAAGTCGCCAATTGGAGGTGCTCCCAAGCCCAAGGCTAGCGGTGACGCCTTTGCGACTCTCTTGTCTGGCACCAACCTCAAGAAGTCGGGCACCCCCGGCAACAAGGGACCTACCATGGCAGACATGGCCAAGCAAAAGGCCAGCGCTGGTATCTGGGGGACAACAAGCTCGTCTAGTCCCGCTACACCATCTGCTCCTCAGTACGGCGGCCAGAAGACTGGCGGAGCTATGGATGATTTGCTTGGATAAACAAGTATGTAGATGAACGATTGAAATGCGTTATAGCCAGAGGGAGGAGCAGAAAAGGGAATCCAACAGACTGTGACTTTTCGACGTGATGAATACAACAAGCATTTGCATAGATTTATTATTCTACAAGTCAAGTCGCAAAGTGAAGGAGACGAGAAGTCGTGGTTTCCTAATTTGGATTGGGGTCGGAGAAGGCGCGGCAAGTGCCGCCGACGCACAGAATTTGTGCGGGCTGGCGATTTCTCGACTGTGGCCTCGGCGTAGACTCATTCGACCAGCAACGAAGCGACACCCTCTCCTTCAACTCCCCACCGTTCATACTAATAAACAGTCAAAATGGGTCGCGGGTATGTGTGCAACGAGCTACGGCGACTGCGAAATGACTGAAGAAATGCTGACATCTTCCACAGCCGTGGTTCCACCTCCGGTAACAAGCTGAGAATGACCTTGGGTCTGCCTGTGTACGTCGAAAAGAAAACTCTTCACCTCCTCCATCATCAGCGCATCGCTATGCCTCCCGAACGCTCTCGCAATCGTCCTCCGATCACTCCTTGAATTCGTCGAACAATCACACACGATACGCCCGAACATGCACAACTTCGAATATGGAAAAGAGAGAAACATGCGGCTAACACGAATTTCTCCACAGCGGTGCCGTCATGAACTGCGCCGACAACTCTGGCGCCCGTAACCTCTACATCATCTCCGTCAAGGGTATTGGTGCCCGCCTCAACCGTCTCCCCGCCGGTGGTGTTGGTGACATGGTTATGGCCACCGTCAAGAAGGGAAAGCCTGAGCTCCGCAAGAAGGTCATGCCCGCCGTCATTGTCAGACAGTCAAAGCCCTGGAGACGCGCTGACGGTATGTTCCTCTACTTCGAGGACAACGCCGGTGTCATTGTCAACCCCAAGGGTGAGATGAAGGGTTCCGCCATCACCGGCCCCGTCGGAAAGGAGGCCGCTGAGCTTTGGCNNCCGTAAGAGATATTCCAACCCGGACACGCAAGGGAGACACAAGACTAACACCTACTTTAGCGTATCGCCTCCAACTCCGGTGTTGTCATGTAAATTCTCATATCAATCAAAAGAGGGTTCTACTAGACAACGTTTCACGGTTGGGGATCAAGCTGACTTCGACGAACGACTTTTGCACTCGATTTTTTCTGGGCGTTGATGTGAACTTGCACGGTCAAAGGAAAAAGAAGCGCAGGGGGGCTGTGTCGAATGGAAAAAGATGAAGGAAGCAAACATGTCAGGGCACTGCGAGACGTTTTTCCAGGCAGTGCGGCATGTCCTTTCTTAACAATCACCCGTTCTGCTCTTGAAAACCAAGAGGGTGGAAGCATGGGTTTCATGAGAAAAGCAAACAAACTTTCACCAAAAAAAACACACTTGACGTCTATCAACACGTCCCTTCTACTGGCTTGTTCATGGATTATGATGTCCACCGATGGTGATGCAGTCCTGATATTGTGAACCAGATATATGTCTTCCAGCCTTGAACACGTCGACATGATCACATTAGGTGATGTCGAGTCAAGTCGTCACGGACGCTGACCCACAGCAGCATGTCGACCAACAGTAGAAGGTCTAGACACGGAATGGAGATGAAACAGATGCACGCTTATGTAGGTATTGCATGAGGCGTGTAAACGAATGGCCAGTATCAAAGGACAAGAGGCGGTGAAATACGCTGGACCTTCTCCTTTCTTCGCATGCACCGGGTCGGAAGTGCAGTTGATAATCGCTTACAAGACGTAGATGCTGATGTGAAACGCGTGTGCTCGCACCGACTGCTATATCAAGATGTGTTTATGCATTCCTACTCGAGAGAGCATATCAAGTGGTCATGGATTACTGGAGTGAGAAACAAGAGAGCACATGCGAGGTTATGCTTTAGAGGGATGGTAGATATACTTTTGCTTTGTGGCCCGGATACGGGGACTCGTGGCATGGAGAGTGAGACAAGAGGGTCATGCTTGGCGGATGATTCGAAGCAGTGAAGAACAGAGTGGCAGATGGACAGAGTAGAAGGGAGGATGATTGCAAGGGTGGAAGAGAGTCATGGTCGGAGGGTCGGAGTGGAGAGAGGCTGTCAAATGCAAAAAGACAGGGCTTGGTGGGCTATTTTGGTCCTTCGGCCGTCAAGGACACTTTTGGCGCTTGGTGGTTCACGGGCTTTGGCTTGGGCTTGCTGTTGCTGCTGCTGCTGCTCTGTCTTCAACAACAACGACAAGCTGCCTCCCTTGTCGCTTCTCGATTCTCTGTCGGTCTGCGCATCCTGTCGCCAACTGCCCTTCTCTTCTTCTTGTCTTGTATTGCATGGTCGCATCTGATTGGAGTCTTGTCTTTTGCGTGTTACCCCCTCTTCTCTGTCTTTCGGCTCCTGCTTCGTGGGGGGCTTTTTGAAGGTTCGACAAGGGTCAGGTACTCGGGCGCTGTCACTGAGAGGACTCCGGTTGCTGGACACGCGCCTCTCACTACGACACACATCAACAATACACACACACCCACGCACTGCAGACGTGTGTGCTTAGTCTTGACAAAGCAGAGCAGAGCTTTGCCAGAGCATCCACACGCATTGAAGCGAACGCGAAGGCTTCGGAGAATTAGCGAAAAGAGCAGGGGACTTGTCTGGACACAATGACGACCAAAGTCTTGTCGTCGTCGTCAACCGACACGAATATCAGTGCACAGGCGCAGGCGCAGCAATCACGCACACACTCCCAGACCGGCCTGCTACCACCCGACACGACTCCTCCGGCACAACCATCCTCCACCACCAACAACCCCACCCTGACCACGTCCGCCAACAACGCCAACACTCCTCAGAACACCAACAACCGCCAGAGTCTCCGTCGCAGTCTCATGTCGACGCGCAGTCACACATCACAGCGCTCCAGACCCGCCTCTTCTGTCTTTCCCATCTTCCCCTCATCGCTCTCCTACGCCCTGGTCCGCGACTTTGCCTATCCTCAATTCCACCCTCTACATTTTGGTCCCTCGCCAGAGCCCGCCAGCCGTGCCTCTGACGACGCTTCCAACTTCTCTTCTAGCAGACGCCTCAGTGACCCTCCGATCGGCAGCTGGGATCCTCGTGGCTGGGGTGCAGGCCCTTGGGGTGGTGATGGCGGTGCTCACTTCGCCTCAGGCGACCAATTGCCATCTACGAGTTTTGACGACGACGCCGACGACGATGTCACGAGTACTGGCAAGTTGGCAAAGAACCACAGAAAGAGCAAGTCGGCGCACGAGGAGTCCAGGGGCAGAAGTACTACGAAACGCGGGCCGCGCAATCAAGTACCAGGACTCGACAGTCAAGGCTTCCNNTTTGCCGCTGGCCCAGACGATGATGATGAAGAGGAAGAGGACGAAGACACAGAAGACGAGAGCAACCATCACAACAAGAGCACTGGCAGCACATTGCCGGCGCACCGCTACACACACTCACCAGAAGGCCTCTTCAGCCGCCATCATGCCCGCCTCTCAGCTCTCGAGCCTCCCTTCTCGGATAGCAGCGATCCAGCTGACGCACCAGGCGGCCCTCTACACCACCTCCACGACGGCCACGCACACCGACCCACTTCAACTTCGCTGGACGAATCTTTCGCAGGCCCCAGTCTAGCCCTCTACAACTTTGTACCAGAGAACAGCAACGAGCTTGCTTTGCGCGAGGGTCAGATTATTCAAGTGGGCTATAGACACGGGCAAGGCTGGCTGGTAGCCATGGACCTCGAGTCAGGCGAGCAAGGCTTGGTGCCTGAAGAATACGTCCGCCTACTCTCCGAGATCGAGGGCTGGGGCGAACACCTCGAGGGCGTCGAAGAAGAAGGAGAAGCAGACGAACACGGCAGTTTTGAAGAAGAATTGGCACAAGAAGTGCACAATGACAGCAGAGCAAGGGACACGAATGCCAAAGCCGCCGCTGTTGCAGGAACTCAAGAGAAGAATCTGCCGGCACGGGACAAGGATGTGCGGTAACCCCATGCAGCGTTCACTCATCATTTTTGCAAAGTTTGGCGTTCGAGTTTGTTGTTGTTGTTGTTGTTGTTGTTAGCGTTTGTTTTGTTTCTGTCGTCGTTGATCGTTTTCGTGTTTTTTTTTTTTTCGAAGGAGTATACCCCCTTGTCTCTTGCAAGCCTCTTTTTGAAAAAAAAAATTGTACGTTTTCTGTTCTATCATGCATATCGCCGTGTGGTCCGTCTCTCTTGTAAAAACCCCTCCAGGTGCCTTTTGGCAGATTTGAAAAAAGAAAAAGTCTATTCCGTACTCAGAGTGATCAGGTATGTGGGTAGTGAGGCAAGTGCCTTCCTTGCTCTCGACTCCCCCTTTTTCGTACTTCTTTTTCTTGCTCCATTCGCCCCATCTCGCTTTGATTTACTTTCTCCCTATTAGTTTCGGAGAAGCATGCACTTCGATGGCACTTTTCCCTTGTCAAATCAAGAAAAGAAGAGAAGATGGCGAGCGACTAGACTCATGGTTTTGACATTTGAATAGGCAACATTCTCACTGCATACCGAGCGAGCTAGCTAACCAGTCTTCTCACTTGAAGTAAGCAGACTTTTCACCTGCTTCTTCTTCTTCTTCTTCTCCTCCAGAACTCTCGCCCTCGAGAACCTTTCTTCTGTGCCTGTAGAATCTATTTAGGCAGTCCGTCTTCTTCTGCTCGCTCCATCCCTCGAGCACGAGCGCAAACTCCGTTGCATCCGCAAAGCCGTAGTACTCTGCCATTGAGCAGAACAACCTCTTTCTCACATACTCTGGTGGCTTGTACTTGTATGCAATCTTCTTCTCATCCTCAAAGCTGGAGTTCGCATTGCCTCGAGACTTCTCGAATGCGTACTCGTTGGAGAGGTCAAAGTCTGTGCCAGCAGCCATGGCGCGTTTAGACAGCTGGGCCTCCATCTTGGAAGAGCCGATCACGTCGTTGTTGTCGTGTGTGTACTCGACACCGGCCATGTTGAGGATTGCTTGCACAGCGCGAGCTTGTCTTTTGATTTCAGTGTCTTGTTCGTCATCGTGTTTCTTGTTCTTCTTGCCGCCTTCGCCAGTGATCTCGGCGGCGAGTTGGGAGATTGCAGCATCTTCGCGATCCATGGTATCGTCGTTGTCATCATCATCCGAGTCCTGAGATGTGTCTAGGCCGACGACACTGACCCCGGCTTTGGATTCGGCGATGTTTGTCTTGTTGACAATGTCGCGAAGAACCAGGTTCTCGCCTTCGTAGCTAAAGAGGTTCAAAAGACCAAAGATTTCACCTTTCTTGTCGGCTGTATCTTGAACGCCACGGAAGTAGCGACGCTCGGTAGACGCATTGTAAGCGATGTTGGCTTGCTGCTGCTTGTAGATCTGACGAGCGTAGACAATCTCCTCAACAGTGCCAGCAGAAATAAGACGAAAGACTTCGACATCACGGATCTGACCGATGCGGTAGGCACGATCCTGAGCCTGAAGATCATGGCTTGGATTCCAGTTTGGATCGAAGATGACGACTTTGTTTGCAGAGGTAATGTTCAAACCCACACCACCAGCTTTCGTGCTGATGAGGAAGACGAACTGGGTCTCATTGGCATTGAAGTCGTCGACTTCCCGAGTACGCTCTTCATACTTCATGCTTCCGTCAAGGTAGGAGACATTGTAGCTTGTTGTCGATTTGAAGAGCATCTGTAGCATCTTCAGGAGACGGACCGAGTGACTAAAGACGAGAACCTTGTCGCCGTTCGAGTGCCAAAACTTGAGCAGCTTTCGCAGCACTTTCCACTTGCCGCAATACTCTGCATTGGCATAGTTGGTGATCTGATCACGGTTGTGGTACATCTCGAGCCAATTTTCAGGAAGAGCCAGCTGCAAGTTTTCGAGCTCCTTGTGCTGCATCTCCTCGGAGTCCTTGCTTTGAGGGCAGAGAAGAGCGAGATGGTTTGCGAGCTTCTGCAGTGTCATAAGCATAGGAAAGACGTGATGCTGCCATTTGCCACGGTCAGGGATCTCCGTGTAGCAACACCAGCCTCGCTTCTTGCCGGAAAAGCAGTCACAAGGATCAGAGAAACGTCGAATGTAGTCAATCTTGTCGCTGTCAACAAGATTCATGTAGGCCTCTGATTGAGCGTCAGAGAGCGGACAGAAGACCACACGATCAGTCTTCTTCGGAAGTTGATGGGCGATCAGCGACTTCATTCGGCGTTTGAAGTATGGTGGCAATAGGTTCTCTACTAGTTTCTTTGCAACCTTCCTGCAGATGGCTAGTTGCGCAAAGGTAGTATCATGTGATTGCCCGATCTTGAGCGGACCGCTGACACTCAGTCTCCATTCAGCCATGGTTCCGAACTTGCCAGGGTTGGTCCAGTTGAGCAGAGTCCAGAATTCATCGTACTTGTTTTGGACAGCAGTGCCGGTGAGGCCAATTCTGCACAAGGCGTTGACCTCGTTCATGGCCTTGCTGATCTCGGAACTTCGCTCCTTGATGGTGTGACATTCATCTGCGACGACACAGTCCCACTCGACCATGTTGATCTCGCCTCGATGATTGCGATAGGTGGTGTAAGTTGTGATCATGACCTCAAGCCTGCCTTGTTTTGCTGCAGAGAGAACAGACGAGCGGCTTGCGTTGCTTCCATGATAGGTGTCATAATGCCAAAAGCCCCAGCGATCAAGCTCTGACTTCCAGTTGTCCATGAGAGATCCGGGACAGATAAGAAGGATTCGTGGGTACCAGCGGCCATCACGTCGCATCTTGCGCATACGCTTGTAATCTCTCTCATCTCCAGTCTTGCCGAAAGCAGCTGTCAAGAAGGCGATGACCTGAATCGTCTTGCCCAGGCCCATATCGTCACCAAGGATGCCACCCTCTTGGAAGACGAAGAGCTCGTGAAGGAACCTCACGCCGTCGACCTGGTAGTCTCGCAGCCATTGGGCGATTGGCGCGGGGATGATACCTTCCGACTTCTGCAGTTCGATATCCTTATAGTCGCGGGACATTTCGGCATCGCGAAGCACAGGGCGTTCCTGCAGCTCTTCTAGTCTCTCATCATCGCTGAAATAAACGCCGTCGTAGTCAGGAGGTCTTGCCAGAATGTCATCTCCTGACTTGGCACGGTCTTGGTTCCACTTGGACTTTCTCGCTTGCAAGAATTCGGGCAAGGTGCTCTCAGGTGGCTCATCTTCAGAGTCGGTGCCGTAGGTGTCGTTCTTGAACTTGCGTTGGTTAGGTTTCTTGTCGTCGAGCAGAGCCTTCTTCCTCTTGCCAACCATGGAATTGGCCTTTACCTTTGCCTTTTTGGTGCGAGCGGCGACGGCTTTGCGTTGGTCGGACTTGCGAGACTTGAACTTCTTGTAGGCCTCTCCAGCATCTTCGTCGTCATCGAAAGCAACGCGATCACCTTCGTCGTCTCTCGGACGTTTTCTCGTAGCTGTTCCAGAAGAGTCGTCGGAATTGAGGAGATCGCTGTCTGTGCCATCTGAGTTCTGAAAAGTGTCGAGCAGATTGACTTGTCTGGCGGTGTGTTTGACAATGTCGAGATCACTGACATCACTGGGTTCTCCTTCATCCATGATCTCGATTTGGCGATCGAGTTGATAGTCCCGCATATGTGAGCGAGTGGCGCTCTTGTAGGAAGAAGACATGGCGATTGATGTAGAGAAAGAGAGCAAGTTGGAGTTCTCAAGGCGGCATGAGGTGTGTGAATGGTGTTGGAACACGGTGGAATCGTGTCAACATCATATCAAGACGGCTCGTCAATACGTGAAAGTGTTGGAAAGAACGAGTTGGACAGAGACACAGGCAGCATTCGAGCCAAACACCAAAGAAGCGCGGGAGACGCGACCTGCCGACGTTCATCCGGAGAGTTGAATGGGCAATGACGACAAAAAGGAAAGATTAATTATTGTCGTGCTATCGAAACATACACACGACAATGCCGCTGGACACATCATCATATACGCTTGCGCATCTGCGTCTGGATGGAAGGAGATGGAACGAATTGCGACGATGCCATGGACAAATGTCGACTCAGGCCGCCGCCGACGGCTCTAGCTACCTCGAGATGGGCAACACAAAAGTCATTTGCACGGTCACTGGTCCAACCGAGTCGCGACGTGGAGGAAACATGGGCAATGCTGAAGCAAAGATCGAGGTCGAAATTGGACTGGCCGGCTTCAGCGGTGTCGAGCGCAAGAGACGTGGAAAAGGTGACAAGTGAGTTGCGCCTGCGCATACCACTATGCGATGGAGAGCTGATGGAATGTATAGACGCACAAGCGAGATGCAGCACACAATCGCCTCGGCCTTTGCAGACACCCTCTCAACTCAGTTGTATCCTCACAGCACAATCACCATCAACCTGCACATCCTCTCTCAAGACGGCTCGTTGCTAGCCGCCTGCATCAACGCCTCGACCCTCGCTCTCATTGACGCCGGTATCCCCATGACCGACTACATCTCAGCCTGCACAGCCGGTAGCACCGCATCCTACGCTTCGAACGACGAACAAGCCGACCCTCTGCTCGATTTGAACGGCATGGAGGAGCAAGAGCTACCTTTCCTGACTGTCGCAACCCTGGGCACAGACGACAAGATCAGCGTTCTCATGATGGAGACCAGAGTCCAGCTCACCCGTCTCGAGGCCATGATTGCTGTTGGTGTTGATGGCTGCAAGCAAATCAGGAATATTCTCGATGGCATCGTCCGCCAGCACGGCAACTCTTTGCTGCAAAAGACTGTCACCTGAAACTGTCGTACTGCTACACAACTGCAAGACTTTTACTAGCCACCGCACGCTTAGCCCTTAGGACATGACAAAAGTCATGTATAAGGCCATCTTCGACACGCCCAAGTCCGGACGGATCGCCAGCCAAGCATCTGATTCACACATCATGTAGATCGTATGCCGGCCACCTCGATCGCACGACAAGATTGGCGGCTAGAGCCATAACGCTCGCCGTATGCGAACGGAAGCTTGGGCTCGAATGCAAGCCACAAGCGAGTATGGAGGATAGATACCATAAATTGACAATCAAACTGTCAGAAGGCTGTTCCTCTAGGAAACGACCAAGCCTACATCTCCCTATCCAAACACTTCCCTTGATCGTGACTCACGTTCTTCGTCTTCAAGTAACGACGCCTTCTGTCTCGTCTTTCAGAACCGCCTGTGTGTTGGGCAGAAGTGATAACCAACTACACCGCAGGACCAATTGATAAAGACGAGATGCCGCAGTCCATATAGAAGAGAGTGTGAAACAGACAAGTTGTTGACCAATAAAGGCTTTACTTCCATAATGATCTCTTTAAACCATCATCATCATCATCATCGTCATCACCATGATCAACGCCGGGCTCACTGCGGGCCAACATTATCAACTGTCTGTACAGCAAGAAGGCAGGGCAAGCAACGCAGACAAAACCAACAACAACAACAACAACAACAACATAAAAACAGGTCAATAATCGCAAAACCCCCAATATCCCTCGCTTTTTCGTGATTCGTGAAAATTCTGCGCCATGCAAACAAGAAAAACCACTCCCTTGTTCTCTCCCATCTTGGCCTCAGGTCCAACCAGCCAACCTCTCGATCTTGGGCACCAAATCTGCAATCCTGAATGGCTTGCTGATGCTATCGTCCATGCCTGCCTCCATGGCACCATCCCTCTGTTCTTGTCTCGCATTCGCCGAGACCGCGATGATGGGTACATGTCCGCTTAGTGTGCCTTCCCTCTCCCACTTTCTGATCTCCCTGGTTGCTTGCAAACCATCCATAAGTGGCATTTCTATATCCATCAAAATCACCGATGGTGAAGGCGCAGCGGCCGAAGTGTTGGAGCGATAAAGCTTTGTCTTCTGAAGGGCCGAGAGACTTTCCAAACCATTGTCGGCTGTGGAGACGCTGAAACCGTGTTTGGTGAGTTGTTGGCGCAGCAGTTTTTGATTTACCACGTTGTCTTCGACGATGAGAATGTGGATGTCTGATTTGTTGGTTGCTTGAGCTTGTGTGTCTGCTTGGTTTCCCTGTTGCAGGGTTAGGTCGTTGTGCAATGTGGCTGTGACGGGTGCTTCTGCGTGTCTGGTCTTTATGAAAAAGGCAAACGTGCTGCCGACGTGGAGCTCACTTGCGACGCCNTAAAGGATACAACATTTGTTAGTATCGCGTGGTATCATCAAGATGATGAAGCAAAACTTACCTATCTCTCCACCTTGCAATTCCGCAAGCTCACGCGAGATGAACAATCCCAACCCCGAGCCTCCATACTCGGATTCCGTACGAGGAGAACCCTGAGTGAACCTCGCAAAAATACGACTCTTCTCATCCGCAGACATTCCCCTCCCCGTATCCTCGACACTAAACCAAAGATAGAAGCCCCTATCCTCAAACTCTGGATCATCATACGCACAATCATGCAGACTATGCGCAGCCACAAAATCGATATCCGGCAGCACGTTTTCCGAAGGTCGTATCTTGGAAGCTCCAACGCGAATGGTGACTTTGCGCTGACTCTTCTTTTTGCAAAATTTGATAGCGTTGGTAAGGAGGTTGATGAGGACTTGTTGCACGCGGCCTGGGTCTAACATTGCGTAGTTTACGTTTAATTGGTTCAGTGAGGCGTGGGCTTGGGTTTCGAGTTGGACGTCGCTTCGTTGGGATTCGGCTTCGAACATTTTNTCCACGTCGTGTAGGAGGGTTGTTACTTGGACGGCTGAGGGTGTGATCTGGAGGAGATTGGAGTCGAGTTTTGAGAGTACGAGGATGTCGTCCACGATTCTANNGAGAGAGCAGCTCAGCATTGTCTTGATGTGTGTGACTGTGGTCATGATTGCTTACCTCTTCTGATGTTGCGAACAGGACATGATTGTGTTGATAGAATCAACTCCGCTTGCAATTAATTCACGCAGCTGTTCGCCAAACTTGGACTCTGTGGTGGTGGCCAACCGATTTGCGAGGACTGTCATCTCGGCCAGAGTTTCTTGCACGGCATCAGAACAGTGGAAGACTGCACCGAGAGGGTTCCTGATCTACTGAGAGTTAGCATACTCACAAGGCCAAATGTGTTTCTTTCAAGCATACCTCACTAAAAGCACAAAGTGTTAGCAATGTTCATTCAGCATGCCGAAATTGTACTTANNCTGCGATGTCATGTCGATAAAGTTCGAAGATTGGCGTTTTGCTTCCATGGCTTCCTGTACCTTCATCTGCTGCACCGTCTCTGCGAATTTGAGTGCCGAGATATCTAACATGGTGCCAATGATGCCTTTAACAGTTCCGTCTTCCTTGTATTCAGGCAGTGCAGACGCAGTAACCCATACAGGACCTATAGTCACTCCATTCCCATCAACCCAGCTTCGTCTCAGTCTGAATTGCACGTTTGCAGGCTTTTCGGTGTCAAACACACGGGTCCAATGGCTCCTGACGAGTTCAATATCCTCCTCGTAAATTATGCTTGCCCAATTGATCTTCTCAAAGGGCACAACTGGATGCCCAGTCATCACAAACCATGCGTGATTGCAGTAAGAAAGTTGGTGATAACCCTGTGTCCCGAAGTAGATGGCAATAGGAGCCATTTCGGCAAAATTCGCAAAACGCCGCTCCCACGACTTGGCTCTTTCGAGTGCTTGCAGTCGCTGTACGGACTCTGTCTCTCTCAACTTGGTATCGTGGATGTTTGTGGTACATCCAGATACACTTGTGATGACCCCATCTTCAAAAACTGGAACAACGGCTGCAAGAACCCAGACACCATGACCGTCGGGNGTTTTGAACCTCATTTCAAACGTACAAGACTTGCCTCCAGCGGCGCAGTTCCATTTTGACATGATATACTCGGCATCTTCTGGGTATATCATGTCTAGGAACACCAGCTTGTCTCCATGAATGCTTTTGGGTGGACAGTGGGTTATGGCCTTGTAAGCCTCATTGGCGTAGATTAGCCGACCTTCAAGATCGTACTCAAAGATGCCAACGCCAGCCATGTCCACAACCTTGAGTGTACGTTGGAATTGATCGGTCACGGCTACCGCCTCTCTGTCACGAGTTGCGAGTGCGGTGGCTAGAAGATGTTGTTCTCTGGCAGCCTGTACGGCCCGGTAGTGTTGCTTGCGTTTTTCTTCCTCGGATAGGAGAACGTCCGTCACGGCATTACCCAAGCACCTTGAAAACTCATGAATCCATTCTCGATATGTCTCGTTGTAAGGTCTCTTTGGGTCTGTTCCAAGGAAGAGATATGCAATGATTTTTTTCGATCGGTTCGAACGAGTCGGAACCAGAATGCAGTCTTGGGTCAACAATGACCGCATGAAATCAGGAGCCTCGTTCTGTCGANNGATTGGGGTCGGATCCTTCAGATCCGAGACTGAGGCAAATTGGTCGAATCCTAGCTCTTCTGGTAATGTCGAGGTTATCGTCGGGTTTCCAACAGCCCCTTCAAGCTTGAATCGCATTTCATGAATTGGTTCCGGGGAAGTGTCGATAGAACCTTCTGAGCCTGTACTCGAACCTGCAACGTAGAGAAATGCGAAAGGGAACAGAGATGGGTCCATAGCCAGACTTTTCGGAATACTTTGCCAGAACTTGCAAGGATCCTTGACAACGTCCCAAGCAGTATTGAGTGCTCGGAGGGCAGCTCGCCTCTTCTCTGCTAGTGTTGTCTCTGTCACATCTGTTAGTGAAACATAGAACCCAGGAGTTGATCCAAGCAATGGTATGACCGTCCATGAGAGATAGACTTCTTCGAGGCAGCCATTCCGTTCGTACACCAATGGTTGATCCCTAAGCTCAACTCGTCGTCCCGTAGTTTCTGCTGTAGCCAGAGGTGTGGTGATTGCGTCCATAGCCACATCACCCCAAGCTTCGAAAACGGTTTGACCCAGGGCGTCTGGATGCTTGTTGCCGCACATCTCCGCGTAGGCTTCATTATAGAACAGCACACGATCAGATCCAAGAATAAGAAGACGCGGTTGAGGATCCAGCAAGCAGATATGGCAGAGTTGTGTCAAATCTTGAGGCCATGATTTCAGTGGTCCAAGGGATGTCGAAGCCCATTTCACTTTTCTGATGTATCCCAAATGCTCATCCAGGTGTCGATCTCCCGTATGTGTTTGGAAGATAACCCCCTGTCGTGTGGCGTTGCCGAGGTTCAAGATAGGTTGCTTCTCGACCGGACTGGCAGCATGCATGATTGTAGGTTGCGCAGTGAGAGAAACAAAGGCATGAGAGTCCCTGTGTATTTGGAGGAACGTGTTTGAGTATGATCCTGTCACAAACAGGGAAGTGGTAAAATGGACGTGCCCGTTGCTGGTATCAGTTTTGAGGCCCGTCGGACTCGGCACTTAATTTAAATCTAGGCCCTCGGATCGGGATCGCATACCACAGATGAGTCGTATGCCATTTGTGATGCGCACACGTAGGGTATACTTGCTTGTAAACCAAGACCTGGCTATAACCTGTTAATGCAACAGCTGCAAAGAATCCTTGATGAACTACTCCTTGTTAATGCTCTTCTTCATGCAGGGGATAGGATTTGTTGACAGTGCAAATCCCGAGCCGAAGGTGCGTGCCCTACAAGTAGCCCCGCATGGCATTCGTGTTGACAACTTCGCTCAAGCACAGTGTTGGCAACGCCATTCGCAAAAAGTGTCAAGAGCGAGAACGACCCGAAGTGTCTTACACCACTGCCCACTATGGCGAGTTTGCGATCTAACAACAGTCGCGCCCGGAGCGATTCGGCATGATAACATCCTTGTTTCGTCAGTAGGAGATAGCCCTACATTGCCTATGATGTCGTGATACAGATGGAAAACACTCCAAAGCAGGGAAGTTTGCATCCATCAAGTGCGCCGAGAAATTGGTCATCAAAGTCGTTTTTGTGTGCTATCTGGATCTGTAGAGCCTGAGTGACCTCGTGTATCCTTTGAGCAGAAGATCATTTGTCCGAAGTCTTGACAATTTTGCTGCGAGGAAGCTCACGACAATGTGGGCAGAGCCACTCACCTTTGGGCTCTGCTTTGAGATCGACACACCCCCAATGGAACCACTGATGTGGACAGTCGTCGTTATCGCAGGCGACCATATCACCAAATGACACCCGCTGGCAAACACAATAAACTTGAGTGTCGTCTTCCTCTCCTTCAGCATCAGGTTCGGCATCGTCACCTTCCTCGTCAGATGCTGCAGAAGCCGCTCGGGTGCCGCGTAGTCGCGAACGTGATTCTGCAGTACCGTCTGTTCCAAGAGGCAAGGTCGATGGTGTCGGACTGACACTGCCTCGTGAAGAAGAAGGTGTTGGTGAGGTGAGATGACGCTTGCGATCTCCCTTCTTCAAAGCTGCGTTACCAGACCGGACGCGCTTTCTGTTGGAGCCGGGGGCAGATGCCTGGTGTGGCGCGATTCTCTTGTTGTGAGGCGCTTTCTTGTTAGGTTGAGCAGATCCAGCACGACTAGAACTTGGAACGGGTGTGCCGGCTTTTGGAGTACCAGAAGTTGGGCCGAGTGACGATTGTCTAAGAGATGAAGCAGTAACCGGGATGTTGCCAGTCATCGAACTATTAAGGCGACGACGTTTCGAAGCGTCAGCGCTGCTTTCCCGCTGTGACCTCGCTGACGGACTGTTGAGATGTGCTTGGTTGAGTAGGGCGTTTTGGGCATTCAGAGGTGATGATGTGCGTTGGTTGGTAGCATGTAAACGCGCAATGGCGGCATTCGCGACATTAGGCGCACCGCCAGATTGAGCCGAGTTAATGGCGGCGGCTACGGATGGAGTGTTGGTCGTAGCAAGGCTGCCAGCTTCGGGCTGCAACAAGGATGGCAATGTTGGGTCTGGAGGCATCTGTTCACTGTTGACAAGATCTCGCAACTTGACGTCGAATCTTCTAACATTTCGGTCGAGCNNTTGGAAAGTCAGCATTTGGTCGCGTCCGTAGACAGGTAGCCCCTGACGTACCAGTCTCACAGCCTTTTCACTCAGACCCAGCTTCTCAGCTTGCAGAATTTCGATGCGATCAAAGTTCGCCATGATGACTTTGGTGAGGCCATCTTCCTTGGGATTTTTGACATGGCCACCCTGAGCTCTGACAAAATTCTGGATTTGTTTGTCGCGCGAATTGACGACTTCGCGCAAGTCTTGGATATGTTGATCTTTGGCTTGAATTTCTTCCAGTAAATGCGCTATCTCAGCGGGCAAGTTTGCGACTNNGAGAAACAAGTCAGTTTCCTACTTGTTCAACGGCAAGCAGAGGGTGTCTTTACCATCGTGACAAAACTGATCCAAGACAGTGGCAGCATCATCGGTACCGATTGCTGCCATTTCGGATGTTGTCTGGGCGCGAAATGATGTTCTTTGACGAATATGGGGGATGCTGGAAAAGGTGGTGGACGAGTGAAGGTGGAAGAAGTCGCGACTTCACAAATGGAGCCACCAAGTGAAAGGACGCAGAACAACAAACAGAGCCTGCAGAGCAAGAATTCCGTCTGGATCACCTCAAACCTTTCTCAACACACTTATCAAATTGGAATAAGCTTGTTGGACATTCGAGCAGCATTTTCGATAGAGCATTACACGAAGCGACAAGATGCGAGCAGCAGCGCGCCAAGCCTCGCGCCTGATCAGCGAGCAGACTCGTGCCGAGTCATGTGGGGACAAGGATGAGGACCATGTTCTCGAAGCTCCACACGATGCCGAGCACGACCAAGACGCCCTGTCTAACGGCCGCGACGACGAACACCATGACCCTGGCTACGACTCACTGAGCGACAGTGACTTTTCACACGACGATAGCGACGACGACGACGACGATTATAATGATAACGGACCCCACCACCTGAGAGACGACCAACAAGCCCCATCATCTTTCCTACGCAGAAGCAACACTCCACGAGTCGACCCAGCCAGAGCACCCAACAGACTGCCTTTTAGAGTCGCGCCAGCAAACTACAACCCTCAGGGCCACAAGAACAAATCTGCCTTTGGAAGGCTTCCAATCAGAGACGCGACCATGTCAGTGCGACAGAACAATGGCATCCCTCGCCAGAACATGCGCGACGCCATAGTACAGCAATGGGACCCGTCACGGCGTCCGAATGGCCAGTCACACCAACCACATCCCACCGGAGCTCCACCGACACCGCCATTGAACGACAGCGAAGAGGAGCACGCCGAAAGACAGAGGACTTTGCGCGACAAGATCATGCAGCAAGTTGAAGAGAATGGTATTGAGCGTCCCCAAGGCTATACCGTCTCATATCATTACAACCGTCGCGTCGAGAACATGCACTTCGGTCGCACACATCCCATGAAGCCATGGCGCTTGACTTTGACCAAGCATCTCGTCATGGGCTACGGCTTGCAATTTGCAATGGACAACTACGACGCCCTTCCTGCAAGCAAAGAGACTGTCGCTGCTTTCCACGACCAAGACTATGTCGACTTTCTTTCAAGAGTCTCGCCTCAGACTTTCAACGAGCTCTCCCACATCTACGAGGACAGGACCCCGCCGAGCTACCCTGGAGACATGGTAAAGCTGGGCCCTTTCAACCTGTCCCCGTCACCAGGTGCTGATTGTCCTGTTTTTGACGGAATGCAAGAATACCTCTTTTTATATACCGGCGCCACCATGGAAGCCGTGTCGGCCTTGACAAACAATCAAGCTGATATTGCTATCAATTGGTCTGGTGGGCTCCATCACGCACACAAGTCCGAAGCTTCAGGTTTCTGTTATATCAATGACATTGTCCTGGGCATTCTGGAACTCCTAAAATGCCATCAACGTGTTCTATATATCGATATCGACGTCCACCACGGCGACGGTGTCGAGGAAGCCTTTGCAAGCAGCGACAGAGTCATGACACTCTCCTTTCATCGCTACGGTATAATCGATGAGGATTCCAAGGAAAAGCATCTATTCTTCCCGGGCACTGGCGCTCTCAACAGCAACGGAAACGAGAACAGCATTGGCAGCCATTTTGCTTTGAACGTTCCGATCCCTAAGGGTATCGACGATGATCAGTTCTTGCACCTCTTCGAATCTATCACTGGTCGTACACTCGAGCATTTCCGCCCTCAAGCCATCGTCCTGCAATGTGGTGCTGACTCACTTGGTGGTGATCGACTTGGTCAATTCAATCTCAACATCCGCGCTCACGGCGAGTGCCTAGCCTTTGTCAAGAAAGCTGGCGTGCCTCTTCTCATCCTTGGTGGAGGCGGCTACACGGCGCGCAACGTCGCTCGCGCCTGGACTCACGAAACCGCACTTGCAGTTGGTGCAACTCTCAACGAAGAGCTACCCATGCACATTGTTCCTCGTCCCCAAGCTTTCATGGGCAAGGAACATGGTGACGGCAGACTATATCCCGAACTAGCCGGCTTCCACAAGAACAATGTCACACAGAAGGAGTTGGATCTATTAGTCGAACACTGTCATGAGGAGTTGAGGTATATCAAGCACGCACCCAGCGTCGTCATGGAGAGTCTTCCCGGCAGAGCTCAGATGGACGCTGCAAGAAGACAGGTTGACGACGAAATGGAAGCAGATCGTGCTGCTGAAAGCGGCAGAGGCGAGCGTGAGAGACGCAGACGCGAAAGAGGTACCGGCATACGCGGAGAACTTCGATAGAGACGATATCACTGAGGAGCAAAAGGCGCTTTTGGCTATGAAAAAATAGGGATGCGCATGACTGGCTGGCGTTCAATGTGTTTGCTGGTGAGATACCCCTCCATTTGGGTTCGTTTTCCTCGCTATCCTTTTGTTGTATTACTACTCTATTCATCCATACTCAGTAGAGAAAGCATATTTGATCATTCCCATCCATGTTCTCAAGCCTCCTTCAAAGATTTCCATTTAGACTCTCACAAGAATAGAATATTGCTCTATAGCTTCTTAGACTGTCAACACAATCTATCTGCCCACAAGCAAGCAGTTACAGAGAGGGGGGGGGGGGGGGGGGATCATGGGTTCCAACCAGTCGCACCAGCACCGTAGGCACTGCCTCGCCGAGTGCGGTGACGAAGTCTCCAACGACTATGCTACACAACGATGGTGTCTTCCTCAACCATGGCATCGTCAGTCATTAACTTGCTTCCTCCGCATACACTCTTCGCAGACCTCACCGTGTTCGAAGCGGAAGAATCAATCGTGCCGCTGGCTGCCCGCAAAGAACCGTCGAGAAGTGAGTCAGGTCCACGACTCCAGACTACCATTTGTCTATCCTCTGGAAACGATGAGAGGTAGAGGATACAATGGCGTGGGAGGTCAGTGAGACGGCTTCCAACATCGGTATCACGGACCTGATCGCTTGTGGTCTATGCATTCCTATCGACGCTGTCAAGAAGACTCGCGAAATCAAGGGGCTGCTGGAGGGTTTCGAGAAACTAAAAGTATATGAGATGCTTCATGGACCTTGTGATTCCTCCCTCTCGTACTTTGTGCAAATGTCCAATGTGGTTATATTGATGATAGTACGCATCAGGATGTGAAGAGTGACTTGTTGCCAATGCTGGTGTATCAAGATATTGATAAACTGTTCTCCCAAACACTGTTTCGTACCTCACAGCTGACTGTCTCAAAAACACAACGTTGAATCGCAAAAGTTGATCATGAATCCATCTATATCTCTTTTTTTCGTTCTCCCGTCCTCCTGTCTCCTACCATCCCTCACCCACCATTTCGTCAATACCGCAAAAGAAAAAGCTAGGAGCTGTTGAAGCCAAGGAACAAAAACAAACCGGCCCGCTACAAGACCAACTCCCCTCCTTTCCAAACACAATCAAAACACCCATCGCTCTTGCTACTTCAATCAAAACGTTTTTGCAGCGCGTCCTAAGCCATGAACCCTTCTGGCATATCCAAGAACCCATCCAATGCCCAGCCTAAAGAATCAAACGGCGCATTGGCCGCGAAATTAAGATTCTCCCAGTTCTCGAGGCCACTCAGAGTCAGGTCTTGGTCAGGCGCCATGGTAGACGGCGGCAGCGCATCACTAGTGGTATCTGCATTGGGGATAGCAGTAGGAATAGTAGGATGCTGAATAGCGCGGTCGAGGTTCTTTGATGCACCTGCGCCGACGTGATCTTTCCATCTCCAGACACTGTCGTAGAGTAGACTCATGCTCATTCTGCAGCGGACCTTGAGTTGGAGAGAGTGTTCTGGATCCTGGACGAAGTTGGGAGAGTCTGGGTAGAGTTTGTTGGTTGAGCCTCCGCCGTTGGCTTGCCACAGTTGGGCGAGCACTTCTGCGAGACGTTGGGGAAGGTCGTTAGGTGCGACGGACAGGTTGCGGAGGGCTGCCACTGTTTGCAAGAACAGGGTTCTGCCGCTAGTGACGTCGACTTTGTTGGAGAAGAATGAGTTGAGCAGCTTCATCAGAGTAAAGCCTGCTGCCAAGAGCATTTGCATCATGTAATTGGTCGCGAAGCATTGATAAGGTCCTGAGAGGTGTTCGCCGCCTGGAGTGTGCACTCCAACATTCGGAGGAAGAGCCAAGAAAGTCTTGAGCACTGTTGTCGCAGCAATGTATAAGGCCGAAAGATCGGACTTGTACGTCGGAGCCGTAGGAGAGCCAAAGAAGGCTGTCAGGCGAAGATGAAGGCATGCGATTTGCGCGTTCAGAATATCAATGTGTGAAGCGTGGTTTGCACGAAGAGACGTTTCGAGCTCCTCGTATTCTCTCCCTAAAGTGTCGATGAGAAGGAAGCGTTGGGCTTCGTCACCAGCAACAAACTCGTCCCGTTGCATGATGTAGCATGTACGCGTGACCTTGTCGACAAATCTCTCAATCTGGATGCGGTTGCGGAAAGCGCCGGAAATGCGATCGAGGTGTAAGCCATGAGTGTACCAGTTCCAACGAGAGATTTGTGGCATGCCGTAACCAGTGGAGGTATTCTGTGCGAGCAAGTTGACAGCAACCCAAGTGTGCATGCGATCCTGGATGTCCTCGTCGCGCAACTCGATGCGATTGCGTGAAAAATCTTGGGCGTGCGAAGGACGATGGAGACCGAATTGCATGGCGAGCTGTACCATGGTTCCGCAAAGCATCATACTCGGGTCGTGAGACGTCGAACTGCTAGGCATGGGCCATGTGCAAATGAGAACCAAGGCCTTGACAATGTGGTATGATTGCGGGTCCGAGGCGATTGTAGACCACATCAGATCTGTGAATGAGCGGCGCAGCTCTTGTAGAAGTCCAGGCCGTCCTTCGTAGCGGCGCATGGCAATTGTGAGAATAGTCCAATGCAGTAGGGGAGACATGGCGAAGAAGGCTGTGTAGGGCGTGTCAGGAGACAGCAAGGGAAGGTATGGATGGTAGCGCGCAAAGTAGATTCCGACAAGGTCCATAACCTCATTTTCAGTCAGAGTCACTCTTCCCAGTGTGTGTAGTGTCGGCTCTCGTGTCGGGTAGTCGATGCCGCCTTGGGCCAGGTCGAGTAATGATCGCGAAGCNGCTGCTTCATTGGGGCCGGGGAACGGGTTGTTCGCACTCACGTATGGCGGTTGCGGCGGGAAGTTGGTAGGTTGTGCAGGGTCTCCGGTGGGCATGCCTCCTCCTCTTGTGATAAGCAAGCGCAGGTTCGCATTCTCGTTCTTGAGCGTGTCGAGCTCGCGCTCCATCTCGGCATGTCGCTGTCGCTTCTCCTGTCGCTTGAAGCCTGGATCGATGGCGCACGTCAGGTTGTGCTTGATGCATCGCGCGCATGGCTGAAACTCTGGTTCGGTCTGGATGTTGCATCGTAGCTGCTCTGATTGTCAGTGCCTCTACCTAGACGCGTCCTGTCGCGTGTAGAGTCTGACCTTNTGCTGCCGGCACTGGTTGCACGCTCTCTTCACCGGGTGCGTCTTTGCCAGACCTCCTGACGTGTCTGCCTGCGGACTGGTGTCATCTTGGATCTCGCTCTTCTTCCTCTTCCTCGGCGGGCCTGCTGTGGTTGACGATGAGGGTGTGAGCTGCTGTTGCTGCTGCTGGTGTTGGACCTGCTGCAGCGACTGCGGCACGTCTCCGTTGAAGGGTGTCGAGGTCGGTGACTGATGGAGACCCGAGAAGTCGGCACTGCCTGGCCATGCCATGACTACTGCTGAGTACGGACGAGATGCGGTATGATCCTCCGGTACCGCACTGCGTCGACACCTCAGTAGTATAAATGTCACCGATTTCGCGTGACTCAATCCTGTGAAAATGTTTGTCAGAGATGCGGGGGTGTTTCGTCTGGGAGCCTTGGCGTTTGACTTGTCACTCTTGTATCACCGCGCCGGACATCCAGGCTCCACTATCAAGTCCCATTGCAAAATGATTTGACTTGCAATCATACTCATTAGGAGTATATAAAAGAACAGTATGAGCGTCATCTACCTGATGCTTTGTATTAATCTTGCGACAGTCTTCTCATATATCCTATTATACTCTTAACACCAACGCTGCTGCTGAAGCCGACGCCAATGCCGACACAAACCTCGGACGGCACATGCTCCTTCCTCAACCTCACGGCCTCAAACATTTGTCCTTTACAATTCACTCCAACTGAGATATTGAGATCTAGTGTGATGTTCTTTACAACGAGTGCTTCTATCTAAACATCCTTGCACCAACGTTCCACACGAAACTTGCGGTTCACGTAACGGATTCAAATACACGAGACCACAAAATGATGCAAGATGTTTCCCGGGAGAACGATAGACACAAAAAGCTCTACATCGTCTGGAACGCTACCAGAACAAACTTTAGAGGTGTCAGGGCAGTACCGGAACGCAAGCAGGAGGAGGAGTAAGATGCGAGAAAGCCTGCACGAGTATACTACGGGTCAAGTACAACACGACGAAGTTGCAGCGACGGGCATTCACACAGAGAGGCCAGAGAGAGTCTCTCCCGATGATCGCTAAAGTTCACAAACATAGATGACAGCACAAGATCAATCAATGCTACAAGCCTTCTATTGAACAAAGACTCTCCTTTCAAGGCATCAGTAATATCATATCCATAGGAATGTACAGAGTATTCGACGTCAGCTGATTCTCCAGGGAGAGCAGCTGCTCAGCACACATCTCACTGGAAACGGCAAGGTTCGCCGAAAGTACTCTGCATTTCGACCAGGAGGATATGGCCCGAGAAACGACGGGAGAGAACGTTGGAGGTGAGAGAAAAAACACTATAGTGACTTGAGAATGAGTCCAGCCAGATCAACTATCTCGTAGAGTCACCTGTTTGGGTTTCAAGATTTGCGATCCAGATCGCGAACAGACGGTTGCTACGTGAGAGTGGAGTGAAGGAACGAAAGCGCTTACATCGATCAAATTGGTGGACAAAATCAGCTTCACTCACCAACAACTCAAACAGAGTCGTCGCCTCGACGATTTCGCACGAAGATAAAGGAAGCCACATCTTCGCTCTCTCCGTGTTTACACCCTCGCAAAGTCATCACAACATCGTATACGCAACCAGGCGCAATCAAAAACATGGAGTACGCCAACATGGCCCTGGACTACATGTATCACGCCAACCCAGACCATGCCCACATGAAGCAAGCCGACACTGAGCAGGCCAACGTCGAGACCACCAACGTGGAGCCAATCGCCGAGATCAAGAATGATATCCCTGACCCTACCAAACTCGACGGTGAACCTCAGCTTCGCGAGATGTGGGCAGTAAGTTTACCATCACGGTTTGATCGCCAAAGTCAACTGCTAACTCTCTGCAAGGCCAACCAGAACTCTGAACTGAACCTACTGGGCGCTCTGAATGCTTGTCAATCGAGCTTCGACAACACCACATTCTGGGAACGCGACAACAGAAATGGTTATCACAACTTCCAGATAAATGACGTTCAAGCCTGTTTCGTCGCTCGTCAAAACAGCATCAACAACGTCAACGCCAACAACAAGATGTTCACCGGCATGGAAGACTTCTACGCCGAGCAGCAAAAGGCCTACAGCAAGCTTTGCGCTTATAATCTGACAAAGTACAGCAAGGAGACGATCAGGGGTACCAACCGTCAGAAGGCTGCTCGCGGTGGTGCTGCTACCCGCAGGGCCAACAAGGCTAAGCGTCATGAGGAGATGGTCGTGGGAATTGTCGAGGAAATCATCGCTCTCAGAGACTACTCTGGCGTCCTGGACGAGAAGTACAAGAAGCGCTTCGACATGGTCGTCAAGGGGGTCCTCGCTACCACAAAGGTCAACATGACTCCTGAGATTCTCGCCAAAGTCAGTGAGGCTGCTCCTGGTACCAAGACTGAGTGAATTATCTCAGTTAGCACTCGAACAGAAAGACAAACACAAGGGGTTTGGGAGCGACTCGCGCCATCGCGGCTCTGTCTGCTCGGTTCCTTGGGAGTATCTTCCCTCACAGCGGGCTGGGAAAGGTTTAATGGCTCTATCGGCTCATTCGAGTGATTGACGGGGATTTTCCGCAAGACTACAGGGAACTGCATGTGGTGTTTAGGGGTCGAAAGGATGAAATGCCCAAGGTGCCAGGCCACGATGGCAAACCCTTGATCAGAAAGCAGTAAAAAATGTTCAAGCGTCATCAATCACATGCGCCAAGTTTTGTCCCTTGCACCTTCCTGTCTTGTAACGCGTGGTTTGCCCATCATGAGGATCGAATCGAGTCCTGTGGTGGGCATCGAGGAAGGTACGAAAGAGAGCTTGAGCTTGCCCAAATCTCGAGTCTTCGAGTACAGACTTTGTCTCCTTTGCACACAACAAAGCATCGACATCAACGACCAGTCCTCGACTTCCATCATTATCGCTTCTCGTCCATAATTGTTTTCTAGCAGCGATGGGAGACATGAACGTGTTTCAATCCAACGGGAGGCGCTTACCCTTTGAGTATGATGATGGTCTTTGCCAGATCTTTATCCCTGTGAAAATCTCTACCATCTGTTTTCAATTAGAACCATCTAATAATCCCTAAGTAGTACATTCAAGAACTCCATAAAGACATTCTGCAATGGATGAATACCTATCAAGATGAACGACCTAGCCCTCGGGGTACATCCGTCGTCTGGCAGTGCAGTTTTCAAGGTCACTATTCGCCTCTCGAGTTCAAAAAGATCGCTACACCACCTCCGAATTCAGTGATCGTGCTGTGTACGAAATGGTCATGCAAGCAGCTCACAGCCGCAATCGTCATCCTTACCCGACATATGAACCGACACACTACACAGAGTTCCGGACAGCCTTCTTGGAAATGGCCGCCTACAACAAGACGATGAACGAGCGCTAGAAGCACGACAATGATCACCAAGACAAGAAGACAGTCGACAAGACGGGAGTCGATGAGGCTGAACAAGACCAAGATAGCCAGGAGTCGCAAGCTAGGAATAACGTCGGGAGCAACAAGATCTCAAAGCCTGCATGCAAAGAATTGGTGATGAATCTTTGCCGCGAACTCGCCCGATTGTCCGTTGGTAAGGAGACAGAAACCTTGGCCTTCTTCAAAGCTCAAGACCACCTGCTCGAAGCCGTGAAAAACGATCTTGAAGAGGCAAACGAGGAGTAGAGAGGTGTTGAGAGAGTGTGTTTCCGTGGCAGCTGAAAATGGTGGTTCGGGATTCTGCTGAGGGATAGGTGTACGGTCGCTTATTGCTAAAGTTGAGATCACATAGGTCGCTTTTCTTTTGGTCATCTGTTTCATAACTTTCGCTGGAGTTTTCGAAAAGCTCAGTGAAGGTTCCTCTGATTGGTGACAGCAAAGGACTACTGCTTGTAGAAAAATACTCACTATCGCGATTGTTCATCCTCAGCAACTCACTATAACATCCTGACTGCACATTCATCCCTCACTCACCGCCATTTCATCATATACGACTCGGACCTTCGAGCGCCCTGAGGTACTTCTCAAGATGTTCCACTCCTTGCCTCCACGAGAAACCATCGAGGAGATCGACCTGACCACCGAAACCAGACTTTCTCNNCCGTCCAGGTACGAATGAAGCTTCACACTGTTAAAGACACCACATACTAAACACACCCTACAGAATCTCCACTTTGATGTACAGCTCTACGTCCTGAACCATCAACAGAGCCTCAAGAACAACAACACCGTCTGGCACCGTGACGAGGATGGCTCTTTCCGTGCTGTGGCATGGACAAGCCGATTTATGTACCTTCAAGACCGCAAATCTTATCTGGACAGAGATGGCCACGTCGATCATGAGTGGGCGGATGAGAAGTGGCGCCTGTGGTCTGAGCGAGACTTCCATCCTGCTGTCGAGGCGTATGTCGAGTACAACGAGCCAGGCGCTGAGATGATCGCACTCGATAAAGTAACTGAGAGCGTGCGTCGTACGAACGACGCTGTTAAAGACATCTGGGCCGAGCTCACCTGTGCAAAGAAGACGCTCGAATTCGCAGTCCTCCCACCAAACTCACGCGATCCCGACCATCTGCCGACGGCCTTGAAAGCTATCTTGGAAGACTTGACCACCTATCTGCGCACCATCGACACTGCTCAACAAGAATCGAAGGAACGGCTCAAGTCCCTGGACCTCGCGGTCAAGTCTCTAATCAGATCGACATACAGCGCCGAAAGATCCAGAAAGAGAAGGGAAGAAGATGATGAGAAGATGATTGATACAGTCAGGTTCCTCAAAAAGTGTCTGGATAACCACTGCAGACTCTTCAACATGATTCTCGGCAAGCCAGAGCCATTGGTGCAGCAAGGCACCGATCTGATTCAGACCATGTTGTCCGAGATGTTCGGCTTGCCTTTGCCAGCTATCGAAGAAGTCACAGAAGAGCCACGAGCAGGAAGAGAAGTAGAGCTGGAGTCAGAATCTGAAGTCGAAGTCATCTGGGAGAAGTTCGAGTCTCAAGATCTCATGGATGTTGAANGCCATCGAATGCTCTGAAACAGAGTCCGACGAGTACATCGGCGATACCAGCAGTGAAGAGACCGAGTCAACGCCGGAGACATCAAAACACTGCGAAAGAGCACTGAGACGTGAAAAGCGCGAGAGAGTAAAAGAAAAGCGCGAAAGGGCAAGAGACNNGAGCTGTACGACAAATTCGGCTTCTCGATTATTCACGATGATGCAGAAGATCTGGAGTCTTCAGGAGGGGAAGAGCGCTCAAGAACTAAGCGCCAAAAGAGGCTGACGAAGAGACCCAACGAGTCACCCATGCGTAAACTTTCCACTCGTCACCGGACTCCTGTCATGAGACAGACTACACTCTCCTTCCACAAAGTTCGCAAGAGCAGAAGACTGTTCTCTCGCAAAGAGTTGAGCCAGAACGTGAGCAACCAAGACCAAGAAGAAGCAGAAGTCACCTCTCCGGGCCCCATTAGAAGAAACCCCAGAAAAGCTATCGTCGAAGATGCAGACTACCGCGACGGTTTTCAGTCTCGGTTCAAGCGAATACTCAGATCAGGGGCCCAGAAGTGATCCTTGGTTGTGAGGCATTACTTAAAGCAGTGACGGGGAGATGTAGGCTCGATGTAGCTGTTGTAGATGAGAATATCGTGGAGAGATATGAGAAATTGTGGAAGCATGTGCTGGGAGAGAAGAGAGCAAATAGTGTTTCTGAGGAAGGGAGTACGTGATCATGAGTAACGACCAAGAGAGAAGCATATCAAGTAAGAACGAAGAAGGGACGACTTCAAAGGATCCCAAGTTACGGTTGTCGGTCAGCTGTCATTAATTAAATCAGAGGCGGAGGTTACATGATTATTCATTTCAAGATTCTATTCATCTCAAACGCAAGCCCCCAAAACTCAAGATCGTCATTTTCATCAAGTATATGCGTTAAGCTGCCGCGTGTTGTTGGTGAAACTGTTGTAGACTATACCTGTCCCACTGATTGCATTGCCAGCAGAATTGATCAAGATTCCAGGTGCATCCATAAAGTACGCATATCTAGCCACATCAGGCTGCTGATCCATCCATGGCATAGCCTTCTGCAAAAACGCCTGCAACTCGGCATCAGTATAGCTGAACTCATTGTTCAAGCCAAATTCAGTGATCCAGATGGGTCTTCCTGCAGCTATGGCACGGGCAGAGTTGATGTGTGACTCGAGGTACGAAGCACCCGCGTATTTGTTGCTGTACCAGTGGAGGTTGATGAAGTCGATGGTACAACCTGTGCAGTTGCCAAGGAAGTACTGAAGATATTGCAAGCCCACAGGAGCGGCGTCTGTGCCACCAGCATTGGTGACAGCAGGAGCACCAATCAGAGCTTTGCCAGCAAAGGGCTGCATGTATTGTTGATGGAAGGAGACCGCGGTAGACACATTCATGCAAGCACTGCCATCGATGCAGTAGTCGGGCTCGTTGAATGACATAAGAGCGGTAGAACCATTGTCAATGGCGATCTGAGCTGCAGCAGGCCATTTGGACAAAAGATTGGGATCGTTATTGTAAAGTAGGGGAACGAACTCGAGCGCTGGATTGAAGTTGCAATCATTCACACCGGGAGTAGTGCATGGTGCGTAGTACCAGTCGTAGGCCCAAGAGACTTGGCTACCCTGTCCACTGAGGGAGAAAGGCGTAGTGAGATTTGCCTTGTTGTAAGATAGACCACGTTTGCCAAAATTGCGGACTGGTGTGGGTGCCGCAGATGCTACAGAGCTTGTGCTTAATAGGGAAGCGTTTCGAGAAGACGAAGACGAGGACGAGCTCGAGCTCGTTCGAATACTTGACGAAATGGGTCTGGACGAAGAGCGAGAGGAGGAGGTGGTGGTGGAGGAGGAGGAGGAAGATGAAGAAGAGGTCTGCGAGCCGGCAGCGGACGATGCAGGAGCTGAACTGGCTGATATGGCGACCGAAGCAGATTGAGACGATGTTTGTCTTGCCGTGGATGCGGCAGAACTTGCAGAAGGACTCGAAACGACACTGCCTATAGTAGACGAAGAAGGCGATGAGGATGAGCCAATTTGCAAGGAGCTACTCGATGAGACCTCGGATGCACTCGAGAGAATCGAGCTGCTGATGCTTGAGCTAGACGAGGAAGCTGCGGAAGGATCGTTCGAGGACAATGAACTGGCAGTACGGCTTGACATTGCTTGAGGTAGCGATGTGCTAAGAATAGTCAGACTTATCCGTCAGAAGCCTGTCTCAGTGTATGCTTATACTTACATGCTTGTACCAACAGAGGTACTCGAGGCATCGATATCCAGCACTGTAGTCTGTGAAGAGAGTGCCGCCGATGCAGGTTGAGAAATGGACAAGCTGAAAGGGGCAGGTATAGATGTGCCGGATGAGGAAGGGGAGGAACTCGACACGCTGATTGAGGGCTCAGAAGAGGTTGCACTGGTGATATAGACGACTGTATCAGGTCCCGTGGGGACTGGTGCATTTCCTGATAGATGTTGAGAGATGTAATTGGAGATCTGCGACGAGAAGACGGTAGCAGGACTGCTGCTTGTCGATGTCTCAATGCTTGGGGTCACGTAAACGACCGTATTGTCGCTTGTTGGGACTGGCGCATTGTCCGAGATTCTCTGAGATAGATGATCTCCAATGGCCGATGAGTAGCCTTGAGTTGCAGTAGCTACAGTAGGGCCAGGAACTGTGGCCGAAGAAATCGTACTGGGGCTTGCCAAAGCAGCTAGAATAGCCACATAGTCAGCTCTAATAGCTGCTACAGCTTCTGGACTGTTAACAATGCTGTTGATCGCTGACAATAAAGTGCATTGGCCGAGAAGGAAGGTAGATGCCACACATCGAGGCAAGTTTGCGCAGGATGCAATACATGCTTGGAAAGATTGAGCGCTTTGTTGACGTTTTTGGTTGGTCGTGATGACATCTCCACCAAAGGTTTGGCCGCAGGCAATTTGATAATCCGGTCCATCACCAGCAGAGTAAGATTGTCCACAGACTGGCACTGCTGATGGTATTGTGGTGGATGTGCTTGTACTCGATGAAGAAGTGCTCAGCGGAGAAGAAGAAGTTCCTAGAGCGACGGAGCCTGCCGAGGAAGAAAGAACGAAGCCCGAAGGGATCAAGCCACCAGTGCTCGAAGCGGTGCATGCAGATACATGAGTAGTGACGACGATAGTCGGTGTGATGATTGCTATTCAACAGTCAGTCTCTCTACCGACCTTACAAAGTGGGAGAAGGCATACTTTGGCAAAAAGCATGTCGAAACAGAAAAGCAGAGAGTACAAGAAACTCAGAGTTGGTCCTCATCTCTGGCTGAAGAAGTGACGATCGTTTCTCGGCCTGCGGTCAGAAAGCCTTCGTAAAGACCGAACAGCAGTAACTGTCTTCGAGCTGTAAAACACTGATAGCTGAGGAATATCAGGAACAAATATGCAATAATATCTTTCTTGATGGCTGACGAGCCTGGTCAGGTGGTGAAAACGAATGTTGCAATTGATACCAAAACGAGTGTGGTTGCGGGACAAGAACAAGAGATCAAGAAGCGAGTATAGAGTCCTGGAATTGATCAAGGCTATAACATTGGTGGTGACTCTGGAAGCATTGCGGGCGGGGTGAGGAATGTAAACAGCACCGTAGAGGCTGAGCTTTTCCAGGCTCCTGGAATGCATTCGAATTGATAGTAGCCGGTTAACGGTCTGGAATTATGATATTCTAAATTCGTTTCGACAAACTGGCCATGCTATCAATGATATGTGAATGATGCTTGGGCAGTTGAGAAAGAGCTGTTCCCAAGCTCATGGCGAAGCTGCGAATAGACAAGGGTCGAGTCATGGTGATGTTGTTGACCGATGTCTTGAGACACTGGTCATTGAGTGAGTTATAACTACTTGGATGGAGACAAGGGCGATAGCTGTTGCCGACAGAAGGAGTGTCAATCTGGGTGGTCGAAGCGAGGAAGGAGAGAAGGTGAGAAGGTTGGAGGAGCAGCCACAGTTCAGCCACAATTGGCGGCTCCTTCCCGATTGCCAGAAGTGTCGACCCGCTGACAAAGAGTCGCCACGCGCGCGCGCTACAACGCCAGGAAAGCCGACGACGAGCTCGAGATCAGATAATCGTCACATTTCATTCCCATCTCAGCTCAGCGCATTCATCTTAACTACATCATCATGGCCAACTATCTCGCCTCCATCTTCGGTACCGAACAGGACAAGGTGCGTGTCTTCAGTCGTCTTCAAACACGCGCGACTCGTAACTAACAAGCTGTCGGCCAGGTCAACTGCTCCTTCTACTACAAAATTGGCGCATGCCGTCACGGAGACCGCTGCTCGCGCAAACATGTCAAGCCCTCATACTCGCAAACCATCCTCCTCCCCAACCTCTATCAAAATCCCGCATACGACCCCAAGAGCAAGATGAACCCGCAACAACTGCAAAACCACTTTGACGCCTTCTACGAGGACTTCTGGTGTGAGATGTGCAAGTACGGCGAGATTGAGGAGGTTGTCGTCTGTGACAACAACAACGATCGTATGTGCTTCTTCTCTGCTGTTCTCCGCTACCGACCACTAACCCACAACCCAGATCTTATTGGCAACGTCTACGCCCGCTTCAAGTATGAAGAATCCGCCCAAGCCGCCTGCGACGCCCTGAACTCGCGCTGGTACGCGGGTCGTCCCATCTACTGCGAACTCTCCCCCGTTACCGACTTCAGAGAAGCTTGTTGCCGTCTCAACTCAGGAGAAGGCTGTGTCCGTGGTGGCTTCTGCAACTTCATCCATCGCAAGGATCCTTCACCCGAACTGGATCGCGAGATTGAACTTGCCACAAAGAAATGGTTGAGACAAAGAGGAAGAGACGCAAAGAGTGCTAGCAGATCCCCCACACCCGAACCCAGCAGAAAGAGATTCTAGCCGAGCTACCCTTCAGAATAACCTGGCATCAAAACGGCGTTAATGGCGAGTTAATTGGGGGTTATGAGGGACAAATACCCTTGTTTTGGTTTTGCAACTGAAGAGAAAGGCCATGACCACGCGACGCCTTCTTACGGTACATACTTATGAAAACTTCTCTCACAGTCACTTCAGTTACCACGAGACCTCGGTCTCGCCCAACCTATGCAAACTCTTGACAAGCCGCGTTGATTCCAGATTTTTTGAGGAAGTTGCACAGCAGCAATCCCTAAGGTATTCGTTTGTTCCGAGTCCACCTGCAAACAACACTTCCACCCGGAGAACTCGGGCACATATTTCTCTACCAGTTTTCATGCGAACATCATGCAGACTTCTGTAGCCATAGGTGGGAAGACACATCCTTTCATATGTGAACCGGGGTGCTGCAGTGCAGGTATACCGAGAAGATACATACTCCTAGAGCAACGTCATCTGGGCGGCGATTATGACAGTTTTTCTGTAGGCATTGAACCCTCAAATCGATTCTGCTCAATGAATGACCACTCCCAGTGGTTACGACTCCGTCTCGTAAGATGAGTGCATTACTATAGCTTGTGACGTGAACAGACATCTTCATGACAGCAAAGTCGGATAGTATACTTCCGACGGTACTGCTTTGCAGGCGCTCGAACGAAAAGTGTTCCGAGAATGTTCTTCTTTTCACACTGTCCAATTCTCTCTTTGGATGGGTTTTTGCTGCTGAACGACATTATGCAATTCTATATTTTGAGCACACTTTACACCTCATTGCTGTCAGAAAGTGGATTCGCATGAACCTCTTTTTCAGTGGCCAGGGTCACTCCACTCTCCAACTCGAAGCTTAAACAAGAAAAGAGAGCGACGATCGCTCTCGGCGAACAACGTCAACTCCTCAACACAGTCTCTTCTTTCCTTCCATTGCTATAACACGCAATGCCGGTTCATAATACTCACGCTCTCGATTCTAGTATCTCCCTTACCCCTGCAGTTTACAGCAGAAGAGCAGGAGCAAGCCGGCCGAAAGCAACCGGGATGGTGTAATTTTGGCCTGGGTGTTTCAGAAATGCCTCAGACTGGCACTTGCGACGTGCAGCCCGCAAACAACCAACTATCCAACCTTGATAGCTCCTTTCATGCGGTTGACTAGCATGACTCCGTAGATGCCAAAGGAGTCGCAAGTAAGTCACAGATTAGCGTCGATGGGGATGCCGTTCGAGAAGGCTTGCAAGTACAACTCTTGCGAGTTTCCCATACCCTTTCTTTCCTTCAGCATCTGTTCCATCACCCTGCTTTCTCTTGTCCTGTCTTTGTAGAGATCACGATTGATTCGGGATCTTGTACATTCGTTTCATTGAGGCCACCAGCATCAGATACACGTCACGACATATTCCTGAATCACGATCTCTGCCATTTCTACATTCCTTAGGCCTGCCCGGAGCTGCCAATCTCAAATATACCCAACCTGACGCGCGACAAACAAACTTCGCAGCTATCATCGACTCTTGCGAACCTTCTTCGCAAGAAAACAACTGCTGCCCAATCTCTAGCATATACGTCACACACTTGCAAGGCCGACCACAGAAACAACAACAACAAGATACCAGATCAGTATAACGACCAGAACGAGCCCAAGAAAAGAAGACTCAGCCTTCCGGATACTATCCAACCCACTGTCGCTACTGTCAATACCTCGAGACACGACAACACCAAGATCAACGTCGACATACATATCGAATCAAAACCATCCATCGACACCGTGGAAGCAGCCCATTCTACCCGTCCATCCATCATCTCCACCCTCCTGCTACCACCAGGAGCCAAACACAACTCTTCCACGAAGAAAAGAACCTGAGCGAACAATAAAACCACACATACAAGATGGCAGTCCCTCGCGACCCAAACTTCTGGAAACGCTTCAGCATGGCAGTACATCAAGACGAAGAAGCACAAGTAGATGACCAAAAGTAAGCCTTGTTCTTACATCTTCCCTTCTGCCCTTCCCCTCGTTTCTTCTGCCCTTCCCCTCGTTTCGTCTGCCCTTCCCCATCCTAAACCATCCACTCTATCCTGTCTCCTCCAAAAATCACCAACTAACACCTCCCTNCTCATAGATCAGAAACCTGGCTCATAACCACCCGCCGCAAAAAACGCCATTCATATGCCCGTTTCTGCTGCACCTTCTGGATCCTCCTCTTCGCCATCATAGCAATCGTCGTCGTTGTCTTTCTAATACTCATAAAGACACACACATTGCAAAAGATACACATAGGTGGTGAAGGACATAAAGTCGATGTCGATTTGGATGGCTGGTTGGAAAAGTTGTTCAATACTGGTGGTGGAGATAAGAGTAAGGAAGGTGGAGGGAGTTGATGAAACGCAGAGCTGATCAGGAAGAGAACAGAAGAAAAGGGGAAGTAATGGGAAGCTGATACTCTGTGAGGTCGAGAAAGGATGAGCAACGAAAATCATGTTCAAAAACTTAGATATACTCTTTGAATCAAGCAAAGCATCAATAGCATATCTTCCCATGATTGTTCACCGTATTCGTGCCTTGCCGAGAAAACGGGTGAAAATGCTTCGAGACACGAAGAATATCTGAAGCACGACATGATGAGCAGCATAATCACCACCACCACCACCGCCCGTATCAGTCACGCATATCGAACATACACAAAAGAGTGAGCAAAGACATTTTGATTGAAGCTATCGACAGTGTTTACCATCCAAAGGAAGACAAGCCACCGTTTATACGCCCCCAGCTCCACAGTCATGCTCGGAAGAGTGTTGAAGCAAAGACACAACAACACCAAAGTTCTGGTCAACCCCATGGCCAGATACTGTACTCAGCGAGTTTGAGACATAAAGACCTGATCGTTAGCAGAAGAGTGTTTGAGCAACGCTGCATGCCTATTGTTCCGCGAGGAAGATACGCAGGCTTAGATGTGCCAGCGGCACTTCTCGTTGCCGCACTTGCTGCACAGCAAGATCAGGTCGCCATTGTTGATGTCGTCCACAATCCCTCTGAATTGAGAGTTGAAGTTGATGCTGCAATCATTGCAGGACTTGTGGTCAAGAGCATACTGCTTCAGAGCCCACAAGAGTTTTTCGAGGCGGTCGCCACCGCCGCCACCAGAGGCGCGGCCATTGGGAGGGCCGGAGCCACCGCGACCTTGAGACTGGATGTTGCTGGCAGGACCTAAACCATGTTAGCGTCGTAGAGTGGAAGGATAAGTGAGTGGCTTACCAGCGCGAGCATCATTCAGTTGGGCCCTAAGGAAGTCGTTGTGGCTTGTCAGGCGCTGGATGAGGCTGTCTCTCTCATCGGGAGAGGCATTGACCTCACCATTGGTAGTGGTAGCAGGAGCAGCGGTGCTACCCATGAGACGAGCAGTGTGTGCGGTAGGAGGAGGCACGACAGAAACGGCAGCAGTGGTGTTTCCCTGAGGAGCAACGTGCTGAGAGGTGCCATTGGTTTGGACACTCGCGGTAACAACGGAGGTTCTGGAAGCGGCGTGAGGACCTCCGTTTGTCAGGCGCGAGTGAGAGCCACCGCCACCACGAGCGATGGCAGCGGCATGAGAATCGCGAGGGACATCATTGACAGATGGTACGTTGCCTGCGACGGTGCTGCTAGCTGAAGGTGCAATGCTAGGAGAGCGCATGGATTGCTCAACGGCGCTCGAGGGACCACGTATGGCGACAGTCATACGGGGAGGGACCTCGCTGGAAGAGGCACTCTCTTGATCGCCGCCCTGAATACCGGCAGCTGCACGGCGGCGTGCGATTCTCTCAGCAAATGTCATGACTCCGCTAGAAGCCACAGGCTGATCCAGCATGGTCGGAGCGGTGGGAACAGAAGGGGTGGGAAGAGGCGAAGGAGGGCGTGCAACGGGAGCAGTGCTTGACAGCTTAAGGATAGTGTCCATCGTGCCATTCATCTCGCCAAAGCCCTCGATCTTGCGCTTGGGCTCAGCATCGTATTGAGGCTGGGTAGGTTCCTGAGGGCGAGAGGGCTGGGTAGCGCTGCTGGTCATAGACTGGGATACGAAGACCGGGGCAGCAATCATGGACTGCTGAGCGTGAGCAGCCAGCTGAGCCTCGAGCTCCTTAATCTTGTCCTCTGAAGCAGTCAGGCGAGCCTGGAGCTTCTCAGCATTCTCAACTGCCTCTTTGTGCTCAAGGAGATGCATCGTGGCATCAGGCTGGCCAGTGCGCTGAGAGTTGATTTGGCGCACCAATTCAGCGTTGCGCTTGTTGGCGCTGGTAAGTGTATGACCGAGCTCAACGTTCTTGCGCTCCAGTTGCTCGAGCTGGTGCTCAAGGTTATCGATGACAGCGTCCTTGTTGACCTTTTGCATCATCAGCTTTTGAACCTGGCCCTCCAGGTTGATCGAGGGAGTCTTTTGGCCTTTGGTGTGGGCAGCCTCCTGCTCAAGGACATCGATCTGCTTCTGCTTAGAAGAAGCGGCATCCTGTGCCTCGGTAACAGTCTCTTTGAGACGAGCAGCCTCCTGTTCCAGAGCCTCAATGCGCTTTTGCCTAACAGAGGCAGCATCGAGAGCCTCAGTGAGCTGGGCCTGAAAGCCGGCAACAGCCGAAGATTCGTCAACAGAAGCAGAGTTACTGGGACCGGAGACCGAAGAAGTGTGTGGCAGCATGTTCGAGGTGCCATTGGTAGATGCCTGGAGCCTGGCCAGTCTTCGGTACAGGAGAACAGCAAGCTTGCCGTTGTGCTCTAGAACGGTGAGGAAGACCTTGTTCTCGACGAGATCTTGGCAGTGATTGAAGCACTCCTCCACCAGGTGGCCATACAACAGACCGTCAGAGTCGACCACAGATTTGAAAACAGCATTGACAAACTGCGGGAAGTCGTCTTTGTCGAACGAATCGGAGATGAAGTTGCCAAATCTATGCGCGGCCTCGACCATGAGACGATCAATGTCCCAAGTGATGGCAGCACGGTACACCTTCACACTGGCCAAAGCCTTGAGCAGTTTAGGAGATCTGCAAGGCTGCGAGGTGAGGTGCAGGTTGTGCAAACCCTGGGTCAAGGCAGCCTCTTGATACTCCAGAGGAGTGTCACTCAGTCTGTTGGCGGACGAAGGTGAAACGGGAGGCTCGCCTCTAGAAAAGGTCAAAGTCTGGTCCTCATCTTGGTATGTGCCCTTGTAGATGAAGAAGAGCACTCTCCAGACGGTCTGAACATCGAAGAGGAGGAGAACAGGAGTCTAAAAGTTCATNGATTGGTCAGAAGTGCAACTCAAAATGCAAAAGTGGAACAGCGGTACCTTTCCATCACGCAAACAGTCGTCGATGTGAAGCTGGAGCTTACAGTCCTTGAGCTTGAGCCATCCGTATTCGAAAATGAGGGTATGGAATGGGATAACGAAGCCGTCCGAGGTCACCAGGCGAACGTCAGCGCCCCTCTCGCTACCAGGGGTAATCTTGAGAGTCATCTTGGGCGGGTCCATCACTTGATGAAGTGCGAACCACTGACCAAGAGCGTGGTCTGACCTGCGCGCATATGTCAGTCGAACTCTCAACGGAAGATCAACTTCAGAGAGGGAAGGTTAACAAGACCAACCTAGTGGAAGATTGAGTGAGGTGCGAGAACCAAGAAGAGGGAGTCGCGAAGCTGGAACTGGCGGTTGTTGTGGTCGCGGAGAGGAAGGAGCAAGATCGCAGCTCAAGGCCAAGATTTTTATTCCAATCCCGAGTGTGAGAGTGCCGAGAACACAATCGAGCAGCGGCCTTGGACGTAGACGGTCTCGAGCGGAAGAATAAAGGCCTTGGAACGTTTGGGCGAGTTCTCAGTTCCGCCGACGAAGAGGGCAGAAATCTTGGTACCAGCCACGAGAGGAACGGCGAGACCGCTGGAAGGAGTGTCAAAGATATCAAAGCCACTAGAAATGAACTGTGTGTCGCTCCGATAGAGATAGCAGAGCAAGCACTGCACCAAGAGCCGAATGCGCTTTGCGGTCAGTTGAACCACTACTTACTTCTGGTTGAGAACTGAAGCGTGGAAGATGTTTTTAATGGTATCAAGGGTGAGGAAGGTCCTGTTGATGATCAAAACATGAGCGACCTTGACGCTCTGGTAGATGCCACCACTCTCGATGTGTAGATGTTGCTCAGTTTGGTTGAGCGGAAGAGCGGTGATTGCCCTGCTAATAAGTGATGGTTTGCAGTCACAGCAAAGCAAGCGACAGCTTGAATGAGAAGCAGCGTGCGTGGCTTGTTTTCACAGCTTTCAATGAGGAAGGTGCGTGTAGACGCGACTTCCCTGTTCTCGAAAGCAGCGAAATCCATCCTGCTGAAGTCAAGAGGATATGCAACTGCTCCCATCCTCATGTTTGTCTATACAAGTCAACAGTACTCGATTGCACCTATTGAGCTGCCGGATCAGAATGTGAGTATGAAACCTGTCAACTGCTGAACATTCTATAACTTTGATGCGCAAGAGCTGTTGATCCCATTTCTAGGATCAGAGTCGGTCTACCTGAGCGGACTACCACGTTATATCTCTCGTGGTGGTAATCCCACGTGCGTATGCAGTCCTACGAACACGAGTAAAAGGAACCTGGAAGCAAACTGCACAGGTGAGGTCAACAGCTGCAGTGCAGATCCCGAGGTTCTGCCATGCGCGTTGCCAAAAGAGAGACACAAGTACCATCTCCATCACGTATGTATCTTAAGGGGAGGAGTAGAAAAGAATATGGATTGGCTGGACTCATGTTGAACCATTGCTGTATAGGACTTTTGCTCATTCCTCGTAAGTATTCAAATGGACTGGCAGCGAGACGAGCAGCAGCAAAAACCATTTTGCTTGTCGATTATAGCGAGCCAGAAAGCCAACTACCATAGTCTGACCAGTAACAGCTTTCTTCAAGCCTGGCACGAACAAGGAAAGAGTCTTAGTGCAGCTCTAGTATACTCTATCGAGATTCATTCATCATTACAGGTCTACAGCTCGACCCCTCAAGCATCATTCAAGACAGCCTTGAATGCCGAAAGAAGATCCTTCTTCAGATCTTCTACATTTTCTACACCGATACTGACTCTGAGTACTCTCGGGTCGATCTTTGCGTCGCTCATACGACGCCACTCGATTAAACTCTCTACGCCACCGAGACTGGTGGCATGGTGGAAGAGACTAAGCTTGCTGGGCAAACACCTGGCAAACTTTTCCTCAGCCATCCAGATAGCAAACACGGGGTTGTAGCCTCCAGGCATTTGCTTCTTTAACCAATGCATATCATCTTTCTGCAAACTTGCATGCTGGACGCGTGAAAGAGCCTTTTGGACAATGGCAACTTCTTCCTTGGGACCTTCACCAGCTTGGAGAGTTGCGAGCCATTGGACTAGAGCCGTGGTCGTCTCGGATTGGCGTTGGACACGGAGCTCGAGTGTACGAATGCTGCGAACACCAAGCCAGCCTTCTAAACTGCCCATAACGGCACCCAGACATACACGTTCGTCCCACATGCCCCAGTATTCTTTGGTTGCATTGGGACGAGCAGGGTTGATGGCAACAACTCCACAGAGCATGTCGCTGTGGCCTCCAAAGTACTTGGTGCCACTGTGCATGACGAAGTCTGCACCGCAAGCGAAAGGGTCCATAAGTGGTGGTGGCGCGAATGTAGCATCGACTGTCAAAACAGCACCTCTCTCATGTGCCCATTTGGCATATTTCTCAATCTCGTATGCCTCACCAGTAGGGTTCAGTGGAGTCTCCAAGTGCACCACGTCACCTTCACCCAAGCCTTCCCAAGTATCCGGATTGTGTACATCGACAATCTTGCAGTGTGTGAGCTTTTGGAAGATCTTGAGCACGCCGTGGCAGCCGTGGTAACCATCGCCAATAGCGACAACTTTGGGGTTCAAAGCGACAAGAAGAGCATGGAAGGCAGCGAGACCGGAGCTGTAGGTCAACGCAGGACCCTTGAGAAGGTGCGAAAGGATGGTTTCGAGACGAGAGGTGTTGGGAGCAGCTTCGCGGCTATAGATGAGAGGGTCGGCACCGCTTCCTGGCTTCAGCGGGTCACGACCGGCCATCNNTACAACTTGGTCAGCGGCTGAGAAATGGCTCTCCCGTATGCAACGGCGACATACCACATCATCCATGCTGAAGGGCACTAGCTTATCAGGGTCCTCAGGATAGCGGTAGGTGGTCGAGACATGCATAGCAGGCGCGACATCCGTAGAGTCGTTGAGCGGGTCATCTCCATGGACGGCCAATGTCGAGGCTGAATAGTGAGAGTAGTCCATACTGAGTGATGTGTGGTTGTGTAGAGAAAAGCAAGAGAGGCGGGAAGATGGTTGAAGCTATTCAGAAGCAGGGTCTCACACCCTTCCGAATGCCTACCTGGAGATGAAATCTGTTGTCTCGTGTGAATGCCGTCCTGTCACCGTTTACAAGTACTTATCTCGTCGGACTTATGTAACATCAATCTCTTCCTTACCACCGGTCCTCCCGGCAGGGCAAAGGTTGATGCAAGGATGCTGTTGAACATGTCAAAACCACGCCCTTCACGCGTCCCCTGGTCAAGCTGTCACAGAAGCTTTGGTAGCTCGCTCAGAAAGGAAGGTGTGGCGGCGTCGGCAGAAACAGGGCAAGAACACCACTTCAACGTATCTCACACGCAGTCTTCCATTCCAAACCAACTTTTTTTTTATATTATTCATGTCAATTCAATTTTGGGTAATATTTGCTTCTGTCTTCGTTGCACTAACGCCAATGCTGTCTGGATGATACAGTAACAAGTTGTTCGTGTCCTTCTCCTCAAATGCAGCGTCCTATGAAAAATACAATCCTCGCAGAAATGTGAGGTTCAGATACGCCTCGCTCGCCCGGAAATCAAGACCCGCTTGAAAACGCTTCAAAAACCATGGGTATAAGCCTGTTTGCATGCTCGATCCGAAATGCAAAGAAAATTTTCGTTACTGCGACAAGAATGAGTCGCTGTTCGCTCACTGGCCATAAGCACCGGCTTGGTGAGGGAACTTGGTCGTAGCCTTGGTGATGGTCTTCTCACGACCATAGGTGTCGACGATAGGGAAGCGGGCACGACGCTCAAGGTCGTCAAGGTCCATGTGAGAGCGGATGTACATGTTTCTGCTGTCATCAGGAACTTGGTAGTCCCAGCTGTGGAACTCGCCAGTCTTGAGAGCACCCCAGACGAAGCGGCGACGGCGCTGCTGAGCAAACACATCCTTGGTGATGGCGTCGAAGTCCCACTTGGCAGCTGCCTCCTTCTCGAAAGCCTCGAACATGGTCTTGATCTCGGGATCCTGGCTGTTTGCGAGGTTGGTAAGCTCCTTGGGGTCGGTGGACAGGTTGAAAAGTTGAGGTGGGTCAACGGGGCAAGTAATGTACTTCCAAGGACCACGACGGATCATCATGAGAGGAGCAACAGTGCCTTCGCCCATGTACTCAGCAAAGACGGTATCGTTGCCCTTCTTGCCTCTGAGGTGAGGCATCATCGAATGACCATCCATAGGCAGACCAGGGACAAGCTTAGTGCCAACCATGTCGCAGAGAGTGGCGGGAAGGTCGAGTGTGGAAACGTTCTCGTGGACACGGTGAGGAGTATATGCCTTGGGGTAGCTGATGAGCATAGGCACACGGACGGAACTCTCGAAGTACGACATCTTGTACCACAAGCCACGCTCGCCAAGCATATCACCGTGGTCGCCGCTGAAGATGATGATAGTGTTGTCACGCAACTTGCACTTGTCGAGGACCTCAAGGAGCTTGCCGATGCAGTCGTCGACATACGAGCAGGCACCGTAGTAGGCACGCTTAGCCTTCTTGATCTGTTCAGGAGTGAAGTCATAGTTCTCAAGGTCGCAGACGTGCTGCAGACGCTTGCTGTGCGGGTCCTGATCCTCCTTNTTGATCTGAACGTCGGGCATGTCAATGTCGACATCCTCATACATATCCCAGTATTTGTCCTCGATGGTGTAAGGGTCGTGAGGGTGGGTGAGGGAGACGGTCAAGGCGAAAGGTCTAGCATCGGGACCCTGGCGAACGTAGTCGTACAGGTATTGAGTGCTCTTGTGCATGCTGGCCTCGTCATAGTCGAGCTGGTTGCTGCGCACGCAAGGGCCTGCCTGAAGGATGGAGCTGCTGTTGTGGTACCACTCGAGGCGTGTGTCAGGCTCGTCCCAGTTGACAGCCCAGCCATAGTCGGCAGGGTAGATGTCGGCAGTCAGTCTCTTCTCCCAGCCGTGCAATTGGTCGCCAATGAAGTGCATCTTGCCGGCCAAGACTGTTTCGTAACCGGCGTGACGGAGATAGTGTGAAAATGTGGGCGTGTCGGAGCTAATGGACGAGGCATTGTCGTATGCGCCAATTTTTGAAGGAAGCTGACCAGTGACCAATGACATGCGCGAGGGTGCGCAGAGAGGAGAAGGGCAGTAGGCCGAGTCGAAGATGACTGATTTCTCAGCAAGCTTGTCGAGATTGGGTGTCTTGATTTGGGACTTGTCGTTCCAGATCTTGAGTTGAGGAGCAGCCAGCTGATCTGCCATGATGAAGAGAATGTTGGGCGTTTCAGGAACTTGAGGCGTGGAAGCACCATTCTGACCGAGGAAGCCAGGAGGAGGTGTCTCTGGTGGCGTGGAAGTCATTTTTAGGGTTGGGTAGAAAGGCAGAAAGTAGTTTCGATGAGAGGCACACGATCTCTGGAGGGAGGTCGGTGTTGTTTATGAGCGATCCCTTGGCTTGGAAAAAGATCTGGCAACGTCGTCTTTAGAGTAAACGAAATAGCGGTGATGAGCAAAGCGAATTCGATTGAATTCTTCCGAAGACTGCGTGATAGACAATAATTCAAAACAGATAAGGCGCGCGTGCTCAAATCTGGATTCTGGTTGATAGCGAGTTCCTTTGCATGTGAAAGTCAGGAGTTGCGGATGATATAATGCGTTAAGAACGTGTGGCTGAATTAGATGATTGTCGATCGATTTGATTGGCCTGCAGGCAGCAGAATAAAAAGACAAACAAGATGGAAATGGGGAGACAAAGAGTTTCAGAGGAACGACAGAGCTTCTAAATACTTTGGTGACTTGCTGACGAGTCTGAAAGGGGCAATGCGTCCTGGGTGATGTGAGCAGGAATTGCGTGCTCTCACACCATCGCTTTGAAATCGAGAACGCGACTCTGGAGTTTGCAAAGCGTCCGTGTCATCCATCGTGTCCGCAACCGCTCCCCGGAAGTCTACCCCGTAAATTTGCTGCAGGCGCCCCGGACCTGCAGCTAGCGTGTCATTCCCAGGATTGCAACATATCACCTCATCGATCTGCCACCTCCTCTCCAGTGATCTTGCTGGAAATGAGCCTCCATGCACAAAACGGCCCTCTTGCACGCGAGTGAAAAAGTTGTAAATTCTGGGGTACCTCTGGCCTGCTTATAGCTACTCAAAGAAGACGGTACATGCATCGGAGTACCCTGAGATAGATAAGATCCGAACATCTTGCATGAGGCTGTAGGACAAATGTCTTGAAAATTTGGACGCACGGACGAAAAAATTGCCATCCGGTGCACGCGAGGCGACCAAACGCCAGACCACGATGATCTGTCCAGCCAACGCAACAAAGCAAAAGGAGGAGAAAGCACCGGAACGAGAACAATGGAGTCACGCGCTACAGAACTTCCCTCACTCTGGGCCGTTGCATTCGGCGCTTCCGTCGTAGCAGGCCTCGCAGGTTACTTCCTGGGCACTGCCTCGTCTATCGGTGTGTTTGGCAGCAACCTCCAGCAGCGCGTCGTTAGCAGCACCGGTGCTCAGCATGAAAAGGAGCACGACGGCAGCGATGATGAGCACGACAACGCATCCGAGTCCGATTCTGAGGACTCCGAGGATGATCAGGAGATCAATGGTTTTGAGGATTTGACCGAGGAATGCAAGCTCGTTCTCGTAGTTCGCACTGATCTGGGCATGACAAAGGGTACGTATCACATTCTCTTTGCTATCAATCAACATCACACGCCCTCTGTTTCCCCTCACTCCTTCTGCCATCGACAACATACCCGCTGTGCATCTTCAGCTGCCTGCATCTCACGGGTTCAATGCCCTGAAAGAGAAAAATAATGCATACCACGATGACCACTGTCTGACAAATCGATTCATCTTTCGCTGCGATACANNGGCAAGATAGCAGCCCAGTGTTCACATGCCACCCTTGCATGCTACAAGACCCTTGTACGCCAGAACTCGCCAATCCTCAAGCGCTGGGAAGGTTACGGTCAAGCAAAGGTCGCCGTGCAGGTCAAGAGTGAGGAAGATTTGTTGATCCTCCAAGCTCAAGCTATCAGCCTGGGTATCTGCGGACAGATCATCCACGACGCCGGACGTACCCAGATTGCCAGTGGTAGTGCGACAGTACTCGGAGTCGGCCCTGCTCCCAAGTCCATGGTTGACCAAGTTACTGGACATCTCAAGCTTCTGTAAACAAACGGTCGTCGAAAACGTGGCGAACGTCATGGGAGCTCATGACTCCAGTGCTCCACAAACTCGAAGCCCGACAGCGCGATGGACGTATGACGAGAAAATGCATCACATAAGCTCATGCGAATAGCGTTATCGCAACATCTCTCCATCAAACGCATACTATTGATGGCATGCATCAGTCCTTGGCTCTGAGGCTTCTATTCACAAGGCATGAAATAGCAGCGCGAAGGTTTTCGAATTCGATGTTCTAGAACACCATTTCACAAGCCACTCTCAACGTCTGCATCGGCATGTTCTCCAAACTTACAATCGTGTGTCCTGATCCATTGTTTGCAAAGGACCTTGCGCGCACCGCTATCGCTGCCTCTCAATGTCATGTTTTGTTAGCACGCATCACTAAATGCCCACTGTACAAAAGGCGAGCCCAGTAGCTGTGGTGTAGAGCATATGCCAGGATCTCTTGAGTATATATACTTTTGACAATGACACGAGTGACGACAGTGCAAGCATATCATCACAGGTTGTCTATGCAACAGGTCTTGTCTTTTAGATAGATCGCAGTTGTTCTATCGCGTCCTCATCGTATAAAAACTAGTGTCTTCATCTCTCATGGGATGACGGTATAAACCGAGACTGTAAAAATGCACAAAAGTGTCAACAGATAGGGTAGTATCAACCGAGAGGCTGACTCTTATCCCTCTCCTTAGTCATGCTTCTGATCAAAACTCACTTTGTGCATTTCGATAGCTTCATAAATCGCGACTGTGCGCAAAGAAGAGGCTCGGCATGAAGAAGCGCAGTCAAGGCGAACAACATCTTTGATGAAGGACCATCGGTTGTATGTAATTATAATGGTATGTATTGTAATGATTGTAACAGTTGCTTCTGAAAGAGACAAAGCTAGTCACCATGAGCTAGAGCAATGCAAAAATAAAAAGCAATGGACTGAAAACAACACTGTCTTCCATCAAGAGCGACCCTCAACTCTCAAACCGTGAACTCCTTGCTCCAGTAAGCAGGCAGGTCGATACGGCTTGGGGTGGTCTTCAAGGAGTGGAACTTCTCCAGATCGAAGGGACCGATTTTGCTCTTGTTCTTGGCTCTTCCGCCTGGCACCTGTGGGCGCAGCCAGAAGTATCCATTCTCTTCATCCCACGCAACACATAAGTGGCCAGTGTTCCAACAAGTCTTGCAGGCGTAGTGACCTTCACCCTCCACGGTGAGGTAGCATTTGCTCTGGTTCCATAGCACGGAACGAACACAGCCAGCGGTCTTGGCCTTGTCAGACCACTCAGGGTTCTTCTTGTTGAAGTCCTTGAGTTGCTTTCTCCATGCCTCGCGAAGGCGTTCGCCATCTCGTTTCCATGCGTCGGAAGTTGCTTTGTTCTCATCCTCGGCAACCTCCAGTTCAAACTTCTCGGAGTCCAGCCAGATAGTGGTGTGTTCGTCAACTGCGTTGGTACTAGCATTGAGTTTACCAGTATCTGCGACGGATTGATGCTCGATGACTGTATCGATCTTGAGTCTATCAGCAGCCAAGTCGAGTTCGAGATTGCCGTTTGGAACCAGTGGAGGATGTTCGCTCTTGACACGGCGGGGAGCACTACCGGGATCATCTNNATTGCCATGTGAGTCAAAGAATCAAAGCGATGACAGTACCAACTCACCATCGCCGACGGCTTTGCGCTTGTTGGTTGTGGAGCTGGGTGGTGGAACGGTCCTGCTACTGGGAGTACTGTCAGCGGTAAGGCAGGTACAAAACTGGTTCGATCAATGAATTGGTACGCACGGTGTAGAGTCTGGTGCGTCTTGACCACTGAAGATGCCAGAGTCTGGCTGCAAGAGCTGATTTTCGGCTTTCAAGCTGTTGATCTCCTGGATGTAGTTGTCGGATTTGATGGCATTCAGCTTCTTCAGTAGATCCTGGTTGGATTCTTGCAGGAACTCCAGCTTTTGGGAGAGGTTGCGCTGTTCGCGCTGNTTCACGGTCAAGAACTGAACTTGTAGTAAGACATCGGACAGCAGGCTTACATTGAGGTTGACGACTTCCTTCATGTTTGACTCAACTTTCGCCTCAAGTGAGGCAAGGTCAGCCTTAGGCTCTCCAGCCAGCAGCGCGATTGATGGAGGCATGCCGTGATGCAATGACAATTGATGGAGATGGACAGGTCCAGAAGGAGTTGAAAGAGCGAAGCGCAGAAAGAGAAATGAAGTGGAGGCCCCTCCGATGAAAGAGGCACTGGTTAGGAAGTCGCATTTCCGTCGTTACTGCCTTGTTTGACGAAGTTACGGGAGTGACGCTTCGAGCCGGATTATTCGGCTCTCACTAAACAACAACCCAGACAACCGATCCCAGCTATGCTTGGCCATCGCATTGCAGCTATGAGAGTGCACAATACTATTCAGATGGGAGTGGTGTTCTTTGAGAGACCAGTATTTTGTGGCATCTCCATGGCCACTCTCCTGGTTCGTAAAACGGTCATGCATCTGTACAGCTCACTATAACGCCAAGCATTATTTTGAGAGCATCAGTGGTGTCTTTGACAGGGTTTGCTGTGTCTTCTCAAGCAAACGAATGAGTTCTCTGCAGACATTCCTATCTTTGGTAGCCTCACCACTTGTCAATGCCTCATTCAGCGGTCTGCGACTTTCTCCACAAGGGCTTCTTCCAACTCCATCTTTTGCTCCAGTCTTTCATGCATTGTACTGGTTGAGCAGGTTCCTGACTTGCTCCTCATCATTCGCCTGTATCGTGATCCCCACATCGTGTTCGTCCATGTGATGCATTACGTTGGGAGGGTCTCGTATTTGAGCAGTGTTGAGTTCCGATCTCATGCGACACACATCATCATACTGTGACTAGTTAGCGATACAAAGATACAGGACTGGCTGAGTACTCACCAGGATCTTAGCTTTAGGATAGATATCCTTCAGTGGCTCGATGATCATCTGACATATCAACACAGCACCAATCCTATTTTCTTGACCTGGTGCTGAGTATCCCACTTGTTCGGGTATGAGAGTCAGAATCTTCGCACACTGATGTGCGCAGCCGGAAATGGCGGCATCATGTACTGGTTTTGCAAGGCCGAGGTCTAGCACTTCTGCCCACATCTTCGTCAGCTCGATGGCATGCGACAGACATTTCAGCCGCAGATTCTGTGCGAAGTTCAGAGGTGTGTTTCGCAGCGCTGCTTCCGAGATACATTCTTTTGTTCCTGACACGGTCAAGCGATGCAAGTCCAGCTTACATTGCAACCGCCAAGTGTGAAGCATGATGTAGCTTGAGAGCCCGGGTGCGTACATTCGTTTCTGCAACTGCGCCTTGTCCCACTGGAGGTCCAGCGGGATCTGCTGCTCGATTGTGTCGATTGCAGAGTCTAGAGCAAGGAAGTCTTGTGCCGATGTGTAAAGACTGTCGTCCGTGCAACGGACGCGCCCGGTAAACCTTTCCAATGTTAGCCCGAGTTTACGCAGCAGCAGCAGTAGCAGCAGCGAGATGACATACTTGTGAATCTTGTTGCGCAGTAGATCCAGCAGACGGACGGTGTAAGCAAACTCATCCATACCCTTGGCATTGCTAATTGCTACGCCATCTTCAACCCTAGGTCGAAGGACCTCTGTGTCGGTACGCTGTCCAAAGCCAAAGGCTCTCTCGATCGTGGGCAGCCGAACCTCCATGTGTTCGGCAGGGATCAAAGTCAACTCGTCGACTCCACCAGAACAGAACTTGTCGAGGACAAAGATAGACCACATGAGACGTCTTCTAGACTCTTGCTCGACTATTGACAAGGTAGCGTCTTCGTAGTTGAGCCGCTTTGTGAAGGCAAGACGAGCCGCCAACCCAAGTAACATGAGAGCTTTTGTGGAGTGTACCTGGTAGGTAAACTCGAAGAAGGCAAGCAGGGTTAGAGCTTGCAATCGAGGTACAGTCAAATCACCGAGATTTTGTAGAGCGTCCACCTCGGCTTCATGCATCCACTGTGCTGCTCGTTCATTGTCTTCCTGAGTAGTTGAGAAAACTCTAAGGGCGCACCCACAAACGACCTTCAGCAGAGACACGTTCACGGTATGAGTGTGCCATTGGCGCAAGAATGTCGGTTGATGTAGAAAGTTCATGCAACCAACAGGATACACAAAGCGAAAGAAGGCTTCTATGTACTCGGCAATGACCTCTTTGTCTAGACCCAGANNCTGACAGAGGATCAGCCATGATTGTTATGATGCGATGGCAGTCATCGGAACTTACTAATAGTCATGCTTTATGGTGTGCGGCACCAGTCGGGGAACCTGCTGACGAGCCATAGAAGCTGGAGCTTGGTAGATTTGACCAGGCTGCAAGTTCGATGATGGCGAACCATTCAGCTGATATTGACCAGGCACATCATAACGCGGTAAGCCAGCTTCCCAATTCTGAGTCGCGGGACTGTCATCACCAACTTGACTCCTGTTGACGGCAGGATAGACACATGATTGATCACGTATGGCGCATGCACTACATGGCGTCTCCCCAGAGCAGCGGACCTTTTGTCGACGACACCAGTCACAGGCAACTCGTTTGGGAGCACGGTCTTTGGCTTTNTGTACGCGATTACGATTCGCAGAGCGTGGTGGACGTGGAGCGGTGGCGGTACTCGTCAAGTTGGAGCAGATGTACGCATTTCGCACGCAGCTTCCGCAAGGCTGGCGAGGATTTGCAACGTCTGTCTCGCAGTGTAGTCGTCGTGTGCGACACTCGACACAGCCAACAGGAGCTGTATGGGTAGATGTTTCCAGGGTCCTTTCGGTTTCTGCCGGATGCTGGTCGGTAGACATGATGGTGGGAGATGGCTGTTTAGCAGAAGGACATGGTTGGTTGTCAGCGGAGAGAACATGAGGCTGGGCGCTAAGAGCGGGGCTGGGGAACAGGTCTTTACCCACGCCGCCGAACTCCAATCAGAACTCTTATCACGATACGCTATCTCTTTCATACAGCAACTCTGCAGGCTAACAAGATCTCAGACGGCTCAGATCCATAGTTGCGAGAAAGAATCAGTTCGATCAAACCGCACCCACCTCGCCAGAAGGGTGAATTCGACAACGTAGGTACAACGCTGTTTACGACCCGCTCATGTTCATCTTGTGACAAACCCTCGCGGTCGAGGGAAATATGCAGACACATCTGAGGGTTGTCTGAGACATCTTGAAACTCGAGAAAAGGGAAACGCTAATGGTAGTTCGGTTCGTTTGTGCCCCAAGCGGTACGACACGCGTGTATCAAGCACATTTCTTGCCTATCTGTGACCTATACCACAAGAGTCACCAGGGGCAGTCTTGCTATACAGAAACCTCAACGTAAGGGACGATAGTGAGTGGATAAGCCGCGATGAGGTCGGAAATCTGGACGTCTGGACTCTTGTACTCGCACCCAAGGAGATTGTTCTCGCCGCCAAAGTCGATGCTAAGTTCTCCGCCACCAGCTCAACTAGATGGATCTATGAAGAGCTCGACCAACATCGCTTCTTCACTAGATGATTGGTCAAGATGCTCGGCTCATTCCAAGTAAATGGGCAGGGTAATAACAATAGCGTGGATGGTATTGCACAAATCTCCCAACAGAGCTTTCCACTGTTTACTCGCGGCCTCTGGTGGTTCTGATGATCATGTCGAGTCCATAGGCTTTGTCAACAATCACACTCTTTGTCTATCATTCAAGCCTTCCTACAAGGCTCTATCCTGATTCTTTTAAAGCAGACGTCAACTCTAGATATATGCAAGCGGCATACAGAGCAACTGCTAAGTAGCTGCCTATGGCTATGACCGTTTGAATTTCGTGGCGCTGACATACCGAGACTTGATGAGTTGACTGATGCCATGCGCATTTACGTAGCTGGTTTTCCGTGAAAGCCCTGTACCTGGACGGTGCCTGGACTGATGTAGTGATCAGTGGTTGGCTCTAAGGAGCAGGCGATGCAACTTACATGCCGTAGAATAAGCAGAGTATCAAAGATCAGACTTGGCTAAGTTGGTCGTACGCCGAGACCATCATCGGCAGTCTTGTTGACTCGAGACGACATCGTTGTGGTCAAAACAAGCAGAGCTTCATCTTTGTGTTTGTGAATTTCGTTCACCAGCAAATCAACACCACTCCATCGCTCAAGTACAGCCGAAACAAAACATCATCTGCCAGGATAATCAAATGCATTCGACTGCTCCTAAAGAGTCTGTCACAGCGTCTCGCCTCATCTTCACTTCCCGCAGACGCACCAAGGCACTTAGCAAACGCCGCATCTTCTGTAAGTACATACGATAAGATTCACAAGCAATCTTGTTGACGACAAAACAGGCAGTCGCGTCAAGCAGGCCGAGCACGAGGCAGAAACTATTGCTTGGCTGTGGTTGAAGTCCCACTTCAGTCTTCGTGCTTGAGATTGGGCTGGCCGTACCTTCCTTCTGAGCGCACAAACAGTTTTGCTTCAGAACTTCATCTTCGAGTTTCTCCTTACACCCGTCACAACTTGCACATTCAGCCAACCTATTCGGATACCTTGTTGCATCAGGAAATAGGTCCTCTCTTGTTTCGTGGTCGACCAGCCAACTACACCAAGGAAGAGCTCAAACCTGCCGTCGATATGTTGGTAGCTCGTAAGAAGACAAGACAAGCAGACTTGATCAGCCTGAGAGCGAGCCTTGGGAAGAGGTCAGAGAAGGAAGGTGCTCGCTAGAAGCGCAAGGCAGAGGACATCGAAACTCAACGAACCACGAAGAAGAGAAGTCGAGAGGAGAATAAGAAGTTCGACGCTGATGTCGATGGACTTGGGGCTGACTTCGAGGCTCCGCGCACACTGGTTGAACAGAGGATCGGCGTTGTTGCAGAAACGGAGGTCGCGAATCGCTTTCACACACTTCAGCAGGATTTCATCAAGCTCATCAATGCTTGGACATAGAGCCATGACTTTCAATGGCTTTGGACGAGGGATGCATAGGAAGACTTGCTGGCCTTCCGGTTGGGAGATTGTCAATTGCTCCTATGCTGTTCTTTGTTGGTCGGGACGTGAAGCTATCGTTCTAGTGTCATCCTTTGCAGTCAAGATATCAAGCTTTCTCGAGTCGAAATTCGTTCTTGTATGACATGTTGCCTTCATCGTAGGGCTGTATGGAGTTGCTTCTGTGCATCTACTCCCTCCATTGAACAAAAGGGCAAAACGACATCCACAGAGGGTAAGTGATGTTTCCAAACTACCAGACCAGTGGATTCTTTCTTGCAGGTTGGTCCCGCAAGTATCTTGCTTACGCTTGTTGTCCAGAGTTGAAGGATCTGTCGTCAGACTTGAGGTATTCAGGGTATAATCTGCCAGATGGACGCATTTGTCCGCGATCTGTCTTCAATCATTCTTTCAACTGCTGTGAGGCATGATTGTTGGCAACATCGAGCTCAAGGTCAGCGAAAAGAGTATAATGCGGTTCCGCGCCGTATCTGAACCAGCCGGTCGATGGTGCCAAACCTTTCGAGCCCGTGCTGCAGGATCTGGTTGCAGTAGGATAGCTTCTCACGGAATATGGAACATTGCCAACATGCAAGAGAAAGTGGATGTGCATTCGTGTCGACCGTGGTAGCCAAAGGAACATGATTGTAGAATGCAACACCAGGCTTGATTCGAAGGACTTTATCCTACTTCTTGGCCGGCGCTTTCGTGAAGAAGGAACTCAGCTTCATCATGCCCGTCGTATTGACCTTGCCCAACTGTTTGACACCCCTACTCATGTTCTTCTTTTTTGCCTCCTCCTCTTCCTTTTTCCTTCTCTTGGTAGCTTCTCTTTCTTCAGCCTCTTCGTCGTTCATGGTGCTGCGCTTGCGGGATATGTTGTCAGACAGGGAGCGAAGCGCTTGAGCGCGGCGTTTGGCGTCGGCAATATGCTCAAGGTGCGCGTCGAGAGGAGCGAAGTCTACGGGCGCTGTAAGGGGTTCCTTGAGCAGAGTATTCATTTTTGAGTGGAGAGTTAAGGGAATATAGGTTGAGAGGAGCAGATTCAGTGCGGTGCGAAGGCGGAGAAGGGTGATGATGTCGTCAGGGGTGGACTCGGAGGCTGATGTGAGAGAAGTGGCTTCGGTAACGGCCGATGTTTGAGAAGGTTGGGATTGGTCTGCGGTTGTCGAGGGAGTCGGTAGGTCTGCATCTGCTGCATGGATTGCTTCGTCTTGTGACTCTGTTCGTTGCACAGCCATCATAGGAATGCGGAGGGCTTCTTGAACAAAATGGGTCTCTATAGACGCAGGGAGACCATTGGCAGTCATGCGACGGGCTTTGCTGACGAGCTCAAGTAACAGCTTCGCATCGGACAAGCGGAACATCTTTTCATGACCGAGATCAACATTGTCACAAACAGCACCCGCCCTTTTCTCAAATGACTCTTGTATCTTCGTCGAACGAAGCAGATGGGTCAGATGTTTTGCTCCCTCGGCTAGCTTGTCGAGGTGATCGTCAATCGTCAGGAAGAGCTGCTCGTGCGAGTTGGCGGCAGGAACCAAGGCGGGTAGGAGAATGAAGAGAGGGTCGACAGGTGTCGCAACAAAGAAGTCTGCATTCTCAACGCTATAGCCTGTTGCAAGAATAGATCCTTCATCCGAATCATCTGTTGTTGGTTGGCCGGGAGCGATCAACAAACTCCGAGGTGTCTTCTTTGGTGCAGCGATTTTAGTGAATTCATAAATCCCAGTATCCGGGCAAAAGAAGTATCGAGTAGGAGCTGAAGAGGCTGGGTTGGGCAGAGTAACGACGCGGGCATCTGGCGAAGCTTCATGTGGTAGAACGAAGAGGAGAGGAGGGTTGCTGCTGCTCGGGTCCAGGCCGGCGTTCTCAATATTGCTTTCCTCACTGGGTTCAGCAGCTTTGGTCGAAGTCTTTGTTGCTCGAGTCTTCATGTTGAATTGTGTGTAGTAGATACAAAGTAGCAGATGTTGCAGAAAGTCAGTGTGAGGAGACGCGACTGTCGCCAAAAAGTCATTAAACTTCCCAAAGAAGACCAAATCACAACGCGTGTCACGTTCTCTTGGCAGGTCCCTTGGACCCTGGATGTGTTGATTGGTTTGCGATGCAGGTCACACACCGTCTCTGCAGGCGTAAATTACTCTGGACATCATCATCATCATCATCACTGTGATAACAGTCAACTAATATTATTCGGATTCTGAGAGGAAAGTCTTGTGTGAATTCAGTGTCTCAAAACCTTCCAAAACAGGCTCAGATCAAGGTTATCCGGTGGCTTCAAAGGAGCCGGGAAAAGGTCAGATTTCCAGGACAACCTGCCGGCGCATCCTGTACCACGGTTACACTGATGCTCGACCTTGCATCCTTGTCCGACCGTTGTGTACATATGTCATGACGACCGTCTGTCAAACAACTAGCATCCTCTTAGCGACTCCCTGAAAATGCAGGCCCGCCAGTCTCCCAAAGCCAAAGGTATTCAAGCTCCTCTCAAACCCTGCGTCGTTCTTCAACATGAACCGCGTCAGTGCTGACCGTACCACAGCTGCGGCTTCCCAAAACAACATCAATTGGCCACCAAAGTCACCCCTCGAAGCTCTACTCAGCTCTCCCAAAGGACAGAGACGTTGGCAGGAACACAGAGACCGAATCAGCCAAGAACGCGACCGTGACGTCTCACCCTCTCCTCGCAAACAACCACCCTCATCCAGCAGAGCCCTTCAGGATATCATGGCCTTGTCCGAGGAACACAGCGATGATGATGAGGAGATCCTCCAACTCCAACTTCAAGCCATTCAAGCGAAGCTCAGATTGAAGAAGCTCCAGAAACAAAAGTCGTCGCAAAACACAAACGATGACGACTCGAGACCGAGTTCGGAAAACTCATACTCACCACGGAAGAGACAAAAAACTCATTCGGCAGCCTTCGACAATGCCGTTCAAGTCGACGTATCACCTATCAAGAGCCACATGCCACCTCCTGCACCGCCCGGCTCGACATCACCCGCACGCGTCCTTCTGGGCATCGACAAGGGTCTCAAAGCCTCGGACGTTTCGTTGAAAAGAGCTAGGAATGGTATAACCAAGAACACAACCAGAGCGACACTACCTGCAGAATCTGAGCGACCAAAGCAGAGTTTCAGCGATCGTATTGCTGCCAATCGTCTGTCCGCCGAGCAGCAACAAGCCAAACAAGAAAGAATTGAGAGGTCTAGGTCACAAGGATTTGGACTTACCGCCCAAGCGACCCCTCGTCCCACGCGAGAGACGATACAACCGAGGCCGCAACTGTCACGAGCACAGAGTGATAGAGCTACTAGACAACTACCCACCGAGAGCACTACTAGCAGCTTCAGCCGTTCAATACCTACTTCTTCAGCTTCAGAAAGTCCTTTCGTGTCTCAACGTGCTACTCAACAGTCATCATCGACCGAGGTCAGGGGCCGTTCGTTTCGTCCTACTGTAGGCTTTTCCCACGACGACACACCTACTTCCACCGAACCCGCAACAGACGGGTCCTGTTTCGAGAGCTTCTCATCACTCCATCTCTCCAAACGAAAACTGCCGCATACAACTTTGGCGCGAGCTTTGGATGGCAAGGAAGTCTACACCCTACCTCGTTTACTAAAGGAGATCAAAGCACCGACATACGAGCCTCCAGACTGTGAGACTGACTTTGTCGTCCTGGCTGTCATCGCTTCGAAGTCTACCCCTTATGATACTCGCCCGAAACACAAGCAAAACTCCTCTGTCGATGACGACAATTCTGGTCCTACGAAGTTCATGGTCATGACACTTACTGATCTGAAGTGGGAGATCGACTTGTTCCTCTTCGATACTGCTTTCGAGGCCTTTTGGAAAATGACGCCTGGAACGGTCATCGCTATGCTGAATCCCTCAATCATGCCTCCCAAGACCAACCAGCATTCAGGCAAGTTCAGCTTGAAGCTTGCTAGTTCTGAAGATTCCGTCATGGAGGTTGGCTCTGCACGAGACCTCGGCTTCTGCACAGCTTTGAAGAAGGACGGTCAAGAATGCCATTCCTGGGTCAACTCCCGCAAGAACAAATTCTGCGACTTTCATATTGAGCTGGCGATTAGCAAGACGCGAGCATCCCGAATGGAGGTCAACACCATGTATCGTCCCAACAGCGAGTACAAGAAGGATTCGCGTGTTCTGCCAGGCGGATACCTTGAACGCCGAAAGGATCCTATCAAGAAAGATTACGAGAGCAACGAGCGATATTTTATGATTCCGGGTTCTCGCACGACCGCTTCCCTCCTCGATCAAGATGACTATGGCAAAGCAGATGCCATGCGTCGCCGCCTAAAGGATAAGGAGAAGGACCGTCTCCTCGCCGAGAAGTTGGGGCAGATGGGTAATGGCATCGGAGCAGAGTACTTGAGAAGTACAACTGGTACCTCCGCCAGGAACACGGCCTTGGACAACACGAATGAGGACGCACCCCTCTACAAACCTACCGCCGCCGAGCTTGGCCTGATCAACAAGAACCCTTCTCAAGTCCGGCTCAGCCCAGCCAAAGACCGTCGGAAACTCTTCTCCGTTCTTCCTGGTGGCAAGAAGACTACTGCTGCAGGTCCTGAGGCTATGGGATGGGGCGGCCATGCAAGACGTGGCTTAGGCGACGCGTCTCGCAAACGCGATCTCAGTCCAGAGAAAGGACAGACCAGACTCAATACACATACACGACCCAGCTCCATTGCTTCTTCCATGGCTAGCGCTGGCGCTGGTTCTGGAGAGAAGAGTCCAAAGAAAGCTAGGTTCCAGCTTGCAAAAGGAATCAGAGAGCCTGGAAGAGACAGTCTAGATGCCAGGGTCGTCCTCGATGATAGCAGCGATGATCTGGAGATTATCTAGATTTAGAATCGCTCAATGATTCATGAGTACCGGCAGTTGGATCGCACAGATCCTTTGGTCGCTGATCTGATACGGCTTTACTAGTAGCTTCCTTATACCCCTTCTGATTTTGATATTTCCCTCGGTCAAATCGTTATGGTTGCCGAATCACGACCCATGCAGTCGTCCTGTCTGCCTTCGCGCGAGACTCGCGGACATTTTCTAGCATCATAATCGTGGACGCTTGATGATAATGCCGGACAGCGATAGCTCAACAATCAAAATCCGAGTCCCAAAATCCGGAGCCGACGGTGGTGACCCTGGCATGACGTGCACTTCTTCCACAGCTATAAGCTTCTCCAAGTCCAATCAATTCATCAACAGGAAATATCAAATCGCTGAACATCAAACAGCAACCATCTGCAACGCTCATCACCATCTCTCCGACCTCGAACACTACAAGACTACTACGCGAAAGCTTCATCAATATGGATACTTCGACCGCCATCTCCACAGCCAAAGTTCTTGGTCCCACTATCTCCCTCGCAACCGCGGGAGTTATTCTTTCATTGTCCGCCTTTTACACACCCCTTCTCTCTTCCTCGGCCCGCTCCCAGTCCTCAGAGAAGCCGTCGCCCAGCTCGACTCTACCAGCTATTCGCTTCATTTTCTCACGAGGTAGCCACACGATCCCTCAAGCTGCCGCGCTCGCAGCTGCCAACTTTGGCTTCTTGGCTTATCACGCTCCGAGTACTGTTGCCAAAGTCTTGGGCATGGAAATTGGAAGTAGGGCTGGCTTTATCGCAGCGGGAGTGTTGAGTATGGCTATTGGTCCTATTACTGGAATCATGTTGCCCATCTGCAATAACCCTTTGAGGGAGATGGCCGAAATCGAGAGACAAGGGAAGGGTAGCCAGATTGACGAGGGGAAGCTGAAAGAGATGGTGAAGAAGTTTGAGTGGCTGAACTATGTTAGGGGTGCAGTCATTTTGGCTGGTGGCATGCTCGGACTGGCCGTGATCGTTGGTTAGATAGTGGGAGCACAGCCAAAAAGACAGTCGGCATCAGTGCTTCAATTCAACTCTGAGAGAAAACTGAGCAGTCAGGATATCTAGTATCTAGAGTCTGGACTCTCAAGACTTTCTTGACTCGTAAGGGGGTCCAACCCATGCCCACCTCTGTTGGAGAGCAAGCCACCTCTATCTGCGTCACCAAGAAAGACAGTACGGCCTCTGCAGGAAGGCCAGGTGCCGAAAGCTTCCTCGATGGAATTGCCAAAAGCCTAGACCATGACACACTTTCATTCCAGAAGCACATCGAAGAAGGCGACGTAGAAAAGCTGAGAAAGGAGCTTGTTGAACTTACAAGACGCGTCAAGGACTACTCTCGGGAATTCGCAACCGCCTTTATCTGTGAGCTTACATATCGATGTGAGTGATGAGTAGGAAGCTACAATAGTCACCTGTGATGGTAGGCATTGTACTTAGTCCTCGGGACATGATCACAAAAATGTCCCAGCAATGTTACGAGCCATCGAAAACACTCGGAAGCCTATTCCAATCTGTACCTTCCCCCTGCGAGTTGCAGGATAACATTCACGACCTTCGACTCACGCATGAAGAGAGAACCTGCAACTTTCGCTTGAGAGTCCGAGCTGCGTTGGCGTGGGTTGGAAGTTGCCTCGAGGAAGCCACGAAGCGTCAAGCTCTCCTTCCCTCTTGACTCGCGCTTCTTTCCTCTGTTGCGCACTGCATCACTTGAAAGTCCGCATGTGACAGCCACCATCGACCAAACATTGTACTGCCGTCTCCATCTTTTCTTTCCTTCCTTCAATCCCACAAAAACTTTGGCGGATCTCGCTTGCGTCTTGCCTTGCACCATACTCGACAAACCACTCTTCTTTCCTCATACTCTCTATACTAGGGCCGACTTCCGCTATGGCAGATCTCGGAACTAATGGCTCGGAGCCTGCTGCCGAGAATCATTCATGCATCGAAGTTTGCATCGAAGAGCTGTCGAGCGAGTATGATCAGGTGCAAACAGCGCTTGGCGCCCTCAGAGTCGAGATCAACCAGAAAGGGCCCACAGCTAACCTGGAAGATCGATTGTATTCAAAGATGGAAGACGAGAAGTCAGTCGGCACAAGGTTGAACCTCGCTCTCTCAGTCGTCGCAACGTCCATCGACGATCTGGTGCAAGTCTCACGAGATCCACCATCTATAATCGCCGTTCAAGAATTGATGGGGTCTATGGAGTACCTCAACAATGAAGTTTCGGTTGAATACTTGAGTACAGTTATAGCCATTCTCGATGATGGCATGCCCACATCACTCGCGGACGCCTTTGAGGATCTACTTTCTGCCTCCAAATCTCTGTCAAAAGAGCACGCTTCCAGGGTTACCAAAATCCTAGAGACAACACAGCTTGCCGTCAAAGACCTTGCAGCAGATCCTGGAGCACGGTGGTGGGCCCGAGAACGAGCAGCAATCCGGGCTCTTGACATGGACCGTCAACGTAAGCAGCTGGGAATCTCCACACCTGCTGTCAAACCTCTGTCTCCAAACAGCAATCGCCAGAATCCTCCCCATATACAAGTTCCAAATGCGTCAGCTCACGACACCCAAATCAAGAGATCTAAGATGTCCGATCAAAGCTTGAAAGTGCGATCTTTCCACACTTATCTCAATGATCTTCTCACTCGAGTGCCCGAAGATCGTGTTCTGAAAGGTCTTCAGATGATAGATCATGGTTGTCGATCTGAGCATGATTCTGAGACAGAGACGAAGGATTGCGAGAGTAGTCAGCCTCTGGAATGGAACGGCCACAAGTTACTGGAGAAATTTGGACATGGAGAGATCAAGAAGGTGGCAGCAGACTTGCAGGAGAAAATCAAAGGACTTCTTGAATCTGTTCAGTCTCTGGAAGAACTTGGTCAGTGGAGGAGGAAGGTGAAGCAGGTGACAGAGGCGAAGGAANAGGACGGATCACTACACACAACCGCCCTTCCCGATTCCAAGAAGAGATCTCCATCAACGTCAGAGGACGAGACTGTGATCAAGAAACGTCGTTCTTGAGTTCAAAACATTATTGTGTCTGCTTGAGATTCTGGGAGAGAGAAGGTCGAGGGTAGCTAGATCGGTGGTGATGAAGTCGTGATCGCTGGTTGCTAGGGGAAACAGAAGAAGGAAGAGACAAAAGACAGTAGCTGAACAAGCAGTAGATACCTTGCTGAGACACGCCAGAAATGCATAATCACGTTTTCGATCTTTTGAGCCCATCAGACTTGATTTGAGATGCGGCTGACATTCAGTTCGTCTGCATCTAACGGCCAAATCCCAGCGACTTTCGACGACCTAGAGATGTCCAAGGAAGAGGACATCTCTTGTTAGCTTCTAGTACTCCTGAGGCCACGATCATGACTTTGGAAGCAGCGATGCACTTTTATGGCCCACGAAATCACTGTGCATTTACATGGAACAGGTGTGGACTGTGAACGTGTAAAAGTGTTGGGTAAATGATGGAAGAGAAAGTTAAAGGGCTTCTCGAGGCTGATCGAGATCCACGCTGCACAAGACTCAATACATCATGCTCACGTCGGACCTACAGTCAATGGAGAGAAATGTTGAAGGGGTTTCTGTAATATGCTTGTTGTCTTGGGATTGTGTTTGTTGGCTAAAAGCTTCTTGGGTATCAAGCAGGGTTGTGAAAAACCTGATATGAAAAAGACAAAAGAAAAGAAGAGGTGCAGCGAAGGAACCGAAAGCGATAAAAAGCACAAAACGCCGTGTGCTCTTTGCTCCCGAGTCTAAGAAAAGAGCATGTTTCCATTGCTTGCTCGATGTGTCCCGCGTCTCATGGTGCCATGGTAATACCATGATCAGGGGGTTCGATCTCGTTCTGTGCTCTGTATTCCTTTGGCGCAGCTCATTAGAATCTTGTAGACCTGTATCCAACGGGCGGTATTGTCCGGAAGGGAAGACTGTAGGAGAAAATCTGATGAGTGGTGATGCGGGTTTCCAAGAAGAAGTTCACTCACGTCTTCTCCATGGGCTGTCTTCTAGTCGATATCTTGCTCTCCGGAGGGGAAGTTGGTCCAATCGATGCAAGCGAACAGCCACATAGCACGAGACTCAAGGATGAAGTGTGCAGCTTCAGCCAAGATGGCGAGACCAGGGATGGTGGGCTCGACCTTTTCGCCTTGACCGCAGAGAGCCTGGAAGTCTTGGATAGCCTTGTTGACAGTGCTGGTGCACTTTTAGAAGTTGGCGCGAATCCCCTCCCAGTTCTCCGGTCTTGCGGTCTCGCTCATCTTCTCGCGCCACTGCATCAGTGTCCACTTCCTCTGACGTTGACATGGACACTCCAAAGGCTCACTGCCGAACGGAATGAGCCAGTCCTCGACAGAGCGGCTAGCGAGGTCAATGTGAAGATCGTATTCGTCAAAGACGTCCTGGAAGCGGAACGAGACAAGGCGTAAGTCCTTCATGTTGTTGAGACTGATGTGCTGCAGCCAGATTTGCCCGCGATCATTTATCCACTGTGTGGACTTCTGGTCTTCTTCTACGACTGACAGCATGAAGCGAAAGTGGGGTGTACTGTAGAAGACCGGAGTGGCTTCGGCGCGGACCTGACGACTGGTGTGAAGGAGAGCAGGCTCAGCGACATCGCGACGGCTTCCCACATCCAAGTCTGCAGTCCTGCCGCCGTCAAATGCCATACCGTAAATGTGTAGACGAACTTCCACAGGCAGATCCATAAGACGGAACGAGCTTGGAGGGTCGGATTGCTGTAGAAGCTTGGTGAGGCCGCCCTTTGTGCGTTTTCTGGGCAAAGCGATGTTGCGATGCTTGACCTCGGTCAAAAGATCTTCGACTGACCAGGAAGAGTAAGGGGTAGGCTGCTCTGTAGCTCCGCGGATGATGCGCTCCATTGCACGACAGCGCTTTCCATGGTTCTCGGGTAGCTTGTGCTTGCAGAAACAGATCTTTTGCTCGCAGCATTTACTGACTAAGCCAATGAACTCTTTGAAGCGCTCATTGTTCTTTTCTTGGTCTACCTCCGCTTGAGACTTCACAGGCTGCTTAATCGAACGAGCCCTGGTATCGTTAGCATACAACATTTGATTAGATTCATAGAAGGACACATACATGATGCTGCGCTGCGTCAAGTTTCTAGGGTCGTGTGGGGTTGTCGGTACTGAAGAGAAGTATGAGAACCGAGCCATCTTTCTTCTATCCTCTTTTGACATGTTCTCCATGCGACGCTTGAAGATTTCATAGCTGGTGAGCGTTTCTGACGACATCTTGGAAGAGCGAGGTTGATATGGAAGCTGACTGGTCTGGCAAAGGACGAAGCGCTCACCAAGTGTAGAGGAAGGCTGGATCTGACACCTGGATTGTATGTTAATTGAGTTCAGAGGAGGTTAGAAGAGCAGGAGAGATTCAGAGAGAAGGAATTCTTGTATGGACGGTTTTGCTACGAGTGATAGTTGGAAGGAAAAGTACGAGTGGACACCATGTAGTGAGGCACCTCTCTCCAGAAAAACATGGCTGACTAGAATGGGTAGCCGCTGACTTGACATGATTGGATCAAAATCACTTGAACACGATGATTTAGATGCCTAGCATTTCCGTAGACCCTAGACTTCTACTCACTGACACATCTTGAGTGGATGTGATAGCAATGATTTCTGGCTCGGTGAGTTATCACTCTCATCAAAGTCAAGATCGCCTGCACAAGCGGAAGTGAGGGAAGGAGGTCGTTACTCTAGAGGGAATGTCTCGTGGTGCCTTCCCAATGCGGGGTTGGGCCACGCGGGGCATGACGCGCATGATGCCGCATGTTTCTTTCCTTAGGCTGCCGTATACAAAGCCCCTCTCTCATCCACGAACAAGTCTTAGCCGTAACGATGGAGTCAATGTCGCGCCGCCCGTCGCAGCGCCAGAGCAACGAACACAGCCCTCCAGAAGCCTCGTCCCAAGACGCCTCGTCCCTGCAAGAATCCAGCGTACTAGTCGACCATCCATCTCCCGCAACGCGATCGACACCGCAAATACCTGACGACAACGACCTGAAGAAATGCTGGATCTGCTTCTCTGATGAGAGTGAAGATGGTCCCGAGACGTCGGCTTGGAGGGACCCCTGCCCTTGTGCGCTGGTAGCACACGAGGCATGCCTCCTCGACTGGATTGCCGACATGGAGTCTCCCACAACCCGCAAACGCACTCTCGGTCCCCCAGCCATCGTGTGCCCACAATGCAAGTCAAGCATTCAGCTGGTACGCCCTCGCGACCCCATTGTCGAAGTCGTCAGAGCGCTTGAAAGACTGGCTGCCAAAGCCGTGGCCCCAGCTGCCTTGACGGTAGCCTTTAGCGCCGTCGTCCATGCCTGCGCAGTTCACGGTCTCTATACCATAACCTCCATATTCGGCCCGCAAGACTCAAGACGAATCCTCCAACCCTTGATCGACAACATCTGGACAGCTGCTCGACCCATGGATCAACTACGCAACTTTATGCAGCACTGGCGCCTCCGCATCGGGCTCCCTCTCATCACACCACTCCTTATTCTCTCACGCACCACTCTCGCCGACTCCATCCTCCCCGTACTACCCATCGTCTTCTTCGCAACCCAAGGCGACACCTCCGACACTCTCGACATGATTTCATGGCCGCCATCAGCAAGCATGACGTTCGCAGTTCTTCCATACATTCGATCAGCCTACAACACATATCATCAACGCGTCTGGGCTGAGCGTGAGAAGAAGTGGCTCAAAGAGATTCAACCTAGAAGCGGTCAGCAAGACGCAGATATTGATGCTCAACTCGCTGTTGATGCAGAGATTGAAGCTGCCGAGGAAGACAACAACTTTGAGATCAGAATCGATGGCAACATCTGGGAGGACTGGGCTGGTGCCGATGACGACGATGTTCTCTTGGAAATTCAGGAAGGTCAAGCTCATCCTCTCAACGCTCCGCCATTGCCAGACAATGCTCCGCTGCCACCTCAGAACCAAGGCCAGGACCAGAACATACCACAACAACCACAACCGCCTCGACCCCAGCAAAACCCGCCTCCACCACCGCCACAAAACAGAGAAGAGCGCCTCCTCAGTTTCAGCACGAACTCGCTTGCTCAGACCATCATGTCTGCGCTTCTCTTCCCCACGATCGCATCGGTATCGGGCGATCTGCTCACTCACATCCTACCACTTTCGTGGACAACGCTTCCAGCTTCGAAATGGGGCATGGGTAGAGGCAGAGCGACAGGTTTGCTACAGAACAAATGGGGCAGAAGTGTAGTGGGAGGCTGTCTATTTGTAGTGGTCAAGGATGCCGTCATGCTCTATGTCAGGTGGAAGATGGCGAGACAACACCAGAGAAGACATGTGGTTGATTACGACAGGAAGAGCAAGAGATAGGTATTAGGCGTTTTGGAAGGTCATAGATCTGGCCTTGGAGAACATAATCGGCGCCTCAAAGATCGAGCATATCCAGATTCCGTCTGCTCTCCACCATGTCGCACAAGCATGCAGGCTCAACTCCCGACTGTTGTTCGCATTCTCTTTTGAAAACTGGCAATTTTCTCCGCTGCCTTCAAGGGAGATCTTGAGTGTGCCTCAGGATCTAGTTAGCCATGGCAAACTATGCATAATGCTACATGGAGATCCGGAACTTCAATAGTGCTACCACTAAACTCTTTTGTTCCAAGTCGTGCCTTTTGCCAGATAGAAGACTATACTCGTTAAAATAATAATTGAAACTAATATGGTGGAACAGAAGCTATGGCTTCACATGTCAAGTCCAGTCCGAGCTTTTCTCCTTCCCAGATCGTCTCCGTCACCATCGCTCTGGCTGGAGAGATGAGGCTCAAGAACACGGTGCTTCTGAAGATGAGACTGCGTCCTTGACTACTGCTTTCAATCCACTCACATCCAGCAAACACAACATGATGGCCTCGAACAGAAGTTTTAAAGCCGCTCTCATAGTCGTCGACCTCCAAGAAGACTTCTGCCCGCCAGTAAGTCTCCACCTTCCAGCGCGCGCGCTCAGACCCGCGGCGTTACCAAGGCACAAAAAATCTCCTGCGTCAAACTCGACCTTTGTCCTCTCTTTCACTTGATGCAAAGACTCATGCTCTTGAAATCTCTGACGCCCATGTAGANACGGCAGTCTGGCAGTGACGGATGGCCGGTCCATTGCTCCTGTCATCAACGACCTTCTGAGGCTTCCATGGGCCTGCCGAGTAGCCACTAAGGACATGCACCCCAAAGACCACATCTCGTTCGCATCAAACCACCCTCCACCGAACAACAAGCCTTTTGAGTCGTCCATCACCATCTCTAACCCGCACAACCCCGACGAGACGCAAACGACAAAACTGTGGCCAGTCCACTGCATCGCTGGCTCGCCAGGGAGTGAATTAATCCCGGAACTCGACGTCAGCCAATTGGACGACATCGTAGAAAAGGGACAAGACAAGAGAGTGGAAATGTACTCGGCCTTCTGCACACCCTTTCTCAATCCAAAGATTGTCGAAACCGGTCTGGCAAACACGCTGAGGGAAAAGGGCATCACCCACGTCTTTTGCGTAGGCCTAGCAGCAGACTTCTGCGTCAAAGCCACCGCCATCGACGCTGCCAAAGCAGGCTTCGAGACCGCCGTCATCCGCGAGGGCACAAAAGGCGTTGAACAAGGCGACGAGGCTGACAAGAAGCTGGCCCAAGAGCTAAAAGAGAACAACGTCAAGATGGTTGGAATCAACGGACCTGAAGTCGCCAAGGTCAGAGACCTGAAATAGACTTGCAAGGTCCAAACACCAAACTCGGGTATGTGTTTACTGCTTCTCTTCTTCTTCTTCTTCTTCATCCCTCCTAGCATGATGTTTTACACAAAACGAAAATCAAAATCCCTGAGGGTTGTTATGATTATTACTCTGGCGACCCGAGGATTACAACCTTTTACTCTGATATTCTCATCCACACTACATTCCTCGAACCTACTTGAGCATGAAACAGACGCTGACTTGCTTACAGTTACCTTTGATTCCGAAGCTGCGACCTAGATGTCCAGCACAGCAGCTCTTGCGTTGAATGTAGATACAGGTAGGTAAACTTGCCTCTGCGAAGCAATTCCAAGGCAGTCTGACAAGTGCTCGACGCACATCACCATACGGATAATGCTAGCACCCCGAACAAATTCAAAACATACTTGTAATCCACGCTGCCCTCTTGATTTACTTTCTTCAACCCGCAGAGATGTCCATTTGCGATGATGTTTCCAATTGACACGCTCTGAAAAATGTTGTTACACTTCGATCACCAACAAGTGGTCGATAGTAGAGATGTGTGTACACGGGAATTGCTACACCCAATGCTTTGTATTCTGTCACACCCAGGTTTCCACTCATCTCTACTCACGCATCCACCATCTCCTGATCCTCGCCCTCATCAATCGCAACCCCCTCCATACCCTTGATAATCTCCTCCTGCAAGACCCTAACCGCAGCAGCCGCACCTCTAACCTCTGCCTCTTCCCTGCCAACACACCCNCCAACCTCCACAACCTCCCTCTTTCCCACAAAAATCTTGCAACCCCAGTTCCCATCTCCTCGACTCGACGCTCGATACTCTACATCCTTTTCGTTGGCCATCAAGCCCAATCTCTCCCTCGGGAACCCCACTTGCACGCCCTCGTCCAGGAATCTATCCAGCAATTTGAGTAAACCTAGTTTTTGGATGAAGTCGCGGCAAGCGGGGAGAGAGCCGGAGGAGTCTATGTAGATGGCACCCAACACTGACTCCAGGATGTCTGACATCCATTTGCAAGATTTGTGGAGGCCGAGGCGCAACAGATCTGGCCATGGGTATTCGTGGCTGGTTTGTAATTGTTCGAGGATGGTGGTGCGGAGATGGGTGCATCTTTCCAAAGCTGCTTTGCGCTGATTCTGGATGCTCACACCACAGCGTAGAAAATCGTGGAGATGGTGGAGATGCACTGATTCTTGCAGTACTACCTCTCCGGTTTCATTTGTTGAGGGTTCCAGGCGTGGAGAGGAGAGTGACAACTCTAAACAGCAGATACCTAGGATGTGTGCGTTTGCTAGTGCTTGTCTCATTCTGTGCATTTCGTGGTTCTTGAGTGCGGGCGTTGCGGAGAAGATGGTTGGGACGAGGAGTTGATCAAGTACTGCATCACCCAGGAACTCTAGTCTTTCATAGGAGAGAGCTTCGGGCGAGGAAAAAGAGGAGTGAGTCAGCGCTTCCAATAGCAACGAGGGGTTGCTGAACTTGTAGTCGATGAGTGTTTCAACAGTGGTCAGGAAAGGTGGAGTGTTAGACAGAGCAGGTGTTTGAGCAAGCAGGATGGAGAGCCAGGTCTCATGGTCTAACCACTGTTCGTTGGGAAGGAAGATGCGGATGCAGGCTAGTGCTCCTTCAAGACCTTGATCCATGAACGAAGCACCAATCAATGCTTCCACGACGTCTGCAAGTGTCTTTGTACTCCTGTCCACGCTCTTGTCGTTCTTACTCTCTTGATCGGTGCAGAGTATTGGCGGTTTCCAGTGATTGCCTGTGAATCTAGCCGTTGAGATGAATCTATCCACACCACTACTCAAAGCTGCACGAGAAAGTGACGCATTGCCATTCGTTCTTCCTTTTTCGGCTGTCAAGTAGCTTTCTGGCCATTCGGGGTGCTGAGCTGCCAGTTGGACATGGGTACAATACTTCAACACTGCGTCACCGAGGTATTCTAACCTTTCGTAGCTGGCAGTAAAGTCTGCAGCACCTGATGTGGTGGCTTCGATGATGAGTTGCAGATTTTTGATGCCAACAGGCTTGAGAAGAGTGTTCTGCAGGCGAGCGGCGAGGATGGTAGTTTCGACCTTATGCAGGATGGAAGGAATGCAAGCAGCAAAGAACGAATATCTTGCTGGAAGGACATTGATTGTGCATTGGGCCGTTGCCAGTGTTTCTCGAGTAATCTGATTTTTCTTTGACTCCTCGGAAGGTCGAGTAAGGAAGTCGCGTTTTTTTGGAAATTTCGTGACTTCCAATATTTGCTGGTTTTGGCCTTGTATGCTTTGAAAGACGTAACTCCTTCCTAGTTGTCCGTTGAGTTGCACGAGACCCACATCTGCTTCTGACTGTACAGTAGAGAGGATTTCAGTTGCTGGTCGACTCGCTCTGCTCAGTGGACTCATGGACGTTCTATCCAAGGTCTCAAACATTGCTGCATATCTTCCTTTCGCACTTTCGACATCGAAAGGCGAGAGCACAGAAAGAAGCATCGTTTCGGTATCTTTTTGCTTTTGATTGGCTTCCACTTCGGTTAGTGTGCACGGCTGACCAGGTCCGACTTCTGCGACACCTCTGATCCACATGCTCCAATGGATGGTGATGTCTTGGATCTTTGGGCACTCGGCAGGCAGGAACATCGCCATCGATACGCTAAGCTGTCCCTCGATCTCAAGCTCAACTAAATGCTTGAACCAAGAGTGTGACATGTCTACTGCCCACGGATCAACCTTCATCGCAACCTTGGTGAGTCCAGGTCTGTTCTGCCGTGCTTGATCTGGCGTCTGAATATGAGGTGGAAGCAAATGGTCGTTGAGAAGACCACCACGATGCAATGCTACACAAGCCTGAAACGCTGCATCTTTCATCGCTGCACGTTCAGTCTTCCAGCTGTGTGCGCTGACGGCTGCTCGGTAGTTCTTGTTTACAGAAGAAGGCAGAAGTACTTTTGCTGTGACCAGATCTTCTGCGTCTGTTCGGCACTCGAATACTGGTCGATGATCGACGTGATTGGCGGTCTGGAGGGTAGCGCAGAAGTGATTGAGATGTGACTTTGCGTTGTCAAGAGTGAGTAGAGCACCCGTACTCGGCACTCCATATCTTCTGTCTTCGGATTCGTGGGTTTGCTCTAGTTGAGCCGCCAGTTGGGCGTTTCTGTATTCATCCTCATATGCTGCTTTCATTCGGTCTTCCAGTTGGTGCCACTTTGCTGGCTCGCCCTTATCGTCATCATCAGCCAGCAGGATGATGTACATTGAGTCTTTCTTCCTTGCTCGGCCACGTCGCTGAACGAAGGACACCAAGTTCAGAGGAGCATCGAAACAGATGACTGTTTGACATGAAGATATGTCTATGCCTTCCTCAAGCACACTTGTGGCAATGATCAAATTCTTCTTGCCGATCCTGAAGTCGTCGAGTGTTTGTTGCTGTGCTTTCAAGTCGTTGATGTCGCCGATGTTTGACTTTTTCTTGGATGAGTTGGACTCTCCCACAAAGGTGCCAATGTCGAACAGTGGCGACATATCCGGGTCAGAAGTAAGATATTCTGCCAGAGCGGCAACAACAGCTCTCTGTTCTACAAAGACGATACCAGTAAAAGACGGTCCAGACTCTTCTCTCAAGATGTTCAGCAGTAGTTGCAGCTTGGGACTCACAGTCGTTTCCGCGTAAACCGGGTCTACACGTAAATCTGTCAGGATTTTTGCAAGGTGACTCTTCTCCTTGTCTGATAGATCTGGCATCCAAGAAGCATCGTTCTGCTGGACGCCAGCAAGAAATTTGTCACGACAAGCCTGGATATATGCTTCTGCTGCAGATGGACTGACATCTCTAGCAATGACTTCTGCACGCTTTCGAAGCGCTCTGAGCTGGTCTGTGCAATACGTCTTTCGCGACATGAGAATTTCATCCACTTTGGCTTTCATATCGGGACCGCCAGTTTGAACAATGTCGACAAGGTATGGGTCTTCGCGTATCTTGTAGCTGTGTATGGCAGTGGTAAGGGCTTCTCGCAATGAGTTTGGTATGTCAGGGACCTCTTGGCTTTCGAAAGACCGTTTCAAGAGCTCTGGGATATGCACATACTGCATTAACTCTGATCTGTGTAGACGTGGTGTGATGGCATGACTGTCCATGTTCGCTTCGAGAACCTCCAGACCTCCAGATTTTGCATTCATCACAGGGCTAGCACTCAGACCAAGGATTCGTGGCACTTGCTGTCCAGCAGCATTGGCTGGACGATAAAACTGCTGCATGACCATGTTGGAAGCATGCTTCTTGGTGCAATGATGTGCTTCGTCAAACACACAGAGCGACAGCCTTCGCATTTCAATGAATCCGTGGCAGAGGGCATCGTAGAGAACACCATACGTACTGACAATGATTTTCATATCCTTGAGAACGCCATCCCAGACTGTTTGATCAGTCCATCTGTCGACGCCATCTTCGCTGGTAAGAAGTCTCGTTTGATAGGCCGACAAATTCGTTGTGATTGACTTGTGATGCTGGTGACAAAGGGCGACCGTAGGTGCAAGAAACCAGACAAGTTTGTCTGAATGTCCCAGTTCCAACTCAGCTCTTGTCCTTGCAAGTGCTNNCTATTGTAAAAGATGGCATTCGTCAAACCTTCTCGGTATAGTCTCGCCGATTCTATGATCTCAAACTTACATGTGTGTTTTACCAGCGCCAGTGTTTAGCACAATAATGGTATTGCGTTTCAGACTCTCTGCCAGCATCTCATCTTGGTAGGCTCGAAGTTGCAAACCCTCATTGTCTTGGTCATCGAGTGACTCAACGACGACAGTGTCTTTTTCTGCGTCTGGCACATCGCTGGAAATTTCGTCTTCGGTTGATGGTTCTGTCAAGACATCGTCTTCAACACGTTTAGCATCGCTTATGTTCCTCGTCGGCGATGGCGGTGGGGAAGACGAGTCCGACATTGTCTGATCGTCTTTGTGGCTGCCGGCTAGCTGTTAAATGCCAGCAGAAAGCGCTCGATATGAATACATGTCCACACAGACACGTCACAGACGGCCAGTGTTGCATGCTGCAGCCTGCAAGGTGGTGTTGCGGCAATATGAGAGATGAGCTTTGACCTGTGGAGAAAGATAAATAGCTTGCATAAGATTGTGAAAGCGCGCACAAGTCGACTTGTCCACACATTTGCTGTGTTGAGCACGCGTAGAGACGAGGTGAATAAAGGTAGGTTGACATTGTTCAATGACAAGCCGTGGGTAATAGACATGTAAAACGTGTTTAATTCACAGATTTTGGTATACATCACAGAAAAAGGACAAGATGGTATCTAGGCAAATTCACAAACAGCATCTCATGCTCACCAGTCACCAGCAAAGGTAACAGTCTTGAGCTTTAAGAACTCATTGAGACCATACTCGTGGTTGAAGCGACCCCAACCAGACTTCTTGACACCGCCGTGAGGTAGACCTGCCTCGTCATGTACAGACATTTGGTTGATGTGAATAGCACCGCTGTCAATCTGTCTGGCAAGTCTGATGCCTCTTTGCAGGTCCTTGGTGAAGATGGCACCAGAGAGACCGTACTCGGTGTCGTTGGCATAGTCTACAGCTTCCTCATCTGATTCGACGGTCAGAAGAGATACTGAGGGGCCGAAAGACTCGGTGTAGTAAAGGTCCATCTCCTTGGTCACGTCTTGCACGACGAAGGGACGAAGACGGTGTGAGTTTGTCTCCTTGGAGTTGAGGTCACCGTAGAGAAGCTTGGCACCCTTCTCGACAGCATCCTTGATAAGCTTCTGGTTCTTCTCGACTGCTGGTCTTGCAACCAGGATGGGGGCTTCACCGGATGTTGGGTAAATCATTGCGATGGCGGACTTGAGAGCTTCCGAGAAGGGCTCAATGATGGATTTGTGGACGACGATGCGCTCTGTAGACATGCAGATTTGACCAGCATGGACGAAAGCTCCTAGGGCGCATTGGAAGGCGGCGTTTTCAATGTCTGCATCGTCGAGGACAAGAGCTGATGCCTTGCCACCCAATTCCATAAGACATGGCTTGAGGTTCTGACCAGCTTTGGCGGCAATGATGGCACCAACAGCGGTACTGCCAGTGAAGTTGATCTTCTTGACCTCGAGCGCTTCGATCAGTCTGTTGGTAACAGCGGCGGCGTCTTGAGGACAGTGGTACAGGACGTTGAGACAACCAGCGGGTAGGCCAGCTTCGTGGAAGACGCTTCCGATGGCCCAGAAGGAGCGAGGAGAGAGTTCACTTCCCTTGAGAATGGCAGTGTTGCCAGTGGCTAGGGCGTAGATGACGGCTCTCAAACCCAGGATGTAGGGAGCATTCCAAGGAGCAATGCCCAGAATGACACCGTAGGACTCCTTGAAGACGAGGGCTCCACCGTCTTGTGTCTGGGGGATCATACCGACAATGCTACCAATGCGACCAGCCACATCTCTGAACATCTCGACAGTGGTGGGCAAGTTGAAGCTCTTGACGATAAAGTCCGGAGCACCCGTCTCTTCAATTTGGTAGCCGGCCAGCTCGTCCAAGCGGCTTTCCATAACATCTGCGGCTTTCATGAGAATCCTGCGGATCTCGGTGCTCTTCAGCTTCTTCCATGATTTCCAGGCGCGTTGGCACGAGTCGACGGCTTTCTGGGCGTCTTCAACCGAGGCGGAGGAGCAGTTGTAGAGCTTCTTTTCGGTGACGGGCGAGTTGACGTCGAAGGTTGTGTCGGTAACGACTTCTTTGCCGTCGAGCCAGAGAGGACTGTGCCGTGTTAGCCATGTTCGGCAACTGCCCTTGCGGCGCGTGTTGGACGTGTACCTACACGGTGTAGTCTGCCATTGTATGCTTCGATGCTGAGTATGCGACAGAGGCTATGGACACGAAAGACTCCTGGAAATGAATCAAGGGCAGCCGCGTGATTATCAATTAATCAATCCATCTCGGCCCTCACGGGACAGGGGAGCTGGCCCTCTGAATGTGGGGGCGACTCGGTTTGTGCTCTCGGCACTCTAGCCCTACCCTGTCTACTTACCGTCTTCGTCTACGAGACATGCCGTCGTCCATCTAGAGTGCATACCAATCATCACGACCGGCAGTTGCAACGCAGAACCAGCCACATGTCAAATGTCAACTAAGGTTCGGAAGTTGGTCGACGAATCTTGCAGGGACCGCCGACGCCGGCTGATCGTCTATCCGCATATCCGCATGTCCGCATATCCGAACGAGAAATGTCATGCAATTTTGGCCCGCAATTGGTTCAGAACTGACCGACGATAAATATCACTGACAAAGGACAGAGGTGATCAAGTCTTTCAAATCTTGTTTGATACCACATCTACTCGCAAGAGCAATCTAGCTATTCCAAAATGCTACCTTGGCCAGCCAAGGACCAAGTCCAACTTCCTTCTTCATGAAAATCGTGTAGGTGTATTACAATATTAATCATCCAACCGTGTCATCCCGCGCATCTAAGAGCGCTTGCCGAACTCCTTGTCGAAGTTGACAAGAGTGAAGCGGTACTTGATGTCGTTCTTCTCGAGACGCTCCAGGGCAGTCTTGCAGCCCTCGGCGCTGACATCGATTGTCTCGACCCACGACTTAATGTTCTGCTTCGAGGCGAGCTCGAACATGGCCTCCATCTCGGGGCGGTTACCGATGTGGGAGGCACCCATCGAGCAGCCGTTGCCGGCAAACTGCTGGGCCATAAGGGTGGGGATAGGCTTGTCGCCGAAGCCGACCATGTGGAACTTACCCCACACCTTGAGGGTGCTGAAGTAGTCATCAAGGTTGAACTGGTCCATGGCGTCGGCAGTGTTGATGACAAAGTCGAAGGCGAACTTGTAAGGCTCGTTCCAGCCCTTCTCCTTGGTGCAGATGAACTCCTTGGCACCCATCTTCAGGGCGTCCTCCTTCTTGCTGGGAGAGTGAGAGATGGCGTAGACCTCAGCACCGAGAGCCTTGGCCCACAGAAGAGCGAAGTGACCAAGACCACCAATACCGATGATACCGACCTTCTTGCCGGGACCAGCGCCGAGGCGGACAAGAGGAGAGTAGACTGTGAGACCAGCGCAGAGCATAGGGGCGGCAATCGAAGTCTCAAGGTTGTCAGGAATCTTGAAGACAAAGTAGTCGTTGGCACGGATGTGCGAAGCGTAACCACCCTGCGAGATGGTGCCATCAGGGTAGGGAGCACCGTAGGTGTCGATGGAGTTGGGGCAGTAGTTCTCCTGGTCCGCCTTGCAGTTGTCGCAGGTCAAGTCGGCGCCAATCTGGGCACCAACACCGACTNNGGAAATAGTGTTAGAAAGCAGTCCTGATCAATTAAACTGTGCATTGTACTGACCTCTGTCGCCGATCTTGCAGTTGGTGACCTTGTCACCGACCTTGACAACCTTTCCAATTACCTCGTGGCCAACGCAGAGAGGGAGGGGAGCATCACCCCAGCCTCCAGTGATGGTGTGAAGGTCGGAAGCGCAAACACCGCAAGCCTCAATGGCAATGTCGACATCGTGCTCCTCGAACTTCTTGAGCTTGAACTCGCCCTTCTTGAAATCGGACCTATATGGTGACGCCAGTCAGCATCTTGTTGCTGTTGCGACCTGATCAATGTGTACTCACCACTTCTTGTGGTCGTGGATCATGAAGCCCTCGGCAGTCTCAGGGTAACCCATGGTTGCAGTATGTGAATTTTTTGAGGGTTTGGGAGAGAGGAAAGGTGTAGGATAGATTGTATGTGGGAATCGAGTCGAGTGAAGAGGTGCAGCTCGAAACCTTTTTGTAGGCGGCAAAATATTGGGGCAGAGCAGCTCCCCTCCAAGCAACGTGATCTCATGCAGCAGCTACAAGCGTGCTCGACGTAATTGATCAAGCCGTTGCTGTCACCGCGGAAACTGTGGCTCAGGAAGAACTGGAGATTCGATCCTCAAATCGCATACTTGGGCCGCATCGAAGAAGCTTCTTCTGTTCAGCTTCTCTACGTGTCCTCGTCGTCTCCCGAGACTCGTCTAGCAGCTTGACTCCTGTGTCTTCTGGGATCTCATGGTGATCAAACTGCTCCATCTTGGCTCGGCGGTCAGTGTCGGAAAAATAGAGGGGCATATTTTGCCTGATTGACTCCACCAATCACCGATGATGTAACGGAGGGGAATCTGAAATATGACATCTCGACTTGTGGAGCAGATGCGGCTCTGAATCTTCGATCGGAGCGGACCCAGAAACAGATGAACCGCCATAGGAGTACCACCGGGAAGAAAGCCGAATGTCGAACTGCACCAAGTTAGGTGCCAGCACTAAATCCTTCTCCCGCTCTGACATTCCGTTGAGAACAATCAAAAGTTGCTGGCGGACTCTTTCGTAGAGGAAGGTCAGAGAGGACTACGGAGTTGACAAAGCACGGCTCAGTGTGCGCAGCGAGCTTCTCGAGCTCACCCCACATATTCAAACAAGTCAAACCATGTCGGCGACAAACTCCTTGATGGCCGCAAACCTGAGCCATCAAGCAAAACCCATTTCACTCGACATTGCATCTACACAAGAACGTGCTTACCAGCTGTAGAAGCAACTGAGAAGACCATATTGATGCCATCTCCCAAGCGGACAGTCCTTATTGAATCGTTCGTGCATATTCTTCCAGATAGGAAACCCGAGTACTTAGCGCCAAGAGTATTCTGATGCGCGGAGAGTTGAGGACGAGCTTCCAGAACAACTATTATGAGGAACTCTCAGCCACTCCAGCTGTGACGTTGAGCCATGGCCCGACAGTGGCTGCTTGAAAGGAGTAGGTCTGGCCGTCTTCGCCATACATGGAGAAATTGGTTTCCGCGAATCACCTGGTTAGAGTCAACGAGCAACAAGATGCTGCCCGATCCATCCTCTTGGAGATTCAGGACACCTTGGCTCAGGAGAAGAACGACGAGTTTCACCTACATATCTTGTTGTCTGAGTAGCAACGCAAGATGCAATGCCCCAGATCAGCAGAGCTAGGAAGTGCGGGGAATTGAGGGGTTGGCCACGAAAGGCATCTCGGATGTCCAGAGTTGGAAACTCCATCTTGCGGATTAACGCTACAGCAGTAAGTCAGTGGGGCAAGCTGTTCGCCGTCACATATACCTCAAGGACAATCATCAGATTCGTACCACATCGACCTTCATACCTTCGATCACAGATTACACAGCTTCAACTACAGTTTCCAGCCATGTCCGAACAATTGAGCAAGGTAGATTCCGCGCTCGCACCGAGAAACTCCAAGGCAGGTACTATGACAGCGCTGCGTATTCACGGCAAAGAAGACCTTCGACTGGAAGAGATTCAAAGTCCACAATGTGGAGATGGTCAGATCATGATCAAACCAGCTTGGTGCGGGATTTGTGGCACTGGTCAGTCAAGCGACACCACCGATGACTGGTAACTGATATTCTGATCTCAGNACCTCCATGAATACATGGGTGGTCCTTCACTATGTCCTACGACTCCTCATCCTATCACCAACGAGACTGTGCCTCTGACCATCGGTCACGAATTTAGCGGCATCATTGAAGAGCTAGGACAAGGTGTATCCGACAAGTATACACGCGGACAACGAGTCGTCGTACAGCCAATCATCTATTGCGGAGAATGTGGATCTTGCAAGGATGGCATTCCCAATTGCTGCGATAAGAACGGGTTTGTCGGGCTCTCGGGCTGGGGAGGAGGGCTGGTAAGTATACTATGCTTGCGTCGCAACTTTTGCTGACAAGTCCATCCAGNNGCTGAACACATCGTGGTCCCAGAGTACTGTGTAGTACCTGTGCCTGACAACGTATCCTTGGAGATAGCCGCGCTTGTGGAGCCACTAGCTGTTGCGTGGCACGCAGTCAACATGTCTCCAGTCAAAGACTTCAAGAAGGGCCAATTCGCCCTGATTCTTGGTGGAGGCCCGATCGGTCTCTCCGTAATCCAAGCTCTTCGAGCACATGGTGATGGTACCATCATCGTTTCGGAAGTCTCTACTAAACGCAAGGCTTTTGCAGAAGATTTTGGCGCAGACTTCATCTTGGACCCAACAAAAGACGATATTCCGGAGCGGTGCAAAGAGATTTGCGGAGGCATTCGAGGTGTGGATTGCGTGTTCGATGCGGCAGGTGTTCAAGCTGGACTTGACTCTGCGGTACTCGCGATGAGGGCTCGAGGCACCTTGGTGAATATCGCCATCTGGTTAGTTCACCTTGACCGCAATCAACAAGGCCCGTTCGACGTCGCAACTACGAGACGGACCCTTCTTTGACTCACCACACATCGACTGAAAACTCATGCTGACTGCAAACTCAGGGAGAAAGACGCGAGAATCATACCGAACCAATTTGTCTTCCGAGAGAAAACGTACAAGGTCGGTAGTTCTCATGGACCATTTATCGACACGACTGATCGATCATAGGGTGTCGCTACGTATGTCCTCGGAGATTTTGACCAAGTCCTCCAGGCAATCAGCTCTGGTAGAATGAAGCCGGAAAAGATGATTACGAAAAAGGTCGAGCTCAAAGACGTGATCGAGGAAGGTTTCTTGACCTTGCTGAAAGACAAAGACAACCACGTCAAGGTTTTGATCAAGTCCAACGACGTCGAGTAGGCGCTTCTGGCAAGTTGATTGCGGGGATACTGACCCGATCACGATGGGGTCGGCCGAGAGGAAGACATTGCTCTCATTTCTTGTCTCTGCTTTTACTGCAGGAAACCGGGTCTGGTCTGTACATGTAGTCATGAGGCTCCTGGGCTCTTTCGGATTGGGTATGAATCACATCGTCACGAGTGTGACGAGTTCTCAATCGAACCAACGTCACGTTTCCTCGGGGCTCCCGTGTTCTGGTGAGTCTCATACGCGTCGACTTAACTCTTGTGCGTGCGTATGTGGAGATCTGGACCTGCGTGCCGAATAGCTCGGACGGATCGATTCGGACGATCTGCGGTCATACCGTTCCAGAGAAGAAGCAATTTCCTGGGGTTATGACCACCGGCCGAAAGATCCGATCCAAAGAAGAAACAGCCACCAAACCCAATCAAGATGTTTGTCCATACCATTTTCTTGTTCCCAAGCGACTGGGCAGGTTGTTCACCAGAAACTCTCATCTTTGTTCCGAGGGATTGCAAGGGTCGTAGCCACTGCCGCGAATGGCTTGTAAGGCTGCGCAACGCCACGAACGCTGAGCAAGGAATTTGGATTTAAAGTTGTACATATATCATGTTCCTGCGTGACGGATGGACTCATAGCGGTATGCAGGTGATGGAGATGAGATAATATTGGAACAAAACAACTCGTCAACAAAGATCGACCATCTCTGGTCCAGCATTGACGAGGTATACCATAAGCTTTCGCGAACAATAGCATTCTCGTCAATTGAAGGAGTCGCATGCTGTATCCGATCTATGCTCCCTCCTCGTATGAATCGACGTAATAACGTGGCTTGAAGCTTCAATGCTGAGACGAATGGTGAGCTCAAGGAACTTTGTCTAGAGCTACGAGCGTTTTGCTGCATGCAGTGAACACAAGGCACCCGGCCTTCATTGGTGTGTTTAACGGAGGTCTAATTAATCTCGCAAATTCAAGCGACGCAAACAGGAGACTCTATCGCTCGTGCAGGATGTTGGTATTGACCCCGGATTTGCTTGTGGCTTGAGTCTGTGGCTTTTCAAAATAGAAGTTGGCTGTGCTCGAGCATCCCTGTCGTAAATCATTGCTATATCATTTCCACGCAAGAGTCCACACTGTCTTCACCCGCTCACACTGGCAAGAAGGAAATACCATGACCTCTTGCTGATGGCGGCAATGCCGTTGGGCGTGTTCCCTGTTTCTCGACGAATGACACGCAAAAGGCACGCGGGAAGATAATTATGAAGTAATTTCGATGATTCGCAGGGTCTCTGCCGCTCACGCTAAACTTTATCGTGGCAAGCCACAACCCGTCCCTTCCCTTTACAACCGCGATGACGACTTGCCCGAAGGTGACGTCTTTCTGGACTTTTGCGCTTTCCGTGCTGTTTTGTCACTTGGTTGCAAGTTTTGACCTGGACCGGCTCCTAGTTGGGGAAGCACATATTAAGAGCTTCTTCCCTCGTTGGAAAAGGATCATTATCAAGCGACCTCCACATCCACTACCACCAACAACAGTCAACGCCTCCCAATATCCTCTCTCTTTCGAGGAATATCCCTTTCCAGCCTCTTCTACCAAAGCTGATCCTTTAATCGCCATGGGTATCTTCAAGGGAGGCGCATTGCGTCTGTTGCAGACTGCTCTCTACTTCCTCTGTTTCTGCTGTGCCGCCATCATCATCGGCATCTTCAGTTTCTTCCTCGCTGTCCTCGCAGACCACAATCTCGACATCCCCACCAAATGGAAGGCTGTTGAGGGTCTCTCTGGTGTCATCACTCTGTACACTATCTGCACTGTTCTTTTGACATGCTGCTTGGCTGGCATCACCTTCCTCTCTGCCCTTGGTCTGCTCTTCGACATTCTCTGCATGGGTGGCATGATCGCCATCGCTGTCTTGACCCGCCAGGGCGCCAAGAGCTGCAAGAACAACGTTGTCACCCCTATCGGCAACGGACCTGCCAACAATGCTATTCCCTTCACCCAGGGCAGACACAACTTCTCTCCCAACCTCGGCACTGCCTGCAAGCTCAACAAGGCTGTCTTCGCCGTTGCCATTGCCGGAGCTGTTCTCTTCCTCTGCACTGCTCTTATGCAGCTCGCTCTCATGCGCCACCACAAGAAGGAGAAGAGATTCGGACCTAGCCCTTCCAACGACTACACTTCTGGTACCGCCCCCAAGCGCAGCCTCTTCGTCAGAAAGCCCAAGACTGTCCCTACCGACGACTACGCTGAGAAGGGTGTTATTGGCACCAACCCCAACCCTCTTCCCGTTGGCCACACCATCCGTCCTTCCAACGACACTGCTTACTCTGGCAACACTGCTGTCGGCGCCAACCCCACTGTCATCCAGAAGGAGGGTCTTACCCATGACGGCCATGCTCCTCACGTTGGCTACAGCCCTCACGACAGAGAGATTCCTGCCACCACCACCATCCCCCGTTCTTACGGCAATGAGCGTAATGTTGGTACCATCCCTGATCGCACTGCCGACGTTCCCGCTGGTGCCATCCCCAGCGTTCACGGTGGTTACTACACCTCTCCTGGTGTTGCCAGCACTCGTGACTTCTAAGCGACTCAAGAGCTGCTCGTCTCTCACCTTGTACTATTGAATCGATACCCTACAAAACCTCCAAGGCTTGTAGTTGAACGTCCGCCTCAATGTTGATCACGACGGACATCAATCAAGCACGATAGCTGTACTTTTATGACGAAGGACGAACTGGCGTTTAACGTGTTTCCTTTTGTACTTTTTTTCTTATACACTGGGTTGGAAAGGGGTTGTCCTCCTAAAGTGTTGCATGATTATCAGATACCCTCTAATAACACCTAATTCAATATCTTCAAACAATGCTCTTCTCTTAATGTGAACACTTCATCCGGGCTTATTGTCAAAAAGCCAGCCTGTCTGGTCATACTTCTGCTGTTTCAAGCCGCTTCGTGTTGCCTAGAGGAAAGACCATATCATCATGGATCGCTCACAGATTTGGTATCAAATTGACCTTTATAATCACCTGGTGAGTTGTGCTTCACCACCTACTCTGATAGACGCTATATTGCCCCAGAACTTTTGCAGATGTGATATCGAGACGGATTCGTGTCGTTGTTACATGTGGTATGTGGAAGCTTTCTCAAACTCGACATGTTTAGAGCGTTAAATGGACAGTACTCAACCACAACAAGCCACAACCATGGGATAAGTTCTTATGGTAACTAAAGTGGGACACAGAATGCTAACTCACAAGTAGGTGATAATTGAAGTGAAATTGGTGATGTAATTGTGGACAAAGAGAAAAGAGCTATCGTTATGGATATGACCCTGTCAAGACTGATTGCCAAGCTTCATCGTCCTCGGATCCCGCTCCGCTCCGCTCGATGCGCCAAGTCCACAAAAAGCTGAAGCCTGGCTACCGAAGTTTCAACCCCTCTGCAAAGACTTTGATCCATGCTCGTTTTCGATGAGTAAAAGAACCACAAACTGCTCGCAAGGAGCAAAAGTATGTCGACGCCCGTGTGATTCGAACACACGCCCACGAATGGATTTGATATCAGAAGCTAGTTCGAGTCAAACGCCTTAACCACTCGGCCAGAGCGCCAGTATATGAGGGATAAAGATCTATTGGTAATACATTGCTCGTCTTGTTGCTAGAGATCACTAGATCGAACTAGCAGCTAGACATGATCGTTCCGGGACTGATATCGAATTCACGACCATCCTCCTTATCACAAGACTCAACTCCATCCTTTCCTGTACACGATGATCCCAACACATCCATCCAACAAACTAGTAACATCAATCCTCACGTCTACAGTACCTGCTGGAGTGCATATGAGAACGCCGGTAGTACCAGTAAGTAACGCGTGACGATTACGACAAATTCATCTCTATCTCGAGACACGACTGCGCTATATATCGCGCTTGACAAATTGTGGAGAGGTCTGTCTCGTACGCAAGAACGACACGCAGATTCGGGAAGAATCGACTCCGTTGGACCTCCTAGAACAACCTCAGGGCTTAGACTCTGTAAGTTTGGTGATCACCAGTAGCCGTGGAGGCTATGAGGAGAACAAAACAATGTCGACCACCATGTTTTTTCTGGCATATCCGCTACAGCACCATATTCATAGCTCAGCATCAGCTTTGATTTTCTTCATCTTTGTCTTTGCCTTTGTATATCTTCACTACTTGACCATACTCAGCACACGGAAGTCTTTGCTTGCCCTAATCACATATGGAGGAGGTTCACAAGAGATCATCGTCCAATCCTTTTCACAACGAGGAAAAACTTCCACCACGCCAACGTCAGGTTCCTTGGTATCGCCGTCACAAATTCCGCACTCTCGGCGCTGTGGCAGGCACTATCGCTGTACTCGGCATCACCCTCGGTGTAGGGCTTGATGTCGGGTTGACCAATTCCGCAAAGGCTCCAGAGTCGACCACCACCGATACACCAAACAAACGCTCCGATCCTCCTGTTGCGACTGCATCTCAGGGATCGGGATGTCATGCTGGGAGTCTGAGTCTGTTGGGTCTAAGTCTCGTGGCCAACACCACACCGCTTTGGCAACCTCTTCCTGGGACACCTTGGCAAATTGTGCTCAACAGTCCCATTGATGCTACAAAAGCACTGTTGCCTGCTTTGTCTGTTTATGACATCGACATGTACGGCAACACAGCTGCCACCATCCAGCTAATGCATCTCCAAGGTATCAAAGTCATCTGCTATTTTTCAGCTGGTAGCTGGGAGGTTTACCGACCTGATGCTTGGAGATTCCCTCTTCAGGATATTGGAAATGATCTCAGTGGTTGGCCTGGTGAAAAGTGGCTGAATACCGAAAGTCAAACTGTGAGGAGTATCATGGCAGACAGGATCAAATTGGCAGCTGAGAAGGGATGCGATGCTGTTGATCCGGATAACATGGATGGGTTTGTGAGTCTTCTTCTCCTGCTGCGCTTCTGTACGGCTTCAGTTGGCTATTTTCGTCAGCTGTCATCATTATGAGCCTCATCTCCAGCATATCCTCCGNGTACAAAAAGCTAATCAAAGGCATAGGAAATCAATACCGGCTTTCCGCTGAGCGCTGGCACTGCTCTCAACTATCTCTCTTTCCTCTCGTTGACAGCCGCATCATACAACATGGCCATCGGTCTCAAGAATGCCGGTACAATCGCCGCAAACGCTACCTGCATGGTCGAGTTTTCCATCATAGAATCCTGTAAGTAATGTCTTCTCATATAATCCAATATCCTATAACCTCATACTGACCTCATATATCAGGTANTCGCTCAGGGCCAGTGTGACATTTATCAAAACTTCATCACGGCCGGCAAGCCGGTATTCCAGATTGAATATCCGCTCGGAGCTCCAGGTGCGGTGAGCAAGCAAGCGCTGGCTCAGAGCTGTAAGATCAAGGGAAATCTGGGATACTCGGAAGTGATCAAGGGTAAAGATCTGGGTGGATGGGTTGAGTATTGCGATGGGACTGTGTTCAATACTCCAACTTTGTATTGATTAATAGTTTTGACAGGCATCATCGTGTCAAGTGTAAGATAGTTACTGGTTAGAATTATGTATGTATCTATAATATCATGTTCTCCACAGCAATCGTGCGTCCCATATGTCCTTTGTTCGTCTCTCCATACCATCTTCTTTCTCCATACCAAAACCCTTCGACCTCGAATGAGACAAACCATTTTCTCGATGTTTATCATGGCGTGCACGCTGACGGAGTATGACGGAGAGAACCGTTGTCAGGATATCATTTCGAAAGAAAAGTGACCAGGTTCGCAATCTCTTCAAGAATCTTAGTATCTCCCATCCTCCCATTTCACAGTTAGTAAGAGGCTTTGCAAACAAACAGAGTGATAAAAATATGGAAGTCAGTATCATGACAATGACACACAGATCTATTTCCTTTGCTTGTTGGCGATTTATTTCATGGTGCACTGCACCTCGTGCTATATTTGCGTAGATTGCTATAAATTTCCCAAAGGCGCACGACACAAGGTATTCTGGCGATTTTCTCTGCAAGGGCATAGATTATGAGCCACACGAGGGAGAGACTCTGTTTTATGTAGTCTAGGATGGATTTCTGGATCACAACATCCCTTACGTATCAACAATTATACAGCACTCTCACCATAGTCGCTCGCACTGTAGTATGTAGTCGGGTTGATTCTATCTACACTGAGTACTCACAGAGAGGATGTTCAGCTCTGGCTGCTGCAGCTGTGTTGTATCTAATATTGGTATCAGCATGATTGTTGTTGTCGATCAGATTGTTCTATCAAAACGACCTTGGGCATCGAAATGGCAAGGCATAAGATTGACACCACTTACGTGGGGATCGCTTCCATTGTAATCCAGTACACAGCGTACTGCACGGAACAACAACGGTCGACATCCTAGGCTTCTCGCATTTCCATTGGAAACTGACTTTGATGAGTCTGTCGTCCAAAAGAAGGGAAAGCAAGTAGGTCCATGGAGTTCTGAAGTGACAGTACTCTGCTCCAGTATTGAATGATAACGCATTTCCATGTCTTCGAGACGAGGTTTTGAGTGGAGAGGTGGAGGGGTTTTCCAGAATCATGGGCCTGTTGTCCTCTTCCGTCTGAAGGTCACACTATTGCCATACGCGTCCTGTGACATGGTTGAAGCACGAGCTGCAGCAGTTTTGACCTCCTCGGGTTGTCGATAGCAGACCCTATCCGTGAAGAGAGAGAGGCTTGATAAGGAAGTATAGAGACCAGCACCCTATGCAGTGATTGGCTGAGGATCCACTACCGCAAGTAAGAGACGACCTTTATCTGACAGGTCCATTTGTCTGCTTCGTCTGATTTCATATTGTCAAGTGTGGTAGGCCATGTCGTTCAGATCCAAATAGCGAATGGAGTGATGGTAGCAAGTCATGTTGTACCACCCTGGCCATGCAGAATCTGTCTTCCCATTACAAAGTGCTCTTATCAAACGTCATACCTTGCTCATCCTCTGCCTCATCCCGACCATCTCACATCACAGCTCGCATTTGAAGCAACTCCATCTCAAATCACACCTCAAGACTCCTCAACCCCATGTTCGCATTTCCATAACATTATCAATACTCCACAACCGTCTTCATCGAAACTCGCTCTCCAAACCATCCGCTTTTCCGTGAAGATCTCTCTCATCTAGACTTTTGCCTATCCTCTCGTTCCTTCTTGCCGAGCGTATCCCCTAAGCCGTCTTGCAAGCGATGTCTCCAGAACATATTTAACTCACCTAATGTGGAGATGTCAATCAAAACTTTTTGGAACGTTGTTACGCGCGCAGTGATCGAGTCCGAAAAGCAAAGGAAGACAACATGCTCATCGCTTTGGCGTCGCTCCAAGCGCTTTCCCAGATGGAGAAAGGAAAGCGAGACTCTCGTGATGTCTTGCGGTGGAGAATAGAGGTAGGGTTGGAGATAAGCTTACTTTCTCAGATCACACCATATCCAACGCAAGAGCTCAGCCTCGATCTGATCTGCAAAGGCCAAAAGCGTTAATTTGTCGGTGGCGTGATTATTGGGAAAGCGGCCAAAGATGGTTCCATCGACTTTGGTCGTTGGAGACGATGATATGATGATGATTATGAAAGAACAACGATGCTGCGTTGGAATGTGACTGCCTGACCAGTTTGTCGAGGCAACAATATTCTGACTGCGACTTCTTGGCAGGAGCGATGAGGTATGAACAATGGGCAGAAGTTCTGCATTGTTTTTTTTTTTGAGTCTGTTGCTGAGGACGTCGTATTGCAGCAGGTGCGATGGCTTGACCGCGTGGTTATCGACAAGATGATAGTGAGGTAAGAAAACAACTTTTTCTCGTCACTATTGGCGTACATAGATATACTGAAGCGGGTTCTGCTTTTTGTTGCTAGTTAAATCAAAATATGAGACAATATATTACATCTTTTCCTCTCTCCTTCCTGCCGCACACCAATCCTCAAGAGTGATCCGATTATTCTGCCCCCAAGCACCTCTACATGACTGACACTGGCGACGCCAAAGCCAGAGTAACAGGGCTTCCACTCAAAGGCACCCAGATGACCAAGGGGTCAGATCCAATGACTTCCCTGACAAGCCCAGGAGCACTGCTCGTGGCACCGACCGGGAGAGTGACTGGGATAGGGGCAGCACACGTATTTCCATTCGCAGTAACAGTGATAGAAATGATTGTCTTTCCATCAGGAGCATACTTGTAGGTCAGATTGGGATTACATTGATCGCGCGTCATGCGGTTGGCAAAGTCGATGGCCATATCGTCATGTTTAAGAGAAATGATAGGCCAGTTGGTCAAGCGTTTCATTTCTTGAGTCACGACCTCAACCCAGATCTGAACGAGCGCGAACTGTCCAGTGACGGAACCGATAGTGGTTGTATTGACATCTGCGTTGCGGAGATTGGCCTGGTGGAACATGAAGGGGTCGTGATGGAGCCCCATCAAATGGCGAACATTAGTTGTAAGAGCATCAGCGAGAAGTTGGGTGAAGCCGCCTTTGCCACCGGAAGTAGCAACCCATTCTGCTGTGGTACAGTCAGGAAGGTCACAATTGAAGAAGATCGTTGTTGCCCAGCGTGGGATAATCAGAAGCCCATCGTATCCATTACTTGCCACGGTGCTCATCAGTGGCCAAAACTCGTTCTGTTGGTTCATCAATACGGCTCGAGTATTGTCGCCAACGGCAGATGTGAGGCCGTTCGTCATCCATGCTCTGATTGCATCGCCATTGTGCATACCAGTGATAGCAGGAGGGATCAGACCGTTGGGTGACCATCTCGCGGCTTGATTGATTCCAGTGACATTTGCCCAAGCCTGGTTAAAGGTAATCTCTCGGTATGTGTCGTTGAAGGTTGCATTATTCAAGGATTCATGGGTGAATGTGTGAGAGACATGTGCAAAAGCGTTCAGGTTCTGTGGACTCGACAGCCACTTGAACAGAGGGTCGACCAAAGAACAGGTCTTGTTCCAGCGATACGTTGTCGGTGTTGTAGGCCATATATCGGTACCCGTGTTCAGTGGCTTTTGGTATTCGAGCGAAGTTGACGACATGGGCCCAGTGTAGATGATGGCAGGGTCGGGTTGACACAAGGTTGTGTTTTCGTAGGTGATTCCAGCGACAATGTTCCCGTTTCCGTTGTGGCCAAGCTCCATAAAGTAGTTCGAACCGAATGGAAGTCTTGAGTTGAGTTGTGGCATCCAATTCGCAATATTTTGGAGATCTGCTGCTCTTAACCTGAACAAAGCATCTGTGGGCTGGTAAAGTGCCGTGTTCAGGTGCACATCGTCAACCTGAGTACTCAGGTGTATACGGCGATACCCAACGGTCAGACCGCGAGTCAGCCAAGCAATGTAGGCGTGCTGGAGGTAGTTGGAAGTCAATGCCCACTGAGTGGCCCAGCTTGAGAACCACACCATCTCTAGACGGCTTCCGTCCCGGTGTATGACAGCTGCCGTGCTAGGTCCAGAGAAGGTACCGTCAGAGCTCGTCGCGAGACTTGCAACTTCCCAAGTCGTGTTTGGGTTGGTGATGGTTGCTGGATAGTGCCAGATGCCTTGAGTACTGATGGTAGCACCTTGTACAAGGTTGGCGGATGGGAAACCACTTGTGTTGGTGATGCTCAGAAGCTGCTCAACACCAGTACCGCAGCATCCAGCGCCAGGGATCGTAGGGACGACATCAAAAGCAGGACCAGGATAGACATCGATACGAACCATCCTCACACCAAAACTCTCTTGGTATGCATAAATTGCAGCAAATTGAGCAGCCGTTAGAGCACTGGCCCAGGTGTTATTGCCATAGTCGTAGGACACCTCACCGAGGATAATGAAGCCACCGTAGTTTCCTTGAGTAGCGGATGAGTTGAGCGTTGGAAGAGTTATGCCGGCTTGAGGTACCAGCTGAAGCTGAAAAGGAATGCCATAGCCATTGAGACCTGAAGTTGCCGAGTAGGATGATGCTTGATCGCGAGCAAAGACCAGAATCGTGTTGGCAACTGTCTGCCCGCCTGTAGAGTTGCTGAACTGAGCATTGACAAGATGTGGCAGATGAGAAATACCAAGCAGGATGACACTCGCTGCCCGTGCCGAACAGACACGTTCGAAGATAGGGACACGCATCCTTGCAGTCGAGTTGAGGGACTAGGAGATCTCAGAATTGCGTGCGGAGCTGGTTTTGTTCTCTTCAAGTATCCATAGCCGACATGATCTTGTTGGTGCTCATAGAAGAAGCTTGCCGACACAACGCTGGTCAGAGCGTGTTACTGCCCCTCTCTGAAGCATAACGGCTTTACAGCTTCTCAAACTCCCTCTCAGGTCATGGCGTCGACTTGGTGTTGCAGAGCAAATCGCAGTCCTGTTCAAGTTGTCGAGTGCGATCTGCGGATAATTGCACCCGCTTCGACGATAAAAACAATAATCGAGGTAGTTCCGGCATGTAGCTGATACGGTGATGAGTGGTTTGAACAGCTCGACCGAACAAGGCTGGTCCGTATATGTTCTGACCAAGAGGTCTGGTCATTGGTAACATCTCGAAGAATTGATAACATCTTTCAAGTTGTGCAGATGTGTCGTTTTTGTTCTCTCTCAGATTTCATCCTGTGAGCTCCGGCAAGGTGCACATTGACCGTGTAGAGCTGCGAATGTCATCGCGTCATGCGCAAGAGTTGAGTTTGTCTGAACAGAAAGACCCTTTGTTGATATCATCATGGGTTGCGCTGGCGTGAGAGAAAAATCATGTCGATGATGAAAAAGATGAGAGAAAGGACTCAAGTCTGAAGCTTTGAAGGCAAGAAGGAAGTCAAGTTGGAAATGCAAGTGGGGAACGAGCGCAAAGCTTTGTGCCGAGTTGTGCACCGGCGCTCGATCCTTGTGAAACCCCTGTTCGATAATTATACAAGCTGATTAAACCATACATTAGAAATTCTCCGGCATCCTTTCATCCAAAACTTCCAGCCTCGATGTTTGCCAACGGTATGTTATAGATCAGTTTCACATGAGAGAAGAAAGCTCCATCGTTGCAAGACCTGCTTGCAGTCCAACTCCCTTGGCGAGCTACTCAGCATTTCACATTCGCATTCGACTGCCCAACCTCCGACGTGAAAGTCGACCACATTGGATCGAAACTCGTGTATTGATCATCAACAATCAACAAGCCTCCATGGTAGCCAGCATCCACCAGATCGTCGACATCAGAGGCCATAGTTTCAGTACCGGAAGGATAACTATGCAACATGACAGTACTCTTGCTCCTCATCGCTTGCGGAATACTCGAATTGCCTCCTTGATGCATCCAATTATCGTACGTGTTTTCGTAGGCATTGATCATGTCTGCAATGTTGTAGAAAGATGCATCAACAGGGACGCCCGGATTTGTCCAGACGAGGTTTCCGTGACTCATGGTCGATTTGATCTTGTTGTAGATGGTTCCCACATAGTCGTAGTAATCCAAAGAAGCGGGTGTTTCGTCCACGAAAATGCCGTTCAGCGAGATGTTGGAGTTTGTGTATGTGGACCAGGATTGATAGGTGTCAATGTCGGATGAAATGTCTGAGAGCGATCGGTTGCCATAGCTGGTGTGTACATAACCAAGTGTGTTGACGTTGTTGTATGAGTTTATCATGGAGATGTTCGAGATGTAGTCAGAGTCCGGGAGAGAGCCTCCAGGTCCGTTACTAGGGTTGACGATGATGTCAAAGGTGACTCGAGGGTTGTTGTTCAAAGCGTCGTAAAGTGGTTGCCATGTTCCTGCTGACGGATACATGTAAAGAGGAAGCGCAACATGCATATTCATCGTCATTCTCGAGGGTTTCTGTTTGTCTCCGAGTACTTTTTTCAATAGAAGTTTCGAGTTTGACTTGAGTGAAGCCATTCTATCCGACAGCGGCATCCTCAATGATATACCGATGAAATCCTGTTCCTGCCAATGTCTTTGTGATTTGAAAAATCGGTGTGAAGAGAGGCCGGATTGAGAGAAACCGTTCTGAGCAGAAGGTGTTTGTGACGAAACGGCCACGTGCATCCACTCGAGGGCGCGAATCAGACAACGCTTTCCCTCGCCTCCTACTATTTGCATTTTCAGCTTCGGCGTAAGGAGCCTCCTTTGGGCGTACACTTGCTATAGCACAAACGGGTCTACAAAGAAACGGCACTTGGCAAGAGGCTCCCGAAAGTATGGACCAAAAACAAGGAGAAGTGAACATCCGAACGGTTGGACTTTCAAACTTTGACAAACTATGAGCTCGCTTTCTCGACCTTTCAGCCCCTAGATTCACCCCATCGTCGACATTCCCCTTTCGTATGTGCCTAACCTTTCCTTGCGAGGTGGCGGATGACTATGAGATTGCAGCTGATCCATCTGGAAGTCTTGCCAACGTGCCTTAGCATCTTCTCCAGTATCACCAGCGTCATCGTACTCGAAGATGTTCGACTCGCCGAAAGCGGCGTTGGCTGGCGGATGTCGGCTCAGCTTGTATGCCGAGCGACGGGTTTCTGCCCAGCAGCGTTGTATCCAATACATTTGTTCGTGCTCGCGAAGGTACCTCTGTCCGTGGAAACTGCGAAGGACGACGTCTCGAAGTCTGAGGCCTAGAGCACGACGATCGGCTGCTTTTTCATACATTCTTGCCATGATTCGTGCAATATCGTCGGGCTTGAACGAGTCAGGTAGTGGAGGTGGCTTAATCTTGTCGGTAGTGTACTCTGCCCAGGGACCAAGCATACCGAGAATGCTCAACTGTGCTCTTGCGAGTGCCTCTGGGTCGTTGGGAGGTACGACCTCGCCATAGCGCTTTGTTGAGTCATCAGGGTCAGTGAGCACCAAAGCAGTGGCGCCAACTTCTGTAGCAACTATGGGGATGCCAGANAGAGCGGCCTCACCGATGGCTAAAGGAAGCCCTTCGGAGAGAGAAGAATTCATGAACAGCCAGGCGTCTTTGAGAACTTCTTTTGGAGAACCAAAGCCAGCAAGGATGACGTTAGTGTTGAGATTGCGTGTGTTGATGAGTGTAGTCGTTTCGAGCGCATAGCTTGGTTGTCTATCTTGAGCACCGTAAACAACCAGACGATAGTCAGTGAAGCCGTACTTGTTGACGATGACATCTGCAGCCAGTACGGCGTTCTTGACGTCTTTGATAAACTGAACATTCGAGAGCATTACGCATGTTGGGATCTTGCTCCTAGTTTCTTTCACTGGCTGGAAGGTATCCATGTTCCCAATGCCATTCACAATGGGATCAATCTTGCGTGCGAACAGCTTCTTGCTGCCTCGTAGTCCTTGATCTGTGCCTAGATCAATCTCCCAGTCAGGGTTGAAAACAGAAGTGCATGGCAGGACAATATCAACATGGGTATACGCCAGATGGCAAGCCAGCTTGATACCAGCAAGAAGCATAGACTGGACTGGAATTGGGAGCAAGCACTGCGCTGGACTGATGTTTAAGCAGGTTTCTCGCCACAAGATTGCATGATCCCAGATGCCCCAGGTAGTTCCACGACGATATTTGAGAAGCATCCCATAGAGACTGCTGATTCCGTGATGTGTGCTCTGGAAGACAGTGGGGCAATCCGGTGGAAGCTCGACCGAGTAAATGAAAAAGTAGCAGACGTACAGGCCGAGTGCACTCTTGAAGTCGCTCATAGTCGCTTGCTCGATTTCAAAGTAGTCTCGAGGATTGCCAATATTTGGATCTTGGTAATCGATGAGCCAGGCTTGGATCCATGCGTCCCAGACGTCCTTGTTGTCCCAAGTTTTGTTGAAGTCGCACTTCTCAAAGTACCTGTTCATCTGCAAAATCACATTACTGAATGTGAGCAAGTCGCTACGGGTGTAACGCCTCATCCGTGCACCCTTCACGAAGGTTGTGAGCAAAGGGATAAAGATGGCTTTGATGTCTTCTTCAATCCGTGTCTGAAAAATTCTCTCATCGATTTGGGTTTGCAGTAAATTGTCAAGCACGCCGTGGTATGGTGTTTTGCCGTCAATTCCCCACAAGGGCAGAATCTTCAAAGAGTTAATGTTCTGCTCGATTTGGTAACGAGGTATTCCAAAATCGTTGGCTGACTCGGCTAAACAGTGACCTCGAATAGTAGTATGTCCGTTGACCAAATCTCGCCTGCAGTTAGACACACCACCCGGATTATCGGGCCAGCAGCCATTGTCAGAGAAGATTACAGATGTACGAGTCGGGGTATCGCGATATGCATCGTCGGGACGAGCTGTAACTTGATTCGCGTCTTTCCCCAGTCCCATCACAAACAAGTCGGAGACCTTGATGAGAAGAGGACACGTCTGAGATGCTTCTGTAGACGGCTCGATTGCAGATATGATCAAGTCTAGGTTTTCATCAAGGAAGTGCGCAGCTTCCAATAGCTTGCCAGCGTCCCGAAGCTTCCAGTACTTTTTCAAAAGAGGCTCTTTGCGCAATATCATTTCGTCAAGAAAGCATGCTGAGACAGCATCCAGATGAGGTGGCTTTGCCCAAAANGTCCATAGCGCTGTCCTCAAGACAGCAGTCGGCAGTTTTCGGTAAACAATTTTCTTCTTCGTGTCCGAATAACCAAATGGCATGAGTGACATGAACCATGAGGAAGGTTTGGAGACCTCCTCGCCATGTTTCGGAAATCTCGCGAGCCAGCGCAGAGGATGATAAACTAATAGGTCGACATGGTCAAAAGACAAATTTGTCGGTTTCTTAAGCAGACCAAATGCATCGTCCAAGATCGCCGCAGGAGCCGGTACGCCAGTGAGCACTGTACCGTGCTCATCTGTCAATGTTGTCTCAAGATCGGGATCTCTTGCGTGCTTGTAGACCCATTCAGTCTCGTAAGTTTGCCCATCCAGAACTGCGATGACTCGTCGGATCTTTTCAGAAGGCGTCCAATTCTTGACCTTTTCGGAACCAGATCGGGGTTGCACGCTCCAAAATACAGACACGACGGGAGGAGCGCCTTCAGCATTTTCCTGCGTGTAGGTCGCTTTGAGGATCTCGGTGTTGCCCTTAGGTCTTTTCTTGTAAAGGTACTCGAAGGAGAACTCTACCTCGCCACGAAACAGCTTTCCACTGACCACGCGACCATGTTTGTCATAGAAGGATTCGATTTCCTGGCTGTCTCCTTCCTTGGTGATTTTTTTNGTCGGCCAGCGTCTCCACTCCTTGTTTTGATACTCAAATGTCGAGGTCGTCTTGGTCTTTGGGTCTCCAGGATTGGTCTCATAGTGTATAACTCGGTAGGCTTGATCATAAATTGCCAGAGCTCTCAATGATTGCGAGTCAGGTAAAGTTTTGTGAATGCCGTCAAATGCCGAAACAACCAGATTGCCATCCACGTCTCGCGAGAGGAAACCGCTAACTTTCGAGAAAGGTGTGTCAACTGTGATGACATCTCCATGGAGAATTCGAGGGAGCCCTCGGTCCTTCATGTCCAAGATTGACGACAATGACGGCTTACCGAGAATCAGAAACAAGTAGGTCGAGAAATTCTTGAAGAACCAGCATATCTTCCAGATCTTGAGCAACATCCAGAGCAAAGGCTTGTGTAACGGATTGTTCCTCAGAGCAAGCCACAACTCGCGATTGGCGTCTGGTGCCCCGCCTGAGACGAGAGCTACCCATTTAACAATGTCGTAGATCGTCAGGCCAACAATTGTGACAATGTGCTTTAGCTTGGACATCGCGCCGAACTCTCTGCCCAGTACAGAGCTCAACTCTGGATCTCTGTACGAACCTGCGATCTTGAAAGCGTTGTCTGCATCCTTGCTGACGGTCGATTTCTGGCTTCCATAATTCGCTAAGCACCTTTCTAACTCGTTGTCAGACTTCTGCGTATTCTTTGACTCGGCAGCTAACCATGCCCGGGCAGAGGCAGTCGTGTAGCCCGTTACGCCTAGCATGCGTGATACTATAAGAGATCGGACGTCGTCAGGAATCTTAGACCACTGCACGTTGACGTCGACGTCAAGACATAGATGCTGAAGAATCTTGCGATGGGTAGTGTGCGATAGGTTGCATAATGTATCGGTATGAGTTTTGAATAGAGTCGCCCAGCTTGCTGGTTGAGCATTCGCACCATCCGAGAAACGTTTGTCGATAATCTTACTGTTCTTCTTGGTAACATGTCCAGGTTGATCTGACCGACCCGTTGGTGACGAAAAATAGCCAGTCAGCAGGAACGTGGCAATGGCAGCTGAGACGCTGGTGATGTTTAAGCCAATGACAAAATCATAGAATAGATCTTTCGTAGAGGGTGCTGCTCGAAGGATGCAGCCAACAATGAAACCCGCAGCGCAACATATCAGCACGGCGACCACATGAGCTTTCGGGTGTTGGGTAAAGCACCGGTTGAACTACTATAATCAGTGTCCAAGACATATTATACCGGATTGCTAACTTACCTGGAACAGACACACTCCCGTGTAGCCTGAAGTATACAAAAANTACAAGATGATTGATCTGTGTTCAATGACGAAGACCCAGATGAGAATGGTCAAGACACCAAAGATTATGGCTAGGTAGCTCATGAGTTCCCCCAGTGCAACTCTATAATACTTGTTGCGAAGGNNCTCAGATTTGTCAGTACAGCTTCATGTAGATGAAGGCAAGAAAGCATACCGTTTCTGATCGAGCTTGACTTCATCGTATGTTTCTAGATCGGCAATCTTGCGATCTGGGAGCTCGGTTGCAAGTGGCCAGTACTTTTGTAACACCAGATCCACTGCGACTGCACTTAGTAGGAAATACAGAAGCCCAAAGCAGATTCCATAACGCGCCCTATTGTCGAAATATGTGACGATCTCCGGTCGTCTTGCGAGCATGACAAGATCGATCCAGCGATCCATAAGTGCGCCTAAAAACAAGCCAACGTTTTGTCCAAGCTATATGAGAGTCAGCGATGTCTCAAGAATCAAGCATGTGTGGGATCTAGAACTCACATCGTACTTCGAGTAGCGAAAGGTGATGAACTGACTATGCTCCTTGAGGCCTCGCGTCAACTGTCGCTGATTGGCAGATGCAAGCTCAAGTTGCACAAACCAAGTTGTCGTATAGATCGGAGGCAACTCAGCTCCACCGGCTTCTTTTTCCAGGAGCCAGAGAGCATATGGATGACCGATGCCCATCTTCTTGACAAAAGGATCCACGCCTGCTTCAGAATTGAATATCCGACTAAAGAAGCTCCTATTGCGGTACTGGTGTACAGCAAATCGGAGAGCAAGACGAGCACTGGCAGCAGTCTCCTGAGAGTTGACCCCAGACACAGATTCTTGCTCCTGCTTCATCTTCGAGTTGTACCAGGTAATTAAATCCTTCTCTTTCACTGACGGTACTTTGGCCAGCCAGGTGGTCCATTCGTGGAGAAGGTTTCGAAATGTGACCAGGAGTGTGATGACGAAGGTGTAAATAATAAGCAGGTAAATCAGAAGATCATGCCCGTTGACAAAGCTAGTAAGAATGGGTGAGATGAAGAGTATGGGAATACATCGCCACATCGCGGTACGGCCGGAAGTCAGAGGGCAACCTAGCCGGTGCATGGTAGCGAACATGCCTGTTGAGCGATGGTTAGTGGTTGGTCGGAGCACAAGTTTCTGTAGCTTACCTAACAGGTTAAGGAAGATTGTTAAAGGATAGAGATAGATCAAATATATGAACCCACCGTGGAACCAGGAAACTTGAGCACCAAACGCGAAGAATCCACATAAGGCCACGATCGTGGTCAAGAGGAATGCTGCAGAGAAACGTTGTACGAGAAAGTAAGACATGTTGTCAAACGCAAACTAGACATTTTAGCCTCCTTAATGGAATTCTTCCCGAGGTTTGCAACTTACATTATAAAGATAAAAGCCTCCAGTACTGCCTACCCAGCCAGTGATGCCACCGGTCATAAGGAGAGCAGTCAAAATGGCATAGTCGGCCATATCAGTGACTCTGTAATCCATGAATGCCGTGATATAGAAACCACGACCGACAAACGTCAGCAATATGACATCGATTATGGCTGGAAAACAGAAGATCGACAGGGCACCGAATGTGCTGGCAGCTTCAGTAAGACGTTTTGTCGATTCTGGCTCATCGAGTCTAAAACCTGGTGCTTGTCCAGGCAAATCTACAGGTGAGCCAGATCCTGTCATCACCTCATGTCCCTCCAACTTAATCCGAGCTTCAGTGTTGGAGTAAGCGGTGAAAACGTCTTTACCGTTCCATGATGCAAGTGGAGGTGGATGCCAAGATAGGTACTCGCGGTACTTATCGTAGGTGACTTCTCCTAGAGCTCGGGGCTGAATGCCGAAATAGGTTTCGCACTGCGAGCCCAGGACCCATAATTCGGAAAATACACCAGCCTGGTCATGCTGTTGCAAGAACAACGGACAACGGTCTGTCGTTTCAAGATAGACATCCTCGTAAGCGAGCTTGCGCAAAGTGCAGAAGTATATCAGACCGTAAAGATCTAGTCTGCTGCTAGCTGCTCGGGTTATTCCAATAGCATTGTAAGCATCAACAAGAGGAGCTGACAGCTGATTAAGCGTAGATCGATCGGTAGTGAATAAAGCATCCTGCAACTTTCGTGCGAGGAGCTGAGAGAACTCAACAAGCTTTCCGAGCTCAGGAAGTTGACGTGCGCCTTGCTTCGCGAATTGCTCAAGACGCATTTGGATCAGAGTTTGCATACTCAGTGATCCGTCAAGACAGGCTCGAGAATGAAGGGCTGTCCAATTAGCCTGTCTACTATCCTCGAGTAGATTAGAGGCGCATGTTTCAATGATAATTTGATGGAAAACATGATCGGTATCGCTCAATCGGACTTGTTGGATGATGGAAAGCAGCTCGGCTTCCGTGCTCTGAGCCAATTCCTGTTGTAGACTCTTTGGAAGCCGCGCGCCAGGAAAGAGCAAGAGCTCCTCTTCGTAGCATTGTAAGCGCGGTATCCCGTGATGTGCGAGGAATACGTGCCAGATAGTAGCAGTGTCGTGTGCGTTCTTGAGTGAGATGTAGATGTCGACAAAGACATGACCATCTTCCTGGGAGCTATCAGAGAGCCCGAACATATGCCCACCGTCGTCAGGAAGGCTAAACCCACTATCTAGGCCCTTGTAGATCCGCACATGTCCCTTTGTCAGTCGGTCAAGCAGCAGCTGGAGCATTTGAGGATAAGAAGAGTTCCTCAGTGCTGTGCTCAACACTTTTGACATTGCCATAATCTCAATGTCTGCGTAAATGTGCAGCATTTGCAACTGCTTTAGTCGGCGCTGAGTTTGCAAGATTCGCCCATAATGCTCCTCTGTAATTTGGTCCCTGAGGTTGTAACATCCATTTTTACAGAGCGGCGCCCCACAGCTCGCTACGTCCCACATATTTTCTCTTCTTGGAGCGTTCAAAACGTAGTCTGGACTAGGCACGCTTTCCAGTCTTTCGTTCTGGATAGATAGAAGGTCAGGAGGTAAGGGAGCTAGCGCGAGCAGGTTTTCAGCTGAACCTAGAATTTCAGATAGTCTTTGGGGGTCGAAGTGAATGTCGTCTGTTTCTGCATCCAAAGCATTCGCCGCAGCATTTTGCGACCAGCATTTCTGTAGATACACAATTTCCATTCGTTTCAGCCAGTCGAATCCGCTTAGACACATCTCCGTCCGTGTGTTGTGTTGAGAGACGGCTTGGGCCTGGATTGTAGCTCCGAAGAAGTCGGCCAGCTTGAATGCCCTACGCAGGGTCGCTGCCGATGGTCTGACTGTCCAGATCTCGAGGAAGCCCATGAAAAACTCTGGTCGAGTTTTCGTTTGACGTTTGCATCTTGCAACACACTCTCGCACTTGGGCCGCGCGAAAGAAGTCTCGGCGCTCACCGTCGGGCAGTACAAATGCATTCCGAATCATAAGGCCGTCGATGAGCGCGAAGGAAATCGACTCAACAATCTTCGAATCGGGATCACCTGTAAGGATCACGGACACGTGTAGGTTCCTCAAAGCTATCGAGAGTGCATTGATGTCCTCAGCCGAGTCATCTCGTTTGTATGATACAACAACTCCATGTAGACCTTGTTTGAGTCGAAGATTGTTGAGTAATGCAGCCTTTTCTTCAACGCTCTCCTTCTGCAATGCTGATGTGGTTTTGAGAGCACCATAGAAGATGGTCGAGGTGTTTGTCGCTGGCTGCGTGTCGGCTGATATTCGAGGAGGGTGTATAGAATCTTGAGCCGTGTCGTGGGCTGTACTCCCAAGTGAGCCCTGTGTCGAGCGGCGAGATGACTTTGCGCTCTCGTTAGTGCCATGCGTTGAAGATGTCGGGAGCTCAGCATCGCCACGTACTGGGTCAATGGAATCCTGCGTTCGCTCTGATACTCGATCAAGTGTTCTTTCTCCAGTCAAACCAACAACATGCAAGTCAAAACTGGATCGGAAGTGCTGCACAGGTAATTCGTGTTCGGACACACAGAAGGTCTTGACCAACGACAACTTGGGTGGGGAAAAGACTGGTTTAGGTGAAGCTTTCTCAGAGGTGATTGGCGTGTCTTTCTCTGTTCTTGGAGATGGGCATTTGGATTGTGTCCATGCTCTCGGGAGCTGAAGGAATCTCTTAATGCTTGGTGGTAGAGGGTTTACTTTAAGGCGGCGCTTCTTTCGAATGTATTGTATGATAAAGCTTGAGAGTCCAAGGACGAGAAAGGTACTACCAACTGCAACGACAAGGATTTGGTACCAGTACACGGTTAGCTGTGAGCCCTTGAGTGTTGCATTCCAGTTGATAAGAAACCTCGTGCTGGTGTCTTTATCGGTGCTTGGCCCTGTCAGAGAGGGCTGAAAGAAGGATGCCATGGTTGTACGGTAGTTCCATGCATGCAATCCATGAAATCAGCATCCATCCAGATGTCTTTGCAGAAACGATGGAGTATCGCGTGTCAATGCTCGAGCTAGGCAGGCATTAGTGGAACACATCGGATGACGTCCGAGAGTCGTAGCATCGACGACAAAAATCCCAGCTGAGCTACATGGCAGATCGCGTTTCGTAAGCAGCTCCGCCGGAGCATGGTTAGTTCAGACTAGAGAAGACCTACCTTGACTTTATTTCAACGATTCAGCAGAAGGCCAGCAGATCTATCGCCATCTCTGTGACACCCGTTTGATTACCTGAATCGACAATTCGAGTTGCAGACATGATATGTGAGGCTTCCCTATGCATGAAATGATCTCTGGCAACGCGAACATGAACTTTTGAGGCGCGTTGTGTTGCTACGCAGTGGTCGGTGATTTGGCGTGGGATGACCAACATTGGCGACATGTTGTTTTCAATACGAGGTAATTAATTTTGTCGTCCTTTTGCGGTAAATGAGAAGGCTGCTCGAAGGTTGAAGTCAAGAGATGTGCAAAGCGGCGACGCGAAAGGCCCTCGCTCCACTTTCTTCATTGGGACGACGTGTTCTTGCTGTCATCGCGACTTCCTTGTTCATCTTGCTGTTTGCAACACAAGCCTCACTCTACTCATGCTTTTGACTTTGGCAACTCTGATTAACAAACATATCATGTCTTGATACATGCATACGCGCCCGAATAATCACGTTTGCTCTTGCCGTGCGCATCGAACAAAACCTGTATGCGAATATCAATCGAGACACAAGAACATGGAACCTCATCCACATTCAAACTGCCGACACTTGATCTGACTTACATGAAGACGGAGCTCCCTCGCTCCATTCAACTCTGTCAACACAGTGATGCACGATTAGATACGCGGCCAAGGGAGCCGCATCTTTCCGGCACATACCTCTTAATCTGATGGCCGCCGTCAACATGCTCGGATCAGAGCGATGAGAGATGTGGATCCTTTGAACAGAAAGATACTCATGTGGGCCCTCTGGACGAAAGGATACTCGCTTGAACGCAAAGCATGGCAGATACTCAACGCTAGACTCAAAATCACTCACCGTTGGACTTCGATCATGCTGCTTGGTTGACCGTCAACACAAACGTTGCATGGGAGTTGATTCCGTTCGTTCATACTGAGTCTTGGTGTCGGGGGCAAATTTATCACCAGATGATCTCCGTACTGCTGTGATCAGCGTTACGATACTTTGAACTCAGCGTTCGGATTATGTAGCTTATGATGCAACAGGGGATACGGCTTCTGTATCGGAGCTTTACAGCTCTATCTGGAGCTTGACGTCTTTGTAGTATTCGTTGATGCGGGTGTCTTCCCCTGAAATTCTGGCGACCAACGACAAGCAGTGTGTTTTACGCTTCAACACATAAGTTGAAACAACGAGTTGCAACAATCAAACACAACCCACAGACGGAAGACTCGCAGCGATGCCATCTACTAACCGACTTACCGAAGAACCGCTCCAGAAGAAGGTGGAACGCTTTCGTGCAGAAATCAAATCGTTTCCAGTATGTCTTGTCACCGGAGGAGCAGGTTATATCGGCTCGCACACGGTCCTTGAGTTACTCAATGCTGGTGTTGCTGTGGTTGTAATCGACAACTTGTGCAACAGCCATATGGAGTCTCTGTGTCGTGTACACTACATTGCTCGAACCGAGTCTCAGCGTCTCCAACAGAATGGCAATGTGCCTCCGATCTTCTTCCACCAGGTCGACATTCGAAGCACAAAATCCATGAATCTGGTCTTTGAATTCTGGCAGTCTGACAAGATCCATGCCGAGAGGGCTATAATCCCTGTGAGCGTCGGCGAGGTCTCTGCGAACAAGGCTTATCTCATGCTCGACTATACGTTGAACCCAGCAAAGAGAGCTCAACCAAGCCCTCAGACCAAAGATCCATCTACCTGGGGCAGGATCACTGCTGTCATCCACTTCGCCGCCCTCAAGGCTGTAGGAGAATCCATCACGAAGCCTCTGGAGTACTACGAGAACAATGTCGCCGCACTTGTGGTCTTGCTCAAAACCATGAAGGCTCATGCCGTCAATGTTCTCATCTTTTCCTCGAGCGCTGTGGTCTATGGTGTTGGTCATGAAGCTGGCATCTCAGAGGAAACTGTTCAAGTTGCTGGAAAAGGCTCTGGAGGCGGTTTACTCACCAATCCCTATGGACGCTCCAAGTGGATGTCGGAGGAAATCATCAACGACTACTGCGTGGCGGACCCCAATTTCCATGCCATTTCGCTACGCTACTTCAATCCTACCGGCTCTCATCCAAGTGGACTGATTGGTGAAGACCCCAAGGGTACACCAAACAACATTGTGCCTGTCATTCTTCAGGCATATCAACGTCGTCGTAGCCGCGTTCATGTGTTTGGCTCCAACTACGACACTTCAGATGGCACAGGTGTGCGTGACTACATTCACGTCAGCGATCTCGCCATGGGTCATCTGGCAGCTCTACGCAAGGCCACAAAGCAGCCTGGTCCAGTACCCGAGGACGAAGAGCTCGATGGTCAGGATCCTGTCTCCAACTACAATGTCTACAACCTGGGTACAGGACGAGGATACTCTGTACTCGAGATCATCAAAGCTTTCAGCAATGCAGCTGGCACAGCCATCCCCTTTACCGTCGGCGAAGCACGCGCAGGAGATCTCGGTACCGTTACCGCGTCTCCCGACAAAGCAGCCTCCGACCTTGACTGGCGCGCCGAGTTTGATCTCCAAGACATGTGCCGCGACGTCTTCAACTGGGCCGCCGCCAACCCTACCGGCTACGAGACCCTTCGTCGCTTGTCCACCATGTCCGGCATGAACAGCCAAGAAATGCGTCGCCAATCCGTCGCCACCGGCCTCTTTGACCGCGAAGAAGACTTTGACAGCTTCATCAGCACGAGTCTCAGCTCGATCGACAACAACAACGCCAGTAAAGACAGCAGTGGCCGCCGTATGTCACAACACGGCGCAAACTTTAGCAATATGCTCAAGAAGATGCGATCGGCATCTCATAGCAGTGCTGTCAGTGATAACGACAATCCGTTTGGCGGCAACTATGCTTTGTCGAGCAGCCCTGGCCATGGAGCTAGTGGGGCTCCGAGGTTTGCAATGACTTGGGGTGAGGCGAACAAGACGGGTACGATTGCTGAGGGAGAAGAGGAGGAGGACTTGGATCTGGGACCTACACTTAGTCCCTCGACGAGCAGAACGCTGCCGATGAGGTCGAAGTGATGTTGACTTTGGGCAGCAAGACCAAGGTGTGTATTATTGCTGTTTATGTACGAGCTAATTAGTCAGTAGCCGAGGAGTAGTTGTTTAATATAGTTTGACTGAATGCCAACCATGCTAAGAAGCACGATCTCTCCATACCATAATATCATCTAGTCTATTACTTTGAATTGATTAGGCAATATTCAAAGAGATAGTGCTTGTCTGGCAAGGACATTCAGTATAGCCATCGATACAGACCGAGTCTGTCCTTTGCTATCTCTCAAGTTCTAAGTTTGTGTCTGGTTTCCCCCTGTGTCCTCTCTCAACAGCCTTTCGTTGTGAAGATCAAAGCTGTGAGAGATCTTGCACGTGCCATGTATACTTGTCCTTCGCATTGCACCTTGACATGCACCCCTCCCAGCGAGAGGATACTGCTGATGGCCAATCATACATTCTCTCCCCAGAATGTGTCCATTCAATCGACGGGGCGAAGGACGTGGCAACACAGTTGCTAGCAAATCATCAGAGTAGTCGATGTCCTTTGTTGCTCATGGCGGTAATGTCAGCAGGGCATCCCTGCCCACTGCCATCCTCTATCCTTCCTTTCCACCATCAACAACAAANAACCTCCCTACCTTCTTACCCGCCGCACCAAGGACATCCCAAGTCTTTGCACTCTCACCCTCCACAGCATCCTCTTGTCTCCGTCTGATCCTCTTGTAGTACTTTCCCTTGACTTGCTCTTTCTCAAACGCATCCCGTAGCTCTTCTAACCCAATCTCTTGCTCTTTGGTCCCAGCACTGGTTTCATCCCGTAGACTTTGCAGTGGAGAGATATTCGTCGTATCGACTTTGCGGATTTCGGCGACAAAGTGGAGGTGTTGGTGGAGAGATTGCAACATNTTTTTGTTCCTCGGAGCTGTCTTTTGGGGGTGGGAGAGCGGAGAGGCGCAGGAGGTGGTGGAGTTGTTTTGAAGTGATTGTCGGTGTTGTGGTGGTAGAAGAGGAGGAAGAGGGNNAAGGAGAGTGTCGAGGGACCAGGTTGGTGTCGAGAGGAGGGCGTCTGTATCGAGTTTTGAGCGGGCTGGGCGTGTGGTGTGCAAATTTGCGCGGCGAGCCAAGCAGAGCCGCAGACGTGATCGTAGTAAGAGAGGTGGCATCTTGTTGTACTACTCGAATATGTGTTCTTGGGTTGTGTAGAGTGTGAGTAGAACAGAGAGGGAAAGTTGGGCAGCGGCCAATCACAGCGGGGCAGGGTCCGGATACGTCAGCGCCGACTCGGTGCTCGCAGGCCCCCCAGATACAAGTAACGACAAGACAACATTTCCTGTTCGTCTCTCTACACACTTCTCTCACTCACACACACACATCATGGCTTCCTCACTCGCAGCCGAGCAGGACCTGCTCAACAAGGTATGCGCCTCTTACTGCTACCACTTCCAGCCCTGTTCCATCTCCAACCCCTCGACTGACACACTCCCCCCCTCCAGGNCCATCAAGCAAGAAAAGAGCGCCTCGGGCGGCTTCTCCTTCTTCGGCGGCAAGCAGGAAAAGTACGAAAAGGCCGTCGAAATGTACCGCTCCGCCGCAAACGCCTACCGCGTCAAACTCACCTCCATCGACGACCCGGAAACCATCTCGCTCGCCATATCCCAAGGCGGTTCTGCCCTCGAGTCTGCCGCCAGAATCTGCACCGAGAACCTGGAAGAGCAGCTTGATGCCGTCAACATCTACAACGAGGCGTTCAAGCTGTATCACGAGGTGCAGCCAGAAAAGGCCGCGACGATGCTGGAGCAGGCCATCAACAAGCAAAAGCAGTTGGGAAGGTGGAGGCCGGCTGCCACAAACACCGAGAGTCTTGCGAATCACTATCAGCAGGTGCTGGGAAATAACGCAAAGGCCATCGAGGCCTACAAGGACACCCTCAAGTGCTACAAGCAAGATCCCGCTCCCGCGCTTGAAAACAAAATCACACTGGCCCTGTCAGACTTGCAGGCACTAGAGGGCGACTACAGGAGTGCCATCGATGGCTACGAGACGGCTGCCGACAAGGCTCAGAACAACAACCTCCTTGCCTGGAACATCAAAAACTACCTTTTCCAAGCCGGAATCTGTCACTTGGCCACTGGTGTACGTTTCCTCTCCGCTTATTCTCCTTGATCTCTTACTAATCTCTGTACAGNNGACATGGTAGCTACATCCCGCGCCTTTGACGAGTGGCGCTCCAAACACACGCAATTCACCACTGCCCGCGAATTCCAACTCCTCAACGACCTCAAGGAAGCCGTCGAAGCCGGAGACCAAGACATGTTTGCCGACCGCCTGTTCCAATTCGACCAGATGCAAAAGTTGAACAAGTGGCAGACGACCGTGCTGCTCAGGATCAAGGAGAAGATTGAGAGCCAGGATGAGGATTTCTCATAGACAATTCTAGGCACGAGTACATTCAGGGAGTAATGAGGTTTACTCTGGCGTTCTGTGCAGTTTTTGATATCCTTGTTAAGTTTTTTTGTATTCCACGGATAGAGTGGTCTATTATTTGTTTTCCCTTGGACTTTCTTCTCCGCCTTGACTGGCTCCGAATATACCCAGACCCCACCATGCTTTCTTGGGTGCCACCTCTGTCTTTGCGCTTTGCTGTGCGTGTTGTATCGTCTGTACTGCTTCTTGCCTTGCTTCTTGGAGGTGCTGTTTTACTTCTGCGCCGATGGATTTGTCGTTGTTGATGTCTGGGATCTCGCGGTCGTGTGCTGTTGGCGGNACTGGGAGGGGGCGGATGTCAGTGGGGATTCTAATGAAAGAGTGCGATAGAAAGTCGTACATGGCGCCATTATGCTGTTGTTGAAACTCTTCAACATTCTTGCCTTCTCTTTCTGCTGCCTGCTTCTGCAGTTCTGGTTGGAATGCTGCGACCGCTGTGAGGGGTGTCAGTAAAGCATGTCGAGAAATGACCGAGATAGGCAACATACCGGTGGCAATACCACAGACTGTAGCTAACGCAGGCGCGATCAATCTATTCATTGTTCCTAATCTCGTGTCTTGTATATCAAAAAACCATTCGGGTTCAAATGATGAGCACATGGAACAGCTCGAGTTTCTGTACGTCTTGGCATGACGTGGGGCAACTGTCGCGTTGCCGAGGCGCGTTGCATCTGAAATTGGCAAACGCGTTAGAGTCGCGTCTTCAGGTCTAGACATTATTGTTCAGCATTCATTCGTAAATGTTGCAATGAAGGCCAGATCAAATGAGCGAATGGAGAGATCGAGGCTATGTCCCGGACTCGGATGAGGACGATGTGTCTTTGGTTGACGAAGATGCTGATACGACAATAACAACACGAGAGACGCCGAGGACGACGACAACACCCGATCAACGATGTGCTTCTGTGGAATTGATTGATGATGCCGAGACGGATAGAAGAGATGGAATCATCAGTCCTTTGACGACGAGGAAGGAATCGCAAGGACCTGCTCAGGCTTCGGAAGAGGACACCACATTCGACATACCAGATGACGGCCTCGATGCACAGCAGACAGTCCAGGAGCCTTCGGCTGGGCAGCCAATAGTCTTGATCACCCAAAACAGAAGCGCAGAGTCGCCGACAGAGACCAACAAGAGTGTTAGAACGTATAGTCGAAAGTTTAGACCAGGAGCATTGAAGAGGATCAAAAGTACAGTCAACACGACCGGCCATGTCGAGCAGGATACACAAGAAGATGATGGATTCATGGACATCGATCTGTTGGTTGAAGACAATGTCGAACCTAAACAGGCACCATCTTCGTCAGCTCCCATCATCGCGCCTTCCCAAGCCGAGCGACGTTTGTCTGTCTCAAGCTCCGACCTGTCCGACGTCGACATGCAGCTCATCTCTTCTCCGCAACCCTTCTTTCCTCCACCTTCAAGTACGGCAAGAACCAACGATTCGATACCGAGACTTCCCAGCCAACCTGAGACGTCCGCCCTCGAGAGTGCTGTCACCTCTCTGTCTGATCAACACCTCGCTGAACTTGCTGCTCAACAACCTCGACGCAACCTTCGAGCACGAAAAGCCATCCAGTTGACTCCTTATGCCATCGAAATTCAAGAATATCGTCGTAGACTTAGAGCTGTTGGCGTGAGACCCATTCAAATCGCCAACAGCCAGCGACCAAGAGACCAAGACGACTCTCAGGATGCCGAGTTCCGTCAGGAAGAGACTCAGCCTCGACGTCGCCAACCGGATCATACGCAGGAGTCGACTCCGCCAGAATCCTCAGCTTCATCCACCCACAGTCAATCGCCACCTCTTGACTTGTCCAACCTTGTCGGTGATGACGAAGACGAGTTTCCTGACCTCGATACCATTCGCCGCCGTGTCAACGGTGCTATTCAAATTCGTAACAAGCGCCGCAAGACTCTCGAGACTCCTCACACTGATCAAAATGGACGTATGCTACCTTCGTCCACATCAAGAGCCAGAGGAAGGTTAAAGTCGCTGAACCCGAATCGCGTCCATTCAATCACGAACGGGTCCCTCAATCAAGACTTACTGCCACTTTCACCTCCACGGACGTCAAGCCCAGCGAATGCTGAACCCACACCTGCCGCCCCTCCTCGCTTCAGGCTTCCGTATGGTCACAATTACGCAGCTGCACCTACTCCACTCCCATCGTCGCCCGAGCAGCCTACTTCCACATCAGTCAGGCGTCCTCGCCAAGTAGTCATATCGTCCGATGATGACGATGCTGCGACTCGTCACGATGCTAATGTAGAGGCCAGCTCCTCATCAGAGTCAGACCATGAAAACAGACAATTGATGCGTATGCGACGAAGGATCAGGGGCGTGCTGCCTGCTTCTTACCTCAAGTTTGACAGACAGGTCAGACTGCCGTCACCTTCGGTTGCCCCTTCCTTAGTCCAGATGGAGACACCCAGACCAACGGCCCCTGTTAGAGGTGTTGCTCAACGAAGAGTCACAAGCACTTCTGCCATACCAGCTCGTCAAAACAGCCATGTAGTTTTCTCTGACAACTCCGACTCCGAGAGCTCGCTTGCGGAACTTCCAGCGCCTCGTCTGCTTCAGACTAGACTGCCTTCACCAATTACTGGACGCCCATCAGGTCGACCTTCCGAGACCTTGGAGATTGACGAACACGATGAGATTGATGATATGTTTCCAATTAGTGAAAGGAATCATTTCAGATTACCTGGAAGCAAAAGACAGTCTAGGCTCCCAGCCACGTTTACACGCACCAAGTCCTCTTCGGGACAGGCTCATACTGGTCAAAAACAGAAAGCCACTGGTGATTCTGCAGCTCGGAAGATTACGTCGCACCACAAGACAAGCACGAACGGGAAGAGAAAAACAGCTGCGAAGAAGCCCAAGCCAGTCCAGCTGAGTATCTTGGATGCCGGCACCCCTACGGAACCCAAATTGCCACGGGCAGTACCAAGGCCTCAGTTTGTGCGTCTTGCTGCCCGCCAGGCTCGTACACGACCTGATCACGGCAGACACAGCCCGACCAACAAGGAGATCCGTCTTGCTACAAGAGAAGACACACAAGATGCTCTCGAGCCGTTGTTGTCGTGGCGAGCAGGCAACTTGAATCGCAATTGGGTCCCCCCGCCTCAGGATGCAAGTTCTGTCGGCAGTATTCGTAACGATGAAAGACTACGAGATGCTGAAGCGTCCAATGGTCCAGAAAGCTCATTTGCAACGAGTGGTCCAAAGCACCGAAGACCTGGACAGCCACGACCTCTTGTGAGTGCAAGGCCGAGACAACCGCAACAGCTACAAGAGGGAGGCAACGACGTGCGAAAGCGTACCGCTCCAAACCTACTTCGAGCAAATCAAAGGAGATTGCTTGAACGTGATCATCGGATGCGGCCAGCTCAGCTAGAGAGCGTAGCTCAAGCCACACATCGTGATCTTGATCCGCTTACCTTCGCTGCACCACCATCCCGTTTGATGGAGATCTTTGCTCGAGACAGACGAGACGAGCCAGCCTCCAAATTCCGACTCGAGCGCTTCCTCAAAGACAAAGGTCATTCTTCTGAAGCCAGTGTCCCGAATCAGATGCAAGATCAGGGTGCCAACATGACAGGCACTGACAATGTTTCTTCGCACGCACGAGCTCGCAAAAGGATGGCTCGACGGTTCGATGTTGAGACAACCAGATTTCGCCAACCAAACGAGCCCTTGCCTGTTGATGTTCCTCTCATCTCTGCTCAAGATCCAGGACCTGTTCAAACAGATGGTGCACTCAAGGGTGAGATACTGCAAGGCTTGGGCCCTTTTGGCACCCGATATCCTACAGACTTCGATGTCAGACCGCTCGAGATCGGTACTTACTTTGCTACCAGCACATTTGTGGGTAGTGGAGACTTCAATGATTGCCTGACGTTGCGCAAGCGCGACCTCGATGTACCTGCTGGTCGTATAACGGTAGAAGTAGCTGGTCGCTCGTTGCACTGGAGTGCATGGAACGAAGATGTCTCCGCCGGTCTTGATCTCATACTCACAGCTTGCACGGAAGATTTACACGCTGTCGGAGAGTTCGAGACTACAGAGATGCGACGAACAGCCATCGAGGATACCGCCGCTCGATTAAACTATTTCTTACGCTCTGTTGTGAGATATCTCTCAGGCTGTCTTCACTTTCTGGACACCATCGATCGGTGCTTATGCTTGAGCCGCCTCTCCCGCTTTGTCGACGAGTTCGTAGATATGGTCGAAGTGGAAACGATTGTTCTCAAACCTCACTCAGACATACGGAGTCATGTCGACAGACTTGTAGTCGACTCACTTTTGTACTTGCTTTGTGTCACTGTACAATCTGTACGCATCTCGCAACATCCTACCACTGATCTCAGGCTACAGACGCTCCTTGTGGAGAAGTGTGTTCGTTTGAGCACGAAGGTCATCGCTGCAGCGCTACCTTCGAGACTGATTGCAGTCCGTGAGTTCCTGGAAACTCATCGCGAGCACGCTCATCGTGACTCTGGTATCCAGGAGCAAGACATTGCTATCAAGAGTATTGTGGTTGTCAATCATGTGCTTACCACTGTCAATGCATCAGTCAAGCTTTCTGAAATCATCAACACACAACAAGGTCGTGCAATTGGTACGATCTGCAATATCCACTCCCTGGACCAGATATGGTATGATGCATTTTCTATTCAGCCTCTCCTTGAGATTGATGCAAAAGGCGTATTCCGACCACGGAGCAGGTTCCAGGCGACTAATGACAATTGGAATTTGGTAAAGATGCTATTGCAGCGGACCTTCGGGTTGTATTCAGCAACTAGCAAGGCGCGCACTCCAACGCTCAACGACTATGTACGGGCATGTCTGGCCAGAGTGTATCATCTGATCACACGTTGGGGCTGGCAGAGGTGTGAGCCTGCGCTGGGAACAATATACGACTTCTTTGCTGGTAACAATCTCTCGCAACTTCGCAAGGAAGAGGGTAAAGGGTCACCACGCTTTCTCGAAGATCTTGACAAAGACCCGACAATCGAGCTCGAAGCGTCTGATTGTGCCTTCCATATGTTTCTCAAGCTGCTTGTGGTTGGGTTGCGAGGCTTGCAACAAACCTTGCCCAAAAACAAAGTCCGAGGCTTCGCATGGAGATTCATCCCCAACCATGGTCGTACCTATCAGAAAGAGCAAGAGGTCACTCATGTCGCACTCAATGCCTTGCGCAATCATCACGATTTGCTATGCACGCTTTACTGGGTTATGCCGTCTGGTTGTGGACCTCGATTGCAGATGATCAGAGATTTGGTCGACCACGACAACTCGCATCGAGAAGCTTGTCGGCTGAGCGTGCGCGCCTGGGGTATGATCGCTCGTTACCAACTCTCGCAAGTTGAACCCTTCAATGATGAGGATATCTTGGCCTCATGGTGCAAAGACATGATTTCGACCACCATATCTCAATATCGACTTGCCAGATCTGAGGCAGAAGCACATTACGCTGCTGCGAGATCTACAGGGCTCACTGATATCTCACCCGAGATGCTCGAGATGACCATCACAACCAACCAACGGAGCATTTTTGCCATCCTGCAGGATCTGCTTCTAGCAATGCGCAATGCTGTCAAGATTTCCAAGTCATGGTCCAAAGTTCGCAACATTATCGAACAGTCGAACTTGATCGAAGTGCTTAAGCTTTTCGATCTGAATCAGTCCAGGCTTTCCGTCGCCATTGTACAGACACTAGATATTGTTGATGAATTGCTTGTAGCCAAGAGCAGGCTCTCCAAGCCCTTACAGCAAGAAAGTCAACCGGGCAGTGATGACAGCCAGGACTATGGCGATTGGTCTTTCATGGATCAAGTCATGGAAGAGCCAGAAAGCTCGGAGCCGAAGACTTCAGAAGTGGCATTTCTGCAAGAGCCTATCGCTTCACTTCTTTCGACATGCTTCGGTTCAGAGAAAAGTCCTGACGATGCGCTTCTCAAGAGAGTCGTGGATGTTTGGACCGCCACTGCTCAGCACTTGACCAAAGACCATGTTCTTGACTGGTCAAGCTTCTTGGATGTCTACAGCACAACGTCATGGTTCCAGCTTCGAGAGACAGAGCAAAGGCACAAGTACACTTGCTACTTCCTTGCATCTGTCATTAAAAGCGACAAGTCAAGTCTCACCGATCATCGAATCCTGTTCGTAAAAGCTTGGTTCGTGTCGTTGTTTGAGCGCGAATCGATGCTCAAATTTCAACATCGTCTCACAGCGAGTCTGTTAGAGAACACGATCTCAGAGCCACTATTGCACAATCTGCCGTTCGCCGCTGACCACGAGACTGGCGAGTACCGTATCAACATGGCCGAGTTTCGACAAAGGCGGATCAGTCTCATTGGCAGCGTGTTGTCGAACATGCATTCTCTGCTCAACTCGAGCCAGTCTTCGACAATGTCAGAAAGTAAAAGAGAGTATGTTGACATGCTCAAGGCTGCTATGCAGCATATGCGCGGTACCTACGAACGACTGCAGAACATGTCCGGGCGACTCGGTGGATCATCTTATGACAACGTCAAGGGGGCCTACGTTGAGTTCGTCCAGTCAATTATCTCCCTCATGCAGCAATACACGTCAGACATCTGCCCCATCGATCCCTTCTTTGTGGACTCTGCTGCCTTTCCACTTCCGTTGGACGACCCAACGTATGTCAAGGCGAAGCTTAAGAGTTACGATTCGAAGTTGGGAGACAGTCGTGCTCGTAAACAGCTTGCTGTGTTTGTGCAGACAGTCAGTGAGCGCGCAGCTTCGGAGAACCAGCAACCATATCTCATCAAACAGATGCATGACGCCCTTACCGGGAATACATCAAGAGGCCTCAGGAGTGTGGTTCTGACGGCTTTGCTACCGGCATATATCGAATGTTCGAGTCTCTCATGTCGAGGTTGGTACTTGGCCACACCGCTCGTTGAAGCCAGTAGCATGGTTATCTATGACATGATCTTCGATCTGGATATTACCGATCAGACAGGCATGGACTTGGACGTCAGTGCTATTACCTCAATTCTCATGACAACGTACCGCTTTGCCATGTCAATACCATCTTCGCCAACATCGCATGACGTCGGGTCTTTACGTCTTCTAGTAGCAATTTTTGGCCTCGTAGAACAGAGCCTCACGCTTGTCGAATACGTCCATCGCGCTACCGGCAAAGCGAGCGACGCCATGGAGTCACTCCGTCGTCTCATGGCATTCGGCGAAGAGTTCAGTGCTCGATTTATGGCACCTCCCATTCCTCTTCCGGATCTAGATTCACTGATGACACCAGACCCTCCAATACTCGATAGTGTACATTGTACTTGGCAGGACACGCTTGAGTTTGCCAAACGTAGCCTCTCAGAGTCACTTGCTAGAGCACTGTCACGAAGCTGGGAGACGGACCTTGAAACCGTCGAGAATGAGAGTATGAGGGTTGTGGCTGCTGTGGATTTGTTCAGACGCAGTTACAATGTTATTGTGTGTCATGGGCAGAACGTTATGCAAAGTGCCGTGGATGGAGATGAGAGTGAGAGGGATGAGGAGGCGGAAGAAGAAGAGCAAGAGATTGAGAGGCAAGGACTTGATGATGTGATGATTGGGATGCAAGGATTGGGCTGGGGAGGCTTGGTGTGATATGTACTACAGATGGAATCATTGCTACCTGATGAACTTATGATATTGTTTACATCCACTTTTCTGTGTATCAAACGCTGACCCCGATCATTACCTCGAATTGTGGAAAACAAAAATTCTGTTCATAAGTCTTTGCTATGTACCATTCCTACTCCTTCTTTAAGGTCGTAGACAAGGTCGATGACTCCTACAATCACTCTCCGTCCTTCGTATAGAACGATCCATCCTAGTTACGTCCACATCAACTTTGAATAAGATGATTTGGTAATAACGCGGGATATAATTGAAAACACAAGATGTTGTCGACCTAGTAGTGCGTTCTTCGATCACAATAGGGAGAAATCCAGAGAGAATAGGGCCGTCCGTCACGAATAAGGGGTCGATGAGTTTCTAGCATTCCTCTGCAATGTGTTGATTACACAACTTTGCTTCTTGCGTTACATCAACTCTTTGTATAGTAGTTGTATATCGACCAGACAGTTCGAAGAACCACCAAGCTTCTCCATCTATATACAACTTACCACATATCACTTGCGAGAAAGGATCTCGATATTGCTTCTCAAAAATGGCAACGTTCAAGTGCACGCACACACAGCGTATCAACAGTTGAATGTCGTCAACAGAGATCATTGAAAAGAGCATACTACGCGTCTCTGTGGTCATGTCCTTCAACAACAACTTGCGGTTCATCAGGTTCGAGGGCGATTTGGACGATGATGACATTCACATTGGACCCGGTCATGTCCAAGACCGTAACGAGTCACCAATACAGGACGAAGGTGAAGATGCCCAATTTGAGCAGAGATATGGGCAAAGTATCTTATGATACAAAGCAACATCCTCAGACGGAGCCACCCCTTAAACTCCGTCACAAAGCAACACCAAAGTGAAGGACGATCCAGAAACCAACGCCTAGCCACCGAGGAAACAAATGGGTCATCCTCCAGGCCAAAGAAACAAGAAGGTCAAAGGAAGCCGAAGGTCTATGCATTACATCGGTTGACTGCATAGCTCATGGAGGTAGAGCCATCAGGTCCATGATGATATCCAATTCGGCCTGTCCCCAGTCAAACTTCTGAGCAATACCATCTCTCGAGGCGGGAATGCAACCATTCATCTCAGACATTACAGACCTCCTTATGTTTGTTGCGTTCTCTATGAACTTGATATATTTTGTAACAGCTGAATAACGTGAACCTCTGACAAAAGTCTGTTGCGCCTGTCCTTTGTTACTGCTGCTGCTGTTGTTGCTGTTGCTGTTGCTGTTGCTGTTGCTGTTGCCGTTGCTGTTGCTGTTGCTGTTGCTGTTGCTGTTGCTGTTGCTGTTGCTGTTGCTGTTGCTGTTGCTGTTGCTGTTGCTGTTGCTGTTGCTGTTGCTGTTGCTGTTGCTGTTGCTGTTGCTGTGATTCCAAGCAGCAAGCCAGCTTACTTATACATGTTGTTCCAGATTTTCCAAATCCAAGTCATACAAGATGCGGGCTGGTGATCGCGATGGTCTGTGTGCGTCTCGTGAAAAGTATCGATCTTGGAAAAGAGGAATAGGAGATTGATCGCAGACTCCTCGGCGATGTAGGGTGGTATACAACCCTTGGAGGGTTGGTTTACTGTAGCTAGACGACAGATCCAGGTCACCAGGTATCTTCTTCATGGTTTCGGTACCCATTCTCATGAGTCCAACTAGTGCAGTCGAAGGGAAGTGACATTTTCCAGAGCAAAAGTCCGGATCTGATCAATCGCTCTTGCTCGTAAGGGGGAACTGAGCAAATAGGTCAGTGAATTTGCTTGAACACTCTCGAGATGCAACAAACATCTGTGGAATCACAGACCTCCTGTGTGTTCTCTCTGTCAATGCATCTAGAAGGGTAAGCTGGATGGCATCGGGCTCGTCCTCCTAGAGAAGTCTGCAGACCTTTGGGCATAGCCAGGTGCGGTCTGCCTGCTGCAGTTGTTGTTGTTGAAGGCACCCGAGAAGGCTTTAGTAGTGGATAGAATTTAAGTTGTTCAACTTGCCGTACATTCACTTCTGGGTGTCGGCAAGGTGTCCGAGGATTTCAAGATGATTAAACACGGGCGCTGACATTGAACAACTTCTATTTTGATATCAGGATCTGTTCGTGTTGACTCAAAGAACATGTTGGCTCTAGGGAAGGATGAATGGCGTAACTGATCATTTGGCAGGAACATGAGCGTGTACGATTGATTTGGGTATAGAGCTATCTCAGCATTCGGTCGTAGCGATATCAGTGGTATGCATGATGTAATGTAATCCAACCTAGAACCAAGCCAGGGTCCAGAGAGCAGGAAGATGAGGCCATCTCTCTTGCCAGTCTCCGAGGATGATGGGCACCCTAGCATCGAAGCCATCTCTCGAGCCTCCGGTAGCAGCGTCAAAGCCCTCAGTGCTGCCAGTCTTCTCAGCGTGAATCTTTCTTTCATCCTGAGCAGCAGCGTTCAGCTCATCAGCGAGTTCAAGAATGGCTCTTCCTCCGACAAGTGCTTCTTCGTGGTTATCCTTAATATCGACGTTGAAGACATGGACAGGGCGGTTGAGAGGACTTCCTCTTGACAGCAAGTCATCAACGACAGCTTCCCAACAGCGGTCTTCGCAAGTTATGACGATGTCCACCGTTCCCGACTCGGTGCCCTGAGCGCCCATGTCATTGGTGTAGACAGGATCTCCAGGGATAGGCGCATTGGCATATCTCTTGCCCACACGCGGGTATCCGATCCTCCAATCTTGCCATCGTTCAGGACCCCATTTGATGTTTCTGTTGCGGTCAAGCATGGGCAAAATGCCGTTTGCGCGGTAGAGGCGAGCATCCTTGCCTTCGAGTTCGCGGTACATGCTGTCGTATGAAGTGTTGTTGAAGTTGTAGATGTTGGGTTGGGTGATGGAAGGACCAGGCAGGCGGACTAACGAGCCAGTACCGAAGGAGATGGTGGGATACTGTTGGGCACTGCCGGCGAGGCGCAGGTGTGCTTCCATAGATCTNGCATGACCGTATTAGTACGGTAGTTGGTGCAAAGGGGACAGTGTCATGACGGCGACGAGACAGGAGAGACGGTGGACAAGCAGAGGCTTTGTATTTCGGCGAGTATATACGTTTATGCAGAGGGAAAGGCAGAAGCAGAGCAAGCGACGGGACACGTTGTCTTGCAGGACACAGGATTGCACAGAGACACGGTATACAGCATCACTTGGCGAAACATACCTGTTGTTGTTACTGGCGCACACAGTGCAGAAGCGCAGCTTGAAGCTGTCCTCGGCTTTCGCCTGTTGTGTTGGAGTTTGATCACTTGCGCCATCCAAGCTCTGGACAGATGAATCTGGCTGAGGCTCTGCTGGTGGGGGAGGTGGAGGTGGCGGTGGGGGAGCAGATTGTGCAGGCGCCGGTCGCCTCCTAGGGTCGGCAGACATGGTTGTGTGATGTGGTATGCAAAAGGAAGGAGGAGGTGGAGATGTCAGATAGGCGCAGGTCAGGCAGGCTCAGAGCTGTAACTGAGACGCGTGCGCAAACTCTTCGGGAAGGTGCAATCGATGTCGTCAAGGCAAATAGAGTGCTGCTACGCGTTAGTTCGGATCTCGCTGATTGTGTCGACGCGTGATTGGTATGGAGTGAACGAGGGGTTGTTTCAGATGTTTGCGTATAAGGTAATAAGTTGTCTCCTCAGTCTCCGAAGAGATAGGACAGCTCCAATAATTTTAATCTCATCATGTAATTGTGCTTGTGTAGGAGGATGCGCTTAAAGGGGAAACTTACAAGAGGTAGGCGCCGGGAATAGCAGGCGGCTCGTGTGTGATGGACTGTCGAATGGATCGCGCTTGTGTGATGGGATTGGAGGGAAAGAGCGTTGCTGGAGCGGAACGAGGGAAGTCGCAAAATCGAGCTTCTTCCGATTGCTCGCCAAGCCCGCCATGTCCCGAACAGGCAGGCAGCTCATCCTCACCAAAGGGCCTACGACTACGAAACTCAACCTATAAAACACTTCTTCTATCTCCGACATCGGTCATGTACAACCACCATGTTTCCCTTCCACTCGCCAAACGGCTCGTTCGCTGACGACAGCTGCCGTTTCTTACCTTCTACTTCCGTCCAAGTGCTGATCGCTGCCTGCTGAAAGGCTGTTACAATGAGCTATACCTACTGCGACACGCTTGACTCGAATCGATTCCCCTTTCTATAAAGCCAGCTTGGCACCCTCTTCTGTTCTCTGTTACACCTTTGCATCCCCAAACATATTCCTCCAAGAACATGAATACATCTGCCGGTACCGCTGCCCGAACGTCCAAAACTCTGCCCGCACCTTCAAAGACCGAGAAGGTCGCTTTCAAGGTCCCAGGATCCGATATTGAAGCCGAGACATGGTATGCTCTGTACGGAGAGCTGACTGAGAATGTTACTCCTTTGATCTGTCTGCATGGCGGGCCTGGTATGGCCCACAACTATATCCTCCCTTGCGCTCATCTGTCCTCGGCACCTTTCTCACGACCAGTCATTCTTTACGACCAAATTGGTTGTGGAAATTCAACACATTTGCGCGAGAAGAAAGGAGATACTGACTTCTGGACTTCCGACCTTTTCATCGCCGAACTGGAAAATCTGCTATCTCATCTGAGCATCAAANAATTCGACCTCTTTGGACAGAGTTGGGGCGGTATGCTCGGAGCTTTGTATGCCACGAAACGACCAGCTGGCTTGTACCGTCTGATCATCGCCAATTCTCCAGCAAGCTTGACTACTTGGGTCGAAGTCGCAGATCAGCTACGAAAGGAGTTGCCCAAGGAGATTCAGGAGACTTTGACGCGATGCGAGGAACAAGGCACGACGGACACGGAAGAGTATGAGACTGCAATGATGAGTTTCTACGAGAGGCATGTCTGCCGTGTCGTACCTTTCCCAGACGAGCTCATGCAAACCTTGGCTCAAGTCAAGGATGATGATACCGTGTATATGACGATGTGAGGCGGCTGTTCTATACTCTGACAAATGCTCTGCTGACGACAATCAGGANATGGACCTTCTGAGTTCAACGTTATCGGTTCGCTCAAGGGCTGGGACATAACATCTGAACTTCACAAAATCAACGTTCCAACATTACTGATCAATGGCAACTACGACGAAGCTCAAGACATCACCATGGAGCCATTCTTCCGCGAGATTCCTGGCAAGGTCAAATGGGTTCGTTTCCCCGAGAGCAGTCATTGTCCTCATTTGGAAGAAACAGACGCTTTTGTTGAGGCTGTCGGCAATNTTTTGACCTCTGAGTCATGATCTGATTTTTGTCCACTTTTGGTTCGATTTGTTGTTTTGTTCTTTTTCTTGGTTCTTCTCTCGATTTCATCACAACTTCCGTAATATACCCCTGTTCTATTTCTTCCATGAGTTTACACATGCTTTACTACTTTCCTCGTTCTATCGGTCCTCAACAGCCATTTACAATAAAAGTCGATTGTCTGCCGTACACACTATGGAAAACCATCACGCCTCCCCTTCATCCAACAGAATACAGCAAGAGATCTAATATCATGACCATTGTCACTTCGATCTCCCAAATTGTTTGGTGCAATTCCAGTCCTCTCAAGAATGCTTGTATATGGTTGATTGGTCAAATTGTATCCTTCTAGTCGAAGCATTGCTTACCTGGAACTGACTGACGATTTCTCTCCCATGCTCATGCTTTGCGAGTCTCTTGGCCATCGCGACTGGAAGATGACAACAAGAAGAACGAGAGATGCTCTACCTCCGGAGAGACATCAGCAGTCATTGTTCAAGTTACTGCTCCTCATTCTGATGATGCTAAGGTAAGCAAAGTCATCAGGTCACTGATGACTTATACTGATGCACCATCTCCGGTATCTCAGCATTTCTTTACTTCGCCATCATCAAGGAGAGACACCTGGAGGGGATTTTGGCTCACAGACCTGCTACTCTTGCTCTCGTCGGTGGCAGAGCAATCTTCTGTGCGACAGTGGCTGTCTCAGTCTTTGTCTTTGACATCTGAAGCTTGATGGAACTACGATGAGATCCAGAAGTCGAGTTGGATGACAGATATCTAGTATGACGGAAGATTTCTTCTACCTTCTACATTCGAGGTTGCGAGAAGATCAGCATCTCAAAATCTGGGTTCTCCGAATCCAAGAACATGTTGTGTACACTGTTGTAAAAACTGTCTTTTCTGGACTTATCCCGGAGACAACTATTCATCAGGAAACAACCTGTTGTGAGTCAAGGTGGAGTACCCTGTTTGTAGCAGATGCAAGGGAATGATCGTACGAGATCGTAATCTCATCATGAAAAGTACGTAGATCATCTTAAGCACCTCTATCACCTGCTACTAGTTCTGTATTACCATCGATCTCTTACTTGCTTTGTATATGGTCAATAATACAGAATCTCAGTTGGACGGTAGATCGCGCAGTGTATTGTCGCTGGGTAACTAGATTCATATCGAGAACAACGAGCACCAGGCTCCTATGCATCGTATGTCAACCTAGGCTAGTAAGTATTATGTATAGTAGCCTGCGCACATCAGACCTATTAGAAGTTTTACTAGCGAGACAAGAAGATCATCGTCGGTTTCATCGACCCAGTAACGTCGCCGATGTACCTACATTTGAATCAGTAGAATACTTGCAATTTTTACTCCTTATGTACGCATCCACCAGATTGGCTTCTTGGGCTCTCAGGCTTGCGGACAAAGCCCGATTTCAGTAGCTCTTTAGATTGTAAGAAGTTCTGGTTTAGTAATGTACGTAAAGTTAAACTCCATGTGACAATACTGAGGCAATAGAGACTTGAACTTCCAAGTTATTAAAGATGTTACTAATTAGTATGGTATAGTCTAGGGAGATTATGAATGATATAGAGAAAGAAATAGAAGATGGACAAGTTGTGTTATGCAAGGGTGAAAAATCCTTTATTTCGATGTCACAGGTCTTGCATAACTTAATTGCAAGTAAGGAATGTTAGGTAACTTGTTTTTACATGATAAGAAGGATAGTTAGCCAACTTGAGGAGGAGGCACATCCTTGTGGGTACGGAGATAGATGGCAAAAGTTGCGACGTCGACCTAGTTCGTTTCGTCGACGTCAGCGATGTGATTATATCAACTACGGGGATCATAGGTTCATAAGACGCAGATTACGATGTGGATAAGATGGGTTTGTTTCTGATCGGTGAGAGTGGGAGCCATGGTTAGTAAAAGGAAAACAGGTAGCAGAGAAATATGTGAAATTTTACATACTGGAAAGCATGGAATCTCCCTTACTTGAAATTCGTATTGCACGTCTCTCTCCGCGGAGGCCACCGTATTTCTTGATTATACCGTGCATTTTTATAGTCGCGTTTTTCAATGTGAGTTGTGGAGAGAGAGTGAGCCAGTTCCTGCTACGAAGAATATAAATGTCTTTTGGTCGACATTCACGCCTTCTTACTTTGGTGTAGTGGTTACGGCTGCACTCTTACAGACGCGGTGCCCTTTTCATACTCATACTCTATGAATCTGGAATACTAGCCGGGCGCGAACAGGCCCTTTCGATCTATTCGCGCCTATCACACCGAGGCGATGATCTGTTGATTGACGGTATGCGAACTCCAGAACTCACGTAAACATGAGTTAACAATACAAGACTGGCACGGAGAAGTCGGTGCGGTGATTTTGAGTTGACTCTATGTGAGGTGAAACACATTGGTCTTCTTGTTCCAGATACGAATATACTATACTCGATTCTGGAAGATTGCACCATCACTGGATCCGATACGAGATGGAAATTCATCTCTATTGATGCTTGACACGTCCTAGACATTTCATGTCTCCTGGGATCTTGACGGTACAGAAGAGACCTCTCCCACCTTATGGTTGTCAATTCTGTCGAGTAGCCTCGACTTCAGGGAGTAGCAGCGATGGAGAAACAACAGGAGTAACCAGATCTATATCTCCTCCTTACCCAAATACTTGTCGCTCTTTCTTCTCTTGTCGTATGTCCAATTTTCCGCTACTTTGAACCTCTTGTCTCTGGAGACTGATGTCCCTAGCTGCAGTATCACAGACTCACCTCTGCCTTCCCTGTTGTTGTTTGTTCCCTGCAGTCTCTTCATTGTAATTCAGATCCAGCACAAACTTGGGCTCTGGTTGACTGGGGGACGATGAGGAAGGCAATCTGCCTGATGTCTGTTGGAGAGCTTCTATTATGCTGCGACTGAATCTTTTTATATTGTTACAAGACCGAAATCGCCTTTGGGGGCTTCATGTCATCACTTCAAATGCCAACTAGCGCAAGAGTCGTTCGGGCATGCAACCGGCATATGCAAGTCACCATAACTACGTGTGTATAAAGAGCAAGTCAGAAGATGGTAGAGCGAAATATGCATTTCGATTGTCATGTCATACCGGGATGGAAAAAGCGACTCGTAGAATGAAAACACAATCAACTATGAGAAACCAGCAACTAGCAAAGCAAAAAAGCGATGATTCCTATCATCCATGAACGCCACCTTTGATCAAGCAAGCTCGCCACCAACACCAGTCTCCGCTTTCATCAGCACAACTGTACTCTGCGTCGAGCATCAACCATCGAACTGATGACGAGTAAAATCGCTCGTCTACTATCATTGTCAATAACCGGCAGAGCTGCTCACAGGTCCATAGGTCGTCAATGGCCAAAGTCCATCTCCGATCAAGGGCAGTGGTCCATCTCCGACAGGCATGACGCTGCTAGCATCCACACCAGGAGGCTTCTGGCCCAGTGCCAACAATGCGTTTGCATTCTGGACGTCAAAGCCAGGGTAACCCGTGCCCATGATACCGAGCATGTCGTGGGTAAAGTGGCGCCAAGCGACAGGTCCCATCATCATTTGTTGGGGTTGTTGTTGAGGTGTCATTGCTGGTGCGGTTGTCGCAGGGGTATTAGGAGAAGCGTAGCTGTTATTCGGCGACGGAGAGGTGAATGCTTGGAAAAGGTTTTGTGCAGTCTGGTCGTGAGGGGCCATTTGTTGCGGTAAGTTCTGGTTGTGCGTGTGATTGGTTTGGTGTAGGGCGTGGCCAGCATTGTGAGCGGCGAGTTGAGCAGTGAGATCGGACTTGATGTCGTCTCCATTGGTGTATGCACTGCTATCGACGAAGGCAGGGTACGCAGGTGCCGATGCGCCTGATGGGTCAGGGTATGCGAAGCCATTGGTTTGGTAAGACTGTTGGGCTTGCAGACCGTTCTCATCGGAGCCAAGGTACGATGCGCCAGCGGTTCCATCTGTAGGAGGAGCACCGCTGGGATCGGCAGGAACATATGCGGGAGCATAGCCAGAGGGAGCATTGTATCCATTGACGCCATCTTGTTGGCCGTCGCCGAGAGCCGGCGAGGAGTGGGCAATGTTGGCCGAAGCAACAGCAGCGCTTGCGGTTTTGGCGGCAAGGTGACGATGAATATTGTCAATGGAAGCGTTGACGATGTGACGCACGGCGTTCTGCAGCTTAGCACCACTGCCCATCAGCTGACCAATGTCGCCGATGATGCTCAACCACTGCTCCATGGTGTCTTTAAGAGCGCTAAGATCAGTGGATGTGATGTGGTCCTTGCGCTGATTGTAGGCAAACAGAGTGACAAACATGGCAGAGAGCCAGACAGTGGCATTAAGCCAAGTTGTGTCCAAAGCTCTCAAAGCACGCATACTTTGCGCAATGTGCAGCAACTTGGCGCTGGCGTCCAGGCAGACATCCAAGTTCTTGTTGTTGACGTCGGTGTTCTGAGTGCGGCATACAGCAGGGTGATGAACGAGCAAGTTCAGCTCTTGAGCGCCAAACTGCAGGTAGAGAGAACAGGCTCTGTCATCCTGAGCAGTTTCAGGACCACCAGAAAGCTCAATGGGGATGCTCTTCAAGAAGTAGTCGAGATCACGCTCGAGCTTCTGGATGGTGAGCTCATATGAGTGAGGCGGAGCGCGGACTGAGTAAATCGAGGTCTGAACCTGGATGACAAGCAAGACCCACTTGAAGTTGTGGCAAGCGACACGGTACGAGCACTTGTGCCATTCGTCGATACAAGTCGCCTCGTTGCCAGTGTTGTCGTCAAGAGCCTTGGGAAACTCGACATCAAAGTCTTCGAGGCGCATGGCCAATGGTCGACCAAGCTTGTTGCTAATGGAAGTGTGGATGACCAGAACACTCCAGAAGACACGCTTGCGCATCTCGATTTCATGTTCGCTGAACTCCGGGCTGGACTTGCCCCAAGCACTGACCGATCGGTGCAGGCCCATCTCTGCACAAAGGTTTAGTGTCA